ATTGTTTCACTTTCGAATGTTAAGATGAGGAAGAAGATGGGGGTGGGGGGCTGTCAAGACTAAGTGTATGGAAGTCCCCAGAATATATGACCCAACTTTCCACAGAAAATGACAGTCACCACGATTTGTTCACTTCCTCCCCTGATTAATTTGTACTCTATGCTATATGGGTATTTTCACACGTTGGTCTTGGCAGAACTAGGCCAGAAACAGACACCAAAATGTGCTCTAAGGCTGCAAATTGGCCCTTCCTTCTTTAACTAGGTCCCTGCAGGCACCTCATGAAAGAGTATGCAGTTTGTAGGTTTAATATAAGCACAGTTCAGAGCACAATGTCACGTCAAAGAGAGGAATCAACTCATATGTTTTAGATAAATAAATAAAAAAGTGATACTAAACCTTGTATGACCCTGTAGCTACGATACTAGCTACATTTTATCTGTATTTCTTTCTTTCTTTTTTTTTAATGTAGAGAGATAATTCATAAAAGTATCCTCTGGGTAATCCAATTTAAGCCATTGCAAAAAAAAAATTGTTACTGAGCCAAAAGCCTTTACACGGGATCATTATCTGCCTACTTCAGCCTCGCCCTGGGAATACCCTTTTTCCATCATGATGAAATGTGCAGATCTTCAGTATGGGTTAGTCAGCCACATTCCCATTCATTTCCCCATCTATACAGCTCTAGGATGTCAGTCATCTAAAATTAGATGAGTGAGCATGAAAACAAGTTAGTGCTGAATGCTATTGTAAACCTGCTGCAGGCAGAAACTCATCAACCGATCAGATAGAAAATACTTTTGCAGAAAAAGGATTCAAATTGTGTAATTCTGTAATGTTTTCATTTCAGCTGTCAGCAAACACGACCCAGTTGTAATACCTTCATCTCATTTTAAAAACATCAATTATTACCTCGGATTGAAAACATCATAAAAAGTTCATTAAAGAGTTTTTCAAACCTTTCCTAAAACGGAGTCTAATCCTGTAAAAAATGCTTGATTTAACATCAGGCCTTTATTATCCCGCGTGTTAATAACAGTCATTTCTGGTCCCCTAATAAGAAGGGTAATTCTCCCACTCATGCATTCAGGCTTTGCAGTTATTTTCTAATACAGGCACTGTAATTACACTGTCAGACCTGTCTCCGGCCAAAGAAAACTGTTGTGGGAAATGCGCGGCCCGCAGGCAACCCTGCCGGATAACTGGGGGTGGTTAGTGGTGTCAGAGATGTTTCTTGATTTAGAAGATTTAACGTTACTCTGCATCCGAGGAGGATGTTGGTTATTGACTGTCTGTAAAGACTGTAGGGCCAAGGCTATGATCTGTGGATATTGATCAGTAAAGGAAGCAGGGGCAACGTTCAGGTGGCTCGGTGGGATAGGCCAGCAAGGTCATCCAGGCCAGGCCATGCAAACGCTGTGATGGTGAGTATATTTGATATGCAAAACTGAGTCATTGATTTTTCATTGGGGCTATTAGAATTCAGATTGTGTTAAGTGCGAGGGGAAATGGAATCCAAAGCGGATCTGGTTTTCAAAGACGGGGGAAGGGGCATTGGATTTCAAACTGAGAGATTTCATGCTGTGTTCCTATTGAAAGGAGGCTGAGGGGAAGAGATATGGTCCCGCTGAGCAGAGGAGAGGAAGGCTAGCCACTATATCCCTGACAAATTTATTATGTTACAATCCCCTTCCAGGTTTTTGCTCTGCTGGGGTATCAAAGAGCTAATGCCTTCTCGTGTGAGATTCTGGAAATCCACGGACACTGTTAACCATATCTGTTCCCTGTTAAATAGAAGTTAATAAAGCCTTGAAAAAGTCACTGGTTACTCAACACTTTCCTTTCTTAACGGATTGTTTAAAGGCAGATGTCTGTCAAAGATTGAGGGTTTCATTTTGTACTCACACTGTTCACTTCTTTTATAGATGGAATAAGTAAATGAGTATATTTATTTCTGCACTAAAATCTGTTTGTTTTATTTCATTTCAGCATATGGAGGACAAATATATCTCTACATCCTATCAAAGCCTTTTCCTCTGAACTTGTAGAGGACACTCACAGTCTCAAGAGAGGAGAAGCAGTTCTTCATCTATCATCACTCGGGTTGTTTTTGGGGTTGCAACAATAGAGTCCCAAAGCCCAGTTCCTTATGGATGCAATGTGGCGACACTACAAAAATCTGTTCTCTAAAGATAGCGCTCTCTGTTAAAGGTGCTGGTGATGCATAACTGTGGTTTTCTTCATGTTTCTTGGAGATCCTCTCAAGAGGACCAGGGGCACATTAGGATGACCCACAAGGGGATCTTTTTCATTCGTTAAATGACTCCAGGTTTGAGGGGGGTGGTGATGTTGGTGGTTGGGTTGTTAAATCTTAAATCAAGCTATTGAGCGAAATGCAAAATCCTCTTGCCCCTGATCAGAAACCTGAAAAATGCTGCTGCTGCACTAAAATGAACTCATTCTCACTTTTTAATACCTCAGTCTAGGACATCTATTGAGCAGCTCTGCATGACTTGCAGCACAAAAACTCTTTATTTATCTAATGCTGGCATCTGCAAAAACCTTCATTTCAGCACTTTTCAGCCACTGCTTGAAGCTTCATTTCGGCTGCTTTTCCAGTGACATAAAGTTTTATACATAAAGTTTGTGGATGTTACTTTTAATGTAGCTTTTTAATTACTCAAAAGTTATGCTTTTATAGTAAGCGTCAGAGGCAAATGGTTAGCTTCCAAACAAATACCAGATTACACATTAGCTATCGTTACATAAACTGCTATTATAAGGCTATTTTAGAGCTGGTGGTTCTGGTAAGTCACAAAGATTGTCCTTTTAGATGTAACAGCCTCAGGTTCAAATGACAGCTGAGACACAAACCTTGAATATTTTGTTTGCAGAGGTGCCATCAGTAAATACATGGACAGCAGGGCTGTGGTTCTCGTTGTCCTGTGTCATTGAAAGAGCTGCTGGGTCGGCATGTCCTTCAATATTTTCATAGTCAGATGGCAGAGCATGATGTCCAACTCAGGCCAAATCTTGCAAAGTTCTTGTAAGAAGCCATCTGAGGATTATGCTTACATCTGATATCTCTTTTTTTAAACTTTGCTGAGGTTTGGTATGTATATCCAACACTGCAACAGAATGTTTGTGTTAAAATACGGATTAGCTCAATAGCTCTCCTTTAATGCAAAAAGTTATTTTTTCATCTTGGTTATTGTCAGATAGGTCATGATAAGCTAACTGCTAATTTATCCACACTTATATTTATATTACCTATATTTATTTCTAACCTTTTTGCAAAGACTATTTAGTTAGTCACGTCATTCGCTTTCAGTCATTGTTCTGTAGATTGCGATTCATCATCAGTCCAGTCTTTTCAGGACACCGATGGCCACGGGGGGTGTTTTTGTTTCATGGTTAAAACTTGGAAGCTTATCATTGAAGTGGGGTCAAATATGTGTGGAGGAAGCCTGGCGAGCAATTTGAAAATTGCTGACATTTTTAGATTACAATTTATGAGAGAAAAGTCACATCATTATGAAGTTGTAAGAGAAAAAGTTACAAATTACCAAGGATAAAGTCATAAATTTATAATATTTAAGTTGTTAATTGATGACACATCCATAAGAATGAAATCATAAATTAACTAGATTAAAGTTTTCACAAGAATTAAGTCATTCATTTACCAGCTTAAAGTTAAACATTTTTGAGAATAAAGTCATTGAGAGAATTTAGTGGAGAGGAATTATGATTGCAGCCATGGTCAATCAGTTTGTACGCTAAAAGGATATATTAGGATGATAGGATATACGTTAGATGTATTAGGTTGGTATTTGAAGTGCAGCCGGCTGCTTGCACTAAAATGAGAAACATGGATCATTTTTGGAAGTTAAAACCAACAGCTGAGGACAAACAGTCGAGGCATAGACCTGCTGCTCATTAGCCCAGCCCTCTTTATAACTGACTTCATTTTAATTGATTTAGAGTCTTGATACTTCCGACAATATGGTGCCGATGAGCTGAAAGTTTTGGGAAACTCATATTTCACAAATTAGGTGACCCTAACACCCTGTTGTAAAAGTGCCCTTGTATCTTTCCTGATGAAATAAATACACAGCATGTTAGTTAGTATAGCTTGTTGTGTATGTGCACATGTAAACCTATTAACATATAAACTTATTCACTATAATATGTTTCAGTTGATATTTTTTAGATTAAATCAGTATATTGACACATAATGAAAGAGGCTTAAACATAGTAAGCAACAAATGTATGACTAATAAATGGCAATAGATTAGAGGATGCAGTAGAATAGTAACTTTGGCTAATCAATAGACACCCAGCTTTCCCACAGGGAGAATGTACAAAGAGAACCAAACAAATATGAAATAACAGCCACAAAAAAAGAAATGTATGTGCCCTTCAAATTAAGAAATGTATCTCTGAGGTCTTTCTCATCACACATAGACGGTTGCGAGGCACTGTTTGTGTAATAAAATCATTAGAGGCCAGAGTATAGATGTTATGAGCTCAAGCCAGCGAGCTGACAAAGACAACATCCTCACTGTCAGTTGCTGCCTATTGCCTTGTCTGTTTTTCCAGTTGTTGCTACCCTTCAAACTTGAGTGTTAAATGAAAACTTTCTCCTAAGTTTCACTGGGTTTGGGTCTCAAGTAGCTTGTTAGCTGTACAAGCTATATCTGCACTTAATGATTGAGCAGATAATCACAGCGTTTAATCCAATTCTCACTTCTTTGATCCTCTGCTTTTTGGCTTTAAAACTGTTTTAAAAAAACTGAAGGAAATAGCCTGCTACCCTCTGAACTAGCTCTTTTTATAGCACTGTGCAAATCGCTTCAATGTGTGAAGAAATTTGGCGCTTCGGATGGCTCTCTGTTTCAGATATGACAGTCGTTTTTAGGGCAGAGATTTAGTGTGCGGAGTCATGAAATAGACTGTAGTCAGAGAAGTTAGAAAACTCAGGATTTCTGATCAATAGTTATAAGAATGTCCATTCATTGATACAATTATAATCAATTTATTAATTTTTTTGCACACTTACAATCAAGAATTAGTCAAATATCCATTGGCATTATATACTCTACCTACACAACATCATCTATCCAACACATAGGACAACAATGGACAAACAATTTTACAATGGCAAACAGATCTAGGCAGTGCTTTCCTCGTTGAATTAATGCTCAGTCATAACACATCACTTTTACCCATCACACAGAATAGTGACTCAAAGGTTTGTTTGATATTGCATAATTATGCTAAAGGTGAAATGACATGCAGTGCCTTTTCCAAAGCCTACTATAGTTTATGTGTTATTAGTGGAGTAAAGTGATATTCAATCGCTAACTCACAGCACCATCTGGGTACATCCATGTTTAAAAAATAGCTATTGTGGGAAATAGCACAAACAGTAAGTGATAGGTTGATGAGCTGAAATGATGTTCCCCCTGAGGTTGCTTTGTTGCTTCATCTAGTGACATAGTAGCCTTTTAGTGCGACTGGCTCCTGGCTCTCTGAAGTGAGAGTAGGGTTGGTGGTGTAAGCCCCAACAGGAGTAACCTGGTTTACACATTTGCATATCACACACAATACTGTGCATACTTCACAAATCAAGGACTCACACCGCCTTGTACTTTATGTGCTCAGCTACTCATGCTGGCGGGAAAGTGGCCATGTCTTAATACAGTGTGTGTCTTGGAGGGTGCAGTCTATTGCCTTTGTAGTTAATACTGTTGTTGACATTGTTGTTGTCTTTTTTTCCTTATTTTTCAGAGACGGTACTTTCTTAGGAGCTCTGATTGCCACATGTACTTCCTCTCCGGGAAGTGATCAGGAATCCTAATGCGCCGGAAGTCCTGGATGCATTTCTCCAGCTCCTGCTCTGGAGTCATCTTCTCCTTGTTTGCTTTCCTCTTTGCAGCCTCACGTTCTCGGACCCCGAAGGTTCTCACCCGGAGCACATCCGTCTTGCGACGCATCTCCGCCTGCTGCATCATGTGACCCGGTCCTTTAGGCATGGGACGGTCCAGTGTCTGGATGTGGGAATGCCTACTCACAGGACCACAGATCACAGTCCCCTGAGGGGAGCTGGCCTCCGACTGGGTCTCAGAACAGGAAGTAGAGAGCTCATTGAAGGAAGTGCCGCTCTCTCCCTCACGCTCACTTTTGTGGCTCTTGCAGCAGCAGTCACAGTGAGAGGACATCCACCGTGAGGGCCCTCCTGAAAACACAATCACAAGTAGTGTTACAGCAAGTACCTCCTCCGTGTGTGTGTGTACAGTGACAGATTCGAGCTGTAATCAAAAGTAACAGTTGCACTGATCAAGCAAATGCTGACAAATGCCTACACAGCAGTTTCAATGTCGTACAAATGCCTTTAAAGGAACATCCCGTGAGTGTGTCAATGCTCTTAAAGGGGTTGCAGATTTCAAAATGTGCAAGTTATTGGCTTTGACGCTTGATTGCTAAGTCCCACAGAGCTTGGAGGGCGTGCATATTGCTTCCTCTGATAAGGAGAACTCCAGAGCCCAGTGCTGCTCCCTTACCTATGTCCCACGGCAGAGTTTTTCTGAGTGCCATAACAATCTACTTTGCCGCCACCTTTTTGTCCTATGTCCCGTTAAAACTGTTTCCTGAGTGCCTGGTACTGCATAGGAGGTTTATTACTTTTACATTTTTCTATCACTCAGTGAGAACACGGTGCCTTCGGGGAACCAGCAAGCTAGAAAAGGCAGGTAAAGAATAATTTGTCTTTACTTGTTACAGAACCAGGTCAGTGGATAAATGAAGATGTGAGTGTCCTGACCTCCTGTCAGGCCGTTTGGATGGAAGAGAACCAGATAAGGGCTCAGTATGAGATCATTTCACTTTCCTCCTTCTTTGTCCTGGATCTATTTCTTGTCAAGGGCAAATCCAGGCAGGTGACATAGGCCCCTACTGAAACCTGATTGGACACCTGGTTGACACCCTAAATCCCTAAACTATAATTGGTTGTCAGACCTGGGACTTGAGGGGAAAAGTATTGAATTTGCTGCTAGCTTTCTTTGGTTTTAAATGTTGCCAATTTTGATTTTTAGTCATTTTGTTAGCAATTTAATATGACTTAATATGACTAATATGACTGACAATGCCCCCTTTTAGCTAGTTACTATACTGGACCATCTCCCAGTTGACCTATCATGTCACATACCAAAACAATCAACAAACAAGTGAACAAGAAGTGAACAGGCTGAATGTCTAAAGGTGAAAACATGGACAACTTTATAGCTCTACACCTTTTGTACACCCAATAGCTTTTGTCTTGCTTTCCTCCCTTCTAGTTTTTCTGTTGCAAACATGCATAAGAAAACCAATTCACAGCTGCATAATCTAAGTATGTTACTCCAGTTTTGGGAAATTTGACTTAGTGTGATTTCAGTCTGGCTAAAATGCTTACATGTATTTTAAAAGTCCAGTTTTAGCTGGAATAATGCCAGAAATAGATTTCTAACAACCTGCAAATGTCGGGAGAGCACAGGCATTGGCCTTTTATCTCTTGAGCACATCAAATAATAACTTTAAAGCCACATTTTTTCTTGATCCCTTGAAAAGTAAAGAATCTTAAAAAAGCAAATCTTTTATTTTGAAATTATTCACCCCCAATTTCAACATCTGTGCAGTGCTTAAATGTTAGAAGTTTAGGCAGATGTAATTAGTAGAGACGGAAAAGGGTAGATGAATGCAAATCATTTTAGTGGGTGCACACTTCATGCAACTCCTGCATGAGTCAGAGCCCTGTTGGGCCACCTTATTTAGAAAAGTCCTTGTACCATCTGACATCCTCTTTCCATGCTAATTTTCATAACATGGAAATGCTCTTCTGCACTGTACCGTGGCTTGAGAAGCATCCAAGTTAGGAGAGTTAACACTGCGTTTGTATTTCATGACAAATACCCCTGAACTCTGGTCTCATTTAAAAGTAATAGGAGGTAGAAATGGACTGTAAACTGCTGTGCTGGCTGGAGTATAAACAAGAGTGTATGAGAAACAAACTAATGTACACTGACTTTAAAAAGCTCTTAATGGCTTTTTCCAATGTGATGATACAGACTTAACAGCAATGATATCTCAGAGGGAGCAATAATATGTCCATTACCTCCTTCCAGTGCACGCACCAATTTATAGCGAGCACAGTTCAAGGGGGATTTTAACCTCTTTGCACACGCTGTAATAATGACCTTATCTCTGGTGCGATGATTGCATTGAGCAGATAGTGAGAGAGTCACTAACAGCTTTTTAATGGCTAATCCATGAGTAAAGAGGCCAATCAGCGCACCAATTTCCCCTGCAGAAAATGAATCTAGCTGAATCCGGCAGACAGGCCGTACCAGGCAAATGGATACAGGCGCTTTAGTAAGGAGAATGAAGAGGAGGGAGGCTGAGCATTGTTTCTAAATGGATGGATGCTGCTGTCCAGAGGGGCAACTCGTTTAGGAAACTAGCCAACACCCAATAATAGCATCATGAAATTTTCAAACTGTGCGGGGGAATGAATTGTATTAAAGCCACTGACAGGCGGAGGAGCACCTGGCCTTGCATACTGTTTTATACAACAAATGTCCTTAACTGTGCAGATAGCTAAGTCTTTAGTGCAAGAACTAATCTATTTGTGTAAGAACATGACTGCGTATTCCATATCCTGTGTTCAGATGTCACGGTTTAGAGCGAGGACAGGAAACTATAAAGAGCCTTGTCAGGAGATACAGTCTTTCCTGGGTACATTTAAACAAGTAGGTGTGTATTATACCCTATTTGGTATCTTTTCAGGGAAGCCATTGATTGTAATGTGTTTTCTGAGATCCATACAGCCTGTCTAAGAGATCATGTTCCAACCGCATTAAAAGACTGGTCCTCAGAGCAGACCCGGGCTGTGCACTTCTCATAAATAACGCAGGGAGAGAGAGTGTAGCTCTGCCGAAGCAATGCAGGCGTGTCACTCGGGGTATCCTCAGACTCCTCTCCGGCTCTAATGAAAGCAGGGATGTTCGTCCTCGTGCTTGAGAGAGATCAGAGCTGCATGGAAATCCAACTGTCTGGATATTATGTTAAAATGATGCCTTTTACGCATTAAAAGGTTTTAAACGGTAGAAAAGTAGGACATGACGGGGACTGAAGGCAGAGGGCTCTGACAAGCTCAAATTCAAATGTCACTGGGTTTCTTGCCAGACAGCGTGTTTTTTTTTTTTTTAATCTGTGCCCGTAGACTGACTCATCAAGGGTGTCTGATGATTATTTCTTTAATGGCATAGCAGCTCCATGCCTCAGTCATTTTATCTGACAGACGCTTTCAGACCCTGAGAGTCAAGAGGCAGGGAGATGAATAAATAAATAAATAAATAGGAACAAGAAAGACTTATCACTCAGCAATTCTGTGTTGTTATTGCATATAATCAGAAGGCCATAACACACATTTATTTCAGATTTATACTCAAGTGACCCTAAGCTGTCTGATCTTCAAATTTCAATCTCTGCAGTGATGTGACCTGCGTCCTCAATCTGAATTAATGAAAGCAAGTTTTGAACATAGAGCAATCAGAATAAATATGAAAACAAACCCACTTAACTTTTTCAATTTACAAAGTAAACATTTTTTTTCCCCAAACACAAGATGATCCTGTGAGGCTGCGTGCTGTGAATCATCTTCAAATGCTTCAGTAGCTGCTCGATTCCAGCACAATTATATTCTCTGGCCAAAATTTGGGTGGTGATACAAAATAAATAGAACAAATGAGTATCTATTTTGATGAGCTGGATGAAAAACAGTGTGTTGTCTGGGTAATATTATCTGACAGGCTGAATATGCACATTCGGGACGTTAGTCGAGGAGTTAAGCTTATACAATGGGGAAAATAAGTACTGAACGCGTCAATGTTTTTCTCTTTACATTTATTTCCAAAGATGCATTTCAAATAAAATTTCTAACAGACATTGGTATTAACTCAAATAATCCACACATGAAAAGAAATCACAACATTTGAGTTCATAAATAATGAATATATGGAATTAAGTGCAATAACACAGAAAAAAAGTATTGAACACACTAACTGAGACTCATTTAATACTTAGTGGAGAAGCCATTGTTTGCAATCACAGCTTCCAGACGCTTCTGGTATGTTTTAACTAATCGTCCACACTGCTCACATGTGATTTTGGCCCACTCCTCCAGACATATTGTCTTTAAATCTTGAATGTCTTTTGGTGCCCTCTGGTGAACCCTTTTCTTTAGTTCCTTCCATAAATGTTCAATTGGATTTAAGTCAGGAGATTGACTGGGCCATTCCAACAGATTCATTTTCTTTTTTTGAAACCATTTGAGAGTTAACTTTGCCGTGTGCTTTGGATCGTTGTCCTGCTGGAAGTACCAGCCACGTCTCATCTTCATCATCCTGGTGGATGGCCGCAGGTTCATATCAAGAATTTCCCGATAATTGGCTCCATTCATTGCTCCTTCAATTGTATGAAGGTTGCCAATACCACGAGATGAGAGACAACCCCATGCCATGATGCTTCCGCCTCCAAACCTCACTGTTGGTATAGTGTTTTTTTGGGTGATGTGCAGTGCTATTTCTTCTCCAAACATGGTGTGTAGTATGACAGCTGAAAAATTCAATTTTGGTCTCGTCTGACCAGACAACATTCTCCCAGTATTCTACAGGCTTGTCAAGATGCTTTTTAGCAAACTTTAAACGAGCTTCAACATGCTTTTTCTTGAGGAATGGAGTCTTGCGGGCTGAGCGTCCATAGAGGCCATGGCGGTGGAATGCGTTGCCAATTGTTTTCTTTGTAACAATTGTACTTGCTGTCTCCAAGTCTTTCTGGAGCGTTTTCAGGGTGGTCCTTGGCTCGTTGAGTACTCTTCTGACCATCTTTCGTACTCCCTGGTCAGAAATCTTACGAGGAGCTCCTGAGCGTGGCCGGTTGATGGTAAGGTGGTGCTTCTTCCACTTGCAGATAATAGCCCCAACGATGCTGACTGGCGAATGTCTTCAGAGACCTCTTTGCCTTTACCCATCATGAGATGTGTCTTGTTTGACCTCTTGGTGACAAAACGACCTGTTTATAGGACCATCAATTTGCGCTAACCCAGCTGATGTTGGTTTGCACTGATTGGATGTACAAGTAATAATTACTGACAGATTTCAGGTGGTGTGGTGCATTTCCTTGCCAAAGTATACAGCCTTTTCCATGGTGTGTTCAATACTTTTTCCCTGTGTTAGTGCATTTAATTCCATATAATCATTATTTATGGACTTGAACGTTGTGATTTCTTTTCATGTGTGGATTATTTGAATTAATACCAATGCATCACAGGAATTTTATTTGAATTGCATCTTTGGAAATAAATGTAAAGAGAAAAACATTGACGCGTTCAATACTTATTTTTCCCATTGTATAAGGAAAGAAACGCTCTGATCTTTGACACACTCTTAGCTCCATATCCAGTTACACACATAATTTTCTTACTCAGCCATGGCCTGGGAAAAAGTGTAGTTTACATGCTTGTTAGCCCACAATTCAGGCCAGCGTGTCCTTGCAGCAGAAAAAAGGCTTGACCTGCAAAGACACTGACCGTCCTCGGAGGGGAAAGGGAAATCCATTCCACTGAAATAGTCCTCTTTTTCTGCATAAGTATCACTTCAGCATTTTGTGTCAGGGCTCATATGGTTTCACATAACCTTTTTTGCTGCATGTACACATGATGTTTTTTTTCTTACACATGCATACAACTGAATTGAGGACACACTTTCTTTTTCATAGACCTGATACAGCCCGAGTCCAAATTATCTGAGGAGAGTGACAGCTTCACTGGCTGATCGGTGATGACAAGCCGGTGCTGCCTCCACCCAAATTTAAAGGGTGGTGGCCTGCTGAGTGTCTCTCTGGCAGGGAGAGATGAACAAGCAATACAAACAGATTGAGATGTCTATATCGGCCTCTCCCTGTAGGCCTCCGCCTCTCCGACCCTGAGACACACACACTCCTCCCCGCCTCTACACAAGCACTGGTGAGGTAAATGTCGAGGTGGGGAGGAAGAGAGAGAAGCTGCCCTGCGCATTTACTGAGCTCCTGTCATCACCTAAATGATGCCCCGGGAGGCTGCGGGAAACTTGAGGAGCTTTTCTGCTCCCTTGTCCTGTCAAGAAGGTGATTTTCAGGGAGTGACATCTGAAGAAAGTGCGTGTCACACTCAGACCAAGCATCAGATTTTTTCTGAACTTTCTCATCACGCAAACTTTACTCACAACTTCTGCCGTATACAGTGTGTACAGCAAATGTATAGTTTTTCTTTAAACAGGCCTTTTTTACCCCCTGAGAAAGTCATGCCAAAACTTGCCTTCCACATACCAACACAAGGGATCCCCATCTTCAGGAAACTCTCAGCACTTCCCACAAAGTGAGTTCAAACCATCCAAGTATCCATTAAGTGTCTCAGGAGAGATCATTAAGGTGTAAGATGTCAGACAGTAAAAGTCTTGATAAGTAGAGTGCAGAAATAAGAGAGCGAGGGACGATGAGACAGACGTTTTCTATTAATGTCTGAAAATTATCTACCAGAATAACGAGAACAAACTGGAGATTTTACACGGGTAACTCATCTGGCTCTATTTTGTCTTCTAATATGTTAAAATCATATTATCTTTCACCTTGGTAAAGACGTTACCAGTAGTGACAGCTGAGAACTCTCCCTGATGGTGCATTCAAGGGCACTTCAAACACCTGTGATTTGTGAGTCAGCAATTGTCCAGTGTAGTGTTAACAAAATCCAACCCAGAACACAATCATTGAGCAGGAACAGAGAGTGTGTGAGGGTTTGTGTGAATTAGCCTATTTCATGCATGAAAATATTATCATTTAGCACTCTCTGTCCCAATTTGGGAATTTTACAATCCTGCCAATCCCTGTTGCTAGGCAACAAGGCAACTTGACAGAAACAAACAGAAATTTTGCAACAATAACCCCGCATGGTGAATGTTTCATGTCCCTACAAGTTAAAATGAATAGAATACAAGCTGCACTGATGCTGATAAAACTGCTTTTGTCAGATTTAGAAAACAAACATTATTACTCAAAGAGTTCGCAGCACATTCCTGTAAAATCTAATGCATGCAGTGTCAAAAATGATTGATTTAAAAACAGGTTTTCTATTGCAGCTGCAGTTTTTCACTAAACCCAGACTTGCTCCCAAGGTGAGCCAGATTGTCTACTCGTGCTGATGTAGTGCACACACTCCTGCCTCACTCTTGACTGTCCTTCTGCCCCAATGCTCTAAAGATAAGTTGTTCATGGGAGTAACATCCGTCTCTTCCAGGCATTACATATCCATCCCGACTCTGACTAGCCTCTCTCAGAGCTCTGCTCCTACTACACACCGGCAATTGATTACTTTCCTCGCGTCTCTCCCTGCTGCCTCATGGCCATTGTTCAGGAGCCATTATGGCCACACATCATCTCATTCAGAGCCCAAATGAGGAGCGCAGAGTTACATGAACAGAGCACACCTGGCAGGAGTAATCATTCTTTATCTCTACTGTGCATGTCTGTCCTTTTTGACAAGGCACCTCTGCATGGCTCTTTCAGACTGAATAAGATGAAACTGTCTCTGATATTACCACTCCTCCTGTTCAGTGATGATTTGCTCCACCACTGTGATGTGGAGGCTGTAATGTCAAAGAAGGTTAGAGTTTTATTTTGTCCACAGTGACAGCTGCCTTTCATTCATTTATGATTGGACATAACCTTGTCCTGTTTCAGAACATGAATTGTGTTTTCATTTGTCTTAAAAAGAGCAAGGCGTCCATCTCTCTAAATTGCATCTCCATCCTGAAAGACTGGATGAAAAGAAATATTCTGGGAGCACAGATTGCGCTTTAATAAACCAGCAGTCCCCTTTCTCTCTCTCACACCCTTTCTCTACACATAATGAGCGGTGATGAGAGTGATCCCGCACAACAAGTGGGAAGGTTAGAGCTGTTAATCGGTACAGTAAAGCTGTTATACTCTCAGTCCAATAAACTGAACACCCTCAGACCTACATTTCTGCAAGAAAAATTACCTGAGAGGATCACCCAACTACGGAGGCCTACTTGTCCGACAAGAAGAAAAAATTGAAAAGGGAGTAATATGGTGTCACTTATGATCGAATACCTCAGAATTTGACAGTATATATCAGATTTTCTTGATATGACTTTGGCTTTTCTCTTAATTCTGAACTTTTATTTCTGAATAACAGATTTTTTTCATAATGACTACCTTTTAATGACCAGCCTCTCATGACCTTGAACGGGACAAGCAGTTTAGATCATAGATGGATGGATGATCCTGTCCTGTTAATATCTTTTCTGATTAAAATCTCATCCTGATTTCTTTTAATAGCCAAATGTCAAATCACTTATTATGGCTCATGATATTGACGTTTTTTTTCAGAGGCATGATACAACTCATTTCATCTATACATATGAACACAAACACATTTTCCATCCCTACTTTACCCAGACTTTTTTTTCCAGCCAGCCTCCTTGGACAATTTCCACGTGAAGTCTGGTTGAATATGCAGCAAGAAAAATCCACTGCCAGCCATTACAGTTATATTGTGTGACAAGTTTGATCTTCTTGCACGTAATGAAGCTGCTCAAGCATCTTTTCTGTTTGCCAGTATGATCTTTTCACTCATTTATTTGCCATGCCTGCCATCATGGATATGTTTTAAAAATTACACTCATATGCAGCTTTCTTTTTACCCCATGTCTTGCCTCTCCTCTGGTGTAAGAGGGGAAAACTCCCAGCAGTGAGAGACATGCGTGACATTGCAGCACGGAAAGACTTATGAGGTAGGCTGTCCTGAAATTTCAAAGCAATGTTAATGAGCGCATGAGTGAAAAGGCGTTCATTTTGCTTTAGTGGATAATATCATTACATGAGTATTCAAATCAGTTAACCAGCAAAAAACTCCCTACAGCATCTTTACACATACAGGATAATTGGTGTGATACTTTTCATGTAGTCGTGACACTCAACACTTTGAGTGTTAATTTCTCTTTTTAACTTCTTGGTTGTACGGCTTCTTTGTCTATCTATCAGTGAATGTAAAACCATGCAAATAGTCAATCCTGTCCTTTCTTTGTCACCCTGTCAAATGCATCCTCAGGTGGAAAAATAGTTTTCCAGGATTAATACTCAGACTGTGACACCTCCTGACATGAGGGTCCTTTCCTAATTAATTGTTAGTTAAAGATTTTACAGGAACAAACAGCAGTGTCTTAACTTTGTCAGGTAATAAGTGTCTGTCTGTTTATTCAGATGATACAAGACGGTAAAATTATGGTTAAACACTGTCGGCATATTTTTAATAGAGTTCCCACTAATACTGAAAGTCAGTGGAGCTTGTAGAAAACAAGAGACGCCTTTAACAAGAAGAGCAACATGGATGAGCCTAAGGAACTGACAGGCTGGAAGAAAAATCTCTCAATTTGTTTGCTGCTCTGAATTACTTTACACTTAGAACAAAAACAGCCTCTCTGTTTCTCTAGACATGAGCCTGAGAGCAGATAGAGGTGAGTGGGGGAGCTGAGAAATGTTTCGCTGAAAACAACAAACAACAATAAAGCGCATCTGTTTTGTGCTCTCCCCAAAGGTGCACTTGTCTACACGAATTCTTAGTTAAGGACAAGCTGCCCTGGGCCTGCTGGTGTTCCACATTCAAAATCAGGTTACAGTATTAGTTCAGAAAGTGGAGGCTGCTCTGTGAAGCTAAAGCCCTCATGGCTGTTTGCCATCGATATATCCATCCATCATCCTGACTCAGTCTCCTCACGCACTGTATCTCCGTTGCCTTCTACCCAACCCAAAGCATCTTTCTCCTTCTTTGCCTGTGCCTCTCTACTCACAGAAATATTTACCCCCTCCTCTCCCTCACACTCAGTGAACTTTTCTGTCTGATACTCTATTTTTTACTCGTCACTCCCTCCCTCTTCTTTCTGCCTCACTTCTTTCTCCCCATGGCCAGGTCTCATGCAACTTTTACTCCCTCGTCCCTCCTGCTCTGCCGCTCTTTCCTCCATCTGCTCGCCTCTTTCTTCTTGTTTCCTTGAATCCCCTCTCTCTGCTTTTCTTACGTTGCATCTTTTTACCCTTTGCATGCGCTTTACTCATTATCAGACACTCCCCAGCCTTTCCTCTCCTTCTGCCCCGAGTCCTTGTCCTGGAGTGGTGTCTCTTAATGGGGAAGGGGGTAACACCTCCACCATATGCTGCTCTAAATGACTCAGGAAAATTCTACCTGGGTGGTGCTGGTGCAGGTTGAGGCAGACCCTTCTGTTATAATTAACCTGAATTACTACAATATTGGTTATCATTAGCAAGCCATATGTCATGTCTTCTCTCTGCACCCCCAACCTTGACCCTCTAACTAGCTTTTGTCCTTCTCCTCCAAAGGGAGCCATTCACAATAATGAACAAAGTGTTTTTTAATAGGCCATATGGTCCAACTCCTCCCTCAGCAAGAAGTGGATGGAACCATATTTTCAGCAAATTAAGACATTTGCAGATGAAGAAACCTTGTCTTCAAGTCAAAATGAAGCGCAGAATCTGCAGCAGCAATCATGGGAAATTTTTGCTGCCCACTGGTGCTATATTATTCATTAGCCATCAGATTCTGAGCAGTAGCCCGTGCCTCCACGTGACGCATGTGTACTTGAAGAGTAGCAGCATTGTGACTCAATTTGCCTAAGGCCTGTGGGCAAGTTCGCCTCCTATCTCGGATCCAGAACAGAAGTTTAACATCAGCTACTGCAAGGGCTGCCGAGATTCAAGTAACCCGACCGTGCCTCCTGGTGGTGTGAGCCAACACACATCAATTCCTGCAGAGTGCATCTGTATAAACCATTAGAGCCAATTAAAGGGGTTACATATTGGAAAGCAATGCGGATTAACTTTTAAGCAAAATGCATGAAACATATTCCAGTTGACATCAATCTGGAAATGAAAAGGCACTTCCCCTTCATTTTCTTCACATTAACTTGACTTGTTTTATCCGGATTACTTCTGCCAGACAAAACAACATGTCTCTCTCACATTTTTACTCAAAGTGCAGAATAAATCTTCACTCACGGTAGAAGATGTACTGTGCGTAATTGGACCAGACCCTGTCATCCGCGTAATGACCGATGGAGGACGCAGTCAGGGAAGAGTTGCAGGCCACAATGTGAAAACCACTCTCTGACAGCATGTCAAATGCTCGCTCCAGGTGCCTGAACTTGAGGAAAAACCTGCAGGTGTAACGATCTGGTGGTCTGTCCAGGTCCCTGTTCTCATTCAGGGCGTCTCCGAACACCTCTTTCGCTAAGCCGATTCTGCTGCTGATGAAGATCCTCGGTAACTTTCTAGTCTTGGCATCAATTTGACTTTCTCTGCATCCCCCGGCACAAACACCTTTGAAAGCCACGGTGATGTAGCCGTACCTCCTATCCAGAGAATAAGGGGGATAAAACCTCTGGTCACTACCCTGCGACACGTCGTCGTAATCACTGTAGTATAAGTCGTCTGGGAGTAGTTTTGACTCCTCAGCGGACAAAAGTTTGGCCAAATCTGGCAGCTGAAAGTATTCCGCCTCTCGTTTCAACCGTCCTCTCTCGGGGAAGTGATCAGGGAGGACAACTTGCTTGTCTCTAAGGTAATCCAATACATACCGGAACAGAAACCCATCTCTGTCAATGAAATATCGTCCTCGAAGGTCCCGGGACAGGTCATTCGTAGACTCCTTCTTGTTCGAGAAAAGCTTCCCAAGTAAGGAATTTGGAAAGCTCGTCAAGGTGGCAACGCGAGTGTAATACACCTGTCCACCCACATTCAGCTCAACCACATCAGATGGGGGGGTTTGCACCATGCCTTGCTCTTTTGCAGGTTGCGTTTTGCAGTTTTCACTCAGTGCCATTTTCCCTTCAAAATCGTGCACTAAAATCTGAGTCTTGGAGCGCAAACGGTCCAGAAGTTCAGGGTGTGGGATGCAGCTGCATGGCGCTGATGCCCTCAGACCCAAAGCAAAGTGCTGTTTCAAGCTGCAGTCTTCTTATCCAGAGTCTCATGACAAAATGTCCCAAGGTGTGCCTACAATGATGCCTCTAACTCCATGCGTAAATGTGCCTGCCCACGGTGCATCCTTCATGAACCAAATCGATAGCCAAAGCGCGCATCATGTTACACACATCCACTGCGAGGGGTCATTTGCGTGACTTTAAAGAAATACAATCCGTACTTCACACCAGATTTCCCATGAAAAAAGTAAAATACTTTCGTTTTAGAGCAAGTTTTCAGCATCAAGAGTCATCGCCTTGCGTCTGGATCGAGGTCCAATCACCTCAGCTTAAGAGGAACTTAAAACGCGCTCGAATTCCGTCATTCTGCTACTGAGCGTCCCTCGTGACAGCTGAGATACCGAAACATGCTTCGAGGTTGCTCTCGGAGGGGAAGGTGGACGCGGGACTCCGGCGCGCACCCATCTCTCCAAACTGCTGAGTGAGGAAACGTTAGGTCCGGCTGAAGCTTTAAGATAATGTTGCTCCAGGCTGAGCAAGACAGAGAGAGAGAGAGAGGGAGAGAGAGAGAGAGAAAGAGAGAGACAAAAAGAGGTCCCATGAAGTAGTGTCTTACATCATCTTAAAGGAAAATGACATTTGCAGACGATCAACACGCAGCGGACTGATGTGGCTGCATCTGTGCAGTTTTTCATGAATTTCTGATTTCGCCACGGGCGCTGTGCAGCTGGCGAAGAGGATTCAGCTTTTAACATCCAGCGTTGCGGATTTTAATCCCTTCTTCTGAGTCTTCACAGCGGCTTTCGCATTTACATTTAACGCTTTTAGCTGACGCGCTTATCCCGAGAGACGGGTGAGAGGTTAGGTCCCATGCAATGATTTGCTCACAGAGTCATCGGCAGTGACAGCACAAGAAAAAAAAAAACACTATTTGACTCCGTTTCTGTCCAGCTGCAAATAATGGCGTCAAAATAGAATGAATCAAACTAACATCAAAAACTACAGTTGTACTCTTCTGCATCCATTTTGGTCACTTCTTGCAAACAGAACTGAGTCTGAATATGAAAACTGATCCCTTCCTCATCGATTTGACAGAGTGAAGTCCTGATTCAGCACCAAGGACAGATCTCAGCCCCGGCTTGATGTCCTTCTCACAAATAAAGGATAAAGTACACTTTTAATTGAAATCATACTTTGATTTGAGTCTTTTACATGTGTTTTTTATATGCATAGTGTTAATATGAGCAACCTCGAAGCATGTTTCGGTATCTCAGCTGTCACGAGGGACGCTCAGTAGCAGAATGACGGAATTCGAGCGCGTTTTAAGTTCCTCTTAAGCTGAGGTGATTGGACCTCGATCCAGACGCAAGGCGATGACTCTTGGTGCTGAAAACTTGCTCTAAACTTGCTCCAGTTTTGGTACTATATCACACCTAAAACAGTTTTCCATTGAAGTTATCCATTGTTTTGATGGGAGGGTAAAAAAAACTCTCTGGGCTCATTACTGAGTCATTTCATTCAGGATTATAGCAGCAGGGGGACAGAGGTTTGGGACTTGTATATTATTGCTCAGGGCCTGCTCAGCAAATTTGTCATAGAGCCATCAGTACACTGCTCAGAGAAGCCAAGAGATGGAGGGTGGAAAATCCACTTTGGATGATGTGAGATGTAAGGCAGAATTTTAGGCTTCACGGTGCATGGCATCATCTGCATGTGCAGCTGTATATAGGTCACAAGCTTATGGTGAATTAGCAAGGGATGTTGACCTGATGACATGCATTCAAAGGTGCATGATTATCTGGATGAGGGGGGCCATATGAACCTGTTTGTTATAAACACATATGAAGTTTTAGGTCTCTTATCTCTATGGCCCACATCACACAGCCCTAGCAGCTCTGACTCTAATCTGGGTTTCAGACTGTTTTGTATCTGCTGTTTGCTTTTCAGCTTTGTTGTCAGTGTTGTTTTGAAACCCTGCTGTACAAAAATCAGAGGCTTTTATTGCTGCGGTGCAGAGAGAAGGCGTTGATGATGGGAGAGCACCCTTGACTCCCGGTTTTGAGGAGGCAGCGGTCACGCTTTTACCCTGTTAATTCAGAGTATATTGTGTTGGAGAGGGGTTGCTAAGCAGCCATGGGAGACTGAGTGGGATTCAAACAGTGGGGACTTAAAACTATACTGAGCATCCCACTGATCCCTTTTCTTTCATGCTGCTTATATCATTCGTAATATTGGATTGTTTTGGAGATTGTGTGACTTTTATATCCAAGCAGATACAGTAGATTTGTAAAACAACTGGTGACTGTCTCGATTATTGTACTTTACGTGTATGTGTCATGTGTATCCCTAATGTTGGATCTGTAAAACAGTAAGACTCATGGTTCTTGCACTCACCTTGCTCTGGGATGACTTTCTTCCCTGCTGTAAAGCCTGCTTCTTATTCATCTCAGCCATCATCCCATTAGAGCCAATTTCTCTGCCTCCTGTCTTTGCTTTATTTCCTGTTCGTGTGCTGCTCCCAGGTTAGATCCTATCTTTCAGAGAGAGGTTGAATTTCATGCAACTTCAGCATGAATAATGTAAAACAATATGGGTCCCAGCTGAGCATGAAGTAAGAAAATCTGAATCTGCTCTGACATTAAATCGTCAATTTTGCTTTTTATGTCTTGTACTGCAATTTACAGAGCAGTGTTGGCAAAAAAATCCTGAGAAATTATTACACTTTGGCAGGTCAGGTTGATCTGCATTTCCCAAAAGTGTTCCAAAACCCGGCTTTGTTATGTTTTGCAGCCGACTAACCAAAAACTAAAACAGACCCTAACCGCTTTTGCAGAGACTGCTTGGATTGAGAGAGCAATTTTCTTAGTTTTCCCTAATCATACACAAACACACTGCTGCGTTTTAAAAGCACTCTGAACTCACTTCTATATTAATTTTTAAAAAATTCTTGCATTAGATATCTTTGGATATGATGGTCTAACTATCAGATCAGAAGGTCACCCTGCTGATTAGGGATTATCAAAAAGATTTTTCAGTGCTACACTTATTTAAATCATACTGAGTCCTTATGTAGCTAAAATGAGCACATTTAGGGAACCAATGGGGAAATTATAGTCTCAACATGCTCACTTTAATATCATTCTCATGCAAATATTGAATCTGATGACAAATGAGACTCAACTTTTGTCAGAGCACAATTTAGCATGGTGATAAGAGGAAAAAATTCTCAATGTTGAAGTATTTTGGGATTTTAATTCCAGTAAAAAAAAAAAAATGTCTGTCTGTGCCCAGCCCCTAGATTTATCCCTCTTTTGTGGATGACTACAGAGACGATTCATAATTTTATCTACTGTCCTGCTCTGCCCTGCCCTGCCTCCTACCCCCACCCCCACCCTCTCTCTCAAAAGCTCAATGAACAGCTGCAAAACAGAGGAGACCCTGCAAAGGTCAGCTGCAAGGAAAAATTTGAGAGGAGCCAAGAGTAGACTCTTTGGTGAGCAGCATTTGTTAGCAGTTGTTACTGATGCAAACTTGTCCTTATTCTTAATACTCAGTTTTATGCTACCTAGAGTATGGCTCACATACATGCAGATCACGTCATTATTGAATTATACTGCGAGAGCTTTGAATGTGATAAAAGTGCATATCAATTATTATTATTATTATTCAGTTGTTGTAAAACGTGACTTTTGTTCGAATAGATATTTATCTAAAGATCCAGTTTGTTAGTCTTTTAACCTTCCTCCAGTGGTAACTTTTACTACGCACCCACTATGTTAAGAGTCAGTTGAGACCCGTGTCTTTAATCAGCTGTAAATTACACTAAAAACAATTCTCTATCATCCAATGTGGTTCTCATCTCTAGGTTACCTTGTTAGGCTTCATTATCCATGAAAATATTGCAGATAATATTTTTGTTGTGGTTCTCTGGGCCTTTCTTTGTAAGTATACCCTTTATACAGACATTTATACTGAATTGATCTCACATGTCTGGACATGCCTGAGGCTTTTTTTTTTTTCAGGGAAAAACATGGCAAAATGAGAATTTCCTAAATCTCACATGACTGGAAGAGGATCTGACTGTAAGTGTGGTGCCTGGCAGTGAACATATGATTTTAGTTTTTGCTCTAATTATTAGATATTATTCTAACCGGGTCAACAGCGACCCTAACACGACAAGTGTCATGTTCATGATTTAGTCAAAGTTGGACTCCTGCTCCTCCCGAGCTGCAGTTACTCAACATGACCAGCAGGTAGCGCTGCGCGTTGTAAACAGGTCTGCTGTGGGACTGGCTTCCTTAGTTCTCCATTTTGTATGTTTTTCCTGGAGGTTAGCGCCTACTTTCCCAATGGTTAGCTGCGAATCTGTTTAGCTCATCCAGTCCAACGCAGTTTTCAAGACAATTTACAACAGCGTCGAACAAGAAGATCGTGAGCTCATCGGAGCTTGTCGTGTGAGGTCGTTTCCTCGAGCCATGTAGCGAGGACAGGGCGCGCGAGGAGCCCCGTTAACAAACATTGAGTCAGTGTTGCGTGTTGTGGACTGACACTTTCAACCAAAACAATGTTGACAGACGACCTGTGGACACATACCAGCAATCAGTCACTTCAAGGGTAAATATCTGCTTCTATTTACATTTTACTCGATATTAATTTCACCCAAGGTCATATACAGCGACGTTGTGCATTAAACGTCAAAAAAGTCTAATTTAACGTGCAGTGTTTGTTAGCAGGCTAACATTGTTGTGACGACAGTCGTCTGAAATGTAGGCACGTAGCATTAACTGCTACCTAGCATTAGCATGCCAACAGTTAGCAACAAGCTAAGGTTAGCCTACATAAAACTGAATACTTCCGCGTCCACGATAGAAAGTCGAATCTGTGCTGTCCGTGTTTATTTTCTCTTCTGTGCATGTATGAATTGATAAGTTTGTCTTATAAGGTGCGAAAATTTGCAAACGGCAATAACTGCCACCGTTAGCTCTGTAGCGTCGTTAGCTATCAAGGGCGCGCAGGGGAGCACGCTTGGCAACTTTCTATACTCTTTTACTAACCTCATGTTTGTTAATTTGGTCTCTACATTTGCTCCTAATGTAAACTAAATAAATTATAGTAAATTATGACGTGGCCTGCTAATTCGTTTTATACCGTGTGTCTACGCACTCTACCATGTGTTGTCTGTTAACATTCTCTGTCGTCTGTTTCCCCCCTTTAAAATAAAAAAAGATGGATAAAGGAGGAGTGAAGAAGATCATATACAGAAGAGATGACCATTTAAGCAAACTGGTCTACACTGAAAGTCCTGAGGAGGGAGGTTTGTTAAAAGTGGCTCCTCACAGTGCCATGTCCATCACCTCTGCCACATCTGTCGTTCTTCCATCCAGCCCGTTGATGCAGCCAGGACAGGTACCTAACGGTCTCAGCAACAGCCCCCTTCCAGTGGAGCTCACCTCTGTCACTGCCACCGTTAGCACCTTGTTAGAGGATCCAGAATCCAAGGGCCTGACCAAAGATCTGAAGCCTCATCAGCAGCTGCAGATACCGACTTCTACTTTATTAGGGCGTCAAACCCTGAGGGAAAATTTGCCCCATTTGGAGGCCAGTATAACAGACATTACACCATCCTCCATGGATTCACTTATCGGAGGATCAGACCCCAACTTCTTCCACATGAAAACAGAGGATTTCTCCATGGATAAAGGAGACCAGGACCCCATTGACTTCGATCATGCCTTTGAGCACATTGGGAAAGATGTGGACGTGAACCAGAAACTGTTCAGTGACAACACTCTGGATCTGCTCCAAGACTTTGAGTTGACCGGCTCTCCTTCAGATTTTTATGTAGGGGATGACGCTTTCTTATCCTCACTGGCAGATGATTCTCTGCTTGGGGATGTAAGCTCAGAGAGGGACATGAAGTCTGCTACTGTTGAGAGTGTTAACAGCAGCGGGGCAGCCTCTGTTGCTCTCAACGGCAGCAATATGACAAGTCCAGATCAGCCCAGCATATCCACAACCACCTCTCCAAACCCTGCAACCAATTTGTCGGCTTTAGTGAAGAAGGAGAAAGAAGCTGGCTTCATACAGCTCTGCACCCCAGGTGTGATCAAACAGGAAAAGACGGCTAAAAGCCAGAGTTATTGCCAGATGAGTGGTGCGACCCCCATAGAGATACCCAGCTCTAACCCCATCTCCATCTGTGGGGTCAGCACTTCAGGAGGACAGAGCTTCCACTTCGGGGTCAACACTGGCAGCAGTGAAACTCAGCAGCAGAAGAGTCAGAAGTCAGTGTCTAACCTGTTTCTCCCAGTGACAACCATCAGTGCACCCTGGAACAGAGGCCTGCCTGCAGGAGACAACAGGGGCACCAATGCTTTCTCAACCTCTCCCTCCATCACCGTCGGCTTTCTCAAGTAAGACAAGTATTCAGTACTCAGCTATCTGGCCTGACCTGACATTTCATTGTAGTATTCATAACTTAAGCTTCTGTGTTTGTGTTGATCCCAGTTATGTCTTTCCCCATCTTCTGATGCATCACCACACAGCAGATTTTCTCTGCTTCAAGTTCAGGGGCGTTCATCCTTATCTTTGAGGCAGCACTAGAAAATCCCTAAATATGCAAGGTCATAGCCACAAATTTTCCGACCATTGGCAGCAACAATGATGAATCCTTTAATAAGTCAGCAAATTTAGAAGTAGCTCATTTAAGTGGCTATAAGACTGAATTGTTAATCAAGAAATACATTTGCTAATTTAGGCTTCTTAAAAGTTTTGTCTTTACTACATTCATGAAGCAAATCCAGTTAAATCGACTTAAACTATTCAGCTGATTTACATCTGAAGAAGAGAGCAGTCATCTTGAATTATCTGAGAGATATTTTTTAGTGATGCTATCATTTCTTCTATTGTTGGAGTGTGTCTGACTAGGGGAGTGTCTTTGTGGGACTGAGCTTTTGTGACATCTGCAGCGTGAGCACAGAACTGATGGTTAACATGTAGAGTTTTGTGGCCACAGGTGCTCACTGACAGGGAAAATGTCATTAATTAAAACTGCTGTCGTCGTGATTTTAGTTCACTCTGCTTCATATATTAATTCTGTTTGTTACCATTTGCTAGGAAATTGTTTCGTAGGTTCAGGGTTCAGAAATAGAGACAAAGAGCAACATATTTTCAAAGCCTCGGTCAGCCCACAGTTCTAAGGCTACCTGGGCCTCACTCGCCCCTTAAGCAGCAGCAGTTGTCATTTTTAGACCTGACCTTGAAAAGATTATCATCATATGCTCAAAGTATCTGTTCGTTTTCAGCCCTGGCTTGTGGTATTTAAAACTCCATTCAGGCTTTGTTATCAGGATTCATAAAATAAACAGTGTCAGATTTTGAGTAGAATAGATAAAACAATAAAAGTGCCTCAATAAAGAAGCTTGATCAAATAGCTATATGCATAACCAAAAGAGTGTAGTTTAATACTAAAAATTAAGCAGAATTGATATGCAGCACTTAAAACAATATTATTATTATTATAGCGATTGAAGCCCCCTACTTCATAAAGTGATTGAAACACTTGTTATTTATAGTCCTCCTCTGTTCATTCTCATATGGCCACATAACCACACTAAAGCCCTCTTTAAAAACTACATATCTGTCACAGTATAAACAAAGTGATTCTACTGGTTGTGAATGCATCTTTCTTCAGTGTCTTTACTTTTAGGCACCAGTTCAGAAATGAGAACTGGTCTGACAGATGAAGAGGTGGACATGTTATATGTTTCGATAAGCCAAAATGAAAACTACTCTTTGCAAGTTTGGTTTGCGGTGTTGAGTTTCCATGGCAATGGAGCTTGATTTGAAACTGAGCCTTCACGCTGAGACAAAAATGGATGGTTTAACCCCTGGGTCGGTTTGTTAACCCTGCAATCCTGCTTTGTTGGCAGGATTGTGGACTGTGCAGGACAGGACTGGAGCAATAATAAGTCAAGGACTTGGTCTGAAGAAAGGATGTTTTGTTATCTGGCTAGGGGAATTCCGCTTTTATCCAAGGCAGACATTAAGGTTTTTTACCCTCTGAGCAAGCACGCATACTGAAATTCTTGTATTGTTTTTTTTTTTTCTGTTGTTTTAGATTAATAGACTGTTGGTTGCTTGTCCACTCGGGCTGTTGATGTGACCATAATCTCCCAATAAATCTTAGGGTCCACATTTTTCAGTTGAAGAAGGTCTGTACCTTAAAGGGGCAGCAAAGATGATTAGAAGTGACTGAATTGTAACCTTTACATAAAAGTCTGCACATTAAGTTTAAGAGAAAGAAAATCATGTGATACTTGTCTCAGTGACCTCCTCATATTATTTTGCTACTTTCCAGTTCAGATGATAGAGTATCAATAAGAGTATTTTAACTGTAAACAGGCCCGTTGAGTATCTGTTATAATGTTCTTGCTTTGCTGCCCTGAAGAGTTTTATGGCTTCAGCTGTGGACGTGGTCTGTGATCCAGTCATGAAATGGCTCAATGGAAATTCGTCACAACAGTGGTGCGACAGGGTCACATGTGACAGAGGCTTTTTGTTTGTGTCTCTTGTACATTCTCACTTATCTGATTAATAGTGTGTAATGAGGGAGTGATCAGCTCAAAGATTGGCACGCAGAGGTTTATGACTCCAATAAGGGCACCGATGTGTGTTTTATTCTTTGTGCATATGAGGCTCGGCAGGTACCATTCTGATGACTGTCCAAGAGTCATATGAATGCTTGCTGACCAGGAACAGATGGAGAGAGACATGAGATACACCTCGCATTCATTTCACATGTGGCTTTAATTGCCTTGTCTTTGTGTTCCACTGAGGTGTGTTTGAGCACATGACTTGTATTTGTGTCAGTGGTTTGTGCCCAGTTGATTTTGTGTGGGTGTTTTGCTGTTTGGTGATTGGCTTGTCGGTGTCTAAACTTAGCAATTCTCTGCGTGTGTCTCCTTAGTGAGTGGGAGTATGCCTTTGTTTGGAGGCTGTGCGCCTCAACCTGTGTGACATTTAGCAGCTCACCTAATGCTGGGCTGCACTGGCGTGCTGGTTGTCAGGCGGGTTTGCATCAGGTCACCATCACGTTCCGCCTCTCACGCAGCACTGCTGCTGCTGCTCCCTGCTGAGGCTCAGAGGGCCTCACATGGCTCAAGTACTGACCTACAGTTGCCTCACAGTTTGCTGCTTTGCACTTGATCTTCTTGTGTTCATCAAGGTGTGACTGCTAACATAACAAGTTGTCCAAATCAGGGGCGCTTTATCTTTCCAGTCACAGTTCTACAATCAGACTCTTTACTGCAGTCTGACTCACAAACCTTTTACACAATGAAGAGTGCAGTGTTCATCCTTTTGACAGCTGCTTTGATTCATCATTTCTTTATTAATAGTGGAATGCACCAAAAGAAAATGCAAATATCAAGTGAAGGAAAAAAGCAGAAACATTATTCCTGTGGTAGAAAATCACACGACTCATTCTGTAACGCAGCTGATTTTTTTAGCATGATATTCCCTCCTCTACTTGTGATTGGCTGAGCCCACAGAGATCACTTCATATTGCAGGTCACATGTAATGACTTAGCCATACATCCTGCTGCTGAGTTAAGCCTATACTCCATTGTGTTTCTCAGTGCTCTTTGAGTGTCAGATCTATAAAAATGTTTTTTATAACACACACAGCAGGTTACTTGAATGTCCAAGGGGCTTTTAGCTCAGTTAGGTGTAATGAAGGACTGTTGTTTGCAGGAATAAGCCAGCATCCTCACTGAATAGAGCTGTTCTCACCTCTCACACTCAGACAAAGCGATATTCTGTTGCTCCAGCATCTTGTGTTTCCTTTATGTGTATGTTTGTGAGTGATTTACGATTCGGGTTTTCACGCAAATGGATGATGATTCATTCAGACTTTGAAGCTTTTACATTTTGATGAGATTTATTCAGGACTTGAATGGAGTTTACCCTTTTATTCACCAGAAGTAGCCTTTCATTCTCTGTCTTGTCAAGGAAGATGTTGATAAATAAATACAAGCCATCAACATCGACTGGTGAATTTATTGACAAAATGAGACGCCGGCTGCTTTTATAAACAATGCATTGATATCAAAATTTGAACAAAACTACAGAGCATTAACCAGTTTCAGCACCCTATTAGAAATAGACCAATTTATAAGCTGTCCAATTTCTGTGCCAAATATTTTCCATCCACATTTCTCTTTTAAGAAATCATCAAGTTTTCTTCTCATTTGTTTGTATAAATTAACTGTAGTGTTATTTCAAGCAAAACAACACATTGATAGCATTATATAGTGGGGCTGGACGATTACGGCAAAAATAATAATCACAAGTGTTTTGATTGGTATTAAAATCACGATTGATAAAGACTATTATTCATTCAAAATTTGAGTATTTATTGAACCACCCGTTAATCGGCTGTGCGATCGCTGACTATAACTTGTTAATGCTAATACTCGCCGCACGCATGCTATGCGGTGCAGCGCCGATATCTGTGCACATATACTGATACGTACGAGTCCAGGTTAGAGCCACGTAAACAAAATTAAAAAACGTTTATTTAGCCGTGGTGGTGTGCCACGATCAATTGCACATAGGGGAACCCCTGAATTTGGATGTGTTGCCTTGGGGAGCAGACACAACAGCGTGACAACATTTGCACACAATTTCCTTTTCCTGGACGTCTGTCAAATTGAAGCCAAAATGGCTCTGAAGTTGCCCTACTTTTCTCCTTAACCAAAAGCAGCCTTTCTGCCATGTTTTTAATCGCTCGCTCCTCATATTATTGATCCACACATGTCACCGTGCTGCAGCTGCACGTAACAGAGGTGAATTCAAGGGGTTTTCCCAGCACAGGAATTTACATACACTGTTTACACTGTTACACACATACACACATTAATCGTCTTTCTTCCATCATAATGTTTTTATGATCATAAAAAGGCAAAATCGAAATTATGATTAAAATTCGCTTAATCGTCCAGCCCTACCATATAGCTAGCCTGGCTGGGCCATCCAGTTGCGTGAATCACTTGCCGTTCTTTCCCACAACAGTCTGGACTTCGGCCAATTGGGAGCGTGTATTAGAAATCAGAAAATAACCGGGCCAATCAGTGACTGTGTTTCCACTGTTCCTCTGACAACAGTGAAAGGTAGCCCCTGATTGGTCCTTGTGTAGATGGTGCCGTCTAACACATGCTGCGGGACTTTTTAAAGCGCCGTTCATTCAGAACGCCGTTAATCCTGGGGTTGACTTTGCAAAGTCGGCAGAAATCATTTATGTCCGCAGAAAAAGACGTAAAAGACATTGTTGAAATATTACCAAACTTTTACTTGATGCTTGAGAGCCCAGCAGGGAACACAGTTGCGCACTGTGATGACGTCAGATGTTTGGTTACGGTGATTGGTTACAGTAGTCTGTCTATCAAGGAAAGTACTCCCGCCCACTTTTAGGGCTCCCAATTGGCCGAAGTCCAGACTGTTGTGGGAAGGAAGTGATTCACGCAACTGGATGGCCCAGCTAGGCTACCATATGGCATTATTAGTATTGGCTCTGACTGTTTAAAAAAACTGATACCATTCGACCACTACTTCCTACACATGATGATTTAGCTTTTGCCTTGAGATAACCTTAGTAATATCTATTTGTCTTAAAACTGTTGGTGAGCAACTCCAAAGAAATGTTGTGCATTTGTTTCACTTGTATCTTTGATCTGGAAAAACGTCTGTTCGCTGCAGCCCTTATTTGAGCCAACTTACTGATAGGAGATACAAAACCTGATCTGCAGTAACTCTGGCCAGCCAGCCAGCCCAGAACCTGCTGTGCAGTCAGACCTGAGCTGAATGATGTAGTGCCCAGGCAAGTTTAGCCACACAGTGTTTCCATTACTTTAGTAAAACTCCAGAATATTGAGTCGACTCTGGGAAATAACAGCGAGTCACTGCTGGTGAAATCCATGAAACTATCTACTAGACATATCAAATCAAATCAAACCTTATTTATGAAGTGCTTTTCATACAAAACGATGTAACACAAAGTGCTTTAGAGTCATTTTAAAAACCAAAAACAATGTTTGGGAATTGTTTGTCTGTTGGATTTCCTAGATTTAACACCACTCTTAAAGAACTTTAAAATTATGACCGTTTTGCTAAACATCTGTGACACTAATCTTTGTTCTGCATCCTGTTGTTGGTATGTAGGCATGAATACTTCTTTCCCACGTGGCGATTGTGATGGCTGAATGGCTTTCTGAACTTTGAAACTACTTGTTGAATGTGTTTCTTGAAGTTTCTTCGTGACAGTAAAAGCCTGGTCAAATCGATGTATGATAACCGGTTACCACACCTTGCGGTGTATTAAGTAATATAAGTGTTGACTGAAGGGATTCAACAATTAAGACCAGTGATGAAGCCGGTGCTGATCAAGCCAGCATGGTGTTTCTCACAGCTGTCAGAAGTCTCCGCTGTGGTTTGGTGCTTTATTTGACTCGAGTCGTTTGTATTTATCTTTATATACAGCTGTGTTTATTTATATAAGGTTTATATTTAGTGTATGAACAGGAACAGCTCTCAGTTTGACTTGGGACATATCCCTGGTCAGTGTTTTTGTTCACTTCACAGTCTTGTATTGACACACCCATCACCTCTTTGCCCAACTTGCCCATCCCCTCTCTCTCTCTCTCTCTCTCTCTCTCTCTCTCTCTCTGTCTCTGTCTCTCTCTCTGTCTCTCTCTCCTCTCTCTCTCTTCCCTGTCCTGTTTTTGCTTCCTGAAACTGAGGGCACGGACATTGACTGTCAGCAAAAGCTTTCAGCTGTTGTAAATCACAATTTTATGATATTCCTACTCCGTGCATATGGTATATATGTGTGTTTGCTTTGTCCATTATGCGTTAGTGTGTAAGTGTACACGTGTGTGTGTGTGTGAGAGAGTGTGTGGGTGTGTTATAAGTGCTGGGGCAGCCAGGACCACAGAACGCTGCTGCCGAGCTCACACTCTCCTGACCTACTTTCCCTCCCGCCTCTCCACAGCTGGCGCCGAGTTAACACACCAGATCAGATGCCAGCCATTCCAGTCGCTTTCACTTTATTACCGCATTCTCCTGTAGCCGCAGTTTTGCCCTTTCTTTATTTAGATATTTTCTGTGTTTTGGCACAAAATGGGCCATTAAAAATTCCCTATACTCCCTTTTGAGGTTAAGAGGATGTAGCTTAGTCTGTACAGTGTTTTTGCCCCTCCTTTTGACTTTTGTGTACAGTTGTTGAGTCAGCAAAGCCCCAACTTTGGGAGTGGGCTCTTCCCTCATCTACTGTATCCAGCTAAAGGAATTATGGTAATGCACACTGTAGCAGCAGAAAGCCTTCAATTTATGTCACAGGCAGGAGGCCACCTCCCACCTCCACACAAGTCATTAACGGCTCTTAAAAAAAAGCTAATATGGAAAGTCAAACCTCTGGGTGCTGTTTGCTATTTTTGCCTAGCCAGGGTTCGGTTTATTCTCCTCATGTGATGTTTGGAGTCAAGCCCTGGACTACAAAATGTAGATTTTATTGAAGGTGATTTATTAGTGCAGCAAGAGGGTGGGTACAGCTTCTCCTTGATATCAGGGGCACAGAGGAATCATCATGTGTAACAGTTAGGGTTGTCAAAACTCTCACTACATGATTTTACTGTATCTACATTATGCCATGTTTATTTAGCAGCATGGCATTTGTTTAGTCTGGCTGGTGTTGCTCTAATGTCACCTACTAACAGACATACCACTGTGTGTTTGAAGTAGAGGTAAGGGAGGGGAGGCAGATATTCTGGAAGAGTCCATCCCAGTTCTTAGCCAAACAAACCCGGTCTCTTCTCTCTGTTGTTGTTCTGCGTGAAAGAATGATTCAGTGCGTGCAGACCAGTTCCCTTTTCTATTTTGGTGGCTCTTAACCTCAGGGAAGGAGCACTTCCTTCTGCTCCTCTTTTGCTGTCTTCTTCACGCCCACATGAGTTTTGATGAAGATGGGGGGCTGTTCTGAATCATTATTAATCATAGTCCATGGTTTTAAGTCTAAAAGTCTTTGTGAAGAAGATCTTTTCTGTGTTTTAATAACTTTCATTTAGGATCTTGACCTTAAAAACAGCCAATTAAACAATGTAACTGTGCCTATTTTTATCTGTGACGATGACTCATGTCCTGTGGCTGGTCCCGAAGTAGGTGAAGTAGCTGACTAATGCGTATTATAAATGCACAGAATAATTTGTTGCCCCAACAACAATTAGAAAAGGTTTGACTTGTGTTGATCTAACTCTTAGGCCTGCTTGTCTGGACTAACAGAGAACCTACAGAGCTGGGGCCTGCAAAGCCACTCGTGACACTCTCAGCTAAAAGGGGATTATGAATTGTTAAGCAGGGCACTGGGCCACTGGCATTACCGTAAGTGTGTGAAGTGGCTTGCCTCATTAAAACCCAAGCTGATTGATCATACTCCCACAGACGTAAGCAGTTCACTTCCTCAGTGTTGCTGTTGTTGAAGTCGAGGCCCACCTCAGGGTGCCTCTGCCTCTGCTGCCTTTGCGCTGTGGCTGTGGTTGTGCTCTGACCGATAATAAACTCTGAGGGAATGTGAGTACTTCCTGTCGATGGCGATGCTTCATTTCAACAGATGGTTTCAGAAAGAGGAAATTCGGTCTCTCTTCATTGCTCTGCAGCTTTGATTGTCTCGTGTCTGACAGCCCGCAAAAGCAGAATGGTTGACGCTTGTCTCATGGTTTAGCTGAATGTCATCGACCTCTTTTTTTTTTTCTTCTTTAGAGTTTGTTAAAAAGAAAAGACAGTGAATCTAATAACATAGCTCAAGGCTGAGTGTTATTTTCTTTGAAACAGATAGTGGCCACGGTAATTGGATTTGACCCAATAGCCTAAAGTCCTCCGGTAAAGCTGTCCTGTTGACACCATCCCAGTGGGCCAATGAAGCGCAAACTGGTTTCCCTGCCACACCCCCTGACATCATCATCTTTTTGACCTCATTATCCTCCTCCAACTACCCAGTTGACCACCACGCCCTCTTGCTGGGGCTTGGAGGCCTTTTGTGGGCCTTCTGTATATATATCTGTGTGCTCCCTTAGCCCTTTGTAAAGAAAATCCCACATAAATCTGCATGAGTGACAGATGGCGGCCAGTTACATCATCACAGCAGCAGCAGAGCTTTTATATGAGTATTAGCTGCCATGTGTTCCTTCACCCAGGCTCCAGTTATTTGTGTTTATTCAGGGATTGTTGAGTGTAAGGGTGAATATTTAGAGAGGCTCATTGTGACATAATTCAAATAGAAATATAAAATTGACCCGCTTGTGCTCAGAATTTCTTCCAAGAAAATGAATGTAAGCTGTAAAGGATTTGAGCATAGTATGAGAAAATTTACACAGCTGCATGGCTGCAAAGATCCATTATTTTAAGGCGATCCTCCCTGTAAAAGGACTTTGAGCTGCATTAAGTTCTATTTTAGTAAGCTCAGGGCAATGGGTCAAGTTGTAAACACAAAATTACATTATTTTCACTTTCACTTTGAGAGCTTTTGAAGCCAGTTTTTAGTAACATTTATTCTGGCAGTGTAAGACCTGCCTGTGTTGACTCTGCAGTTTTTCCTCCAGATTCTGTTCAAAGTCTACATTCATGCATTGCAAATATTCATAAGTAAAGTTCCAGACGTGCCCATTCTCTGCCCCACCTCTAACCTAATGCCTCCTGCATTGAATCTGCCAAAGGAAAAGTGTGGATATGTATTGGTTGATGTTTTATACTGATTCTTGTATTTTAGCTTCTTTCTTTCACCTACGGCCTGTACCTATAAAGACATTTTCTGAGTTGGCTCTGACTGGGCAGTTTTACCAAATAGAACTATTTTCTCCACCTGAATTATATATATTACTGATGTCCTCTGCCCTTTTCCCCAAACAGTCAATCCAGTACAAAGAAGTCTCAGTGTGAAAACTTCTGTACTCTGCTAAGTTAGTCCAACATGAAGAGTGCATCCTGGGAAAGTTAGAAGTCTACCAACAACACAGCTAAATCAAGTGCAGTAATTTGAATATCAGAATAAGCTCCAGCTCAGTATGCTCTGGATCATGCACACGCTCCAGGTTCTTTTCACACTCCATGTGAGTCCCTGTGATTTGGATTCTTGCAGCTCCTCAAATGCATAATTTGCAGCTGCTGAACATTTGATAATATATATGATATCTTCTCCCCCACCTAACCCATAAATATATCAGTCAAATGGCTTTATGCTGAGAGACACTGATAGACAGGTGCAGCTCAAAAATATGTTACATATGTTATGTTACAAATCTGTTATAAGGTCCACTTTGAGGTATTTTTTCATTGGATGCAGACTTAAGTAATTCTAGCCTTTAACCATCATCAGAAATCCAAGATCTCAAATTATGAGAATATTTAAATTACATTCACTTAAAAATGTCATTTGAAATATAGAAAGTATCTTCATCTGCCGATCAGCCTTCAGCTCTGCGTAGGTGTTATTTAAGCTCATATGACTGACTGGGGCTTCTAGTCTGTCTCTGGTCTGGTCTGGCCAATCAAGCAGAGCAGTATTGTAGTTGGTAAACCATTTGAAGTTGTGGCCTTGTGAGCAGGTGCTAAGACCTGCTGAGTTGGGGATCTTCAGGGATCACTAAGTTCAGACATGGACTCTTTATTAGAAAAAGTGTTTTCAGTTTAACAGTTGAGCATATTCACACCTCAAACTTTGTCTATTTGAACCTGCTAGATTTCACATATGCCCAAAGTTTCACCCCTGGTGGATTACAGATGGATTGGGGGGGAAGCTTTATCAATGAACACTCCACTTTGTGCTCTCTTTCCTCTGTTGACTCAAAAAAGGAGCATGGTTAGGTGCTCTGAGGTGTAAATTACAGCTGTAAGCATAGATGAGTACAAAGAAACTCAAGGGAAAGAAGCCCATAGACTATCAGCACATGTTTGTGTAAAATAGGCAGACTTATTGTCCACAATATGTTGTCTCTGGTGTCCTGTCATGACGAGACATCCTCTCCCTGATCATTTTCATATTTTTTTACCCAACTGCCTCAGAACTTGATGCTTTGATGTTTCACTCTGATTTTTCCCATCCTGCCACATCCACTGACTGCTGGGGCCTGGCCTGCTTTCATGCTAATACCCTTGTGTTATGTAACCAAGAGTGAACTTGGCTCCCTGGCTCAAATCTGCATACGTGCATGTATGCACCATGCAGTGACAGCTGAGCGCAGCCCTTATCAAACACAACTGTTTGTTTTTGTTGGGGTGGCAGACTTGGGCAGACTTGGGCAGACTGACACAGTTGTTGCTGGTTTCAGCCACGCTGTCCTTTCAGTGTGGGTGTTGTTGTTGTTGCTGTTTCCACTGGGTAAGAAAGGGGGTGTGGACTTCTGGCGCATGGATGCTGCAAAGCCTGACGTCCTCTAGTGGTAGCTTTATAAAAGTGCAGTTCTTACCTCGGTTTTTCTCAGGGTCTGGAAACATTTGTGGTTCAATCAAAGGAGAAAGACGGCTGTTTCATGACAACCACTAAATTTAGGATGTGACCACAGATCTTCAGATCATTTTTGCCTTTTAAGGCCCAAAAAAAGGCACAATGGCCTTACTTATCTTTTTCATGATGTCAGGAATGAAGGCAGTCTTGAGAAAAAAGAAGCACAAGGGACACATTGACTCTGACAGGAGTAGCAGTATGTATGTGTGGTGTATGTGTGTAGTTTGTTTATTTTAAGTTTGAGTGCTGTGCTGTAAATCTGAACTACACCTGAACCCTCAAAACTCAGAGGATACTTTCAGCAGTCGGCACAGGCAGTCCACATGTTATACAGTAGACACAGTGTTTCTCATGTGTGTGGACTGAAACCCTTATGAAGCGATGTTATCACTTACAGTCCTTTCATGTAACGCTTATTCTTCAGAAATGAGTAGTCAGTATTTGTAAGTGATGTTTTGCTGTGTCAGTAACATGTAAGTATGTTTTCATGCTTAAAGTGTCCTCTGCCCCACCCCGATGCATTGGAAAACTAAATATTTACAGTTAGCTGTAGTCAATAAACATTTTCTGTTTAACTTTAAGGTCTAGAAAATGCAAGGAAGCATATCCATCCTCATAAAACTCTCAGAAAAATAACCGTTTTCTTTAAAACCTGCAATATTTACTTCCATGTTTACTAGCTAGATGTTTTCCTGCCTCTACTGGCTGAATATGTGGTTCGCCATCATCAGTAAATCAGCGGAAGAGTGCAGCATTATAGACAGAAATGCCAAGAATGACAAAGTAGTAACCCACTCTTTGAGAAACAGCTCCACAGTTGCACGAGGGGAACAAAAACTCCTCAGGGAACCTTTTCAGAGAGACTGACTATCCCTGACATTTCTCTCTTCTGTTCCTCTTCCAGACAGGAATCCGGCACAGCTGCACCCACTGCACAGGGAAAGAGCGGGACTCATAAAATCTGCCTGGTGTGCTCCGACGAGGCTTCAGGCTGTCACTACGGCGTGCTCACCTGTGGCAGCTGCAAGGTCTTCTTCAAGCGAGCAGTGGAAGGTACCATGACATAAGTGTTTCTTCTCTTATTGTGATAAGCTTGTTGATTCTGAAGCTGTGTCACATGAGTTCACTCAAACATGGAGTCATTATGATCTTAACTTTGAGGCAGGATCGTATGTGTGGTGCATCTAATTAGTTTTTTTTTCTTCTCCCTGGAGTGTTAGTTGCTGCAGTGAAGGTAAATAACAGATTAATCTTCCTCTTCTGTGTGACACAGGGCAGCATAATTACCTGTGTGCTGGGAGGAATGACTGCATAATAGACAAAATCAGGAGGAAGAACTGCCCAGCCTGCCGTTTCCGCAAGTGTCTGATGGCAGGAATGAACCTGGAAGGTGAATATTAACTGCTCAAATATCGCCAAACTCTTCATCCTTGAGTTGGTTTGATTCCTGTAGCATCTCATTTACCTTTATTCATTTTCTTTAACTCTTTCCTTTATCTGTATTCCGTGTTTCTCTCCTTCTAGCACGCAAAACCAAGAAGTTGAACCGCTTAAAGGGCGCCCAGCAGAGTAACCCACCCGAGCTTATTCCTTCTCCACCCATCGAGGCTCATTCACTCTTACCTAAGCGCATGCCTCAGCTTGTTCCCACCATGCTGTCTCTGCTGAAGGCCATCGAGCCGGACACCATCTTCGCCGGCTACGACAGCACCCTCCCTGACACCTCCACCCGCCTGATGACCACCCTCAACAGGCTCGGTGGCCGACAGGTCATCTCCGCTGTCAAGTGGGCTAAGGCTCTGCCAGGTTTGTGGTGTTCTCTGTCAGTAAGAGTAGGTGCAGCAGGTGTAGACTAGGTTTGGTGAACTATACAAAGTTTTTGTCGGTGTGATACATCAACAAAACAGTTAAAATAATGTAGAAAGGCTATATATATATTTTCTGTGCTGTTATTTATTGAAAATGACACTCAATTCCATTTTAACTGAGCTTTTTGTTTTTATTTGTCTTTATTTCCACATTTTTTTTGACTATTTGTCAAAGCACTTTGTAAACTTCTGTTTTTAAAAAGTGCTGTAAAAATAAAGTTATTATTATATTATGTTATTAATTTTGTTTGGTATTGCACAACCAAAATTCAGCCAGTGTGCATCATCAGGTTTTGTATTAAATCAAGAAACTGCAGGCATGAATATTTTGAGTACTGAGATGTCATACATTGCAGCAGAAATAGGGGATTTTTTTAAGCTAACAAAGCAGCAAAGCATCCAGCTTCCTCTAAGGATGAAATGATATTATGTAGACGACGAGTAGACACATTTGATAAATAGATCAAATAAGACCTCTTTGATTTGGTTACTTATTGTCCCTTTCCTCACCACACCCTCTCACACGTTGTGTCTGCATATGCTTCTCCTCAGGTTTCAGGAATCTGCACCTGGACGACCAGATGACTCTGCTGCAGTGCTCCTGGCTCTTCCTCATGTCTTTTGGTCTTGGCTGGAGGTCTTACCAGCAATGCAATGGCAACATGCTCTGCTTTGCACCAGACCTAGTCATCAATGAGTAAGTGTTAGGGATGTTCAGATCTGCCTTTTCTTGCTCCTGTCCTGCTTCAGATTTCATACTGGATACTTGAATTTGCCTTGGTAATAGAGCTGCACCCAATTGTTCAGGGATTGTTTTTCTTAATTGTTTCTAAAATTCAATTAGAATGTTTTCATCTTTTTCTAATTGAATGTAGTCTACCATTGGTGCACAGCTCTTATATGATCTTTTTTTACATTCTGTGTGAGAGCCACAAAACTGGTGTGCACGCTGCATTGATGCTACACACAACTTGAGGGTGTGAGATTCACAATGCCGGCGCCCAGATGCTAAGAATATAAATACTAGACGTTGATATTTTTCCATTTTCGTTCCTTTATTTATTTATTTATTCATTTTAACAAACCAGATTACATTACCTGATATGGATTACCTGCAACCAGAAACTGGAGGAATCAATCTAGTGTGCCTTGAGGCTCAGCACTGACATAAGACAAACGTCAAAGCTCCAAATGTCTGCTGTTAAACTAGAAGCTGTCACATTGTATTTGAAATGGCCTCATATATTGTCACAAGCTTAGACTGTACAGCTCTGGTATCTGGTAGTGGTGAGATGGCAGGACTTAGCTTTGATCCAGACCACAGCTAAAACCTGCACTCCTTACCACAGAAATAGTCTGGTCAGCATCCGTCATGTAATCTTTCTGGCTATTGCGCGCTCTCTCTCTCTCTCTCTCAAGGATACTTATTTCTCCTTCTGAAAGCCAGAGTTTGTCTCTTTGGAACAGCACCCTTTCCTTCTGATGCTTTGGTGAATACATAGGTGCAAGTTTAGGGGGGGGACACTTTTTGTCAGGGGTCGTTTTGTCTCCACTACACACAGATCCTTCACATGTAAGCCATTGTTAGTTGGTTACATGAAATAAGTCTACACATTTTATAGTAACAAAAGTAAAATCAATTATAGTCATTATCCCAAAGTCACTTTTGCGAGTAGCTGTTCCCTCACTTTTCAAAACAAACTGACGCCCTTGAGTGAACGTGTCATATTCCTGTGCATCTCTTCATAAAAGAAACTCTCGTGATATTACAGAGTATAATTTTTTTTCCCTCCATTAGTCAGCCAACATATAAATATGCAATCACCAGAGCGCAGCGGCTCTCCTCCGGGAAACATGAGTGTCAGTCAACAGTCATCCGTAATCAGTGTTTGATCCCTGTGATAGACCTGATGACTCCGTTTGTAAACAGCCATCTGAGTGTCATGAGCAGTCAGCACAACCACCGAGCTCCAGGCTGCAGAAGCCCTTTCGCTTTTTTTCTTTCTTTTTTTTTTGAACGTTAATGTGATCAGACATAGTATCTGATGATGTGATGTTTTTCATTTGTCAGTCAGAAAATCAAAACACACTTCATCTACAGCCTGTTTTTTCTACTTAATTACATTTTCATTTTAGTATAGCAGCACAATACAATCTCACACACTTTGATGAAAGTCTTCTACCTCTTATAAGGTTGTTTCATATATAATGGAAGCTCCTGGTGCCGCTGTTATTGTGAGGTACATTTTTAATGACATTTTCTCTTCACTTGAATGAAAAAGCAGTTCCTTGGCATCAATTTGACGAGTTTTTGCAAGTTTTTTCCAACTTTCCGGCCCACAACATCACTTCATCACCGAGGTGACACTGACTCGTCTTCTTAACGTTCTGCTCCAACAAGCTAATAGACTGAAACTCATTTCTGGAAGAATGATTTAAAACAGGATCCACAAGCAAGTCCTTGAATGTTTAATCTACAGAGATGTTACAGAGAGCTGCTTCATCTCCCTGATTGAGACTGCGACAGCAGACGTATAAATCAACTATGTCTTAAGGTGAAAGCAGGATAAGCTTTTTATAATGGCTTCTGTCTAACTCCACCAGGGAGCGGATGAAGCTGCCCTACATGGCTGACCAGTGCGAGCAGATGCTGAAGATCTCCAACGAGTTTGTGCGGCTGCAGGTTTCCCACGACGAGTATTTGTGCATGAAGGTCCTGCTGCTGCTCAGCACAGGTACGTCCTCCACCATCACATTTCATATGTAGCACTGTTTGTATAATGAAACCACTACAGACGCCATTACTCCAATCTATAAACAATAAAAGATAATGTTGGTTTACGCACAGGTCAAGACAGTGCAGCGCAGCACTTTACAAAATCATTAGCTGACATTGAACGATCATGAATAAGACCTGAATTCAAATAAGCCTGAGCAGCCGCACCCTAACCTTACACATTTCACCATTCCAGCTCTTACTGTCTTCACAAAACACCTTATGTCGTTTCCTAAGCTTAATCTATTGCTGGCGAGTTAAAGGTGTAAACAAAGAGTCAGTAATCATACTCTGATTAAAAACGTGTCTGGAACTTTAATTAGAGACGGTTTCATTACAGCGTTCTGTCTGAACAGCCCTCTTCAGGATGTTCAGGCTTTGTTCTTGAGGCTTTGTTTCCTGGGTCTGTGCTGTTTAATGTTAATTAGATGTCCTGATGCTTATCAATCAGCTGCCATTTTTAGCCCTTCACATGTAAGGCTTTAATAAACATGGAGACCCCACCCCTTTTTGCACATAAAAAAATCAGCCAAGGCAACAAATGTTTTTTTCATGTAAATACCACGGTGAAGTTAGTTTTAGGTTGGATATTTGACGGACATTCTCTGTGGATCTACCAGTGTCTTTTCACTCTCCATAACCAGGAACGGCAACAGCAGCACGGTTAAATCTACTCGGCATCCTCACTGTTAATGTCGGGTGTTGAATAAGGGACCATCAATAAATTACTGGTTGATGTTCTTAGAAAAGGCTGTTTTCCTTCAATAGCTTCCATGTCACGTGACCAATTGACCTAAAATTGTTTTCAAATAATACTAGGCTACTATGGTCAGACAAAAGATACTCCTCTTTATTTCCATAATGTGTCCTTAAAACGTTTGTGTTAAATTTAAAGGCAAATTTTGAACCTTTCCTTCAATAGCTTCCATGTCACGTGACCAAAAGACCAATAAAACACACATTATTTGATCAATTTGTATTGTGCCCCTAAAGTTCTCTGTGTGCTTCTTACTTTTTCAACTTAGGAGCACATGAGCTCCTTGTGAAAAAAGTTAGTTTCAAGCCCTGTAGTATGAAGTATAGTGTCGTTAAACTGTCATCATCAGAGCTTAGCTGTATCCTCATCTTTTGCCCAAATGTTGACCTTCTATCTGCCTCTCCTACAGTGCCAAAGGATGGCCTGAAGAGCCAGGCAGTGTTTGATGATATTCGGATGTCGTACATTAAGGAGCTGGGAAAAGCCATTGTGAAGCGCGAGGAGAACTCCAGTCAGAACTGGCAGCGTTTCTATCAGCTCACCAAGCTGCTGGACTCCATGCACGAGGTAACTCCCACGGCATCAGCACCACACATCATTATCAGACAGTTATTGACCATCCTCAGCTCAGCAAGGACATCACTTCTGCAACTTCTCAGTTTTATGAAGCTTTGAGGGTTTTCTTTTTTCTTTTGGTGCCAAAAACTATTTAAAGTTTAGAGCTTTAGAGCCAGAAATCACAGTGACACCTGGTGGACTCTCAAACTTTTAGCTGATTGATATAAAACTATATCCCGGGGTTCAAAAATCTTGTTGCAGAATTAACCTTGACCTAAAATGATGAAGCTGAAGTAAAAAGCAGAAATATAAACTATTTTTTCTGGCACTAAAAAAAGGGGGTTTTATTTCCAGCTAGTGTGAATGCTGTCTCGTGTTTAAAGCTTCATATTTGACATAATTATGATCATTGTAGTCGCAATATGAGGTTATTTGAGTTGGACGCTGGTATAAGATGAAAATGTTAAGGAGTGAAACTGAACGAAGCACTTTCTGGGAAATTTTAAAGTTAGGACATCTTCAGCCATGTGCTTTCATAATTGCGCCATCTCCTGCTTAGTGTATAGCAACAATGGGCTTTGCATTAATGCATCAAGCGAACCAGTGCCCACTCAGTTTGACATTTAAAATTAAACATTAGCTTTAACAAACACTCAAAACTCGTAGCTTTCTGAGCAAGTTGATGTAACGATATGAAAATTTCACATCACGATTATTGTGACCAAAATTATCACGTTTATCAATATCATCACGGTATTGTTGAAATATGTTCAAAATGTTTAAAAAGTACTTATATGAAATCATTTAACGTTTTATTTTGAAAAAACAATCAGCATAACACACAGAATAAACTTTTCCTTAACCTTAAATAACAGAGGAACGATAAGCTTAAAAAATTACAGATGGGGCCTTAAAAGAGCCAGAGGTAATCAACACTAGTGCTAGTAATAACAAAGTACAAAGTAATGTGCCAGTGGCATAAACATTAACATAATAACAAATAAATAACATTTAAATGAAATGACACCTTATTGTGCAAATCGTAAGAATCTTCAGTGCTCAAAAAGATCTACTCTTACAAATATAAAACAGAGCAACACAACTATATGAAACAAAACAACCTCATGTAAACAAATGTGTAGTGTACATGTTTAAAATGACATAAAATATATAAATAAATCAAATGAACCACACCGATTGGCCGTTTTCTCCACCATAAGGTGCTGTTGCTGACTGTGCTCACTATTTGAGATTGAAATGTAAAAATGTCAGCACATTTACTTCCCTAGTTTGAGTCGTGATCTGCGAGGGCAGTGGTTCTCAAGTCCAGTCCTTGAGGCCCACTGTCCTGCTCCAACACACCTGATTCAAATGATTAGCTCGTTATCAAGCCATTACAAAGCTTGATAACGAGCTGATCATTTGAATCAGGTGTGTTGGAGCAGGGAAACATCCAAAACATGAAGGACAGTTGGCCTCGAGGACTGGACTTGAGAACCACTGTGCGAGGGGAAACGATGTGCCCACTGGCGCTGAATAGCCTCTTGGATGGCACGCTGGTTGCTGGGATGCACAAAAGCTTCCTGGCAACCCTCGCAACCCTTTGTAGAGGCCGAAATGCACCCAGACTTCAGACTTTGTTTTCTTTGATGGCAGAAAAATCTCTGCAACACGGTCAGCAGAATTGCCCGCAAAACTGCCCTCCGCCATGTTTCCAATTTGTATACTGGACGGTTTTAACGGTAATTAAAATTTGAAACGGTAGTACTAACCGTCAGACATTTTACCACAGTTTATCATCTTACTGGTAGTCGTTACATCCCTAGCTTATAGTCAACTCTTGTCACTGCGTTTACTGTAAACCAGTTTCACATTGTTTTTATGAAGCATGTCAAAACACCAGTATTTTTTCCTCTGTGTGTTCATAGATGGTTGGTGGACTGCTCAACTTCTGCTTCTACACCTTTGTGAATAAATCCCTGAGTGTGGAGTTCCCCGAGATGTTGGCGGAGATCATCAGCAACCAGTTACCAAAATTCAAGGCCGGGAGCGTCAAACCCCTCCTCTTCCACCAGAGATGACTGTACCCTGAAACAGACACATTGCCTTAAATAATCCCACCACATCACCTCACTACCAGCCCCTCTTCCCCTCCCCACCGGCCCCCCACCCCCCTCCCTCCAGGAGTAACGATGAGAGGACTGAGGATCTGAGGCGAGGAGTCAGTGATGCTTATGGGAGCAAGTATGCAACTTTGTGTAAAGACTGGTGGCGTTTTTGTGGAGAGCTGAAAGCGAGCACAGAGGTTTTGTCGAGCGGTCTAAGACGTAGTGTGTAAGGAATAGGAAATGTTTGTAAGATAAGAGATAATCACAGAAAGAAATAGGCTAACATCCATGTCGTCTCAGGTTTCCTACCTTCAAACAGAACAATATCTCAAATAGATACACAAATATCTATGTATAGGTTCTGATAGTATTTTCTACATTTTCAAATCGTAACAGTTTATACAATTTTACAGATCGTCGTTACCAGGGAAGGTAGCAACATTTAATTAAAAACACGCTCTTATGTAGGCTTTTTGACTGTATGTTCCTCTTTGAGTTTTTATAGGCAGTTATAACAAAACCTTGTAGTCACACGGAAAATTAACTCTTTTCCACTCATTTAATAAGCATATGCCATTGCTTTGATTGATGCAGTGATCATAGGAAACAAATCTGTTGAACTGAACTCTTAGTCAAAGTGTATCATTCAGAGGATTATTTGTCCCACAAGCCGACCTCTTCCAGGTTTACACACGTCAATTATAAAGGGAAAAAAATGTGCCTTTTTTACTTCAAATATCATCTAAGTCATTTCTTCCTACGTGTCCGAGACGTCACGGTCGACCTGCATCACATGTTGATTGTACTTATGTTACATGCAGTTCAGAGTTTTCCTTTATTTTCTAATTAATGGCTGTGTTTGACTTTAGAAGTGGCAGCTCGGTCCATCCTCTGTGTGTAGAAACGATTCTTATCAAAGCCTGCTTCCTTTCACATGATTTCCCCGCACACCCTTCTCCTCCAGTGCGATGTGAGCACTTTGTATCCCGCTTAAGGCTTTAAGAGACTGTGAAGAAAGACTGTTAAACTGTACTGGGCTGTAATGTATGACTTTAGATGGAAGGTAGTGAACTTTTTCTAGTAGCCCACTCTGATGTTCATTTTAGCCCCCCACTCCTGCCCCAATAGTCTAATAATGGAATGTGATAGATAACCTGCGTCTACCAATCATAGAAGAGAGGGCATGTCGTATTGTGTTTAAAGATTATGTCATTTTTTTTGATTAATCAGGACAACTAATTTTTGTGTTTCTAACTCGGCTCAGACTGGTTGGAAAATAACCGTCCTTTTTTTAAATACTTTTTACAACCTGTTTTATAAAACTGACATACATGTAGTCATGACTCTGCCATTGATGATCCTTCTGAGACAGTATAACCACACACTCATTCACTCGTGATTTATAACCAAGAGTCTTTGCATTGTTTGCTTGTTACTGGAATATTTGAACATTTTGGGGAAAAGCTCATTTTCTTTTTGCCAATCATTGGATACGGATGTTAGAAATTTGACTTAGAACAAAAACAAAGAGTAAAAGCAATTAAATTTATGTTTGGCGCTATGTGCCCCAGTCTGCTGGTCCTGGTCTGTAGACAGTTGGGCACATAACCTCTCTGTAAATACTTTTAAATCACTCATAAACTCATAAAACTGACCAAAACTAATGGTATTGATTGGCTGTGAAGGTGCTACTGACCCGAGATTTTCACTGATCCAAGTTGGATTCTTGCACCTGCCTGTTTTTTGTTCTTCTGAGCAGAGCTGACTTACTGTAGGACAGTAGAAGAGCGGTCGTAGAAAGTAAATCTGCATATTTCCTCAAATGAAAAACTATTCCATCAAGTTAAACCACCTGGAAGTTAAACAGTTTTCTTATGCAGCAGTGTGGATAGTGTGAATAACTCAATCACCTAGGAACATCCCACAGAGCTCTGTTTTATCCTTTCAGCTCTTTCAAAGCCATGTATGCACCTTGTCTTATTGTCTATCTGTAGAACATTTACACACCTATTTGTATTAGTCCAGCCCCAATGTTGAAAAGCACTTAGCTAGCAGCAGTCACCTCACGCCGTCGTGTAGCAGTGGAAGTGTCGTGTCACTGACTCAGGAGGTGGGCACAGTAGCTCCTTTTATCGTCTGGGAACTATTTCAGTGCCGAACTCCTGTTCTTTGTTGGTGTCAGTGATGAGATAAGTCGGTCAGACAAACCCCACGTTTGCAGTTTTTTCCACGATTAGAAAACGTCTTCAATGACCTGAGCTTGAGGTCATTAGAAATGAATGATAGCTGTAACACAAGGCACTTACAAAAACAGAAAATTGTAGGTCTGAAGGTTTCCCCCTCTCTGTAGAAGAAGACTGAAACATTTTAATCAGTCATCAGCTTGTGTCACAACACCAACAATTTCGCGTGTGTGTGTTTCAAGCGGATGGTTTTGACACAAATGTGAACCTTATGAAGAGAGCTCGTTTAGCTGAAAAGAAACGCTTCTGACAGATTAACGATGTTGATGCCCTCTCAGGTTAAAATAATTGGATGATTATGTCAAGTGAGCACCAACAAAGAGTTTGATGGTGCGTATAAAAAGAAAAAAAAAAAATGGAAAATTGTTCAACAACACATCAAGCGCTTGTTCTAGATGTTAAGCCTCTCCCTTGCTCAGGTTATTGAAATCTGGTTTACGCATCATGTCTGTTTTTATGTCCTTACTTAAAGAACCAAAAGTTTGAATTAACGAAATCTGTCTGTCTTGATGTTTTTGTTTGTTTGTTTGTCAGGCAAAATGTTCAGGAGACAGATGTAGGAGAGGAATGTGCTGCCATGTCGTCATACACACTCAGACTAACAAAACCTGTCGCTTTTCCTGTTATGTTTAGTCAAAGTAGTTTTTAAAAAGAAACTATCTTCGTTAGCTGCAAAGGGGTTACTCATGGGTTACTTTCACATTCAGTACATCTAAATCTCTGCTGCTGCTGTTCATTCAAACAGCTTAAATATATATATAAGAAATCGCACACTTGCCTCTTCTTGCTCAAAAATGTATTTCTTTGTTCATTTTTGAGGAGGACACCTGAATATGCAATAGAAACAACAGATAATCTATCACTATCGCATTACAAAATGTGGTTGCCTCATGTTTTATTTCCAGGATAAGCTATTTGCATACAGGAGATTCACTTTTAACTTTCTCTCTGCAGGACAGATTTTCAGGAGACACCTTTACACAGTTATCAGTCCACCATGACTGATCGTACACACAGACAAAAGCAAGCCTATTTGATGTTTGACTACAAGGTGACCAAAGCAAGCACAGACAAATTCAACTCGTCCGTGTAAACTACAGTAGAAGACAAATGTACAGCTGTCTGATTTTTGTTATTTTAAACCTATTTTTTACTCTAGCATAATGGCTTTGGTCAAATTGTGTAATACTGTGAATAGGATAGGATTCAGTCTTTTTCACTCACACAAAAAAAAAAAAAACTGTTTGTGAAAGTAATCGACCAGCTTGAATCTAAAAGGATTTGCACTACCCAAATATTGTTTGAAAATCTATTTTGTATAAAACATATGCAGACATTTTGAGAATTATCAAGGGCAGATCATGTTTCACTGGTATATGCTTTCAATAAAATAAAAAAAAATGTTTTGCTTAAAAAAATGAATATGTACATATAATCCATTGTAAAGAAAATGTGGTGTATTTGTCTCCAAATAACAGTTTTTTTATACCTTCCCGCTGTATTATTTCTCCTCTGTAGTGTGGCTCCAGTTGATCTTTTCCTCCATTGATTAAAGGTCCAACTGTGTCTGTGTGTGGTACTCCTCCAAACAATGAACTGTATGCTGATGTTTGCCATGATATTAACTTGATGATTCTGAACAGTGGAAACGGTAGGCTCATTGTAAGACACTTCTCATGATCACACCAAGCACTTGTTCATCAAATAAAAGCGCTTTTCCATTCTGACACCTGCTTTCTTTACTTTTGATGAAGTTTGTAGCAGATGAACCTTCACTTAGTTTCATGTTGTTCCAACTAAATCAATCTGTTCATCTTAAGCTTTGCAGTTATGATATAATTGCAATTAAGTTAATTTCATGTAAAATCAAGGCACAAAATAAGATGAATGCATTCACACTTTGGAGTCAAATTTGCTGTCTCTAAATATATCATGACAACCACATTCTTACAAGATGCTTCCCTCTGGTGTTAGCATTGCTACCTCAAACCCATAGCATAACATTTTGTTTCCGTTACAAGTCCCTAAACTGTGGCAGATCTTTGTGAAGGGTCATGATGTCTGAATCATAATGACGATCTTCCTTGCAGTTACTGCCCAGAACACAGGGAGGGAACTGCTCCACATATAGATATAGATCTGTATTTATATCTGTGCAGTTAAGTGAGATTTCATCACACATGAGCATGACATCTCATTGACTGACAAGTACAAAAAAACATTAAAGCTCCAGTGAGGAACAATTGGTTTGTGTCCGTTTTGAAACGCCCCCTGTGGACAAAGTAGTCTTTGCTTATCCTGTCCACTACTGTTGTGTCGTTCACGAACGATTCGTACAAAAGAACCGAGTCTTTGAAGTGAATGTACTGAATCAAATCACTTCCCTGAGTAATTTGTTTCTTTCTCACTTCAGTTTAGCTGAAGTGAGACAGCATTGCCAGGCCAGCAGCCTTTGAACTGAATCACTTGGTGAACGAATCAGGCATTGAGCTACACTCTCTGGAATCATTTTTGTCGGACAAAACTACCTTTTTGTTTTTTTACTGCTATATTGCCAGCACAACATCTCACATACAATAGGACACAGCATGTAACAAGTAGTGCATTAAACCCACAGCCTCCTGTCATTGCAGCAGTTTGCGAGTGAACGAATCACTCACTGAGCCCAATTTACCCAGCAGACCTGATAAATAGCACACAATAGGACAGCACCCTTAAAACATCATGACTAATAAACAAGTTTATTTTTACAAACTTGTTTGCCAAAGCAACACAGCCAAACACTAAATGGTTTGGTGATTTGGTGAACGAATCTTTTAAAGGAATCTTTTTAGTGAACTACTTCTAACGATTCAGTACATCTAAAAGAACTGCCGTGCCCATCACTATTGTCTACTATATGATCAATCATTCATCTCTGCCAAAACATCTCCTCCTGCAGGTTTTTGACAGTCTAATGTATCATACATTGTGAATATTTTGGGTGAAAGTTGTGAAAATAAGACTGCGTCTACAGCTGCAATATTTGGACCTACCCCCTCACATGGGTTTCTGACAAGAAGGATTTTAGACTCTTTAGTTTTGTGGATTATTGCTTTGTATATCATTAAAAAGCATTTCTATGAATTTAAGCCATTTTTTTATAGATGTCAAAAATCTCCTTATAGGAGCTTTAAGTAGTTTGAAATTCTTAACAGACTATATTTCACCCCTGCACAGCTGTATAAAATTGGCACTGAAATGATTGCAGCTATAATAAATGTGTCAGATAAAGAAACCTCACTCTTTCTGTGATGGGACTGCACCGAATTTAAAGATATCTAGTTTAAAATAAAGAAACATGTCATAAAGACCCATTTAGTCATTTTGATCTTCATAACTTTACTGCTGTATCTCCAGAGAATATGAGCATTTTCTTTCCCTGTGTGTGCTCACAGAAAAATGTATAATGAATAACACCATGATTATTTTATGTGTCTTATTTTTACCTGCCAAACAGCTGTTCCATTTTTTTTCCTTAGGACTCATGATTAATAGTGTGGCTGAGGTTTACTGTTTGGGGAGTATATTGGGATGGTAATGTCACAGATTGATAAATTTAGGGGGAGTTTAAGGGGATGGCGCTCAGTTTTATGTCGACTTAATGTTAGATAGACATTGTCATAGACTTGTCATTTGTATTATAGCTGCTGTGTGTTAGGGGAGAGTGGGGTAAGATGAGTCTTTTTTCATATTTCAGATCGCTACATCAAGGCAATCATAGTTTGCCTCTAACTAGTGTATCTGCATATATTTCAAGATGTTGTACATCCCTGCAAACCAACAATGAGTCTAAACATAACTGTCTTGATAATATAGCATGCCAAAAAAAAAGTGGTCTCCTATGATCAACTTACCCGTGTATGGGGCAAGTTGACCATAGGAGCGGGGTAAGTTGAGCCATACCCCTACTACCTCTACTACTTCTTCACATTCATGTGTATTTTTATCTATTATACTCTATTCAACTGGTACACTCATTCTTTTTATTATTATTATTGCATATAACTGCTAAAAAGCTGTTTTGTAAAAAGTCATTTTAACATGAGAATGTCTTTAAGTGATTCAGAACATTCACAGCTGTACAACTTACCCCAGAACTACTATTAAGACTTTGTTAGTCCTCTAAGCCAAAATGGTGGACTTTGATGCTAGGTTTTCGACCTCATGTTGTAGTTTATAGATACCACAATTTATGTATGAAACAAATTTAAAATGATCTTTTTTGGTTTGAACACAATTCTAATAAAACTTAAGACAGACTGAATTCACTTTCAAGAGTGAAAAATGTTTTTTTGTAAATAAATGTCTAACCCCTTCACACATGTGCTTCTAACCTTCACAGACTCCATGAATTGATGCCCATCTCCTAAAGATTTGTTCACATGATCAATTTCTTTTACCATTTCTAAACAACAGGGGGTGGCTCAACTTACCCTTTGGCTCAACTTACCCCACTCTCCCCTCTAGATAAACTTAAAAAAAGACAGATGACCCAAATAATTTCACAAAAAGAACAAAAGTAACAAAAAGAAAGATCAATTGCAAAGATGACCTCGTTACACCCTTTCAAGTTATACCTGGTTGTGGACTGTAGTTTCTGTGTTCACACCCAATATCATTTTCCCAGTTTGCCGGGCACGCGCATCCACCCTCCAGTTATCCCCTCGCTCGTCCACACGCATGGAAACACCTGACCACCGCAGGAGACAGCTAGAGCTCTTTATTTTTCATTGAAAACCTAACCCTCCTTCTTCAACCTCCTGTTGATTCATGCTGGTGCTTCCCCTGAGCAGGATGACGGATGTAGCGACGTTAGTATCCGAGAATCAAACAGCGGACGGCGGCCTGCGGCGGGACTTCAGGCGGCTGACTCGGCTCTACTGCATGAATGGCGGATATCACCTCCAAATCCTGCCTGATGGGACGGTGCAGGGCCAGAGGGAGGACGGGGATGATCACAGTAAGGCTGCAGCGCACTGCGCATTTTACATCCAGGTCAGACCTGCAGCATGATGTGTTCATTTCCCTTCCTTGTAGGTGTGTCAGGTTCACAGACAAACACTGTCAATAAATCAGAAAGCTAAGAGGAGGCTGTTTGAAGGGAGGTTGTGTTTCGAAAACAGAGGATATCTCAGTTTTGGTTTTGCACAGATCAAGTTCCTTTCACACAAATTTGGTATATCTCACTCAGAGTAACACAACAGGAATGCATAGAGATCTGGTGGACTAGGACTTGTGTAATGGGACAACATTTTGATAGAATTTATTTCCCACAGGGCAAATACCCCATCTCACAAACAGGTTAAAACAACAAGTTAATATAAAAAAGCCTCTCACATTCATGTTCAGGCCTTAAATTTAATGCCAATGCAGTGTGCCATTTCATAAAACAAAGATCAACCTGCTGCGAAAACATGAAGAAGTAAAATTCACCAAGTCCAAAAACTGACAAAGAAGCTCTAGATTTCATCAGCTTTCATAGTTTGAATAGCGTTTTAATAGTTTTTATGTCTGCTTTTGTCCACTTTCAGGAGAGGGAAATCAAGAATGATTGGAGAAGTCTCTTTTTTTTCTTTTTATTTATCATTTATTTATTTATTTTTATTTGACCTGTAGGCTTTAGTCACCTTTCTGATTCAGACTCTTTCTTCCTCTTCAGTTGTTTTGAAGCTCACAGCCATGGACATCGGAGTCGTGATCATCCAAGGAACTGAAGCCGGGCATTATTTGGCCATGAATGGTGAAGGACGGTTGTACGGTTCAGTGAGTATCTGCAGCACACCTGATGATCTGTGTTATAGTCGACCATCTAATGATGCAGATTTGTGTGATAATTAAAGTACAAGATTCATCACTAACCATTCCACAGTCTTGATCAACTTCAGTCCATCCATGTGCTGTCAGCTCTCTCTGCTTGTTTTGTGTTCTTCTCCCAGCCCACGGTGACAGATGAGTGTTACTTCCTGGAGAAGCTGGAGGAGAATCACTACAATACCTTATCGATCTCAGAAATATCTGGAGGAGAGCTGGTATGTAGCTCTGAAAAAGAACGGCAAACCCAAACCGGGTCCAAGGACTCACATTGGACAGAAGGCCATCTTCTTTCTGCCCCGACAGCTGAACGAGTGAAGACCCTCAAACCTCAACCTACAAGGATGTGAAGCTGATTGTGGATAGATTTGTATTTTGCTAAGCCACGCCATGCCTTATTTTTGTTATTCTCGCTCAAGATCAAAACTTTAGTAAGGTTTCAAAATAGCTGAGAGCCAGTGTGCTTGCTTATTTAGGCGGAGACTACCTACTGTGTTGTCCAGATATTAACCAGAGAGCAATGTATCAGAGCTGAACTAAACATGCTATCTATTTAACCCACAACTAACACAACACTAACACAACATTAACACAACACTAACACAACATCCCATTTTTATGGTAACAGGTCTTACCCATAGACTGTATATACTATGGACAACTTGGTTCTGCCTCCCGCCTGTATACAGATTTGAAGCCAAAAAGCTCTCGGGATTTCCAGGATTTTTCTTCATTTCCTGAAATCGGCGACTCTCGCGCAGTAGCGTTGTGCGCATTCAGTGCGAGAGTCGCCGAGAATCGCTGTGATGACGCTCGGCTCAAACAGCGTATCCCCCCCGGTGAGCTACGCAATCCCTGAGCGCCCATAGGCTGTATCAGGTGTCAATCATAGAAAACTTGAACCCCCTAATAACTTTTAAAAACGGAGCTTCACAGAAAGAAGAGGACTTGGGCACAAACCAGTCTGACTGTAACTACATGTCAACATCACAACCAAGGGGGAGAAAAGTTTATATTCTGTGTAATAAATTTCTAAAGTTTGTCCACAGCTCCATAAGCTTTGCTGGCGGAGACGGGATTTATGACCTATACTGCAGCCCATCAACAGAGGGTGCTGTTCTCAGCGTGGCTTCACCCAGCGAGGAGGCAGACTGCGTCCATTCTATATACAGCCTGTGGTCTTACCTTATAGAATACAAAGAAAAAAGGACAATATTATAAACAGACACCAAAACAGATTCAGTCTTGGTCCAACATGTTGAGAATAATCTTCTGATTCGTAGAATTAGAGCCTCTAAAGATGTCTTAGTGGGAAAAGGAAATAACACCACTTTAATGACAGCTAGTATGTTTGATGTTAACTAAACTCGATAATATTAAGAAGTGTTTCCAGCTGTTAGTGAACTTGGTAAAAAAGTTTGCAGGACATGCTGTTTTGCTGTGGCTCGGTGATTAAAATGTCTCATAAATCACTCCACTAACACGTGTTAACACATGATGGATGATTACTCTGACCTAGTTTGAGGTTATAAACTCTGAGTCCTCTCTAGTTTGACTGTCTGTAATCTGTACTTTGCTGTGAAGTGATGCCATGAGCAGCTTATGAAGCCTCTCACTGCTCTGTCTGTGCCGCTGTGGAAAAATGCTGTTTCACACTTTAGACTGTTACACTGAGCTGCCACATGATGCCACCAATGTGTAAAAGCTGCACTGAGCACTGATTTACATACTTAAAGGCTGTCAATCTTTTCAATGTTGTGCCTTATAACTCTCTAACAGCAGTGAGGAATATTATACTACTTGTCTGTGTCAATAATCCAGATGAATCAGACGTGAGGCATTAAAAGTGACATTTATTTAACACTAAACATTTTCTGTACAGTTTCATATCAACAAAACCCCAGGTTTAACTCTACATCACATAGAAAGAAGCATAATGAGTCGTTACAGAAGCCTTGGTGAGTGTATGAGTTGAACTGATAAGGCAAACAGTTCGGTTTGCAGGGCCTCCTTGATTCTTCTCATTGGCAAGTTAAATCAAAAACAACTCCACTATAGAGCGCAGGGACAAAAATCCAACACCTCTGCATCATTCATTTCTTGTTTTATGTGTCCGGGCCTCAAAGTCATGATGAAACAATCCTCTGGGTTTTATTGGTTTTGTTTCTGAAAGTGCACCTGCATACATAACATTCTTTGATATTGGCCTTACACCCATATAACAGCTAACTTCCTATACCTCATGAATCATGGTCTTTAAAGAAAAAACACATATTTCCCTTCTTCTTCTTCTTCTGTCAATTAAATCTTAAGGCAAAAAGCCCACCTGAAAATGGGATGAGTTATTTTTATGGTCTCAGATAAACTGATCCAAATGTCTGAGGGAGATCATTAAGAGCTGAAATCCAGACAGCAGAGAGTTTCCTCTCTAATCACAGAGAGGATGAGACTTCACTGACTCACTGCAGAGTCATGGAAAGGTCAGGCTCTTGCATCTATGTGAGCTTTTGTGGGTATATGAACCAGAAAATGTGCTCATATGTGCAGAAAAAATCATCATCTCGGTTGCTGTAAGTGTCCAAAACTTCGGCATCCCCACTCTGTCAGCTGATCTGCTCCGGGGGATCGTCTCCTGACATTTATAGCCATCTGTTTTCTGGCTTGATTATCGTTTACAAACTCAAACTGGATCGTCTAAGATCATATCTATAAACTAAAACTCTATTTTCAGGGTTAATAATTGTCTGATTTAATGCACAACAAAAAAATGTACCAGGCGCTCCACTGACACAGAGTTTAAATCACAAGCATGAACGTGGCATGATGACAATGTCCTTGATGAGCAAACATCTTAAGAGCAACAGACAACACTGCCCCCTCCTGGCTGAAAACAAGGGCAACGCTACTTAAAGCCAACAGGTGAGAGAAATAAGTGAACATCTGTTATCCAAATAAAAGCTTTAGAGTGTAAGCAGTGTCTAAAATGAGCCTCTTATCGCCACAATAAAATAAGGAGGTGAAATAAGTGCAGATTACTAGGATTCTTGCATGCTACGGCAAATCTACCAAAGTGTGTATTCAAACCTGCTGGCTTCAAGTGTCACCAACATGAGACTCGCCCTTCTTTAAGGGCAGATGCATGCTTGTATGCTACCACCAAATGATATAAGGCATTACTTATACATTACAGACAGAGATGTAAATAGCACTTGACATTCGCCACTAATGAGTACATTGAGGGACTATTACTGTTAACCATTTTCCATTAATAAAGTTTCCAAAACAAAATGAAACAAGTGATATAATTCCTGAATATTTTACGAACAGTTGTCTTCATCCGTCCAATTTCTTGTTAAGGGTCTTCACTTTCATCTTAAACTTTTTGCAGAGTCGCTTCACGTGTCGTCCAGTTCTCCAACATCAAAGATCCTGGATTAAAGTACGGAAAAGAGGTGCACATCAAAACAGCGGTACTAACTAGATATCTGTCTGTTTGTTATGTTTACAAGAAAACTTGAGATTTAAACACCAAGAAACAATTGTAAAAAGCCTTGAAGGAGTCTGAGTATGAATTTTAAGAGAACTGATTTCAGTGAAGGTCTCCGTTTTAAGGCTTTTAACTAGTATTTTAAATTTTCCTTACAATCTTATGTGGTTCTATCTTATCTTATGTTGTTGCTTCTATCTTGTTTTCAAAGATGAGATTAATCTTAAATAATTTTATTTGTTTTTACTTATCACTGGTGCTAGAATCTTATGTATTTCTATCCTTTTAAGCTGTTCACTCATTTACTTATTTTTCTCAGGGTTTTTTTTTTTAATCCTATCTTATGCTTTTAGTTTTTAACTTGAACTCCAGTGTTTCTTTAGGGGGTTCCTCCACACTGGGAGTTGTGTCTGGGCTGCTGCTGGAGGCACTGTCTCTGGGTCTCTTTGGCCCGACTGGCCGTTGTCTGCCAGGGTCGGGGGGCCTGGGCGCTGTTGGCCCCTGTGGCACAGCCTGCGGCTCCTCCCAGTGTGGATGGCCCCTAAGACGGTGCTTCCTTAATCCTCATTTCCATGCCATGTCTCCCTATTGTCAGTAAAGAGAGTGTGCAGGTGCGTGTGTGTATCTGTGTCGTATGGAGGGTGGGGCTTTATTTGTAATAGTTTTTTTCTGTTTCTATTTTTCCATGTGGGTAAAGCACTTTGAGTTGCATGTCCATGCATGAAAAGTGCTCTATAAATAAAGTTTTATTTGATAATATTTTATCCCCTCCATCATAACCCCTTTCACTGTTTATGCCTTCCATGTTTAAGCTGACAGTTTGTATCTAAAAACTGCATCTATTTTTGAACCACGGAGGAAAAGTTTTTATTCAAGCTGTGATCAGCTGCTTGAGTTGCAAACACACAGTTGATCAGTGCATCAGGTTGTCTGAAATAGCTTGCCATTTGATCAAGCCTAGTACGCTCTCATCGTAACCTGACCACTGAACACCACTCTTGACTTTAGTAAATTTATACAACACAACATTAGCAGGTGCTGTTAAAAGGAGAGCTGCATTCAATCCTTATTAAGACCTGGACTTGTATTTCTAGGCAATATCTGAAAACTTGCAATGAGAACTACAGCCTCTTCAGACAGGCCGCACACTTCATCCACTGAGCTCGACTGGTACTGACATATTTTTCTTTTTTTAATCAAAGTTCAGATCTGTAACAATGCGGAAATCTCCAGTCAAATAATATATTTATGATGCAGAGTGTGACAAGATTAATACGACAGTTCATACCTTTAGTAGATGAAGAGTACTCTTGTTCGAGGAAGAGTGGCATAAGTGGGATCAGCCAGTTTACGCACTCTGGAGTAGTTAACGAAGCCTCTGATGAACAGCATGAAGCCTGGAGATATAATGAGATGAATTCAAGTCATACAACAAAATCCATCATGAATATCATCAAGAAATTGTGTTTCATTTTTAAGTTTTTGTTTTTTCTCTTTCTTTCTTTCTCTCTCTTACCCAGAGCCAGGAACACCCACCACAACCAGTACTGCCCATCAAAGTATCCGGGGAAGTAGGTCGAAAACTGGAAGAAATATGAGATAGCACAATCGAGACTGTTTTAGGGACAATCTGAGAGTTTTAGTCGAATACACATGAACCATCAACATGTGAACATGCATCTTTGAACTGTACTGTTGCTGGTAAATGTTCATAAAGCAGCTCTCACCCTAACAATAAGAACCCATTTGATGAGTGACAGGCCGAAGCCAGAGATGGCTCCGTATCGGCCAGCGGCTGATGTGGTCAAACAGAAAGACAAGAAGAAGCCAATCCAGTTGAACAGGAATGCCACTGGAGGAGGGAAACGCATAATAAGTCAATGACAAAAAACACAAAGTTTGGTCAAATTTCACACAGACATTGAACCCAACACTGGACCTTAGTCTAGCACTTCTGTGCAATATGGGCTACGTGCAATATCAATCTGACAGTATTGAATGCATTTATTTATTATTTATCGCTATAATACACATAATTATTTATTAAATTTCCATTACTTCCTTACCTATAAAATAATCTATCACTAGCACTGACATGTTTACTTTGCACTCTGGTGAGATGTGAAAATACTTTTCGCTGTACTGTACTTGTACTGTACATTGACAATAAATTGAATCTCATCTCATCTCTTATCTCAACTGCACAACCCAGACTGAATGAAAGGGGAGTGCATCAATGGCCAGGTTTGTTAACTTCAACACTGACTTTTTAACAAGCTCTTTGTCCAATAAAGATGAAGTTAAATGACTCTTTCAGGACTCAGATTCTATCAGTCTAGTGTTGAATTTCTAGTCTAGTTCTTACTGAAGAAAGTGAGCATGAAGATGCCGTCATTTCCTATCCGCAGCTGGTCAGCATCTTCAAAGTCATCTCTGGCAACAAAGTCATCTTCCTGCACCAAGACCAAGAAATTATGGCATTAACTTTAACTTCTTTTTTCATGTTCCGTTTATGTCAGGTCAGTCATTGGGAAAATTTCCAATTATCAGCGTACCGTGACTCTTCCAGGGACCAGGGGGACGGCTGCCTCTTCTTTGCTTCTTTCGGCTTCATCGTAGGAGGGTAGGGTGGTCGCAACACTGTAGGATGGAGGGTTGGGAAATCTCCCTCCATCTTCCTTGTATTCAAAGAAGGCTGTGGAAGCAACAAGCAAAATTAATCACCCACTTACAGATGGAAATAAACTTTCTAATTACCCTCACTCACGTGTGTGGGCTCAGCCAATATTGAAACTACAATCAAACAGTTCCAGCCCTTCAAAGCAAACACTGTGGAGACTCTCTGATCACATCCAGGAGGCTGCTCCACCTTCCTGGCAGCAGTTGCCAGAGTACAACAACATTAGCTGTTGAAGTTTGGTCTGAGTAATGAAATATTTTGATAGGAGATTACAATTAAGTAAGTGAGGACAATTTTCACACATTTTGAACACTTTCCTCATTACCAAACAGCTACATCAGCCTTTCCATATAAGAGCAAACACACGCACACAGCCACTTCCAACTAGAAAGTACCGGTAATATTTAAGCTGCTGCTAAAGAAAGAGTAAAAAAGGTTTAACCAAGGAGCATGAAAGCAACAATAAAAACAACTTCATCCCTCAAAGGTGACAACATTCATGGTATTTTATTTTCAAAGTACATCAGTGTCACAGTGTTTTGTGTCCCTGAAACTGTGTCAGAAAGACTCAGTTTTTCTCCGTCCAACTCTTTGACTTTTGGGGTGTTTTTCATCAGTTCTATACATGATCTGTAATGATAAAGAAGAGGGGACGTCTGTGGGTTCTTCAGATGCTGTGAAAAACCGTGTGAAGATTACTAAGGGAACAAGCTGGCCTCCTGGGTGTAAGCTAACTTTAGCTGATGGTAGTTTGGCTCCTCCGCCCCAAGACATGCTGCAACTTATGCAGAATTATCAGTTTGTGAAGGAAAACAGCTTTATGTTGGCCTTCAAAATGAGATCAAGAAAACATCAATGTTATTAATTTTGCCAAATCATAAAATTTTATTTTATTTTGGGAGGCAATTACAAGATGGGAGATCGACAGGCGGAGCGGAGCGGCATCAGCAGTGATGCGGACATTTGACCAATCTGTCGTGGTCAAGAAAGAGCTGAGCCGTAAGGGGAGACACTCGATTTACTGGTCGATCTACGTGCCGATCCTCACCTATGGTCATGAACTTTGGGTAATGACCGAAGGAACAAGAGCATGGATACAAGCGGACGGAATAGGTTTTCTTCTTCACAGAGATAGGGTAAGGAGCTCGGACACTCGGGAGGCGCTCAGAGTAGAACCGCTGCTCCTCCACATCGAGAGGAGTCAGCTGAGGTGGCTCGGGCATCTGGTTAGGATGCCTTCTGGACGCCTCCTGCTAGAGGTGTTCCGGACATGTCACACCGGGAGGAGACCTCATGGCCGGCCCAGGACCAGGTGGAGGGATTATATCTCTCGCCTGGCCTGGGAGCCCCTGGGAATCCTACCAGAGGAGCTGGTGGAAGTGGCCGGGGTGAGGGCCGTCTGGACTTCCCTCCTGAAGCTGCTGCCCCCGCGACTCGCACCCGGATAAGCGGAAGAAAACAACGACAACGACGTATTACAAGACATCTATCGTCAGTTTTATAATCTTTATTGATATTTTATGTAAATTAACCCTTTAATGCCTGAAACCACAAATTATGGCAAGAAAGATCTTGTTTGATACATTAGATGTTTTTGGAATCTGATAACTCACAAGAGGACATTTTTATCATTTATCGGGCTGTATGCAGGTGTTTTTTTTTAGTAATTTGTCGATCATACTGATTTGATAGAAGTATCATAAAAGTATGTATCAAATATGATACAAAATCATTAAAGGGTTAACAGTCAGAGAGACAGGCATAGCAAAGAGTGCCTAATGTTATCCTCTATCAGACACAACAATCCAGGAGACAGTGTGTTTTTTAATATGGAAGTTGAAATGTTTCTAACATGCTAACCTCATAGTTTTGAGTAATTAGTGTTGATGGATTGAAGCAGCCGTTATGAGGGTTTGATTGCTGACAAAACAAAAGTCTCCTCTTAATTTTCTTCAACATGACAGGCAGCAGTAGAGAGCTGTCAACCAGACCAGAGCAGACTGAGCTGCGGCGTGAACAAAGACATTAGTCGTATGTGAGTCCATTTCTGATCATGTCCTGTTTGAAACAAGCTTAGACCTTATCTGGGTCATTTGGCAGGGGTCCAGAGCACTGCTTTGTGTTGTCCAAACATATACTGCACTGAACCAGATCAATGGACTCACCCTGAAGAGCTCAAGGCAACACCCATTTATGTAACACACTGACCTTTGCCCTCATAAGACGTGAGATAAGAACATTGGGCCTTTCTAAAAGCTGTACACACAGGCCATTACCTCCTCCATTAATCATTCAACAAACGACAAAGCGGGATAAAGGCAGGCAGATGATTGACAGATCATATTCAACCATTACACTCCAGCACAATAAACTTATCTCTAACTCAGTTTATCAGATTTCAGCGGTAAATCTTTTCTTTATTTCACATTTGAAACTATGCAGAGTAGCACTTCAGCTACTTCTAATCAAGAACTGGCTTTTAGGAGATTAAATCATTCTCCCACTTGTTTTTATCCAAGTTATCTAAAAGGGGTTAGTGAAGGTTCCTAACCTGCATTTGCTGCAGCAATGCTGCTATAGGGTGGTGGTGCGTCTTGAGCAGGACCCTCCTGGGATGGCTGGGCTGGCTCCTCTTCGTTCACCAGCTGAAGGAATGTAAACAAACACAGCCCAATTTGAATCAAACTGAAGCGATATCTCTCAGGATATTTCCGCTGGCTGAAATACATTGAAGCAGGATAAGGAAGCAACACTAAAGCTAACCTCAGAGTTTTATCAGCCAATAGGATTATCCCATTGTGATTTATTGTTTAAAAAAAGACCCACAGAAATAATCATAGAGCAATTCAAGCAGCACTGATGTTTAGAAATATTGGATTTCTGTTATTTTTACATCAGTGTGAGAAATTTCCCGATCAGTCAAACATCAGCAGTAAAATGAGAAGAAAATCTACAGTCTGTTCTATAAACACTTGTTCATTTGAGTTTTTTTATTTCACAGCAAGTCTTACACAATGTGGTGTGAGGCTAGATAAGGACATTACTAAAACTGCTCCAATCTACCTCAAAACCCCCCATAGTTGACACAAATGCACACTTCTGAAGAGTATCTTTAAATTTAGTAAAGGTGGGCTGTAGGGATGAAATAACCCAGAGGTTTAAGAGTGAGAATACGGGAGCGGTGATCATGTCACACACATGTCATGAGCTGTGCAACAAGTGGTCATAGTAGACATGTCTGCAGTAATTTAGGCCTGGATTATCTGCACAGCTGGTAACACACTATCCTTCTATGAAAACTAAAAGCTCTAAAAGCTCAGTTTAATCAACAAATGTTGCACTCCTGATTCAAACATCAATATTTGTGAATGAATTATCAAGCTACACCTACACAAATATAACTATCCATCTTTACCTTTCAATTATTGACTGACTTCTTACTGATCCAGCAGTCTTAGTCTTTAAAGTGTCACTGATCAGTCTTTCCAGTCAGGCCCCAAAACACTGACTAACGTTTCAAGTCATTTTCTGCACATCTACAAAAATGTCAAATAGATTTTAAGTCACTGTGATATCTCCATATATTGATAGTGTATTCCAATGTAAGGCATTTAAGGCAGGATTAGATTTGGGCTAAGTTTTCCTTAAACTCAAACCAAGCCGTAAACGAAACTGTGCAGAGCTCTCCCTGACAGGCTTATGTTGACTTGTGTTAGCAGAACAGGCTGAAGCTAAAGCTAAAGCTAGCTCTTAGCTGCGTTTCCGTGTGCCAGCAAACTGTTACTTACCTCTTGATATCTGACGTTACTGTTTTGTTCTGCCATTGTGGCTGAGGGGTTAAACAGTCGAAACGTCCTCTTCCCTTTTCAAATGTAAAGTGTGGTTAATAAGGAATTTTGCCAAGAGGTACCAAAGATAATGTTGACTACTTGTCGGCCATCTCCTTCCTTCTCCACCTCCTAACGCCCGGACAGCAGCAGCAGCAGGATCTGATGCTGCTTTCAGGGGCCGTGGGAATATCTCAACACACTATGTTCTCACATGACTGAACGAAAGAAAAACAAGATGTAAAATGTAGTCAGTTACAGGGAAGAAAATAGAATCAAACATTAAACTCTTTTTAATAAATCAATACCGAAGTACTGCAAGTAAGATGTATTTGAAATATCAATGGTAAAGAGCAGTGCTGATTCTTTACATTTTTATACCATTGTAGTATTATTATTATTATTATTATTATTATTATTATTATTATTATTATTATTATAAGTATATTTAAAAATGGTTTCATTACAAATGTCTTTTGGGTCTTGTCAGATATGTACATGTACAAAACAATAAGGTTACCAAGGACAAATAGATGATTTAAAAAGGCTATTTTAATAAGAGTACATACAGTAGTATTTAATTACTCAGCGATATTTTTATGTTTTCCTCTGCATCACGGCTATTCTCTGTTGTTCCAACATAATAGTTATAAAAACATGTAAATAAAGTTCACTGTCAAGTGGTTAACATCATATTAGATGTAACTTATTTAGCTACAGTTTCTTAACCTTAGCATTTGCTTTGAATGGAAAAGTACACATTTAAAGAAATCACTCCGCTTTAGTAAATTATAGCAAGCTGAAGAAAAATGTTGCTACATACAGTCTATGGTAGTTACTAATTACACGTTTATAACTTGATTGGATTGATCTAATAGACCAAATGTAACATCTTTCAAGAAAAGCTCTGCTTTATTTCTTTATAAACTACTACAATGCCATTTTTTTTTCAAAAATAAAAGTAATAAAAAACGTTGATTTGAGTATTGTTCGGTCATAAATCTCCAATAACAAAATCTCCGAGGATCACTTAAAGGCATCATTTGTTGTTCCGTGTTGTCATGTGACAGCAGGAACAGAATGTATTCCTCAGCACCATCCCAAACCACATACACAGACAAAGAGGGATTTACAAATTGAGTGCATTTTATTACAAAGAACAAATAAGAGACAAAGCGTTACTGTCACATGAAAAACCTAAAAGGCCAACAGAACCAGATTATTTCACAAGAATTAGTAAAAGAAACACCAAGCACTGCTCGGTAGGCATTCTTCACAGAAAGATTAAGGAATCATGAGAGTGTCAATTTTTAAAAATGATAAACAAAGATTGGAGAAAAACATCTCAGTTCTTCTTTTGGCCTGAAGACGGTGGCTCCACCAGCTTGTTGTGCACGTGCATCATCCCTTAAAAAGAAAAAAAAAAAAGAAACAGAATCAGCATGTTTACTTTGCATTATTCCTGTTTTGCTGATATTTTTGCTTGGTGGTAACATAGCTGCCTGATTTTGAAAGTGAAGTATAACGAATCAGGCACTGTTGGTTTGCGATTTAATCACACCTTTGAAGTACTTCACAGTTTTGACACGCAGCTCTAGAGTGGCATCTTCGTCGCATACAAAAACCGTCTGTGGATGCTGCTGGAACGCTGACACTGTCCACATGTGATTCACACCGTCCTCTATAGCTTTGTATAGAGCAAATGCCTTGTGTGCTCCGGTGATCAGAATCATGACCTGAGAAGAAATTGGAAAGGTGACCTTTGGCCTGAGCACACACACAACTTGCAATTGGTGCTTTATGTTGAGTCATGGAGATAAGACCATTGAGCAATGCTGTATAGTGCAGCTAAAAGCAAGTTCTGAAAGGAAATTGATCCTTCCTGATCTATGGTGTATTTGCAGAAAATAAGCAACAGGAGTTGAACCTTAAGCACAAACACAGGACAAATAGTTGTTTATATAGCCCTCTAACCTCTTTTGCATCCATGACAGTGCCGACTCCGACAGTCAGAGCCATCGTGGGCACCTTTGAAAGGTTGCCTTCAAAGAATCGGGCATTAGCTATTATCGTGTCCTGTGCCAGGGTCTTCACTCTCGTCCTAGAAGACAGGCTTGAACCGGGCTCATTGAAGGCAATGTGGCCATCAGGTCCAATACCTAACAGGATAAGGAGGGGGAGTCTATTGTTAGCAGAATGGCGCAGTAATAAAATGGATTGCTGTATGAAGTAACTTCAATGTAATACCTCCAACAAAGAGCTCAATCCCCCCTGCTGCTGTTATCTTTTCCTCAAAGGCGTCACATTCTACTTGCAGGTCAGCAGCATTACCATCGAGGATGTGGGTATTCTCTGCTCTAATATCTATGTGCTTGAAGAGGTTATTCCACATAAAGGAGTGGTAGCTCTCTGGGTGATCTCTGGGAAGACCTAAACAGGAATTATTGAAATCTCAATATGCAAAATTACACCTTTCAAATATCCCCCAATGTCGTCGCCCTATTAAAATAATGGCCTAAGTCCTTTTTTTGACGAAAATAAGTTTTTGGCCTAAATACTGGCCATCTCTGGTAAAATAGCTTAAATCCTTAGTTGAAAGCATCATGCCATGATCCTTTCAACTAAGGATGTCTAGGTGATTTTACCAGATATGGCCAGTATTATCAAGAGGTGATTTAGGCCAAAAACTTATTTTCGTCAAAAAATGACTTACGCCATTATTTTCGTAAGGTGACAATGTGTTACTGTTTTATGTGGAGCGAGAGAATGGACGAAGACTTACCTACATATTCATCCATGTTGAATGTTTTCACATACTGGAAAGAAATTTCTCCATTCTTGTAGTACTCAATCAGTTTTTTGTAACATCCAAGGGGGGTGCTTCCTACAGACAGGCAAAGGCTTACAAAGCATAAAGTACTTGTCTTTCCATTTTAGGAGACTTATAATTGCATCTTTTCATTACTTGGCTCTTGAAGTTTGTATGCAAAACAGGTCACATGCTATGATTAGTTGTCAAAACAGTCTTTAAGGGAACACAGGATAGCAATTCACAGTATCTCTTGATCCATACACTGAGTTTCTGCTGGAAACAAAAGTACTTTGATTTAATTAGTGGCTTATTACTTTGACAGTTGTGCACTTTCAGTTGAGATTGAGGCACATTTTCAAGAAATGCAAAAGGGATGTGACCCTGTGGCTATTTCTGTTTTTAGTCCTGACTCAGCAGATGTGGTGGGAATTAGCGCTGACTCTACCCCATTTTATAACACTGTGATCAAGTATATCAAGTTTTCACACTATTACGAACACGATGGTTAAGTTTCTACTCACCTGTGGGGAGTCCCAGGGTGAAATATTTATCTGGACCGGGTCTAAACTGTAAAATCTTGTTTCTGATGTACTTTGCAGCCCACTCGCTTGCCTGGTCGTAGTCATTGAGGATAATAAGCTTCATCGTCCTGCATAAAAAAAACACAAAGAAAGAGAAAACGTGTTGCTTGTCCGGAAGAGCTCAGACTCGAAGTAGTTCAGGACCTAACACACCTCAATCAGACTTTACTCTTATGAAGGGAACTGTACCATCCCAGAGCAGTAAAACGGGATTACTAGACGGCGTGAGTTGATCATAAGCTTGCGACAACTTTGACACAAGCATGCAATTCAACCAAAACTTTACCTGTAGCATTAGCCTCCTTGTAAAAACCCAAAGAAAATAGTAATGGCACGCACCTAGTTTCTCGGAGTGTGTAGCTTTTATTTGCAGCAGACAGGACGTGAATGGGTCATGTGATTCCTGCTGTGGGAGCTAACAAGGAAGGAGACGTTCACGGAACTACTGTCTTTATATTAGCTAATAATGTTAGCTCATAAGCTAAAGTAGCGAAAATGAAACCGTCAAGCCATTAGTTGCCACCAACACATTCACAGCCTGGTCTTTAAATGATTAATAACTGTCTAAAACCCTGTCAGTCGAATATGTGCAGTAGTAATTTATGTGTTAAGGAGAGCAGCGGTTACCCAGGGGTCTTTTACTGAAATAACGGTCACAACGGTTGCTAGGCGACATGAGTTTTCCAATATTTAATTCTTAAGCGAGTCCCGATGCTAGGTCATATTTTAACAATATTTCAGTCATGTCCCGTTATTCAAAGATATTCAAAAGCTTTAAACTCTCATTATCTGCCGATATATATTGCCAAAAATGAAATATGGGCACACAACAGCCTTTGAGCATCTACATGAGGCTTCAAAACTCTACACAAATATTTTGAAGGGTCATGTACGGAAAAATAGTCGTTTGATATTGCAATTCGCTACAATGTCTTAAAAATATTGGCATAGTGGAGAGTGGGGTAAGTTGAGCCAAACGGTTAGTTGAGCCACCCCCTGTTACTTGGAAATGGTAAAAATTTATCATGTGACTAAATATTTAGGAGATGGGCATCAATTCATAAAGTCTGTGAAGGTTAGAAGCACATGGGTGAAGGGTTAGACATTTATTTCCTAAATAAATAAATAAAAATACATTTTTCACTCTTGAAATTGAATTTAGTTTGTCTTAAGTTTTATGAGAATTGTGTTCAGACTAAAATACATCATTTTAAATTTGTTTTATACATCAATTGTGGTATCTATAAACTACAACACGAGGTCAAAAACCTAGTATATAAGTCCACCATTTTAGCTTAGAGGAGTTATGTCTGACTAATATGATTAATAAAGATATAGTAGTTTTGAGGTAAGTTGAACCATTTGGCCAGGGGTAAGATTAGCCACTGAGAAAGTAAAGGAGTCTGATCAGTTTCAGTTCAGATTGTTGAAATGTTACTTTTTCTTTTCAAAAATACAGCTGTGAATGTTCTGAATTCTCATGTTAAAATGGCTTTTTACCAAAACATCTTTTTAGCGGTTATATATGCAAGAATAATATAAAGAATTGTACCAGTTGAATAGTGTATAATAGATAAACACACATAAATGTGAAGAAGTGACTGTTATTTAGGGAGAGAGAAGGTGAGGGAGGGCTGGGGTGGAGAGTAGGGGGGTAGTAGGGATACGGCTCAACTTACCCCACTCCTATGGTCAACTTACCCCATACTAGAGGGAAGTTGACCATAGGAGACCACTTTTTTTTGGCATGCTTTATTATCAAGACTGTTATGTTTACACTCATTCTGTTGGTTTGCAGGGATGCACAACATCTTGAAATATATGCAGATACACTAGTTAGAGACAAACTATGATTGCCTTGATGTAGTGATCCGAAATATGAAAAAAAGGGCTCATCTTACCCCACTCTCCCCTACTGGAAAAAAAATATATCAGCATTAAGGCAATATGTACAACTTTGTAAACAAGAGCTGTACAGGTCATAATAGGTGTATTCACTGGCAGCTACTCCCCCATAAGCTAAATAGAAGATATGCTGAGTATCTTATTTAACCAAAGTAATAAAAGATGGAAGAAGATTTTTCATAACTTTATTAAAACCATATTGTGACACAGACCAGAACACGTACAGAGCACACAACAGAAATAAATACCATCATGTGTACAGCGCTCATTGTCAAACAGGCTTATTGCGGCTGGCTTTTGATTTATGTCATCCAGAAAGAGAGAGGGCATGCTATGTCATCAGAGAGATCAGGAGCTGGGCTCAGTGTGCTAATCACCCTGCCTGCTTTTGACTGTGGAGTGCAGTTCCTGAAACACTTTACCTGCTCTGATATACACCCAGGTTGCACCTCATTCTCAAGCAACCAGCTCCCGTTTAGCTGTGCTTAGGGAGGTGTTACAAGGCTGCTTTAATCAAGGTCCATTTCAGGTTTGTTTTCTGTGGTTTCTGAACTGGGGTTGCCCGTGTTCTCATTTGTTCCCTTCTCTGCATTTTCTTCCTGGGCTTTCTCCTGTCCGTTGACCGGCCCATTCTGCTCTGCAGGTGTGTCCTCCTTAGGGAGCTCAACCTTGGGCTTGGGTTTGGTCACAATAGGGTTGCAAGTGGAGAACAGCTCCTAGGAAAAATACATTCAAGACACATCATTTAATTATTTTATTTAAGTGGATGTTGCTGTATTAGAGACTTTTTTAGAACTCCAAAATAGAGTAAAATGAGTAAAGGAAGCTATTTTATTAATAAATGATGCAAATTTGAACATATTTTGCAACTGCAAAAGAAAGAAGCAGGAGCAAAGAAAACTGCTCACCAAGTCAATATGTAAGTTTGAATGTAGTCTTTGCATTCAAAATTTAACACATTATAGTTTTACAGGTGAAAGATGGTAGAATGGTATTGAATGTAACATTAAATTTTATTTGTATGACATTTGGCCAAAATATTGTGATTATTTCGCAAGTTGTACAGAGTCAGTATAATTTAGTGTCTATTTCAATGTGCTGTAACTTTTCCCTAACATAATGCCGGTTTCACACACAATAATGTCCATTATACTTATAAATTAGGTGTAATGAAATTAATTTTAGTGCCTGGATGTAAGAGTTTAATGTGAGGCTTGATGAAGTTGTAGAGATAAACGACAGAATGTGAAGAAAAACTGTAACACTACAGTAGGTAGTTATCTGGAAATGACTCAGCATTCAGCCGTAGTGCCACTATACCAATATTAATTTTTGTTGAGTTGGGACGATCCACCAATCCAAGGCAAAGTCTACACCAATGGTAAACTTCGATTTAGGTATTCAGTGTTTTAGTCTCTTTTCCATGTCTTTAGTTTCTTTAGTGGGACGAGAAACTCACCCTTGTTTTCGCTTGGATGTCTTTTACTTTGACGACAGGATCCAACGTCAAGCTCTGTTTGCTCTGCTGGTTCATGGCGCTGTTCATCCACATCATCACCTCATTGGTCATTTTGTCCACTTTGGTGACATCTGCCTCCTCTAGATGGTCATACTGCTCCTCCTGTTATTTCAAAGATTAATACAGTAAGTGTTATTCATTCCTGTAGCTGTTAATACTTGTATTTATAACGATGCCCCCAGTATTTTCATAGAATTACCTATGATTATAGCAAAATATTTTAAAGAATACCAGGTAAACATGTCTCTATTAAGTAAACAGTGGGACATTTAAAATAACTGAAAGCCTTCACTGTTACCTTCATTTTGTAAGCCTCAACAAATTTCATGTACTGCTGGATTTGTTTTCCCATTTCCTCAAATGCTTTAGGTCTCTCTTCAGCCTCTGTGTACCTCTCCTGGATGGGTTGGCCAAGTTTCTAGAGTAAACACAGAATAAATATGGGCTGAGGTAATAAAAACATCATGTCATCAATGAAAAAAAAGTTATTACTCTGCTAACAGTTACCTTTAACTCTGCCAGTTTGTCAATGTACACCTGTTTGGGTTGGTCCTCTCCATCTTCATAAAGCCAGTTTTCAGTGTCCTCCAGTTTTAATGACAAAGCGTCTCTGTCCTACAAATACAGAAAAAGAAACAGTTAACCAAGAAGAGACGCCTATTCTGATGTACAGTGTCCACTAGGTGCTGATGGGTGTTTACTCACAGATTCACTGACAAACTTTTCCAGCATTCCGTGTAGTTTGTCTCTCATGTCGTACACATACTCCTCCACATTATTCTTGGCGTCATTTCTCTCTTTTTCCAGCTTGTCCTGCATGATCATCTTACCCTGGGGAGAAGCCAAACAGCAACTGTAACGGCTCAACACTTTAAAATAGATCAACTAATAAAAAATGACAGATGAGTGGATTAATAGATGTGCTATTGTGTCATTGGCTGAAAGTTCCTTACCTCATTTTCTACAAAAAGGTTCAACATGTCATCTGCTAGCTGCCACTGTGGACTGTTTTCGATAGGAAGCTCCAGCACCTTTGTTTTCACTTTGGGCTTTTTGGCTTGTGGAGGCTGGTCAGACTTCTTCTCTCCTTTACCTTCCTCTGTGGTAGTCTGAGAGGTAAGAGCATTGAAAAATGAAAGTTGGGTCTGAAAGCTAACGTGACAAATGAATAAATTCATTTTTGCGTCACACATCTTACCTCCATCTCTTCATTCTCTCGTGGCGTCTTCTCCTCTGTTTCTTTCTGAGCATCTGCCTGACCTTGCTGCTCTTCCTGATCAGTCTGCATCTTGCTCTAAGGAGTCATAAAAAAAACAGGTATGTGTTTTTTCCTCAGAACATTAGAAAATAAAAGAAATACACTCAATGATCCCATGATAAAATTAAGATGAAAAAGATCTGATTTTTTTTTTTACCTCTCCGTCTTTGTCGCTGGTCTGCTCTGTTTCCATGGGTTCCTCTGTCTCATCTGACTTCTGCACTTCAACCAGAGAGGCGCTGGACACACTGAAGATACCGTGTATGTTCACCCGCACCTTCACTTTCACCTTAGAGCTCTCCCCAGATGCCTGAGGGACAACCTTTTGGATCATGTACTGGCCTGTACAAGGGGCAGAAGTTATAAGTTATAATCAGACATTCAGCTGGGGAAACAGCTTCATGGACTCTCCTGGTGCCAAGAGAGTCACCATGTGCGGTCAGTGTTTCATTGGTTATCAACCCAGATATTCCTTGTGGACCATACATGTGCTGAAAGGAAAGTCATTAGTGGAGAGCAGCATGACCAGATGCCAGTCATACTTTTATGTTTGCTGCATTTCTGACTCTTTCCTCTGGGCCCAGTTCCTTCAAAAGAATAATAATCTGATTACAGCTATCGGATTGGAACGTATTTCTGAAAATGAGCTGTCCAAAAGAAAAAGGGAATTCATGACACAGTTAAGAGCATGTGTCCAGTTTTAGTTTTGATCTGGATCAAATCTTTGGTATGTGTCATTTCGGCATCAGTCATTTCTTTTTTAAGTGGGATTATCATGTTGCTAGTGAAAGGTGGATTTGCAGTGAATTCCAGAGACGACATGTGGAACTATTTTTTTTAATCGGTCAGACAATATGCAGCACGTATCTCAATTTTCTATCATTTATTACATGATTCTTCTTCTTTTGTTCTTATTTATTCCCTTTGGCCTAATAAGGACTTACTAAAGGAACATCTTTTGATTGTCTTACCAATGGTTGGATCAGGATAGGGCAGCTCATTTGGGCTGTTGTAGTAGGCCTCCAAAGAGAAAGGCTCTCTCCGGTAGAAGGTCAGCACTTTGGAGAAGGGTGCTGCATGATTCTTGGGAAAAACCTCACAATCGCTGGAATAAAGAGATAAATCAGAATTGTTAAGCAGCACCAAAAGCAGCAGCAGACATTGACTTGACATCTGACATCTGAATCACAATATTAAAAATTGGTCTTTTACCTCAAACCCTCCTCTGCAGCAGAATGCCACTTCAAGGAGATCGGATAGGGAGCAACATCTGTGATGGAGAATTCACGCACTTTGAAGGCAGGTGAGAGGATCGCACACTGTGGAAACACAAACATGGTTCCAATGAGACGTCATTCTCCTAGTTTCAAATGAATTAAAATAGCCACTGTTACTGTCTACTGTTATCCACTGGAGCTCCGTCGTGCAGGTTGGATTCTAGCTTGAAAATGTTTTAATTATACACTGTGACAGACCTGCAGGGCACATCCTCTGGCCACTGCTTCGTCAGCATTCAGCGTAGTGCTCAACTCCTTCCCGAAGAATTTGCTGATTCTCTCTTTGATGGCAGGGATCCTGGAAGCTCCACCTACTATCTCTACTGCATAGACGTCCTCCTTTTTCAGCTCTGTTGGAACAAAAACACTTTTGTTACAGACAGAGCTAGAAAAAACGCACACTTGAGATCTTTCGAAGAATATGAAACACAGTCAAACAAAGTGGGCTCTACTCACTGGTTTGTTCCAGCAGACTCTGCAGAGGAGCCTCAACACGTGCCAGAATATCTGCACACATCTCTTCAAACTGCCCCCTTGTGCAAGACAAAAGGTGAACATGACTTTAGCTTTAAAAAAGAAACTTAAAATAAGAAGCAGGGGAAATGAATCATGGCTTCTCTATGGAAGATAGGGCTTCTTGACAGGTCTACCTGTTCAGTTTTGCAGACACATCAATGTCATTCATGAAGCACTCGATGTTGAGTGGCAGGTCAGAAGAGTTGGCGCTCATCAGCTTCTTCAGTTTTTCACACTCCTGGTAGAGCCTGACCAGAGCACGGGGCTTTGTCTTGACATCCAGCTTGTACTTCTTGCCAAATTCCTCGCAGAAATGCTTCACCAGCATCTCATCTAAGTCTTTCCCTCCTAACTCTGGGTCACACGCCGTGGACAGTACCTGAGAGATGAGGAGAAGATTCAAGGGCTGGTACAAAGCTTCTAAGAGAGTGATGAGGAATGTGACAACATGCCGATTTGGCTACACACCTTGAGTTTGCCTTTATTAAAAGCACAAACTGATGTTTGGTATCCAGAGTGGCCCAGGTCCACAAAGACCACATTCCTGGCTTTCTCCTCAGGACCAGGGAGATCTTGTTTGTAGATTCCGTATGCCAAAGCAACTGTGAGGGAAAATGTCAAACTTTAGATGAGGTGTCAAAAACATGCAAAAAACTGCCCGAGTCCTTCCCACAAAATATGCGTACAGACCTGCAGTTGTTTCATTCATGAGCCTCAGGCAGTTAAGTCCAGCTATCTGAGCTGCGTCTACCACTGATCTCCTCTCAGCATCGGTGTAGTAGCAGGGAACCTATGTGCAACAGGCAGCATTAGAACCATATTTATGAGAATGAGCTTTTGATAAACTTGCCTGATTTGGCATTGAGCCATAAACTTCTCATGCGTGAGCACAGTCATGTGTTAAACTTACAGACACGACACAGTCAGCAACAGGCTTCTTTAGTGCATTCTCAGCTGTCTCCTTGAGCTTGGTCAGCAGCATGGCAGTGACCTGTTCAATGCTGAATACCTTCTCCTCCTCCATGTACATTACCTGGAGTAACAGACAGGATCGTTACAATGCTGTACATGAATCTCTACCCAGATGGCTTTCCATTTGTACACTGCAGCGCAAATGACTGACAATCAGACAGTGATCACATTGCCAAACATGCACAGTTTGACTCAGCAACCTGATTTCTCTCTTGACAGTGTCCATTATACTTTCATTGTATCACCAAGGCTACATTCAAGTCAGCTCAATTCATCTTGAGATGACAGACATTTCACAGCTTCAAGAAGCACACGTGCTGTATCATTAGTGCAATAAAGAGTAATTCATCTACAGACTTTTAATGCCTGCTGGTAATAAAGCTTTGTCCAAAAGAAGAAGTCCTGTTTAGACCATGAGACTCGCTGAAAAATAAAACCCAAAAATATATTACTGAGACATTTCATGTATTCTTAAGATATGTAGGTGATGGGTGACACTTAAATTGGGGTATACTATCTTTGTGAGTCCTCAGGTGTGACAAGTGTTCCTTCACTACCTCCACCCTGGTGATGAGTCACTTGCCTTTCTTCACAAGGCAAGTACATGTTTTTAGTGGGAAGGTCCATGCTGTTATTCATCTTTTTCTGGTTGTTTATACAGCTGACAGTGACAAAGTCAAATCTGTGTCTTTAGAGTAGACGATGGGCTCTGTGTTTATAGAGGGCAACTCTATGACTCCCTGAATGTTAGAATAAATGTCAGAATTTAAAACAGAAATGAATAAGTTTTGATTGATTGATTGATTGTTTATTTCGTATGAATGACAAAACATATACATACGAAAAGGATAGGTAAGAAGCCAAGTTTATCAAGAGGGTTTGGGCTATAACCACCAAAGTCTGCAGACGACTGATCATTTTTACAAATATAACAACCATAGTTCCTTACTGTTCTCTTACCTTGATGCCAGTTGTTCCCGTCGGCATTTGTGCAATGTCGTAGACCAAACTGTTTTTGAGGCGCTGGACAAAAGGATCTGAAAAGGCCCTGCCATGAAACCTTTTGAAACCTTGGACTGTGTTCTTGCAGTTTGTGACAACCTGCAGGAAAAAAGCAAGACGTCTATCAAAGACATGTGCAGACTTGTGTTGAGAGCTCCTTTTTGAATTTGATGATAGTGTATCTGTTCTTGATCATGCTGCACATCTGACAGATAAGTCTCTCTTGTGTGAAGTCAACAAACACCAATCCCTATGACAACATACCTGACTTTTAGCAGCAGCACCAATAGATCGATTCCTGGGTCCAAAGGATACACATGCTCTAAAAATAAAAAAAGAAATACAATTATAAGGCAGCTTTATACTTTGGATCAAACCCATAATAAATCATTTGTTCTGAGGGCAGTGGTCTGGCAGGGCAATATTTGATGCACATGTGCATTTTATGCTCTTCTATCACTTTTATCTACAGATGATGCTTCAGAAAACATCCACTGGAAAGGTGTGTCCATACAAAGGAACAAAGACACATTAAATTATGTACAACTTTGTCATCTTTGCATGCGTACACAGGGGTATCATAAACTCAATTTATGTGTTTCATCTGCTTTTCCATCATCATCTGGTTTAGGGAAACATTGGTGGTACTGCTTTTTGGAATTGTTGTATTTAAAGTATATATTGTACACATTTCACATTTGTGAATACAAAACTTACCATTCAGAATTAGCAAATTAAAATTAAGTCATCTTTTATTGTCTGTTTCTGCCTTTTTATGAACAGTTATATCCTTTTCTTTGTTTCCCTATGAAATGCATCAAAATGGAGGCTATGACAAAAGACAAACAACAAACTGGTTCATTATTATAATTTGTACCTACATGTTTGAATGGTGCAACCACCAGGTTATCTGGGTAGATTATGTGTGTGATTTTTATAAATCTTCTTTGATTTAGTGGGTGAAAATACACTTCACTAAAGCTCTAAACAGACTCTCACTATGTTCGATTTAAGAATGCCACAATGGTATGATCTGGGAGTTGTAGTTTCTTGACAGAGTTGTTCTGGTATATTGTTCTGACATTAAGTTGCGAAGGTTTGATGGAGCCCGTTTTGACAGCCACTATCCGGCCTCCTCTTTCTCCTCCTCTTCTCATGCGCTTATTCATGCCTTCGCTGGACGAATCTGTACCGGGCATGTCTTTTCGTCTTTTTGTTTGATTCGACGATCTAACCAGTGTTTTACATTAAAAGAAAGACTCTCATCTAGTCAAGTGTCCACAATATTTCTTTATTTTTTACAATGGCTTAGCTTCAGCTACCGTTAGCTTTAGCAATCACATGCCGTTTCCTGTTGTGAAATCTGCTAGCATGCTAGCTAGATACGTAGCGAGGTTAGCTTCCCTCAATATTTTGATTTTGACCAAAGAGGATCCACTCACACCCACTACCAGCTACCAGTGCAGGTCCCACAACGTGAATCAGTCATAATCGTGAGTCTAATTGTACTTACGGTGTACTTCGATCGCTGTATTCATTGGCGACAGTTTCAATCCCTCCGGCTCTGGCTACCGCTACATAGCAGTTCATGAAGCCGACGTCAAATCCCACTACAGACATTTTGACCGGCTAACCGAGGAGTTTACAGGGCGGCAAAGACGAGGAAGAGCGGAGATACACTTCAGTGCAAAAGGTGACAGCAGCAGCAGCTACAGAGGATTTCGGTCAGCGGACGGTGATACACCCTTGTTCTTGTTCCATGAAGCTGGGTAGCAGCATGCGGTACGCCGGCTGATGCGTGAGAGCGTTCAGGAATCTTCTGTCTCACTGACCAATCGCGTCACACCGCAGAGCGCAGGACGCTGCTGCCGCGCTCCTCCTAGCGGCAAGGAAAGGCAGCGCAGCATCAAGTGTGCATGTGTAATACAGTCACAAAGCCGCCATTTCAATGAATAGGCCATCGCCTTGTACAGTCAATGAACCATACCCGGTTATTAGGATATTATATTGTAACATTATTTTATTATGCTGCTGTGGCACTTGAGACTCAGATAGTCCACTTAAACATAGAAGTCACACAACACCACCATCACAGCTGCTGCTACAGGCTTTAAAGTGTCTTTTCCTTCTGTGCCTCAAACCTAGTCTCAAAATACAGTTGAACTTAATCACAAAATATTTAATTTAAACATGTAATCAATTTGAATGATCTAGGAAGATCATATTTATTCAAAATTACTGTTCTGTCAGAGTGCATCACAGCGATCTGACCATGCTGCAGAGCTTTTGCAGCTAGTTTTTTGGTTAGGTTCACTTGAATTTGCTTGCATGTCAAGGTTCTTTGTCAATCTTTGTTCAAAGCCTGTGATAAATTTAAATAAAAATAACCATTAATGTCTAGCATTTTTCAAAAATAAGTTACAAAAGGCTTTGCAATGTCAGCCAAGTACATGTTTTCAGTGTTTCAGTGGGAAGGCCCATGCTGTTATTCATCTCTTTCTGGTTGTTTATACAGCTGATATGACAAAGTCAAATCTGTGTCTTTAGAGTAGACGATGGGCTCAGAATAAAAAAAAAGAAATGAATAAGTTTATCAAGAGGGTTTGGGCTAAGACCACCAAAGCCTGCAGACAACTGATCATTTTTGCAAATATAACAACCATAGTTTCTTACTGTTCTCTTACCTTGATGCCAGTTGTTCCCGTCGGAATTTGTGCAATGTCGTAGACCAAACTGTTTTTGCAGGTCATGAAATCACACAAAGATAGGGAAAAAACATAGCAACACCTTAAACTCACTTTAAAATAAGAGGTAATTTAGTTAAATAAACTTATGTTATGGAAATGGTTATTTCAATTATTCCCTCAAATTATCAAATTTCGTGTGATCATGTCTTCAGGTAGTATCTGTTTTGCATTCTTGCCCCTGTTAAATCTATAACATTCAATAACACAATATGTAATTTTCTATTTAGAATGAAATAAATAAAAAAAAGTTTCTTACATTCAAGTTGCTGGAATGTATGTCTTTCTTTTTTTTTTCCTGGGAAGTGGCCAAAAGTAGGAATGTGATTTTCCTCCTTATGGCCTTTTTAAAACTAAATATGTGCAATAACCAATAATCCATAACACTGTTTCAAACTAACATTTGATGTACGTCAACAAAACCATAATAACATGACTGAATAAAAGACAGCAGTGTTTTCACATAAATATCTTTATTGAAGGAACATACAGGGTTGGATTTAATATCGTATTGGTCAGTTTTCAGGTTGGTGTCAGGTGTTTATTCATCATTCTCATAATCAGCAGGATTCTTCCTCTTGCCCTGCTCATGGACACTGTTGCCCCAGCTGTATGTCAGGTACATTACTGTCATGGCTGCAAGAGAAAGAGTGAGAAAATCAGCACCAGGACCTTCAGTGTTTAAAGTTACGACTAGGTAAAAATTTCTTAACAGAGAAGATTAGACTTGATGAGTGAGAGCCTCCTTTTATTTCACTTTTCAAGACACACCTTAATAGAAAAAGATTGATCTCTCATTTCAGTTGTCTGTTATTTTTATTGTCTCTTTGCTTTCATTCCCTTTCTGTATTTATTATCAGTTTGTTTTTCTTATTTTATGTCTCTGCATTAAAAAGTGCTAAACAAAAATTATTATTTCTGTTATTCATCTTGTTTTTAAAAACTTTTTTGTGACATACTGAACCTATAACACATCTAGAAACAAATGGTTGTGCAGTACAAAGACATTTTTATATAATTGGTAATACAAATTTAAAAACTACGTGGTAAAATATAATGTTGCTAATGTTGCCTTAAAATGACATTTAAATGCCAACAAAAAAAAAAAAAGTTTAAAAGTTTACGTTAATCCATGCTCATGCAGCCACAACATGTGAATGGGCACTAACCTAACAGAGAATACAGACTTTATAAATGATAAACCCAAACCTGTTGTGTTAAGACAGAACTTGATAAAAAGAAAAAAGGCAATGTTCGTAGGCTGATGAAAACATTACAATAAACAACCACTGACTCAGTATTAAGTGATGAAATTTAAAAAGAAAACATTACAGCTGTTTTTTTCAGAGCTGCAGATCTCTTCAAAAGACCAGTGTGAGTCTTGGACTGAAAAGAAAATGCCTGGTTTGGTTCAGATCAGATCTTTTTGTGGAAATTATTAACCAAGCGTCTTGTAAGGAAAACCAATTAAATGCCACTCTGGAGGTTGAATTCTAGGATGTGTGCTACATCAAAGTTACAACTGCTGATGTCATCCCTAAATCACTTGGCATTATTGTGTTAAAAAAAAAAACAGAGATAGTCTATTGCAAAATTATTCTTTTTCACTGCACACTAAGCCGTGGCATTAAGGTATTGTGCCCAGCTTCTCCTCTTTGTTTAAGCACATTGACCTATTTTAAAACTTCCCATAAAATACTGTTTTGTAACTGATTTTGTGTAGAAAATTCCAAAAATCTGTCACAACTTTTCATGTCAGTACTGAGTGAATGTGTGAAAATGCCAACACTCACGGGGGGCGACTTTGAAAAAAGAAGCTGTGAATCTTCTCCACACGTTGGGGATTCCCTTGGAGAAATAGTTGGGGAAAGCCTTCTGCTCAAAGGGGGACAGACTGTAAGTGATCACATGTCTGACCTTGGCCAAGTTTCCAAAGTGGCGACCCATGTTCACCGGAGAGCTGATCTAGGGGGATAACAAGAAAGGAAAAACAATAGAAAATTAAACAGACAGTTGAGAAAAATGCTGTGAATTCTTTGTATGACACAAGAAAAGCATCTGGCTGCATATACACAACTGTAGATATTACATTCTTGCTTTTATTACTACTATTTTAATTCATTTTATTATTACTATTTTCTGTTTTGAGCTTTTAATGAATCTGAAATGACAAAATCTGCTGAGCTGTTTCAGAGGTTTCTTTTCTATATTGATCTTTATTCCATTGTATTTTACATACACAATCAGCTGGATATTAGGCAATCGTATCTTGCTTTTCTGGATAAATATATGTTAAATAAGCCTTCATTTTTTAAAGTACAAAGCGTGTCATAAAATCATCTGTCGAAAGGGGCACTTGATGTCACATAAACAAGCCTATGGTGTCGCTTTACGTGTAGTTGATCGATTGACTTAAAAAAAAATAAAAACTTCCAACTAAACCTCAACACGATAAACATTTAATCTAGAAGATTAACCCGAGAGAGATGTAAATATAAACACAGATCAATCCAGATTTATGAGCAGCGAGAACTGCGTGTTAGCATGTCCTGTTAGCTCCTGGCGGCTCACTAGTTTACTCAGTACAAACGGTACTTTAACGGTTTTCTTCGCCTTCGTTTTAACGTTTTGTTTTAATAGAAACACAACAAGACACACAAAAGGGTAATATAACGACGATGATGGGAGATACTATCTTCAATAAGCAGGGTAAAGTAAAAGAGACGTGACATTGAGACTCACCGTTCTGTTGCTCAACTATGTTTGCTAAAGGAGTTCCGGTGTCCTTCGTTTTAGGGAAGCGCCGTTTGGCTGCGAACATCCAAGATGTTACCGCCACCTACCGGACTGGAGTGAGACCGAGTCCCTACCAAGTTCCTAATAAGTCATTTAATTTACAGGTGTTCAAAGCTCCTGAGTGGTTCTTTGCGTGTTATAACACAAACACTCATAAATAGCTTCCCATGTACCACGGCCTCACCTGGTACAATGTCCAAGATACAGACTTTCAGTCAATATTAGCATGTGTTTGACTATTTCAAAATAAACATTTCCATATGGAGTCCCTTATTTTAACCCTCCTCCTGTGTTAGCTTTTACTATGCACCCACTATGTTAAGGGTCGGTTTCGACCTGTGTCTTAAATCAGCTGTAAATTACACTAAAAACAATTTTCTATCATCCAATTTGGTTCTTATCTCTAGGTTACCTTGTTAGGCTTCATTATCCATGAAATTATTGCTGATAATATTTTTTGTTGTGGTCCTCTGGGCCTTTTTTTGTCTGTATACCCCTTATTCAGACATCTGTACTGAATTGATCTCACATGTCTGTCGATGTTTTTGTGCAGGGAAAAACATGGAAAAATGAGAATTTCCTAAATCTCATATTATTGGAGGCGGATCTGACTGTCAGTGTGGTGCCTGGCAGCGTACATATGATTTTAGTTTTTCCTCTAATTATTAGATATTGATCTAACCGGGTCAACGGCGACCATAGACAAGTGCCATCATTTTAAGAAGAGCATTTTATAATTCAGTCAATTTAAATTTTTTACATTCATTTTGTTGATATAGAGTTTCCTGATAAAGTCAAAAAGTATTGGAGCAAAAAAGCTAATTTATGTGTTTTTTTTTAAGCATTTAAAAAATGAAAAACGGGTCAGTGCAGACCCTAACACAGGAGGAGGGTTAACTTTGAGGTACCGAAAAAAAAACACAACACACTGCACTGCGTATTTACACTTTCTCCTCACCTTTCACGGTCTTATAAACCAGTAGAATAAAAATTCATCTATGCATGTTATTCTTTTATTTTTCCAACTTTCCAGAGACAATCTGTAAACATTTTCATGCTTTTGATTATCTCATGCTGAGCACAGACACACAGTGAATTCATTCAATTTGCATAAATAGACATGGCTTGCTTTAAGTCACATTCAACTAGTACAAATTCAACAGTATGCAGTCAATTCATTTGCATGCAGTCACTTAGTGACCAGAGGTAATAAATACACACTGAAACCTTGACAACTTTCACTCTGGACATCAGAGAGACAAACTGCCTGTGCAGACAGCTGCCTGTAATCCCCAGGAATAAAACAATATGTAAAAGGTTTGTCAGAGTTTGTGACTATTTTTTCATCTTTTGTCCAGAACAGGGTTACTTAAAACTTGGCAATTGTGTTAAAGAATAACGACAGACCACTTACCCGATATAAATTAACAAAAACTAACTTAAAAAAAATTCAAAATTATAAAGACACATTTTCTTTAAGTGCGTCACGTTCAACACTAGTTTTCAGAATAGGATGTTAAGGCACCCTTTCTAGTAACTTGTTAACAAAAAGCAAATCAACGTCTTGTTTCCACATTTTCTTTAGGATAAAATACTTTGATTAAGTAAACACATTTCATTAAGTAAACACACCTGCTCCAGATCAAATTTTTTTCATGCACAACGATTTTATAAATTCCTGAAATCACTGAGCCTGGTCAGAGTATCTGGTCCACCTGTGATGCCTGCCGAGGAGGATTGTGTTGATGTTCACTATAGCCTTTAAGGGAAAATAGTGGAAAAGGCTTAACGACACGTGCACCTGGTGGCCACCATGTCTTTAATTTCTTTGTAGACATAAGAGCCGTCCTTTTCAAAGATCATGACACTAAGGGGGCTGTAGTGGGAGGGGATGCATGAGGGCCTGGGCACAGAGGAATCCAGTTTTTCATAGATGAGGTTCTGCACCACTGTGTGGAGAGGGGAGCCGTAGATGAAGCCCACAGTGTTTGGGCAGATGCCTCTGCAGTACCTGGGGTTGTACTTTGGTGGAAAAACAATCCACTGATCCAGTTTGAGCTGACTAAACCGCACCCTGAAATCGTACAAGGCACAGTCACTGGTAGGGAATTCGGAACTTGGGAGAAGCTCAGGCAGGTGGTAATCTCCACTTTTATCACCTCTTTTGTTCTTTGGAGATGCTCTTCTCCATCTTCTCTTCCAGCCGATCCTCTGCTCTGGTTTCAAACCTCTCTGCTTATGAACACTGTTAGCTGCACTGATTGACTCGTGACCTGCTTTGGCACTGACCGGTAACCTCTGGTGGGCAATGCTGCTGGTGTCATTGAGGTACAGAAGCAGAAGAGGTGACCTTAGATTGAACTGTGGCGGACCTTTGCGCCCTTCATCTCTGGCTTTTGATCCCTCTGGGCAAGTGATGTTGATGAGGAGGTGTATGGTCTTTTTCTTGAACTGTAGGAGAGGCTGGAGAAACGGGGTGACATCTGCCTCCACCCAGTTTCTCCCACTCCTCATGTTTGAGCTAGTCGTGAAGTTGACGGTGAGGCGGGCTGCAGGACACAGCTGGCACTGGTCAGAAAGCTCCTGTTCCTTGACAGTCAGATAGCACACCGAGTCGACAGGAGATGCATGGTCTTGGTCTAAACTGTACAGCAGGGTTGCCTTCAGAAGCTGTTCTTTTTTCCTTACTTGATCGAGACTGTATGAAAGATCCTGCATGTAACTTTCTGAAGGGAAATACGAGAAAACACAAGCCACAATGTCACCATGGCCTGAGGAGTCAAGTAACACAAAAATAATATGTGATCATTACAATAACCTGAAAAACACCTTGTAGAACTATTGATCTGTGTGCGACAACGCAAAGTTCCAGACAATTTTCCATTAATACGCTATGATCACTCTGGAAGCAACCAGCCTTTTCAGCAATGACCATCTGTAGCATACTCCCTCTTCTCATCCATACTCCTTTAGGACTGAGCCTCTCTGGAGGGCCCTTTATACCCAGTCATGTTAATTATGGGTTTGAAAATTAATGTAAACACTCCAAGTCTTTTCTCTATAACTCAGAATTTTAAGTATTTTGTACTCCTGTTCTGACTGTTTCAATTAATGTAAGAAGATCACAGTTTTCATCAAATAATAGTTTTTATTTCAACATTTGATTTGTTGATTGTCCACTATTTCCTATTAATATTGATTTTTAAATGATATGCAAACTATCAAATCCTGTTTCTTATCAACATTTTATACCTAATTTCTGATCAACCCAGGGATGTAGACAGAGATTTGTGGTATTTATTCTGTATGAATAGAAATCCACTCAGGCAAAATGAAATGTTCAAATATTGTGATGCATTACACTTTTGAACTATTAGTCATGATAAAAAAAACTGGAAAAAATCTTCAAAAATTTTAGCCCTTTATTGCCTTTTGTATCATATTTGATACATACTTTTATAATACTTTTATCAATCAATATGATCAACAAATTACTAAAAAAAAAAACACCTGAATACAGTCCGATAAATGATAAAAAAATGTCCTCTTGTAAATTTCAGTTTCCAAAAACATTTAAAGTATCAAATGAGATAAATAAATATAATTGTTAAATTTTAAGGACATTTTGATTTTTTTTTGGTTTTCAGTAGTAAGTGAAATAAACATTTCAGCTAAAAAAAATTGTGAATTTTCTGGCCGTAATTTGTGGTTTCAGACATTACAGGGTTAGATTACATATAATCAGGCTAGTATATATTACATTTTTGCTTTTTTAAATAAGTGTAAACTTTTTCTATGCCATTCTTATTTACTGAGACACACCTGTTATTGAAAGAGAAAAGATAGGTCTGTGAGTTAATCCTTTCCTGGCATTGACCTAAGCTGCTTTTTCTTGGGGTGTATTTTTGCCAGTGTTGACCTTTAAGTTGCCATTGAGTGACTGTCAGGTATATGACATTGTGTGTATCGTTGTTTTATTAGAGTGCTCCAGTTGCTCACCTCTATGACTTTGTGCTCGACATTCATCTTGTGGTTTGATTAGCCGGACTGTGTTGTAGATTTTACTTCCGTCCAAACTCCTCTGCACTCTGGGAGAGTCCTTGTAAACCTCCGTCAGGTATTTGATGTACTTATGTTCAGGTTTCAATTTTCTCCTCAGGTCTGGGCTCCACTTTGATCTTCCGTGCTCTGACAGGGCTTTGAGCAGAGGAGAGAAGATGCTGCCGAACGGGTACGTCCAGTCACCCAGGTTGTGAAGCGAACTGGAGGCGCCCAGAGAAGATCCAACCAGCGGGGAGCAGCAGAGGAACAGCAGCAGCAGCAAGAAAACGGTGCGAAAATAACGAAAGATAGCTGACATCAGCATTTGTTTTTCCATCACAAACAAACAGAAAATGGTCATACTAGGGGGGACTTGCCGCTCAGAGCACCATGCAGGTCATCAGAGCCACGCACGTGCCAGGTGACCATCACGCCCAGGTGTTTGCAATCAACTCCATCAGTCATCATGGGCGTGAAGACGTAAAAAATTTGTGCTTTTATTTTGTAGGCTAGATAAATATTCTCATGTCCGGTGTTCACACATGCATTTACAATGTAAGATTTGTTGTTGTTGTTGTTGTTGTTGCTAAAATACCGAGATATAAGAACTTTAAAAAGGTTTATTTTTTGTTAACAGTGTATAAAAGTATTTAACGGTTTGAAGGTGCAGAAGGAAAATAACTGTGGTGACCCAGATAGCATTTCTGCACCACCTGGACAATAGCAAATTCAGATAGGGGAGAGTGGGGTAAGTTGAGCCGCCCCCTGTTGCTTGGAAATGGTAAAAGAAATTGATCATGTGACCAAATATTTAGGAGTTGGGCATCAATTCATGGAGTCTGTGAAGGTTAGAAGCACATGGGTGAAGGGGTTAGACATTTATTTCCAAAAAAACACATTTCGCTCTTGAAAGTGAATTTAGTCTGTCATAACTTTTACTAGAATTGTGTTCAGACCAAAAAAGATCATTTTAATTTAGTTTATACATCAATTGTGGTATCTATGAGCTACAACATGAGGTCAAAAACCTAGCATAAAAGTCCAGCATTTCAGCTTAGAGGACTAATAAAGTCATAATAGAAGTTCAGGAGTAAGTTGATCTAGTGGCTCAACAGAGAAAGTAAAGAAGTCTGATGAGAGGATCAGAGTTTCAGTTCAGATTGTTGAAATGTTACTTTTTCTTTTCAAAAATACAGCTGTGAATATTCTGAATCACTTAAAGGCATTCTCATGTTAAAATGAGAATTTGTTGTTAAATACAACTTTTTTGTAGAATTATTGTACCAGTTGAATAGCATATTATAGAATTTATATTGAATTTCCCTTTGGAGATTAATGAAGTTCTTCTTCTCCTTCTATAGATAAAAAATACAAATGAATGTGAAGAAGTGACTGTTATTTAGAGAGAGAAAAGGCGAGGGAGGGCTGGGGTGAACAGTGTGTGTGTGTGTGTGTGGGGGGGGGGGGGGGCTCCTATGGTCAACTCACCCTATACATGGGGTAAATTGACCATAGGAGACCGCTTTTTTTGGCATGCTATATTTATCAAGACAGTTATGTTTACACTCATTCTGTTGGTTTGCAGGGATGCACAACATCTTGAAATATATGCAGATACACTAGTTAGAGAGAAAACTATGATTGCCTTGATGTAGTGATCCGAAATATGAAAAACGACTCATCTTACCCCACTCGCCCCTACTACCGGGACTTTTTATGTGAGCAAGACAGAAAAGGCCTTTCTCACTGATGGTTAAAACCAACCACTGTCAAAAAATGAAAGGAATCAGGACTTTAAAAAGCACACACTGACAGACTACTATGGTTAATGGTGAAGACTGTGGCCTCTCAATGAAGGGATCCTGGGTTAAAGACCCAGACAGGCATTTCATAGTACTTCTTTCATCAAAAATAAACATGTTCAGCTGTGTTGTGATTGTTCATAATAAAAAATAATAAAAAATTAGCACCTGGAAAAGTAATTGTGTCGTGCTTAAGGCAGCTGCTTCTCAGTGTGAGGTGTAGCATTGAGACAACCCTTTGTGTGAAACTCACACATTCCAAGAAAAGGTTCCTTATCTGGTCCCAGGACACAGGATCAATCTTTCCAGACTTGTTTGGACTGTCAGGTCACACAACTGATCCAACCAGAGATTAACCCAAACCTCTGGCTTTTCTCAGTTGGTTGACCGGAGGAACAGAGACAGAGTTTTTAATACCTTTAATACCTTTAAAACTCTAGTACTGTCCATACATAAACAACGGATCAACCCAGGTCTCCCATTTGAGATTTACGGTCTTGAATGTGTGAATGCAGACCTCCAGACAGAGGTCTGTAGGTCATTCAGGCTTGGGGGACATATACTGACTTAATGCTGACTGTATTTTATCTGTGTTGTTGTATGTTATCAGTTTATGTTTAGCTTTGTGAGACTGACTAAAATGCAGGTAAAGATGGCAAAGATAGCGCTTATGTCTTTTTAAAATGTTTTCTAAGTTCTTACTGTGCCAAAATAAAAATGTGATTTATCTGTAGCTACCTCGACTTTAGACCACTAGAGGGCAGTATATAAAACTAATTATACATAACATGGTATATCATGCAAGCCCTATCAGGCAGCACTTTGTTGAGATTGTTTTATTTCCAAATGGACTTTAAAATATAATGCAACTGCAGAAGTTTGATTGGAGCCGAAATTTGATATCGATTTGTCTCATTACTGATGGCCCAGTTGAGACAGACTTTTTGGGGAGACCCATTGTCAAAGCAGTTGGTAACTGGTAACTCACTAATGCAGAAACTCAACTTCTGGTAAAATGCAATTTGGATGGTTTAGTATTTCAAACCTTATTGTTTTAAAGATGAATTTTTGTCTGACTTACAAAATTTCCCACTGAGACTTCATGACATAATTTATTTTTGTGTATTTCTGAGGTACACTTTGTTGCAGCAGTCATTATTTTTATTTAGTTTATTTGATTTAACTGTGGCTGGGGAACATATTCTTTGTAGCATAATAATTGAGTTGTGTTTTCTTCAAAATTGGAATTACTATTTATATATTCTCTGTCAGAAGACATCTTCTGGTGTCAGTGTTCATGATACATTTATTATTACCTTCAAAAAATTCCCCAGTACAAGAGTCATAAAACAAAAATCTTTAAACCATCTGGTATTGTAAAGTAAAAATGCAGCCTGTTGGGTCCCCCGCTGGAAATTAAATAAGCTGCAGCAATGTCTCAGCTAAATTCTAAACTCTGCACTGATATGCACTATATACTGGACAGCTTAAAACTGGATATTATTGTCCCCAAAAGAAAAGGTTGTTATTTCCCATTTTATGCTGGCTGGAAATTATGCAAGAGCTGGAACACAACACTGCATTGTTTAATGTTCTTTGATGTTTGCAGGTTTTACACTTACGATTTCAAATAGGTATGAAGTTGTTTTGTGCAGTACATCTTTTGCAATTGTGCAGTATTTGAGTTTTAGTCTTCGTGGAGTTTTGAGAGGGGATTTAAACACACTACAGCTTGTTATGTTCAGTAAATGAAATAAGTGCACCTATCCTTTGCCAGGATCATTATGCAATCAACATCTTTTCCAGACGTCCAGACAAAGGCTATTGTTCTGGCTCTGTTTTGCTCATGGCTTCATTGTCTGAGCGCCAGCTCATTACATGTCATCAGGATTGTTATTTTCTGGTCAGTTAAGACTAAAAATAGAGTTTTGGTGAACTGCACGAAAAAAGGGGAGACAGCTGTTTTTCTCTTGTCTGAGGGACACTGATCACTCACGCTATTACTCATTAATGAACACAAACAAAGATGGCTTTAGCTTATGTTTTTAAGTTTTATCCCATAATGCCCTTTTATTACAGGTGGAGACAAGTCTTGCCAAACTGGTATTTCTGATAGTTAATAGATTATCCCGTTTACCTAGTAACAAGGCCCAGCATGTCCCTGTGATTTGTATTTTACCATTTTCAGTCCAAATAATGTAGTTCACAGAGTCTTAGCAAGAGAGGCCTACCTCATCCGTAACAGCTCAGCTTCACAAAGAGATTAATAGACACATTCCACCGCTTGGTCTTCTGACCTGCTTTTGAATAATGGACCCATGAAGGTCCCCTTCTGCCTCCACTAAAGCTGCAAGAAACTGTTTTTCTAAATGTTAAGACCACTACTTCTATTGAAATAAAACTCCACAGTTTTATCTGTAACAAATGTCACTTTTTCACGACAATACATAAAAGATATGCTATTAAACTCTAGAAAATACCTTCAAACTTGAGATAGTTTGTAGTTAAGTGGTTGAATCATAAACACAAACAGATTACATAAATGGGTTAAGCAACACTCATTGTCTCATCAACTACAAAGTGAATTACAAATAGCATTTATAAATATAGCAAGAGATTTAATGTACAATGGTTTGAACATCAACTAAGTCTTTAAAAAATTATACATATTATACATGTTGAACAAACTCAGAAAGCCTGGTCTCTTCTTTCCATAGTTGAAATATAACACTGTCTATTGTCCAAGTCTTTCTCACCAGTCCTGAGCATATCTAGTTGACGTCCTTTGCTTTTTCCCCATGTGAGGCTGAAACAGTTTACTGATGGTGTTAAAGCTCCTCGGCTGTTCTCTATAGTCTTCATCCTCTGTTTTCTTATTCTTGTTCGGCTGTCCCGCTCCTAGAAGTGCTCTAACCTCAGCTGACACACCTTTTCCCAGGTAGTGAACGGCCTTCTTACCATCATTGTCTCTTACATTCACATTGGCTCCATATCTTTGCACGAGCAGAACTATCACATCAGAGTGGCTGTGTATGGCTGCAATGTGCAGAGGCGTGTATCCTCCATGTGCTTTACAGTTGATGTTCACATAAGTGCCTCTTTTGCTGGGGATATTCACAAGCTTGTGTATCATGTCACTGCTGCCATCCTTTGCAGCCCAGTGCAGGGCTGTGAAACCTGACATGAAGTCTTTCTTCTGTACAAGCCGTGTGTCCTGCAGCAGCAGACCATGGATCTGTCCCCACAGTCCTGCTGCACACTTCACTAACCACTCATGTGCTAGAGCCTCAAGAGGCACAGACTCTGAATATTTCGCATCATCCCCTTGCCTGGTGGTCTTGATCGAGGGCCTCACATGAGGAAAAACTGGGTGCTGTTTGTCCCCTGCCTCACTCTGTGCATCCTTCCTACCTGCTGGAAAGTTCCGATTTTGCATTGAAGGTTTGGAAACTTTGGTAACCAGCACATTGGTCTGATGCACTTGAGAAAAACATCCATCCTGTGTCTCTGGTGCAGGTTCTCTCGGTGGAGATTTGACCGCTATGACAGCGAACACAGCACCAGATTTCCCCGCTTTGCTCGCCTGATCTCCGGAGATATTCACGACTTTAAGGGTTGCTGTGTCCGGACCACTGCTGTTAGGAGATAACGGTGCCCTATCCTGCACACTTCCCACGGATGCATACTTGGCGTCGCTATAGCAATTGTCGTTACTGTTTGAGGGACAGCACAGATTATTGTTTTCAATGTCTGAGTAAATCCTCCTCTCTGACTCGGCTCGATGGGTGGGAGATGCGCATGAAAAGCTCGTGTTCTGGCTGGAGAAACTGTCATCCACTTGCGAGCTTTTCTGCAGCTCATTTTTCACCACCTCTCTAACAAAGTCCAGATACCTTTTCTTCACCACCACATACTTCACCTCGTCGATCTGTTTGACCACAGCGACGCTGTTCACCAACTTCTTGAAGAGGTCTCTATTGTGCTGTTTTTCCGCCGGATCGCTGCAGCTGATCTGACTCCTGAAATGGTTGAGCAGCTCCGAGTTTTTCACTTTGCCTCCGCGCTCCAGCAGAAAAGACAAAATCGATTCCTGAGTCAAAGCCATGTTTCTGTAAGTTAAAGGTTATATCGGGAAGATTAAATAGAAAAACCCGAGAGAGGATTATCCTGCCGTCCCGTGTGCTCCCTTTTCTCTTGTCCTCCACCAACCTGCTGCTTCCGGCGCCTCTCCAAATAATCCAGCCCGTTTTTTTAATGAGGGCTGTCCCCATTACTGACTGGTTTTAGGCAGAACTCACTAAGTAGAAATGGTTCAGACGAGCTGTGTGTGTGTCTGTGTTTGTGTGTATATATACAGTATATATATATTTTAAAAATTTAAACATATTATTATTTCAAACACACGCAAATACTTTTAGAGATAGACAGAAAAGATGAGCTATCTTTTGTCAGGCGTTTAGTCACAATCTACTCATTAGTACTTGGGTACAGTCTGGAAATGGGCTTTATTGTTTATTAGCTTTACTTTAACAACAGCAGGCAGAGCAAAACTACTCTAAGTAGAAGGTTGGATACCAGACCAGTACACTAATTGGCTACAGCCTTTTTATTGGTGGTGAGTAAGTGAATAAGTGAATAAATGAATAAATAAATACAGTAAAACAAAATAAAATAACAGTACATTAATGTAAATAAGTAAATAAATACAGTAAAATAAAATAAAAAACAATAAATAAATGTAAATAAATGAATACAGTAAAATAATATAAAATAACAATGAATAGATGTAAAAAAATAAATAAATACAGTAAAATAAGATCACAGTAAAAAAATGTAAATAGACCAATACAGTTAAATAAAATAAAATACCAATAAATAAATGTAAATAAATAAATAAATACAGTAAAATAAAATAATAAATACATGTAAATAAAAAATAAACACAGTAAAATAATATAAAAAAACATTATATAGATGTAAATAAGTAAATAAATACAGTAAAATAAAATAAAATAACAATAAATTAATGTAAATTAATAAAAAATACAGTAAATAAAATAACAATAAATTAATGTAAATAATACAAAAATACAGTAATATTAAATAAATTAATGTAAATAAAAAAATACAGTAAAATAATATAAGAATAAATAAATGTAAACAAATCAATACAGTACAATAAAATAAAATAACAATTAAAAAATGTAAATAAATAAATAAATATAGTAAAATAAAACAATAATAGATAAATGAAAAGTCCAAGTAAATTAATTGAAGTAAAAAGCAATTGTTCACTGGATTTTACTTGGAAGTTTTTTGCATATATTTGCATACATTAAGTCACTTTTCCACCCGTGTACTTGAACCAGGCTACTTCTCTATTGTAACACTGCTGACTCACTGCTGAAAAAAACAAACAAAAAAAAAAACAGACGAAAAAAACGTTTGAAATTATTAAACTAAAAACCAGCACAACAAGAAACGACAACAACAACAAAAAAGGAAAATAGTTAAATACTGGAGCTCTTGTAGTGTCGCCCTCCAGCAACGAGGGGGTGTTGCCTCCAAGTGGCCATATTGAGAGCAGTGTGAGTCTGTATTAGATGTGAGGAGGAGGAGGAGGAGGAGGAGCAGGTCTGCCAGAAACACATAATTCCTGCACACAGACACTTGTGACGATGGCGGCCAATGAGGTTGATGTTTTCGCAGTAAGTATGATGATATACTGTCTGCGGGCCTGAAATGACTAATTATTTAGCTGTCTTTGGAGTAGACATACAAATTAAACTAGCAAACCAGTAGCATTCAGGTGTGTTGAAGAGAGGGAGATGGTGTGACGGTGTGTGTCGGGGATGCAGCAGGATCGTTGGGATAAAGACGCATTTTCAGCTGCGGCTGGTTTCGTGGAAAATGATGTATCGACTGCTTATGAACAAAACCGCTTACAGCTGAGCAACACGAGAAAAACACAGTGTACACTTGGCTTTTTTTTTTTATCATGTCGACACTTGTGACAGGTGCACACGGGGCGAAAGGACCGTGTACGAATCACAGGCCAGCAGACTGGAGAGCAAGTTAAGAGGATAAACACAAGTATACAGCCTCTCCAAGTGGAAGATCGTGGCACTGGATTGCTCAGCGAAAATTTCAATACACTATTCATACACATTATTTGTGTTAAATCATGAGTTTGTGTCCGGTTATTCAGCATGCTGCAGGTTGCATCCCAAATGAGATGAGACCCTGACCCTGAAGTTGTGGGTACCAGGGCAGTGAGCTGCTGGGATATCCTCCCACCCTGTGAAATAACATCTGAAGAAAGAGCTCTTTGTGCTTGTGTCTCTCTGAGTGTGTTTGTGTGTTTAAAGGGGGGCAGAAAGAGGGACAGAAACGGATGATTGTTGTATTGAACACATCGTGGTCCTCATGTGGAGCCTCTTGCAGGATTGCCAGATTCCCAGCATGTCCCTGATACAGAGGATATGAACCATTTTTCAGTTTTAACAGGAAAACAATACCAATAATTCACACTATTATGTACAAATTTAAATGTCGTAATTTACTGTCATGTTAATCGGGATAGAGGAAACTAAGACATCAATTCAAAAATGTGCAGGTTATGAAATTACTATGATTATAGACTGAAATCTCACTCCCACAACATGAGTTAAATTAATGCTGAAAGGATTTTCATTGTTTGGTCAATAAGTTAAGTGACACAGAAATAATAGCTATAATGGAAACCAATTTTCTGTATGACTTAAGTGCAGAATAACCTCAATGATTCATCACTACTTGTCATGTTGATTGCTTGTGTGTGTTTTTTGTGGAGGAGTGAGCTTTGTAATATTGACAGAGAAGTTGTCTGACTGTTCAAAATGTAAAGTAAGGGAGAGATGACCTTAATTTAAACAATGCTTTACAGCTGAACCAAAATGTTGTTGAAAAAACTGTTTCACCATAACGTTTTATTGATATAAACTGTATATTATAATGAACAATTTCCGTTGCATGTAATTTAAAATTAAACTTCCTCTTTTTTGCTGATTATTTTTCAAAAACCTTAGAATGAGGAAAAACGAAACCTGGAGCTCAGAGGCCATGTGGGGTTTGACAGCCTCCCTGACCAGTTGGTCAGCAAATCAGTTGCTCAGGGATTCTGCTTCAACATCCTCTGTGTGGGTACGTACAGACCCAGGACAAGCCGATAATCCAAACCAAGAGCCGTTCAAGTAGCATGCTGTATTGTGACATTGTGGTCTGAACCCCATATCTGTTTACCTCATGCTATTTTCTCTCTCTTAAGGTGAGACGGGGATAGGCAAGTCAACATTGATGAACACACTCTTCAATACAACATTTGAAAATGAGGAGGCCAGCCACTATGAAAAAGAGGTGCAGCTGCGCCCACAAATGTACAGTCTGCAGGAGAGCAATGTCAACCTGAAGCTGACTGTTGTGCACACTGTGGGGTTTGGAGATCAGATCAACAAAGAAGAAAGGTGCAGATTCTTATTTTGACTTTTTGAGTGCTTAAAATGAAAGCAGTGATTATGCTGAGACATGAATACACAACATGTTGTTAACTTTCATGAGAAAGTGTATTACAAATCTTCAGTAGTGTTTATGCACTAGTATGAAAAATTTACTTCACTAGCAGCAAAAATTTCTTGCGGTCAGATTAGCCCCAGCTATGTATAATGTCCCCCCTCTTGCTTTGGAAGTTTAGCCAACTCATTTACACAGCATGAAACTGCGAAAGAGATCTGGCCCATTTCTGAAGTGTGAATAGGGAGGGGAGAGAGGGAATATGGGATTGACTGGTAGAACTAATGCAATCTCAAAAGACCCATGAGTGCTCCCACAGCCGGAGGTAAAAACAGGATTTATAGCTACGAGACAGTTTTGGATTTTGGAACCAGGATACTTACTCGTCTTTGAACACAGGGAAAGTCAAATTGAATGAATTCTTATTGCATTGTAGATGGCAATAATAACAATAATGCTATTTTTTTTAACATGTTTTTGCTATTTAACTGTGCAGCTACAAACCCATTCTTGAGTATATTGATGCTCAGTTCGAAAAGTACCTTGAAGAGGAGATGAAAATAAAACGCTCTCTGGCAAACTGCCATGATACAAGAATCCACATCTGCCTGTATTTCATCGCTCCCAATGGACACTCTCTGAAGTCTCTGGATCTCGTTACAATGAAGAAGCTGGACAGCAAGGTGACCACGCCATCAGGTCATGTGTATTTCAGCAGTTATTGTTTGTTGTCGTCTCTATCCATCACTCATATTATGAATTTTTCATGCAGGTGAACATCATCCCTGTTATTGCAAAAGCAGACACAGTTTCGAGGAGTGAATTGGACAAACTAAAGATCAAGGTTATGAGTGAGCTGGTCAGTAATGGAGTGCAGATTTATCAGTTTCCCACTGAGGATGAAGCTGTCGCAGAGATCAACTCATCCATGAATGTGAGTACAAAATCCAATTATATTATGCAAAAATTGTGCATGTATACGTGTATTTTATGAAATGATATGCATTCACACTTTCTTCAAGTCTCTTGTTTATTTTTGGTTTTACAGTAAAGTAGTACTGGATTATACAGCTGGTTAATCTGATAATCTTGCGATAAACATGTATGACTAATGTAGCGCATTTTAAATCCATAGTTTGACACGAACATACCAATTAAAGTAATTAATACAACTATTATATTGTTCTCTATTACAGACTCATCTCCCCTTTGCTGTTGTTGGAAGTGTCGATGATGTGAAAGTTGGTAATAAGATGGTGAAAGCCAGGCTGTACCCCTGGGGATCAGTACAGGGTTAGTGCACTGATCTGGTTTGACCATCATCATGAACAGAAAGTTTGTTTCGTCAAGTGCTGAACTATTATTAGCTTTTATGTTGTTAAACATGTTATTTACAACTGAGTCAGGACAGTTGAATGATGTGTTTTTTTGTTTTTCAGTTGAGAATGAAAATCATTGTGATTTTGTGAAACTGAGAGAGATGCTGCTGCGCGTGAACATGGAGGATCTTCGTGAGCAAACACACGCTCGACACTATGAGCTCTACCGTCGTTGCAAGCTAGAAGAGATGGGCTTCAAGGACTCAGACCCAGACAGCCAGTCATTCAGGTAAAATAGGGGTTGGCAGCGATGTTATGTATGATTGAAGCTAACAGTGGAAGTGCCTCAAAAAACCTTGACCCTTATTATTTGATAGAAAGGATGATGCAAGTAACCTCAAGATAAAAATTTGGTGAGATGTTACTCAATTAAAAAAAAATGAAGATACTCTGAGAGGATTCATATTTGAAGGCAAGACTAACTGATCTGAGCATCTGTGATATATAAAAAAAAAAACTCCTACCAAAAGCTTTGGCAGACTTCCTGGGTTTAGAGGATTTTGCACTTGGATCTATTTTGCACTTGGATCTATTTTTACCTTTATTTCCAAAAGTCAAAAAAGACACTCTCTGTATGTATACTAAATTCTTCTCCAAACACAGATGCAATCATTGATGTCATTATTACATAATCATGAGAAATAAAGGGCATGTTGATAGGGAGAAGCAGGAAGTATACAGTGGCTGTGTAACGATTTGAAAAACAGGAATAATTTACCAATGGTAGGGGAAAAAAGTTTCTAGTGCCATTGTTTCATAGGTGGTGAAGAAAGATTAAAACTTATTTCGTTTTTTATTAAGGGATCGGAGCCTCAGGTCAAGTTTTATTTGTGTAATTTGGGACTGCAGTTTAACTATTTAATTGGCAACATAATTTATTGATGTATTTGAGTTTATTTTAGACTTGTTCATACCATTAAGTGCCATTGTAAATCAATGTAGAGATAAGCCATCCACATTTACTAAAAAATGTAAACAAAGTCAATCCATTTCATGTGTTAATGTACTGATAATGAACTGATTAACTGTCGTTCTTCTGGGTAACCCCTAAACAGGAAGTGCTGTTGGTCCAGCTCTTTAATTAAATGATCAGAATTCTGGATGTAGAGCCCAAGGATGGTTTTATTTATGAGGCTGAAGTAACCTATAAGAACCTCTGATTAGATGTAAGTGTACCTTTCGGTTAATTAATAACCTAATAATATCTACTGCAATTTAAGCAAGGACAAAAATCACACAAGCCAAATCTGATTAAAATTCTGATAAGAGGTACTGATCAAAAATTCTGTGTAAAAGTAATGGTCAAAAATCCTGATAAAAATTCTGATTAAATAACTCCACTGTATAAAATACTGGGGAAATCTCTGTTGAAGATGTAAGGGAATTTCCGTTGTTTTGATTTTCTAATAAAAAAAACTTTTTTTATTAAAAAATAATAATAATCAGAAGTGCTGATCAAAAAGGTTCTGACTGTAAAAAATGACCAAATACAACTACAGCCAAGAGGGGATAAGGGAGAATTGTTCCTTTTGTTGGCTTGCTCTCTTGTAGAAAATGCAGTTGTAGATTTTTTAGCTCATGAAGTATGTCCTGCTGATAACCTCCAATCCCAAACTTCTGGTCAAGGTGCCTGTAATTCAGATCCTTTGATGAGTGGTCTTCTTCTGCTGGGTGAACATGTCCTGTGCTGAGACTTGGCCAGTGGAACAATCAATCAACTTTAAATTGCTGTCCAGACCAGAATTCGGTTGAACTAACTTTATTTTCTAAATCCTGTTGACTGGTTGCTAAGTTCAAACAAATCAGTCATATTGCATCAGAGTTACTTTAGAAATGTCTAGTAATGACTTCTCGGTAATGTTTAAACCCCACTGCAGACCAGTCAAAGCAACAAACAGCATAAACAAGAAATCACTATAGCATCCAAAAAACTGTAAAAATAAAAGAAAACCAAGAACAACCAAAGGGATTCCAGGGTATCATAGATTAAGGTCAAATTATGCTAATATCTATTGAAGTATTTAAAGTAAGTTGTTTGGTTTGTGTGATGTCTAATTTTGGATCTAATTTCAAATACACCATAACCATAGATTAACTCTAGACAATGATGAAGTGGTGACAGCAGGACATGTTTTAGGTCAATTGACTGATATGCATGTCCTCCAATGTGACTATTGCACATGCCAGCACCACAGCTATTGTCAAACAAGAAAGCATTTAGGCTTCAAGCTTAATTATACTAATTGTACAATTTTCCATGGTTTCTCAGTCTACAGGAGACATACGAAGCCAAGAGGAAGGAGTTTCTTGTGGATCTTCAACGCAAAGAGGAAGAAATGAGACAGATGTTTGTCAACAAAGTGAAGGAGACAGAAGCAGAGCTGAAAGAAAAAGAGAAAGAGGTGAGAATTAACATGATCCAAAAAATATTGAAAACATAACAAAATTATTTGGTCTCAAACAATGACCCGTCCCCAAACCAACAACATCTCCAGCTTCATGGAAGGTTTGAACAGCTCAAGCGAATGCACCAGGATGAAAAGAAGAATCTGGAAGAGAAAAGACGAGAACTGGAAGAAGAGATGAATGCTTTTAACAGGAGAAAGGTTGCAGCCGAGACGCTGATGGGTCAGGCACTGCAAGGCTGCTCACAACCGTTCAAGAAGGACAAGGACAAGAAGAAGTAAGTGAATTTTTCTGCATGTGTTTGCATTGTGTAACTGCTCAAGTGGTTTTTAGATACTACATGGTTGTCAAAGGTTATTAAATGGTAATAACACTTTGATTTCTCAAGCTACTCAAGGATCAGTTATTTCTCATTACGTATCACAAGCCTTGATCATATATTCTCTAGGCCAGTTTTTATGTAAATGTGATTAGTGAGATACTGTTATCTCCCCAGAAGCCATGTTGTCTCAGACATCTGATACAGGGACAGATCCAGAATGACACTGTGTGCCCAGACAAAAAAGGAAGGGTCACAGCTTGCATGACAAAGCCTGATGGTTACTTCTCTGCAGGCTGATCCGCCAGACTGACTCTCAGGCAGGGGTACTGCTGTTTACATTGGACTGGTCTCACTGATGCTCATACCAAGTGCAACACAAATGAAACTAAGACATCCCATATAGAATTATACTCATTTTGCAGGAGGAAATATTACGTGTTGTGATTTGTGTGGTGTGCTCAAATGTGCATACTTGGTCCAATGCTCAACATATGCCCCCATGAATCAACAATCACACTGGTGTTAAGGTCAATGAAATGCATTTTATTCTTTGCACATTGGCAGGGCTCTTCAAAAACTCTAGCGAGTCCATTTTCTCACAACAATTGCAGAAAAAGGTAGTAGCAACAACACTCTTTCTTAGACCCCCACCTATAAAAGTGCTTTAGCTGTGTATGTTCACATATTAATTTAGAAGTGGCTTTGGTGCTTTTTTATTAGATCCTTTCAAAATCCAGCTCCCTATTGATGTTTGTTTTTCTAAAACAAACCACCTCTATCCCACAAGTTTTTAACATGGCTTAAGTAGTTAGGCTGTCAGTCTGACTCTGAGCTGACCCTCCTGTAAAAAATTAAATAGTGTTTTTAGATGCTACATCTGAAACACAGTTGCATTCTCATTTCATTCATATATTTACTTGTATAAACCATGTATTTGAAACACCCCACCCTACCATCTGCCACCCTTCCATTTCATTTTTTCCCACATTATGTCTTTGTCTATTTTGTCCTCTCCCTTTTCAGTTGATTTATTGAACATCCAGGGAAACCAGGAGTGTGTCTGCCATCAGCATGGGAAAAGGGACTGTCAGATCTGACATAACTTCCTTACACTGCATGTGTGGACTTTTTGTCACAGTGACTGCACGTATGTGAGCCTGAATAATATGGTGGCAATAAGCAACTGTTTACTAACTGATCAAAAAGGCAGCCATGTTAAGCGTCTTTAACTGGCTCCAAAAGCTGACTGTTTAACACACAATTCTCAGACTGTTTTCATAACCTGTAACTTACTTTATTTAATGTGTTTGTGATGAAGGTGTGCTCCTCTCCTGTTTAAATTTACACTTTTCAATGAGCCATTGTAAAGACGAGCCTTTCTGATGAGGCTGAACTGATTATTTTGAGTTTCATAATAATTTTATTCATGTGTTGATTTTTGTTGAAATTTTTATTTACAAGAATTCAGAAGTTCATTTGTTCCAGTAGGGCTTTTTTTTAAGACAGAATGTTTTATAATGCACTTGAATTATTTTTTCATGTTTTTTTCTTACTGTCGTCTTTAGTTTAAGGACAGAGGTTTCATTTTCTAACATCATTCTAGAAAAAGAAATATAGAAAATTATTTAATAAAAGGAAATAAATAAATTTGGCAGTGAGTTACATATTATGCCTTTATTTACAAATAAAAAATGGAAATTAAAAAAAAAAAGGACTTGGCATCAGTTCATCTGTTGGTCAGCAGAACCCGTTCCCCTCCATCCCCCCCAGTTCCCTGAGATGTCTCATCATGTCGGTCATATGTGTGATTCAGAGCATTTCATATTGCATCTGTCATAGCAAACAAAAACACACGTCTCTTCCTGATGTTGATTGACAGTGTAAACAGCAGTGGCAGCAAACAGGACTAACAACATGATTACTTAACTGACAACTCATTTGCACTGAACTTGAATTTGTCTTGTTGTGAGAACATTGATGTAGAAGTTGGCTGTGCAGATTAATAACATGATTTTTCTCTCCTCTTTATAGCTTCTTTAGTCTTCCATCTGCGTGCTCCTTAACCTCAGGAAGGAATTTGAATTAGGAGACTTCCTACCACGTTAAGGGATCACAGACTAACCACCAACTTTATTATTTTTACAATTTGAAATGACAATTTTATAGGATTGCACTTAACACCCCTGGAAGTGAGTCTGCTTGAAGTCTTCCATGTCTACTTAACACTCCTAAGCTTTTCAGCTGCGCTCTGTAGCATGGTCTCTGCATGGCTCCTAACCCCCAAACCTAAAAGCATTGAAATGTATTTGCCAAAATCCAAGTTTTTGTACTAGATGTGTATTCTCCTTTCATCTGCCATGTTGTGCTTGTAGTTTCTGATCCATGAAAATTTACACTGTGAATTATATCTTATTATTAGGTTACATGATATTGCAGTTCATTGTGGTACAACTTGAACATTATATTATTTATAAGCACTTTATATCAATCGTGGTTGAAAAACTGGATTTAAACTCGATAAAACGTGCCCTATAACACTTTAATGTCTACCCTAATGCTGTGTCTAAGAGATTTATGAAAAAGTGTTCATAGTTTATAACTGTAAAAACAGCATATAGTAAATACAATGTTATAACTAAAGCCTGGATGTATATAAATTCAGGGTTATAGCTCTTAATGTTAGTAGATCCATGACAGGTCAGAGATGGCCTACTTGGGGCTTTATAAATTCTGATGTAATAAAGATTTGCTTTATTGGAAAAAGGTCACTTGTTCTTTTCATAATTATACTTTAAGACAATAAAAAATTCTGAAAATTGACTGGTTGCTGAACACGCTGTGGAGAAGTTGCTCTCTCAGCGGGTGGTTGCTCAGGTTCCTCCCAGACACCCATTCAAACCATAGACTGTATATAGAATGGACAGCATCTGCCTCCTCGCTGGGTGAAGCCACTCCGAGAACAGCTCCCTCTGTTGACAGGCTGCAGTACACGTCATAAACCCCGCCTCCTCCAGCAATCCCTATGGAGTTGTGGACAAACTTTAGAAGTTAATTACACAAAATATAATTTTTTCTCCCCTCTGGTTGCAATGTTGACATGTAGTTATTGTCAGACTGGTTTGTGCTCGAGGCCTCTTTTTCTGTGCAGGTCCATTTTTAAAAGTTATTACGGGGTTCATGCTTTCTATGATTGACACCTGATAAAGCTTACGGCGTTTAGGGATTGCGTAGCGCTGTTTGAGCCGAGCATCATCATAGTGACTCTCCCGCCAAATGCACACAACGCTACTGCGCGGTTTCAGGAAATGAAGAAAAATCCCAGAAATACTGAGAGCTTTTTGGCTTCAAATCCATACACAGGCGGGAGGCGGAACCAAGTTGTCCATAGTATGTACAGTCCATGATTCACACAGACAAAAAGGCAACATAGTAGGAGAACTCAACTTGTGAGAACTCAAGAAAATTGAAATTTTAAGAAATTCTTAGTAAGTTGCAAATTAAACAAGCAGTATTTAATGTGATTATACTTGACATTTATTTAAAAGCACTACTGTCTGGTTTCTGTTACTTCTCTCGTGTGTATTAGTAACATATCCTTGTTTGCTGATATTAAACTAAAGGCACCGATGACAGAATAGGATTAAGAGTGGCATAATCATATATGCAATCAAAACAGAGACAGTTTAACCCTTATGATCTGTCATGTCCCGCCTTCTCACTCCTGATTGGTCCTTCATCACCAAGAAGGCGGGACATAACTGCGTTGAGCCTTTATCTTATCAAATAAGAATTTAAGACCACAAACGTCATTCTTCGAGGACCAATGAGAGCTCACCATGTTTGGTCATGGGCTTGGTTTTATGCCTGCCCTAATACCCAAACTGCCCTTTTCCCCATCGCCTTACGCCAAGGGTAGGGGGTGTGCATAGGCAGAAATAAAACTCTGCTTAAAACTTTCTTAAGTGAAAGTTCATACATTCACTTTTTGTGTCTTTTAACTTTTTTTCCCCACTCGCTTGTTTTAAGCGCCTGTGGCCTTTTAACGACAGCTGATTTTTCATCAAATTTAAGACAACGCAACTTGATTCAGGGTAAGTTTGCCGAAGCTTCTTCTCTATTTCATGTTTACTGTCCGTGTGTGGAAACCTAAACTTTACTTTAGGATTTAAAATATCCAGAAGTAAACGTATTATCTGTGGCTTAAAGGAACTAAACAAACACTTGATATCCATGAAACTGATGTAGGTTGATGTTAGCATTAGCGGCTACAGCTAGCGGTTGCGTCGTTTACGTCAGATTAATTTGTCATTTTCCAAACACCTTTCCTTCACACAAGTTCACAGTTTTACCACGAAGGTTTTTGTCTCTAGTTTTATCCTCTTTTACATTGACTGTGTCTTATAAGTTTGTGACTGTCACTCAGAGTTTGAGTGAGCTCTGGTGGTGTGTGTATGGTAGGGACATGTCCAGACATATCGCAGGTCCTGCCCTGGGCCTGTTCCCATGGTCTGTAACACCGTATAAAAAGGCTTTAAACATGTGATAGAAGGACCTTTTAATAAAAGAGGTGTTTTGTGGCCCTTTTAAGTGGAAACACTCCAACAAAATGTGCCCCTCTTATGTGCCCCTTGGAGTCCAGTTGAATCCAGCTCCAGGACAGGTGGTTGGGGAGAGTTGGTCACTTGATAGTCTACAGATTTGGAAGCAGTCCTGTGTTCCAGCCACAGCTGAGCACTACAGTTCCCCAATACAGAACAACGGATCTGATTCAATTGTATTTCCATTAAATTTCCAACTAACTCTGGAGATCATGATTTTTAGTGGTCAACCATTACAGTTTTTCAATAGCCACTGTTAATATTGAATGCTGATAAAGTTGTTTTATCTTTAACCTTTTATTCTTGCACTTGATAAAATAACACATTAATAATTCTGAGAAATGGCGAACAAAGCTGCTACACTTGAGTATTTTATCAAGTAAAGCACAGGTGTCAAACTCAAGGCCTGGGGGCCAAATTTGGCCCGTGGAACAATTATAATTGGCCCACAAGATCATATCATATTTGTATTTTTATTGGTCCACCAGTATGAAGTCTGCAGATTTCCTCCAGTATAATAATGTAAACTTTTGCACCATTATTTAAAATGTCATTAATAAACAACGAAAATCTGTGAAATTAAAGAGTAAGGAAGATTTGATAAATAGTCAAGAATGTGGGGAAAAAATATTTGGTGTTTGATTTCATGTTTTGCAGTTCAAGACTATAAGTCAAACATGACTGTTTTTTTATATCATGCTTTGATTTTGTTCATATCAGTATATAGACTTGTGACACTTATACTTTGTGATATTTTGACCTTTTAAACCCAATTTTAACGTTCCCCTCATGTATTTGCTCTTTTAAAAGCATTATTTTTCTGTTTTTAATATCATGCTCTGATCTTTTGAACTAATAAATAAAAATAGAATAAAAAATGTAAACAAATATTTTTTTTCTATCTCAGATTGCTTTTAAACTTATCTTTTTATCTTTTTTGAATTTCCAAATGATTTATAATCATTGCTGTTTTTGGTACATATTTTTTGAAAAGGAGGCTGACAGATTTGGTGAAATGTTGACCCTGTTTTGCCCTCAGGTTAGACCTAAATCCAGATTATGGCCCTTGCTGTGGTTGAGTTTGACACCCCTGAAGTAAAGGTTGTTTGAAAAATATTTGCCTCAGTAAAGTATTGTCACAGGGACTTTTGGATTTCTGTGTGGCTTTCTTAAGACAGAAAAATAATGTCATTTAAATATTGTGGTTTAACAACGATCAAAGAAACTCATTTATGGAATTACATGCAAATTAAAATCTGATATAGATGGTTATCTTAGCTGATGACATGTTTTAGGTGGATTTTTTATTGAGTTATTGGAAAAAAACAAAGCTATATGTTTCATGCTATAGGTTTCAGAACATGGCTGACTTTTATGGAAATTGTTAAACAGGTTATTTTATATAAATCAGCATAATTTTTAAATTGCTTGCCAGTGACAGTCTTGCATTTGATATGCTGTCAGAAGTAGAGAGGCACCGGTCCATTTTTTTCCAATCCAATCAGATACCGATACCTGGGCTAAACAGCTAATCGGCCGATATTCAATACGATCCAATACTACTGTTGAATGAATAAACCTCATACCTTGCTCTGTGAGTGAAAGGATCAGGCTTGACATTAGCCTTGTTGAAAGAAAAGGTAACCAATCAACACAGATATAAATTTACTTAATATTATTTATTAACAAATGACAAATTGCACATTCGCACACAGCAAAAAGAAGTAAGACTTCCATGTAAACGTTAAGTGCAAAAGGATAGACGGACATAGTGTGACAGAGCTGCAGACAGAGTGAACAGAATCGCTGTGTAGCTGTGTATGATATTAATTCAAAGAAAAAAAAGACTAGATCAGAACGCTGGATCGGCATCATTCATCAGATATCTGATCCAGTTAATTTGTCAATATCGGAGCCGATATCCGATCCAAATATCAGATTGGTGCATCCCTAGTCAGAAGAAACGATAATGGTGATATCAACTTTGTGAGGGCTTATGATGCTGAGTCCAAGTGCCGTTAATCAGCTTGGTTATTTAGCCAACTGATTAATCTGTCTATCCATTAACAAAATATAGGAAACAGAGTTTAAGATGATACTCAGATACACTACCACTACCTGCTATTGAATAACAAATATAAAATACTGTAATCACCTCTGATCATGTCAACAAAAACTAAAAATGTAGATTTGTGTGAGTGGAGTTAGTGATAGAGCTGCTTTAGATCGCCCAGATTTTCATGATGTTATGGAAGGGTGATGTGTTTATCAATTCAAAACTTTAATCAGTTCAGATTTACAAAGCTAGTCAGACCAAGATGATAGTGGAAAAGTATTGCACCCAACTTGTGAAAAAAAAAATGTTACTTTTATGTCTACTGGTTTTGTTCATCCCTTTTTCCTTCTCCCACAGATGATCGACACAGTAACAGAGCCCAGTGCACAAACCTTTGCAGTTCAACTGAAGGCCCTGACAGACCTGGAGGGCAGATACCAACCTAAGCTGAGTGGCTTGAGGTTTATCGAGGGTTCCCAGGACAATGGCCTCAGGATGACCACCAGACTGAGGGAGTTGGAGGTGAAGGACCTGCTTTCTCTGACACGGTTCTTTGGTTTCAGCTCTGAGACCTTCTCACTAGCCATCAGCTTGCTGGATAGATTCCTCTCCGTGATGAAGGTTTGTAAATGCCTAAAAACATGTCAGCTGTGGATAACTATAAATAGTTACATTTGTTTTCTATTTCTGTTTTCTATTTCATCTGTTTTCTTTTATCAACAGATTCAACCAAAACACCTCTCCTGTGTGGGCCTGTGCTGCTTCTACATTGCCATCAAGTCCACAGAAGAGGAGAAGAACGTGCCTCTGGCTAACGACTTGATCCGCATCAGTCAGAATCGCTTCACGGTGTCTGACATGATGAGGATGGAAAAGATCATAATGGAGAAGCTGTACTGGAAGGTGAAGGCCCCAACAGCCCTTCGCTTCCTCCGCCTCTTTCACAGCCACATCCAGGAGCAGCTCGATGTTGAGAGGTAAGGACAGACGACCAAATGCACCTGCAGGGCTGAACCATTACTCAACAAGATTATATTAACTCTCCTAGAATGTGGTCTATGTTTGGCTATGAAGAAAACAAGAGCCAAAAATATTTAATTTAAACCCAACAGGAATATTTTAGGGGACAATTTAAATCATGTTGAATTTTAAACATGACATGTTTTCAGTTTTTTGTTGCAGATTGATGTGGAATTTAGAGAGCTCTGTATGTAGCTCACATCTTGACACTAAAAGCATTTACACTTTACAGCAAGAAGATCCTGAGCCTTGAGAGACTGGAAGCTCAGCTGAAAGCTTGTCACTGCTCATTTGTCTTCTCCAAGTTAAAGGTAGGCCTAAAAACTGTCCTGTCATACTTGTTCAAAAAGATGGCATACTTCCAGTTGCCTTTTCTGTTTGGGTTCATAATGATAAAGTTCTCCACCCATGTGATTAAAATTAAAACAGCTGTAATGTTGAATTGTAGTAGTTTGCTGTGAAAGTTTCCTCTGTGTTGAGCCTTGTAAAAAAGAAAAAGTTTCTTTGCTGCTTTTCTTGGATCTGTTTACAGTGTTTGCTCTTTATGTGATTAAGAATTTAAATGTTGTTTCTCTGCAGCCATCCCTGCTTGCTGTGGCTCTCCTGTGTTTTGAAGCTGAGGAGCAACATGACCCTATGCACATGAGCAAAATCCAAGAAGCCCTTAAAAATTTGCAGCAACAACTGAATGTAAGCATAAAATGTTTTGTTTTTTTTTACAGAGTGAATGCTGCCATTTCAACTGGAAAAGCTAATGAGTAATGTTTTTAATTTTAGTAGTTGTCACACGGCTTGTTTTTTTACAGCTCAAATATTGCTCAGTGATTTATAATTATTGGTTAGTGTCAAAGATATGATGCACACACACTGCAAACTGCAGTAAACCATTTCTTCATCCTCTGTGCAGGTCAGAGATGGGGACCTGGTCTGTGTGCAAGAGCTGGTTGGAAAATGTCTGGCTGAATATGCCACCTCCAAGTGCTCCAGGCCCAACACCCAGAGGCTCCGCTGGACTATTTCTGGAAGAACAGCACGTCAGCTGAAGCACAGCTACTACAAGATCACTCATCTTCCTACCATACCTGAGTCAGCGTGTTAAACCTGAGGCTACCGCCGGGCTGCTTTACATGCAGATAAAAATTACAGCAGTCCCTAAACTCTTAATTCTGATTGGATATCTTTTAGTAGTTTTCTTGCAGTTTGGTCACCCTTGAATTCTTCTAGTTATTTTCCTTACAGAACTTCATCTATGATGATGGACTTCTTTGAGGAAAAACTCCTTTGTTCAGGTTTTTCTAAGTTTGCGTCATACTCTAGGTACTCTGGCCGACAAAAAGTACTTTTTCATCTGCAAGTTGTACCAACTACCATCCTGCAAAGTTTTACTTCACTGATTGAGTTGCTTGCGCAAGTGTACAGTATGTTCTCGTTGAAATCCGTACCAAGGCGTTTGGTTTTTCCTGGAACGGGTTGCAGGCTTTGAGCTATTAAGTATAGAACCACCTAGGTCCTCAGTCCACCATGTGGAAGAGGAGGGAGAAGGATTTTGTGAATAGCAAAAATGGAACCAAGTAATCGGGCCCAAAATCCTTAACTCCCACCCTAGGTTGCTAAGCTGTCCTGATTGCACACTCCTACCCAAGGTGATGATTTTTTTTTTTTAAACTTCGATAAGGTGAGGGAGCTCCACTTTTCTCTGGTGAAGTGAGGCTAGAGATGATTCCGTCTTGTACGAACAACCGGACTGTGTGAGGCTTTAAAGTCCTCTGCAGTTACAGATGAGATGTTTTCACAGATTCTTGATTTGTGTACACAGAGTGAAGCACCATGTGTATGAATTGATTTCTGTTGTCAATTATGCGAAGAACTCCAGGGAAAATTGGTCATTGCAGTGGAAACATGGGTTAGAATTTGTTTTGCATTTTCTTGGCCAATTTCCCTGTTTAGTCTAAGTTACTTTGAGGGACAAAAATAAAATGTGTTCTCAAATTTAAAAATGACAAAATGAATACACCATCTGGTTAACCCATGTACTTGTACCTTTCAATAAAACTTTATTGAAAAGCTATTGCTGCGTGGTCTATTTGTTATTGAAGACATCACATCTCACAGGCTGCTGCAGGCCTGAAGAGTTTTTATCAACTGAACCTCAGATTCAATGAGCTGTGCAGCAAACCAAAATTTGTTACATCTGAAAAAAAGAAGGCTTCTGTGAAGGTTTGTCAATGTCACACACTGTAATCTTGTTTTCTTCCCAGTATTCAGTTCCACTGAAGGCAAATGCTGATTGTAGTAAATCAGATGAATTCACTTGTCCTCTGCATGTCTCAAAGGTAGCTGTCCATCAGCAGAGTTTGCACCCCAGCATGTTGCATGGAACTCGTCACTTCTGCAAGCTGGAAAAGTCAGGACCACCCCCTGAAAAATTCCCAGAGATCTCCGCGCCACTGAAGTCGAATCCAGGACTCTGGCAAAGGAGTAGAATTAACTCATTAGGAGGAGCCCAGTATCTATGTAAAAAGGTGAGTATCCACAGTAAGCCATGTAACACATTTAAACTGAATCTGATAACACCTTCACTAAAACCAATGTCTGGTACACTATAACAGTGTAGGAGTCTTAAGAACTATCCAAGTTAAAGTGGACTAAAATATATGTTTGAATTTTCCCAAAACATCCACAAAACAGCCAGTGACTAATTTGGAGAGGTTGTAAAAAATGATGGTTATTAAAATCCTTTTTGATTGACGACTAAAGCACTTTGTGACAACTATATAAATAAAGTTTTTTTATTATTGTTATAAAAAAGTCAACTGGAAGCTTCACTTGCGAACAATGGGCAGTATTGGTTGACGATAAAAGTAGCTAACATCTAACATTTATGAAGTCATTTACTAGTTTGTGGTAGAACAGTTGCTTTGAACAAATTTTAGGTTGCCAATTTCTCACATACTTGTTGTCCAGTCTCTCTGATTGGACATTTCTATAAACTGGCAAAAACAACCTCGGTAAAGACATCTGGGTATCAACATCTTTTTACTCTTGAATGTAATGACTTGGTTGGTAAGCTGTGTCATGGTAACTTCCCACACAAACCAGTTAAAATGGATATGAATTATTTTAAGCTGGTCAGGAAATATCCTACAACTACCACATACAAGTCCTTACAAAAGAAAAGGCAACTGAACCTTTCCAGCTCATACACCATGGGAGACAAGTATGCACCTGATAACTTGTAATAACCTCTTGGCATCATACACCCTGGCCCTACAGATGGCACTTAATCAAACTGACCTCCCGCTGGAACCTCTCCAGGGTGAGCTTTCTCTGCATCTGGTCCTGGACCCAAGCATTCGCACAGTACTCTCCCTCCAGCAGAGAGGACCAGCAGTTCCCTGCCTCTCTGTTAGTCTTCATCAGAATGATTCTGATAAGACTCTTGTCCTCTGTGCACAAAAAGAGATGAAATATGAGATCAAGATTTAATAATAGAGTTAGGTGAATGTTACTTACATGTGCTGCTTACCGAGTGTCCATGTGGCCTCATCAGATACGGTTGTGTCAAACAACTTGCCCTGACAGAATGTATACAGGGAAGACATTTCAGGGTTATATATGAATTCACAAAGTCATGAGTTAATAACTTAAGTCTCTGTTAAAGTAGAGGCATCACTAGGTATACAGATATCACTATGCACTATGCATTGTAATAGGCCTTTTCCACTGCTGACACTGAGGCATAGCAGGGAAAGCCCAAGAGAAACAGCTAATAACAGAAATTCTCTGTTTATTGTCATCTGAAACGTCTTCAGTGATCTCCCATGTTCGATACTAAACCCTAGCATTGTCTCAACATCACTGAATACATCCATCTTTACCATTTTACAACATGGCTTCTCTAAGAGGGAGTTAAAGTGATATTCCGGCGTAAAATTAATTTAGGGTCAAACACACCGCAACACCGGGTTAGACACCCCCTTGAGAGATGAATGTTGCCGACTTCTCTAGTTATACCAACTTTAGTAACGACCGCAGGATAACGATACACAGCAGTCTGAGGAGCCATAAACAAACCTCAACCAAAAAGCCACTCTTTAGCCACAAATAATGCTCAGAACAGCACCTAACTTCATCATCAGTACATATAGGGTCCCAGCCACAGAACTAGCCATCAAACATCTTTTTAGCTTTGCCTGATTTCTTTAGCAAAGAGGCTTAACGCAACTCACCCACTCTCCTCCAGCAGCCGATTGTTTGTAGCGAGACCTCAGTCGAGTCAATTATGGACTACAGTGGGGTGACGCAGCTCAAGGAAGAACATTTATGATCATTATTTTATTATTTCCTTGAAGTAATAATCACCTTATTAATCATTTTTGCACTGCAGACACAGTAGTTCTTCTGCCTAAGTGTCTCGGTCTGATTGCATTTCCATGAAGAAATGATCATAAATTTTCTTCCTTGAGCTGCGTCACCCCACTGTAGATCATAATGGACTCCCCCGAGGTAAACAAGCGGCTGCTGGAGGAGAGTAGGTAAGTTAAGTATCTTTGCTAAAGAAATCAGGCAAAGTTAAAAAGATGTTTGGTGGCTAGTACTATGGCTGGGACCCTATATGTACTGTTGATGAAGTTAGGTGCTGTTCTGAGCATTATTTGTGGCTATAGAGTGGCTTTTTGGTTGAGGTTTGTGTGTGGCTCCTCAAACCGCTGTATACTGCTATTGTGTGGTCGTTACTGAAGTTGGTTTAACTAGAGAAGCAAGCATTTGACAACATTCATCTCTCGAGGGGTGTGTTTGACCCTAAATTAATTTTACGCTGGAATATCCCTTTAGAAAATAAAACCAACTATATCAAGTACAATCAACTATGACAAATCTAGATGTATCATTGTAGCTACATGTAAATATTTTCACAATACCATAGTAACAATGTTTGTGCTCTTTTTGAGTTTCACAAACAGGCTGTTAAAAAACTTTTAAATACTTTTTAAATCTCTGTTTTATACACATGGTTTCTTTTATGTCATTTTCATAGCACGCAAGGGGAAGACAAAACAGACCCAGAAAACCGATTAATAGTGTATTCAGTGTGTTATTTACTGTCCCTTTCTCTCTAAAAACGGGTGTAGAAAAGTCCTTCTATTCACTCTCATAGCTTACCTTGAATATTTCTGTCCCTTTGACATGCAGCTCGATGTCTCTGGACCCCAAACGGCACTTGACCTCTTTAGCAGAAGTCCCATGAGGTACGTCGACCTCGATGAAAACCTCCTCCATGGTCTGGTACCAGGAGCCCCAGGGTGTCTTACAGGGGACGACCCCGCTCCTCTCCTCGAAGTGTACGGACATGCTGCGGCTTCTGCCCGGCGGACGGTGAGTCGGCTGGCTGAACTTCACTGAGGCGCCAAGTTGACAGACAACAGTTTACCACTCTAACTATCTTTACCTTTCTGAATTGATCTGCCTCTTCTCAGGTCTTTATTTTTTAAACATTAAAACCTGTTCCTGTCGATATTCGGTGATTTTGTTTACCTTCATCATGTAGTTTTGCTTCCTACGTTTTGCTCCCCACTCCAGATACTTCTTCTTCGTCTATCAATTCAGAGTTCAGTTCCGGTTGTAAGCAAATCTGTAGCTGCAGCGCCATCTGCTGTCTCACAAATCAAAGAACACTATAAACACTTGGCATTTGACATGCATATCAAACATTTTTAAGTGTTGTTAAAAAAGCGTAGGATAAAGAAATGGAAAGCATTGGTTTCATGTTAAATTTTTATACGCTTTATTAATTTAAATTGGCTTAAAAAGAAGCCAGCAGAATCCATGGTTTGTCTAAAAATGGAGTGGATTTACTAATCTGTTAATTAGATTACTGTCTGTGCCTCAGTGCCTCCTGTTTCCCTGTACATACCTACAGTCACTCTATTGACACCAGCAAGGACCTGTACTGCCATTCTGTTATTCCTGTAACACTACATAGTTATTATCATTATTATTTTGATAATGAGTGTCACATAAAGTTGACTTTAAACTTGGTGGGAAAATGCTGCCCAGGATGGCTGTCCTGCAATCAACTTTTGTAACTTTTGTTTGCTTGACAAGGTAAGATTCCCCTCTAAGCTTGAACATATCAGAGTAAAACAAATTTGATGGTTTAACTGTTTATTATGTTTTTCTCAGTCTTGGTTACATACATGGAAATGAGAAGATATTTTCAGACAATATTACCCGAATTTTGGACCGACTTCTGGATGGTTACGACAACAGACTGCGACCAGGATCTGGGGGTAATTCAGATAACGAATCTCGTTCTTTTGTTTCTCAGTGCTGATAGTTTTGTAAAGATAGAGTAGAACAGGTATTTTGTTTCAAGCTTTTTGTGTGCGTTTTGTCTTTATTGCAGGTGGTGTCACAGAGGTGAAGACAGACATCTTTGTCACCAGTTTTGGACCTGTTTCTGATGTTGAGATGGTATGAAACTGCTGCTGTAAGGAGATGTATAAGTGCTGACTGTGTGAGATAATAGCACTTTGGTGACTACTGCCTTGCGGGCAATCTGCCATGAGACCATCTAATGAGCTTTAATTTGTTTGACCAGCCTTATAACTCCATTATTGATGGCCTTTAAATCAATATGACAACACGTCAGACAGAGCAAATGGCTGAATGGATTGATTAATGATTATCTGGGATGAGTGGCATCCATCATTGCCTCGTCATCTCTCCTCACCTTTCTCTGCACGCTGAAATGGCTCTATAGTATTATGCAGGCTGATAACTGATAGGGACTGGGCTTATCTGTGATATGCAAGAGATTGTATTATTCATATAATAAAGTTATGCACTCATGTCTTGTCCACGCTTTAGGAGTACACGATGGACATGTTCTTCCGTCAGATGTGGGTCGATGAACGGCTAAAATTTGAGGGCCCGACTGAGATCCTACGTCTCAACAACCGCATGGTGGACAAAATCTGGACCCCAGACACTTTCTTTCGAAACTCCAAGAAGTCCCTTTCACACAACATGACCACACCAAACAAGCTCTTCCGCATCATGCAGAACGGGACGGTCCTCTACACCATGAGGTAACCTTACCCAGTACAGTTATTGTGTTTTTGGAAAGACCTCATTTGTTTTACATGAAAAGATGACCCTGGCCTGTTTCTGCGTGCTGTTAGACTGACCATCAGCGCAGACTGTCCAATGAAGCTGGTGGACTTTCCAATGGATGGGCATGCCTGTCCTCTGAGATTTGGAAGCTGTGAGTATAACAGATTTCTCTTCCCAATTATGTGCGTTACTCAGGACTTTAATTCCTTACTGAATTATCTTTGCATTTTTAGATGCCTACACAAGCAATGAAATTATATTTACATGGAGGAAGGGGCCGATAGCATCTGTTGATTGCCCCCCAGAGTCCATAAGTCTTCTGCAGTATGACCTGGTGGGACAGACTTTGTCCAGCGAGATATTCAAATCGAACACAGGTAAGGTTTATAGATGTTTGATCAAGATTGTGGGCATACACTGAAATGATTCATATAAATTAGCATCCATCACTTTTCAGAGTCAAGCTCCTTCCTTTCTTGAGCATCCATCCTCTTTTTGATACTCATGTGATCAAGGTTAATGCATACACTATAATTTAAAGTGAACTATAACATTTTAAACCCAGTGAATGCAGTGACAGAAGAAGAATGGGCGAGGGTTATATGTATTTTCTCTTGCTTGTGCTGTGAATCCAGCACATTCCTGGAGTACAGAGGAAAAAGATGAGGCAGACTCCAAAATGTAGAGATGAAACCCATTAAGAAAACAGGGAGAGAAAAAAAAAACCCTCCTTCTGTGTGTGCGTGCATAATGCAGTGTGTGTGTGTCTCTGGTCTGCAAATGTCTGCATGCATGTGTTTAGACAGAGCAGGGCAGTGTTACACATTGTGACACTGTATGCTCTCCTCCTGCCCCCTCCTCACTCGCTCCTTCCTCTTCACTTTATCCCATTTCCAAATGTCTGCTGTGCTCGCTCCTCCTTCTTCTCCTCCTTTTTGTCCTTCCTCTCTTCCTTCCTCCTCTGCCTCACTCTCTGATGCTCTGTTAGTAGGCTAGTCCAGTCCTAACAGCAGAAATACATCTTTATGTCTCTCTCAGCAGCAGTTCTGTTTCAAGGGCAGACAAGGGTATCTGTTCTGTGCCACCCCGCTCTATCCCCTCAGGGTTGCTCTGTTCACACATATACTGTTTATTTCGCAGGTCAGTACTCAGTGCAGGTGGTCCACTTCCACCTCCAGAGGAAGCTAGGCTACTATCTCATACAGACCTATATCCCCCTCATAATGGTTGTAGTGCTGTCACAAGTCTCGTTTTGGATCAACAAGGAGTCTGTTCCTGCACGCACAGTTGCCGGTATGCCCCCTTTTCCCTAAACTGCTCATAAAATTTGATGCTATCATACACCTCCATGAGAGTTTCATTCATGCTGTTCCCCCCAGGAATAACTACTGTGCTGACCATGACCACCTTGAGCATCAGTGCTCGTCAGTCACTGCCCAAAGTAGCCTATGCCACCGCCATGGATTGGTTCATTGCAGTGTGTTTTGCCTTTGTGGCGTCAGCTCTCGTCGAGTTTGCGGCAGTGAATTACTTTGCCACCCTGCAGGCCAACCACTTGAAGAGGAAGAAAACCAGACAGGAAAAGCTGGAGGTGTTGGCCAGCACCACTGAAGATGGAGATACAGTTTCAGTGAGTAGTTGATTTGATGTGCTATTATATTTTAAGAAGTATGTTCTGAGTATGAGTCTGAGGCACCTTTGTCTCAACTTGTGTATAATACAGTAAGAAAAAATGCTTATCTTAGTAAAAGACATTAGGAGGAACTTTAAGGCTGTGGTAATTCTGGTGACCCCTTTAGATTTAATCAGTCTTATTTATGTGTGATGAAGACTGTCTTTCACATGAGCACCATCGCTCACTGTTGTAAAGATGTGGCCTCTATCAAAGTGAACGTTTGCTGTAGAAGCAAATGAATGGTTACAGATTTTATTGATACTCTTTGTCTTTGTTCAAGATAATTTTTTGAGTAATAAGGCAATGTATGTTTATGTAGCTGCATAAAATCATTCACTGTAACATCACACCAACCAAACTTTGTAAATCCTGATTTATTATTTTTCATGAACTTACAAAAGGCGACCATATTTACTGGTTTAAAGTTAGGCATCGCTGCCCTGGCGTCCCCACGTCTGCTCCAGTGTCTAAATTTGGTTTAACTGTACTGTCTTTGAAAAGCAGTGAGACATTCACACACCTGCATGATCATTAGAACCTGTTTGTAACCATATTACTCTTTTACCTGCAATGCCTGAAAATGACACTCTCTACAGAACCATGTGTCTTTCTAAATCTAGTCCCAGTATCAGCCATGCGTATGAAACATTGTGTAGTGAAGGTTCGCTAAAGAAAAAAGACTCCTCCTGCTTACTCATTTACGTCTCATTAGTGCCAACATTTATCAGCTGAGTCAAAAATGTAATAATTTCCAGGCGAGCACCAAAAATTGACCAGGCACTAAACCTTAGTCTGAGAAAATAACCAGTCATCTCACTTTACCATTCAAGTTAGGGGCTGAAACGAATAATATTTACACGGAATAACAAGGAATAACAAATTTGATCGACCAACATTTGCGATCTTCTTCTTCTTCGAGTCCGTAGCGATCTCAGATGTCGTTCTGCCAGTATCGGGCACAGGCCACAGCTGCTGGAGTAGACTCTGCCAGGTCTTCTGGCCTACACTGGGGGGCATCAGCACATTCCAGTAGGTGGGACATTGTCTGCGTTGATCCACAGCTACACGTCTTCTGTTGTGTAGTTCCACACTTTCATCAGTGCTTTGCACCTCCCCTGTTCCACACGCAGTCTATTAAGCGACTTCCAGGTAGTCCAGCCAAGGTCGTGACCGCTAGCGAGGCTTTCCGTTGGTGTTATTCCTCTGTCCAACCATTGGGAGCTCGTGGGTCACAGCTCTTACATTCATCTTCCCAGATGTTGGCCCTTGCTGCTTCTTTGGTTGTCTGGAGGGGCAGAACAGTCTGAACAAAACTAGTTCTGGATCAGAGCCTGCGTGGGGGTGCTATGTGGCCATGTAACGGGTGTCTGACGTTCATCTCCTGTGTTCTTCGCTCATCTTGAGCGATACCCAATTGTCTGATGTGCTGGGGAGAGATGCCTGCTAGTGCATACAGGCACAGGATAGGTGTTGACTTGACACAACCCGTGATGATGCGGCAGGTGTCGTTTAGGGCTGTGTCGACCAGTTTGGTGTGGCGTGATCGGTTCCAGCTTGAGCAGGCATACTCTGCTGTGGAGAAGCACAGGGCTATGGCAGTAGCACGGATTGTTGGTGGATCTGCGCCCCACTTGGAGTTCACTAGTTTGCGTAGGATGTTATTATGGGTGTTGACCTTGGCTTTAGTGTTCTCCAGGTGTTTCTTGTAGGAGAGTGTCCTGTCAAGTGTGACTCCAAGATACATGGGATGTGGATGGTTGGACAGTTTGTGGTCATCCCAGGTGTCGCTCAGTTCTCTTTTCGCGTCACGGTTCTTCAGATGGAAGCTGCATAGTTGGGTTTTGGATGGGTTGGGTTTAAGGTGGTTATTATTGTAGTAGTTTGACATTTCTTGGAGGGCACTTTCAAGGACGGACTCAATCTTCTGGAAATCTACTTGTTGGGTGGTGATGCAGAGGTCATCTACGTAGATGAAACACTGGCATTCTGGGGGTAGTGGCTGGTCATTTGTGTAAATATTGAAGAGGAGAGGGGCCAAAACGCTACCTTGTGGGAGGCCGTTCTTTTGGGCTTTCCATTTGCTCCTCTGTTCATATAACTGGACATAGAATCGCCTGTTGTTAAGGAGGCTTTTGATGACTTGACAGAGATTCAGGTCTCCAGTCATGTCCGGTAGTTTCCTGACCATTGTGCGGTGTTGGACGGTGTCATAGGCAGCAGTTAAGTCTATAAAAGCTGCTCCAGTTATTAGTTTCCCTTCAAACCCATCCTCAATGTGTTGGGTGAGGTTAAGTAGCTGTCCAGCACAGGAGCGGCCAGGGTGGAAACCAGCTTGGTCTTTGGTCAGCTTGGTGTCTATGAGAGGCATCAGGTGTTGGAGTAGCAGTCTCTCGTAGAGCTTGTACGTGATACAAAGGAGAGAAATGGGTCGGTAGCTCTTTGGGGATGAGGGGTCTTTGCCGGGTTTGGGGATTGCAACCACTTTGGCCTTTCTCCACACAGGTGGGATGGTTTTCTGCACCATGCATGTGTTCAGCATCTCCAGGATCCAGGTTTTTGCTTTGGGTCCCAGGTGCTGTAACATTTCTGCCAGAATATCATCAATCCCTGCTGCTTTTCTGGGTTTCAGCTTTCCCAGTGCAGTTTTGAGTTCTTCTATGTAGAAGGGTTTGGTGAGAGAGCTGGCTGGTTGTGGCTGGTCTGATACCACTGTGCGATGGTGTTCTCCTGTGGGTCGGCGGCGGAGTTGGTTTCGGCCGTTGGCCACCAGCTGTGATGCAACAGAGTTTGCTGTGACTGTTGTGATTATGGGTGGAGTGGTGTGGTCTTCGCCAAGGTGGTGGATTGTGGCCCATGCCTTCCTGCTGTTGTTTGCCATGTTCGTGTTCTATATCAGCTCCTTCTAGACTTTCCTTCGTTCTTCACCAACTTCACTGATGAGGGTCTCTCCCAGTTCCATGGTGGTGGAGGAGAAGGGGTCGTTGTTATATTCCTCATAGTAGGCTTTCAGCAGGTCGCTGGATGTTTCTGAGAGCCCAGGGATATACTGTGTCTGACATCCTCTGGGTATGTGATGCCTGGCCAACCTTTTAACCAGATCTGTGAAGTTGGAGTAGTTGTTGGGAAGTGGTGGTATGTTAGATATGGAGTGCTCTATCTCCTGTTGGAATGACAGCCAGTCAGCTTTCCGCAGGTTGAACCTCCTGCGGAACGGGACGGTGATTGCTTGAGAGCAGATCTAACAGTGATGGCAATTGGCCGGTGCTGGGTATCGGGGATAGGGTCCCGGACTTCCTTCTGGGTTCTGGATGTCGCTACTAACACAGGCGAGGTCTGGGTTGTATCCTCCCTTCCATCTGGCACTGTGGAAGGATTTGGGGAGTTTGGCGTTGTGGATTAGGGTGAGGTGTTTTGACTCGAGCCAGGTCTCAACTTCATCTCCATCTTTGTTGTTGTTCTCGTAGCCCCATTATGTGCTGGGGGAATTAAAGTCGCAGATGCTGTTGTGAAATCTCCTCTTGCATCTTTCTGGTAGTTCTGTGTATAGGAAGGGGGGATGCAGGTGGTTTGTAGACTGATGTGACAGAGACATTTGGGAAGACAACTGTGATGGTTTCCATGTTCCCTTCCGTAGTGTGGGTCCAGACTTCCTCAATCTTGAGGTTTGGTCTGCTGAAAATAGCTGATCCATACTGTCTCTGTCGGATCGCAGTGATCAGATTCATTCCAGGGATGGTAGGACGGTGTTGTGCAGGGCCAATGTGGGTTTCCTGCATGCAGAGTATGTCAAAGCGATTGACCATCGTTGCCAGTATCTCTGCTTTACATCCGGAGAAACCATCATTGTTAACTGAGACAACTGACAGTGCGGGTCCAGAGAGAGGCAGGTATCTGTGGCGCTGTTGGGATCCGGCAGTCATCTTCATCATTTGGTCGCATGTGATTATAGACACTTTTAGTGTGATACAAATCAAAAATAAGTTTTAAGTGTCTTTAGAATGGAATAACTGCTGTTAAGAGTTGAGAAGTAAGTCCTGTCCTTTAGTCTTCAGCTCAGCATCCACATGCAATAGTAATAAGTGCCAGTAGGTTATAGAAATGAATAACTTAGGGAAATGCCCCAACACATTTTGCCTGAATGATACAGGATGTTGAAGATAAATAAGAGGTGACCACAAGCTTCAGTTTGATAAAACTAGAGCTGCTTACATTTTCCCCTGCTTTTTAAGTAAACGTTAAGTTAACCAGCTACCAGCTTCTGCAACATATTCAACAATGTCAATCTTCTCCTCCAATGTCAAGCAATGAAGCAAACTGAAATATGAACCAAATTGTTGGTGTATTTTTTGATACGTAAAATGAAACTGATCTCTTATCTGTAAAAACCAAATGCTTTTCAAGAACATGTCTGCAGTATGTTAGTGATTTAAATGATCAACAACGGCACAATGTTAATTTCGTAAAAAAAAGGAATAAAACCCCAGACCTCTTTGCTGTATTTTTTCAGTTGGCAGATTGCTGCAAATGATGATGTGGATATTTCGATGGTTTTCATGATGTGGCACTGTAAATAAATGAACAAATCTTATAACGGAGTGTAGAGATACTGAGTTAAAGAGTCTGATGTAGTGGTGTTGATAATGAGCTGAAAGTCTGCAACTCCATACCCTGTTGTAGAGAGAAAGACACGGCACAGATAGGAGGTCTGTTTCTATGCATTTCCAAACAGTCGCCCCTTTTCTCTCATTCTCTGCATTCAGGGCACAGCACACATTAAATAGTAATTTGTGCTGTTGTAGTGCTCTCATCTCCAGCTATATGCTTTATGCTAATACAGTAAGCCACCACGGCGTCCTCCTGGGATCTGTCTCACGTGTAAGGCTCATGGTTAGATGCTTTAAAAATAGCCTCAGTGTGAGAACAGAGAACAACTCCAGCACCTCTCCCTGTATAATCTCCTCACCATCCTATGGGCATCCAGCAAACTACCTGCTGGGTTCTATAGGGATGTAGGCATGCCATTGAGAGAAAGATCCCGTGAGAACTAACATCACTTCCAGGCTTATATACAACACCAAAGCATGTTTAAACAACAAACATACAAGCAAACCAGAATACTTTTACACTGCCTAACCATCTTCTCTCACAGAGCTGAAAATTCCCACCAACCCCATCTCACCTCTTTTTGCTTTTCTTTCCAACCCCCCCCCCAGCAGTCTGACGGCAGCCCTCAGGAAGGCCTGAAGAAGAGGAACCATTCAATGGCTCGCAGTGAAATAGGAGAGGGTCCTCCACTGCCAATTTTCCTCCAGCAGGGCTCAGCTTTTCCTCAAATCCCCCAGCTGGCCGGCACCAGCCCCATCGACAAGTACTCCCGCATCCTGTTCCCCCTGGCCTTTGCTTTGTTCAACGGGTTTTACTGGTACATCTACCTGGCTAAGGACACCATGGAGAGAGCCAGGTACGTGACAGTGATGTTTAAGAAAAACGTTCAAAATCATTTATTTTTATTATGGCCCTTGTCTCATTTATTGACATGGAGGCTTTATGGTTTATGACTATGCTACTCAGTAGGGGGAGTCTAAATCTTTTAAATACAGTTTTTGGTATTATGAAAAGTGTGGTCCCCCAAAACCTCAATATTCTCCGGTCTGAGTAATGTTTGCTAAAAACTAGTGTCCAGCTGTTTAAGGATTTGACTTTTTCTCTCCATAAAAAAAGTATGTTTTTCTTTATGGTGCAGCAAAAAGGAATGCCTAAAGCCTGGTACAGATGAGCTTTTTTTGCACTGCCTTGCTGTGCAACGGCAGTGGTTTATCAATCACACAAACCCCCGGAAGATTTACAGTATATGAGAGGATGCTTGAGAGCATTGCACTCAATTCGTATAACCCATGCACACATACTGTCTTTGTGAGCACTTTTACAGCTCTCCCCAGCAACATCCCTCTACTTGTGAGTAAAACTTTGTGACCCATGAAGAGAAAACTACTGTTTGAGCAAATGCAGAAATGGACTGAGTACACGATCGCTTTCCCCGTTCCCAGTTGCTCTGCTGCTTGCCAGACTTTGATCTGCTTGACTAGTTATGAATGTCAACTAGTTATTTGTTTTGTTAGTGGGCATGAACAGAAAGAAGTCATGCTGGGGTCACTACAGTCCTTCTCTTGACGGACTCTTAATTGTGACTGTGGGATTGTGGGGCTGTTGGGTGAGACCTGTCAAATATCAATGGTCAAATGTCAGGTATTATAATGTGTTATAACTGTTAACAACTCACTGATAATGCCCACATAGATAATGCAATGCAACTGTTGTTACCTGACCTTGTAAGTCATGATAAAATGCTTAATAATGTGTTATGATTATTACTATAGAGCATTATGAGCATATATGAGTGTTTATAACTATATTTATACAGTGCTATAACGTGAGTATAACACAGTATGAATGAGTGTTAATCACATTTCTTATTTATATGAGTGCAAGTGAGTTAAGTCCTGACCATTCTTCTCGTAGTCCTGCAAATATCAAGTAATATCTATGAAGCAGAATTATTATTTCTCTCCACATCTTTCATTTGCAAACAGAAATACTTTTAGATTCTGTAAAACCAAAGGATTCTTTTTTCTTGCACTCCTCCATTTTTGAGCCTTTACGGATACACACACACACACACACACACACACACACACACACACACACACACACACTTCTTGTGTGATCACATCTTACAAGTAAGCTATGCCTTTTGGGGTTTGACCTTTAACCTTTTGAGTCTTGTGTGACAAGGCAGTAGTTTCAGAATCCTTTCATGCAAAAAAGTAAAAATAGCAGAGACATACTTGGGGATAATCCACAATTTTTGTTCAAATGGTATAAAAAGGAGGGATTGTTTGATGGATATTTATGCACACTTACTTTGTATTTAAAAGAGGCACAGACCTGTCTCACTCTGCTCTCATTATGATAGCTTCAGTCGAACATTAACTACCCACAGTTTCAGTCAAGGACTTTTATCTAGGCAGTAAAGACATCAATAATTTCTAATGCTGAAACAGCCTGGAGAGTTGTAGGCAAATAAAAGAAGAGGGAGGAGAGTGATGTTAGGTGGCGTTGTTTCTGCACCAATGCCAGCAGTGTGGCTTTTATCATCATCGACGGTTTACAATCGAAAAAAAGGGGGCCGGCTGCTCAGCTAATTTGAGAAGAAAAGCGAGCACCAACATCTCTCCTCTTTCATATAAGGTTTACCTGAGGGCTGGTGAAAACCCCAGCCATCTTAATAACAACTCTATTTTTCCATGGGGACCGGGTCTCACAGGCAAAACAAACCAGGGCATACTTTGTACATTAAGCAACCGAAAAGAAAAAAAAAGCCACTATTCACTTTCCTGCTCATAAGTGAACCAGTTATAGAACAGCTCCATGTCCAAGAAAGACAGAGTGATCCACTGCAAAAAGACAGAAAAAGAAAGAGAGGGAGAGAGACAGAGGAGAGAGAGATGTGTATTATGTAACACTGGGGAGTGCAAATCTGCTCATCATGCTTCTCATGTTCCTGTCAGAGAATTTTTATGCTTGTTTTGTCTATAATGTTCTGCAGAATAATGAGAGACAAGATGGAGAGGGTGAGAACAGCTGCATCACATTTCTTCCCTGTAACATATATTTCTTGCCACATCTCCTGCTCGGTACACTTGGAGAAAACACCTTGAGGAGGAGAGGGAGAGGGAACGGTTTGGGTGCTGCAGAGTCTCTGAATGTGGAGAGAGAAAAGAGGTTTCTGCAGCCTCCTCTCATATTTTGTGCTCTGCTGTGTTCTGCTCTTGCAGGGACGTGGATGTTCAAAACTGAGAGGAAAAGAGCACGTGCAGCCGGAGAGACCTTCAGCATCAAGTCTGCCTCAACTCACCCTGTCTCTCTCTCTCTCTCTCTCTCCTTCTCTCTGTATGTGAACAAGCTCTCAGCAGTCACTCTGCTCTCATCCTACAGAGGAAATGAATCAGAAACTCATTTATTCTCCTGCTGCACATCTATTCATTTCACAGGCTGTGACCACTGCCCACTTGTGTTCTGATCAGTAGCTGAAGAGCTGCCCTTCACAGGGGGCCTAATTCACTTTAAAAACCTGCTATGTACTCCCAAAACTTCTCAGGGTTTGAGACACACGACACACATGTACAGTCGAACCTATGTATGGCGCACATGTTGAACACGCTCAAACACAGAAACACATCAAAAAGAAGTGGATGATATAATCTATGATGGCTGTAACTGGTGGTGATGCAACAGAGAACCAATGCTTTCAGAAGCCTGCCCTCTACAGAAGCACAGCTCCCACTACAACAAGATCAAAGGCAATTTAGAGGAGGCTCGCATCCCTCCCCACGGCTTCAGAAATGTACTCAAACCCGAGAAAATGAATTGTGGGGATTGTGTTTTCCATCCCACCTTTCTTACTCTGGCTCCCTGGTGCTCCCTTTGCATTTTCAGATCCACTGCAGGTCTCCTGAAAACATTGCAGGGAAGAGAAGGCTTTAATTCACACGGGTGCTGATGATTTTAGCGTTCTATTTTTGTACAGATGGTGCATAATAGCTGGGCACAGATCTCTGAGAAGAATCTATTTGTGATGGGCAAATTCTCTCTTCAGTGTCTTTACATGTCCAGTAACATGTAAACTGAGGGTTTCAACTTGATGGTAACTTGACATTTTGGCCACTTTAACCCTTTAGTGCATCCTGTTGTTTGACCTTGTCAGCACTAACACATTGGTCATGTGATAATCACAAGAATAAAAAAGAAAAGCTTCAAAATCGCACCGTTGTTGTTCTTTTCTCTCCTGGCACCAGCGCTTGTTTCTTCATTACGCACAACTACTTGTCCCTTTAATATTTTTCTCTGCAATGGAAACTGCTCATCCTCCATCATCAGTCTCTACTCTTTGATCTTGGGCTGGCTGCACGCATGCGCCTCTCATTGGCTCCTCTGCACCGTCTGGAGTAAGTTGGATGTGCGCTCTCCTCACTCGCATCGCCAAACCACCTCAAAAACTGTTGCGATGGGGAGGATCAGGAAAAACCACTTTGGGATTTTGACTTTTTCCTTATTAGTGACTTTTGTCTGGACTCAAAGGTAAAACCTCGTCTTTACGTTGTCCTTGCATGTCATGTAGCCAGTGTGAAAGCGTGCTTGGCGTGTGATATCAAGAAGCTCTTATGCGTTACACCACCTTTTTTTCCTTCCCCAGCGTCAAGGATATGAAAGATCCAAGCAATATGCCTCTGGTAAAAGAAACAGTGGACAGACTGATGAAAGGATACGACATTCGGTTGAGGCCAGATTTCGGAGGTAACGAAGAAAAATGACCCCCCAAAAAACGGGAATGTGATGTTTTCACGCCATCCTGACGTGCAATACATGTTTAATGAATCGCAAAATCTGCTTTAATTTACATAATCATCCCTTCACAGCCAAATAGGCCTTTCTAATTAGGCTCTGAGAAATGATGAGCATATTTCAGCTGATGAGGAGATGAGACAAGGCTTTTAACGTGATCGATACTGCTCATCAATGTTTGATTGTCTCACTAAAATCATCAAATCAGCTCTATTTAAGACCATGTGCGCGTGAAACATGTAGGTCTTTTTTTTTTTTTTTTTTTTTGCTCAGGATGATGATGCACGAGTCTCCTGTAGGTGGAGGAGAACGACCTGAGCGCGCGCGTCACGAATTTGTTAAATTTACATGTTGGGGGGGAATGATACATGTATGTTGTATTAACGCCTCGTTTTCTCCGCAGGTGCTCCGGTGGCTGTGGGAATGAATATAGACATAGCCAGCATAGACATGGTGTCTGAAGTCAACATGGTAGGTTCATCTTCATCACTATTACCCCGCTATATGTTGCCAATTGTGCCTGGCACGGCTGGAATGCCTCTGAAGTGGGCTACTTATCACGGGTCATTGTGTGTGATCGTGTGTGTTTGTGAGAGAGAGCCAGGTTGACGCAAAAAAAGAATTATTAAAAAAAAAAAAAAACCTGAAGGCTCCCGTTCGTTCCCAAACACATCATCATCGCCATCCTCCTCTCAGTCTCCGCATTTGCAGCTCTGGTTGGTTGGCGTGTTGCTGCTGCATCTGAATTCAAAACACACACTCACTGGCGCACTCGGACGCACAGTCCCGGCTGCGCGCGCGGAGGGCTGCATGCATGTGTGAGCGTGTGTGTGTGCGTGTGTGTGTGTGTGTGTACTCCTTCTGACTGCTTCACGTTGTCAAACCTCGATAGTGTAATTTTGTTGACACGCTACCCCCCCCTCCTCTCCATGCAGATGGATAAGTTTACCATCCTCCTCTCCAAACTGTCACCATCCCTGTTTTATATCATTTATTTATCTGTTTTTTTATTATTTTCAAGGCCTTTAATTAGGCATCCAGTACCACCAAGCCCCCCCCACCCCCAACCCACTTACACTTGTCAGATGACGTAAGCAGTTTTGTTAATAATAAATGTTTGGTCTTTCAGCATTACAACAAAAAAAAAAGAAGCTTGAGATTGAGATTGGTGTTGAGATTTGATGGCTTGTGTGACTTCAAAGAGGACAGGGGAAAAGTTCAGCAGCCCATGCAAGAGCACCACCTATTGATCCGTGGGTCAGACAGACAGATTTATAGACAGACAGGCAGAAAGTAGACCTCTTCTGTGTGCCATATCTGGTTCTCCTTATGGTGTGATTTTTGGGTGCATTCAGACAAACGTTGAGCGCAGCCATTGCAGAGAATCTAGAGTGTGAGAAAAGATCATTTATAACATTGCCTCTCCATGTAGCAACATAATAGAGTCTGTTATATAAGAGCCTGAAAACAAGTTTGCCAGTCGGAAATGGAAGGAGATGTGTTTTCTATTATTAATTGAGCCATTTTAAGTGGATGTCAGGTTTGGGTATGGCAGCCTGTCAAATGTGTGTGGGTCATTTGAAGCTTCACTCAAGAGTTTTCCAGCACATCGGCACAGGAGCTGGTGTGAGTTTTTGCTCTGGATATGGAGCAGTGCTGAATGGTCCGAGCGTTTCCTTTGATGAGGATGATTTATTTTGGTGGAGGATGCAGCCAGAACGGAAGTGCCTTAGGGGTCCGGGGAGATTTGAAATAGAAACCCCTCTCTCCTTCACTCTTTTTCCTCTCCTTTTCTTCCTCTCCTTCTATCCCTCCTCCATCCTTCCCTCCCACCACTTTGACTGGATCCCTGGCTGTGACTCTGGGCTCAGCAGCCATGTAATCCACCTCTGCCTTGCTCCAAAGGGTTATCTTACTTAAGAACTAGGCATCTATGCAAGCATTCATCTGGAAAAAAACACTGCTTCGTACATCGTACATGTGTGTGCGTCTGTGTGTAACTCAACACAAAACTGTGCACAAACAGTGAATGGCGGCTGACGTCATGCACCTCCCTGTGGCTATGAGCGAGCATTCATCTCGTTTATTTCTCAGAAAAGCCATATCTGCACAGGCAAATTTAGACAAAAAAGTCAAAGAATAACCCCAAAGTCCTCCTTTGTGTGTTGTTTCCTTATGAAAAATGTGACATCTATAACAAAGTTGGATTGTCCTCCTCTTCCTGCTTTCTTCAAGTCCAGCTGCCTGTGCTACAATAGAGGACGAGATTGATCTGAGAGAGATCAATAATATCACCATGCAGCGTGATCACGAGGATGGAGCTGGTGACCTGTGGATGAGGGGCTGCTTTGATCCCCCTCATCAGGGGCAGTTGCTTTTAAGATTAAAGTGCTGAGAGGCAAAAACAACAAGAGGGAGGAGAGGATGTAGCTGGAAGAGATATGAGGTGAAGGTTACTCTGATCAGTTTCCACGCCTCTCGTCTCAGGTGGAGGCCAGAAACTTCAGTGGACCTTTTTGTTCACACAAGAAAGCGTCAGCATTGACCCCTCAAATAAATTCTACATTTATTTTTCTACATAAGTGGCTCCAAATGTGTAGAAAAGATGTACTTTAAGCATGAAACCTTCTTAATTCCCTATTTTTAATGTCCTGTTCCCAAACTTCCAACTGAGAGGAAGATTTACATCCAAGATGGCTGCTTGATCCCAGATATCTGCTCCATTTTACACAAAACTTCAACAGATTTCTGCTGAAAATGTCTAGATTTTAGGAAACTGTCAGACATCTACAATAATTTGAATAATTAGGGAGATCAGGTCATTAGGTTGAATGATGTTGTTGTGAATTGGCCCAGTAATGAAGGCTTCAGTGAGGATTTGGGCGTTTAACTCAGACTGGTATTCTTCATGTGGAGAGTTTACAAAACATAAAGTTGAGTGTATAAGGAAAATAAAAAGCTTTGTAGCCTGAAGATAAAACGTATAGGCGAAGCAGGAGCCCCACTTTTCTATTTACATTTATTTACAGCAACCAATTTTTCACAACTCATCTATTTCGATTACATTAAGATCTATGAATAATTGTACTCAATTAGGGTGGTGGTGGCTTATTTTAACTTACTTCAAGGTTTGTCATATGGGAAGACTTTGACCTCAACTTTACCCTTCAGTCGGTTTATAGCTCAGATCAAAGTTAGTTGGTGTCAGCCATCATTGGCCCTCAGGACACCTCCTCAAAAACCAACAGGGGGACATCATTGACAAGAGGTCTGTGAGTTACATGGTTCAAAATACAGCCTCAAGGAAAAATTTAAAGATTTTGTTTGTGTTATAACTCTTAAATCTGAAGATGTAATCAAACGTTCATTTGTTTTTAGATTAAGTCTAAAGAACATTTAAAAAAAGGAAAGAAAATGTCCTGTCACGATGTGTAGATTACTGATGTCTTGTTTTCCCTGTATAAATGCCCCAACAAAAAAATACAAACAGCCCAAAACTTTTAAATTTCACTTTACTGGCATTGAAAAGAAAAATGAAGAAAAATATAATAAGGAAATGAAAAAAACAGGAAAACTATAAAAGGAAAGGAGGATTTCTGTGTTCGACAAAATGACTAAAATGTTCAATCAGACTTGAAGAGAAGGATGTGGAGAAAAAGTGCTGAGTCAGTTTCATGCAGATGAAATTGGGGGAACCTTGAGGTGCTGGCTGAAGATGAAAGAAGTGGGTAGAAATTAAAACTCTCTTACAGCAATAAGAAAACGTGTGTTATTACATACACTTTGTCTGAACAAGCACACTGTTTCAGATTTTTTTTTACCCTCATTCCAAAATAAAAAAAACTGTTTATTTGGAGTTGATTTTGAGGGACTCTTCTGTGAGCAATCATTCATATGTAGGCTGTATTTTGCACCTGTAGTGTTTAACCCAGAAGGTGAATTGAGTAATTTCCTGTCAGAAACGAGAGAATTTGACTGGATTAAATGTCAGTGTTTGTGAGTGGCCTGCTGTCATGACGGTGGGCAGGTTTTGGTTGCAGACAGCTGCTCGCTCCTCTAATTAAAGACAGGACTGCCTCTGGTGGAGAATGAACTCTGCGTTTTTGGTCCGGGCTGATTGAAGTCATTGTGGCATTTTTCGTCTGCTATGACATGAAGGGCATGATGGTTGTTGAGACGGCGTTTTGGTCCATCTTAGGATGTGTACTTTTCATTTCTCTGTATATGATGCGCACATGTTCTTGGCATGTGTACGGCCATGGAGCAGTCATTTTTATGTTTGTCTGTGTGCATACTTGTGTGATCCACAGCGATGGCCTGTTGAGGCTCAAAGGTCAGCCGTGTTGTCAGGCAATAAAAACGAACAGGTCAGTCAGCAGCAGCGTGGACGCTGCCTCCACTGCGTGACATTACAAATGTGCTATTTTGAGAGGGAAGTGTCCTCCGAGTTTGAGGTGTGACCGCACATCCTGGCTGGGTGGGCTCTGCCGACTCATGGGGGTGTTAGTGCAAAATATGGCACAGATATGTTATCATGGTTGAGACCCCTCAACCCCCCTTTGCTTAGTTTATCTCTGTCTGTTCAGCTCTCTCATCTCCCTCCATCACTTATCGCTCTCTCTCATAACAGCTGGAAATACATTTGCATTTTTCTGTTTGTTTTTGCTGAAATCACAGATCCAGGAACCAAACTCTGGTTACGATGCATTGAAAAGTATTGTGCACAAACAGCCAATGCAGCTGATTAAATTCAAGTCAGCGATGCATCAGTGCTGCATAATAACACCCTCTGCATACATCCATATGTTGAGCTGCAATATGCACTTGGAGGCTGCAATAAGGAGGGAGATAAATGAGTATTTTCTCCCCTCATCTCTGCTTGTTAATTACATGTAAAATACCTGAGGTTGGTGGTTGTTAAGAGGCACTGCCTGTACTATAATACTGCTCTCTGAATGTTAATTAGCTGCCTGTGAATTAAAAGATTTAAACAAACCAGCTGTGGTGGCTTCTGGGATGGAGGAATTAGTGGGGCGTGAGCGTTCCCTTTATTACGATCATTATCCTGACAGGCGCTGGTTTTCTTTACATGAGTAAGGGGATCTGGCCGTCAAAGACAGAGTGGGGAGGGAGGAAGGGGGAGGGGGGGGGGGGGGGTTGGTGGATGACCAGAGGGAACCCGATGCAGGCCCCCTCAATGTCCCCATGTGTGAGAAACGCAGAGCTTCTTGTGTCTGTAAATTAGCAACCATTTTGATCTTGTTTGTCCAAACGGATCCTGTTCCATTTTATTTTCAGCTTGTGGAAAATAAGCTTGTGTTATTTTTACCCAGTGTTGCCATGACAACGCAGCCTTTTTCCTTTTCTTTTTCTTTTTTTGGTGAATCGAGGGAAGTCAAGGAAAAGCAAATAAGGCCTCCTTTCTTTCTGGGGGCTTTGGCATTATTTATAACTTAGGTGAAGGTTGATCTGTGTTTGTCGACAAGTCAGTTTTTGTTGTTTCTGACATTTGGCTAATACATCGGCTTTTGCTGATGATGCAAGGCAACCCCAACATGATGGTGGTTTCCCAGGGCTGCGACTAATGATTATTTCACACATGAAGCATTGATTTCTTTTTTTCCTTACCAAAGGAAACTATTTATTCCTAATCACAGGTCTTCATGGCCTCTTTTTGTGTTTTTCCATCATTTAAATAATATTGCAAATACATTAACATTTTTCTGTAGTTGAGATAAAAGCTTCTTTCTTTTTATTTTGTTCCACGCAGGTGGATTCTTCTTCATTTACTCTGCTGTGCTTTACAGAAAGTTGAAGACAAGAACGCGGGTTGTCCAGAACAATGTAATTAGTGATAGTGAACGATTAAATTAGTGGGCACACAGAGTAACAGTTTACTACAGTCTGCAACATAGGAACAACGCTTGATCCTGCAGCTTTCTTACATGCACGCTGAGCGCTCTGTTAAATGTTTAGTTCAATTAAACTATGTCTATTTGAGGATAAAACAACATCAGTCGAAATTGGATGCTGTCACAAGAACAAATCCAACCTACTACTCAGCAAAACCTGTACAAAAAGGCTGCTCTGTATGAGATTTATCTATACAGTTCATCTTGTGTCCTATGCTTTAATGGTTATTCTATTTAGAATAACAAACAGTGGCTTTTGTTCATTGAATCTTGGTCGTTTTATCAGACTTGCAGAAATTTAAACTTATTTCTTCTTTAAGTTTGTCTTTTTGCTTCTAACACCAAATTTTGTGATATTTTCCACCATGGTGAGCGCAGGAGGAAAGACGTTTTGTGTCTTTAAATGGGCAGTAAGTTATCAGGCTCCATTAAAAGCCTTTAATGTGCTGATGACTCCCTAAATGATTCTGTCAGGCACTTTCTCCACTGGAGCTAAGTAGCTGAAAAATGACCCATTGCAAAGAGAGTCATAAAGGCGTCCATGTTGTCACTTCCCTCAGGATGGGCAGGGTTGGCAACTCATGCAGATTGCACTAACTCTCCTATGACCCCTAATATTTAATTTGGAGCTGGTACTTAACCGGACACAAAGAGCACCACAGTGAACAATCTCAGCATGACCAGCCGATGTGCCGCTCTATTGTCCTCTTTGGTGCGTAAATACAAACAGACACGGGGTGAAGACATCTGCAGTCATGCTTGCTGTTATCCTAACATGTAGTGGTTTCCTCATAGCCATGCACAGCAGACTTTGTTATTAAGAGCAGACTCCTATCTGTTTCTGCTGGGTCGCTCTGCAGCAGGGACACAGCAGATGAAAGCGTTAGTAATATGGTGGACGTCTGTCAGCTGCTTTAGAGCTGCAGAGAAGAGAGAGAGAGACACATTAAACAGCTTTCACACTCACAGTTCATTGTTCATGTGTTTTCAGCGTTTTGGGTTGATGAAACTGGATGTGACAGCACTGTAGGTGAGGAAATGATGATAAATGCTGTCTTCAAATGAGGATTTGTCTCTCATGGGATGGACCGACACATCTGTATCATATCAGCATGATGGCTGAAACTTGCCCTGAAGAAGGACATTGGCCTGCCAACAAATGATTCAGCGTTAACGAATATTTATTTCTTGTGTCAAATCAATCACTCAAATACATGTTTTAGGCTATAAGTGTATGTTTTTCCCCATAGAAAGACAAAAAATTGACTTTGTTTGAAAAATCAGAAGTGAGGAATAACAGCCCTTTTATGTTTGTAATTATTCAAGATATATTTTAGTTTGTTTTATTTCACTGCTTTTCTAACATTTCTGCACCTTGTTCACTTGTTAACTAGCAGTGTTTAGGTTTCTGAAAAGCTTTTTACTGGGCTGTGTGAGAATCGAAAATGGCTTCTTACTGAGTTTGTGAATGCACAACAGGCCAAAAAGGCTTCTGAAGCAGCTATCTAAAAACAAAACAAAAAAAAAATGATGTGAAAGAAGATCATAATGAAGCACCAGATTAGTGTAGCTGGGAAGCAGGGGCCCAGACATAAACGCTTCAGTCCTATAGTCACACTGACTGCTGGTTTGACTCCTGATCTGGCTGCTTTTTGCAGGTCATCCCTCACTCTTGTTCGACACAATTCCTGTTTTTTCTACAGCTGTCCTCTCAAATGACGACAAAAAGTTCACAAATTACTCTTAAAAAGAAGAACAATTGAATTAGTGATCACTCAACGGTAGTTTAAAGTATTATGTAGTATTCTGCTGTTCCACATCTACAACAAAAAATGCAAAGTTACTATATTTGGTGTCCATAGTTGTATGCAAATTTTTATATGGCTAGGTAAACGTATGTTGTGATAATGCTTGAAAATAGATGTAAACTGCTTAAAATGGTTCATTGGGAAATCACACGAGATCTCATCGAGGCTCTCTGAGATTCACTAAACTAATGAGGTCATTGCAGTGGGCTCTTAAAGAGACAGCCGCTATAACAGAGCGTTTCAGACAGAGGCCAAAGTAATGGTATTTTAATACACCAGTGTGAGGAACAGGAGGCTTTTTTTTTGACCCATAGAGGTATCAGAAAGGAAGTATAGAGTCTGAAAAAAAAAAGATGCATAATTCCCCCTCTGGCCTGAATGACTCTAATAGTGTTCATTAATATGTTTGTAGTGAAGCAGTTCCCTTTTCTGTCCCAGTGAAGGGAATTATGACAACATAAATTAAAATACCCATCAACAATTAATGGAAAAAAAAAGATTATAGGCTTAATTTTTATTCATAATATCAGGTTTGGACTTGCCCTTTTCACTGTAGCAGAGTGGTAATTCTTTTTCTTTACATCCATCAGGACACTAAATGAAAGTGTCGAAACAAATCTCTGTGCATGCAGACATTTTAAAGGTCCCGTATCATGTGAATTGATCAAGTTTAAATCGGTCCCGGAGGTCCCACAATCATAAATTTGAAGTTTGTTGTCTGAAACACCAGTTTATTTGTGGATATCAGCCAGCCTGTACCCCCCTCTTTTTGAGCTCCGCTGAGAAAAGGCTGATTCTGCACCTGCACCTTTAAATGATAATGGGCTGTGTGTAAACATCTTCCTCTCCAAGGCCACTCTGAGCTGCCAGCACCGTCCAGGAGCGGTGGTGTGGAGATCTTCTGAGGACCTCTTCAGAGGACCTCCAGACCACAGTGGCTGGAAGCACCAAGGAACAGCCACTGCTCATGGGAATAAAAGTAAATAGAAGCGAGTCTGAAGATGAATACCAACGATGGAACACACGTGATTGCAGCCAAAGCACTAGTCATACGGGCGGCGGTAAAGCAACATAAAATAGTAAAACCATTGACTGTATATACTCTGGACAACTTGGTTCCGCCTTTCGCCAGTATACGGATTTGAAGCCAAAAAGCTCTCAGTAATTCCACGTTTTTTCTCCACTTCCTGAAACCAACACTGCGCAGTAGCATTGTACGCATTCGGTGGGAGAGTTGCTGAGAGTCACTGTGATGACACTCGGCTCGAACAGTGTATCCCACGGGTTGGGTGAGCTACGCAATCTCCGTACGCCCATAGGCTGTATCAAGTGTCAATCATAGAAATCATCAACCTCCTAATAACTTTAAAAAACAGAGCTGCACAGAAAAAAAAGAGGATTTGAGCACAAACAGTCTTACAATAACTACATGTCAACATCGCAAGCTGGGGGGGGAGAAAAATTTATATTCTGTGTGATAAATTTCTGAAGTTTGTCCACAGCTCCATAAGCTTTGCTGGTGGAGGCAGAATTTAAGACCTATACTGTAGCCCGTCACCAGGGGGTGCTGTTCTCGGAGTGGCTTCCCCCAGCGAGGAAGCAGATGGCGTTCATTCTATACACAGTCTATGAGTAAAACTTACACGTTTGAAGTTGGGTCCCTGACACGGACACTTGGTGTGGATCCAGGTTTTATCCTCAGCTCCTTAGTGAATCCTGCTTTGAACAACCCCTCGTTGGTAAAACAGTCTGTGGTGAAATGGTCAGCACACACATGCAACATTTTCAGAGTTGTTGCAGATACATTTCCATCAAAAATAAAATTGATCCACGGGGTTCTCAAATCTTCCAACGAAGGAGGCAGAAATAGACAGAAATAGAAGGTGGGGCTTTTGCGGTTATGCCGTCATAACCGCACGACTTTTCCATTCGCCCGATTGTGCTCATGTTTTCAGAAAAGAGGGGAAAGCAAGAGAGGGAGAGAATGAAATTTTCATGTCGGGGGGAAGCATATTATTGGTAGAAAACCACCCAAAAGTGGATTTTTTATAATAGGGGACCTTTGATAAATAACAGTTCAAATCAACAGTGCTTCAGCATGCATACATGTTTATTGTTCTGTGGAGGCCTGGATGTAAAGGCCAGGATTTTAATAATAGTGACAAGAAGAGTTAGTGTGTTTGTGGTCAGAATCATAAAATCATCCTGGCAAGATGATGACATAGTAAAGAAATATTAGGTGTCTAACATCAGCAACTTCTTTGCGTCCCCATCCACTGACAGAGCAGGACGTTATTGTCTATTGGCAGCTCCCTCCGTGTGGCTGCTGACAGCTGATGTAGTTGTAATGGAGGTCGTGTTACAGCTGCAGCCTGTCAGATTTTTTCAGGGAAACACAAATGTGCTGCTTGTCACTGTGTCAGATTGTTAATGGAGGTTTGTTAAACATATCTGTGGTGAGACTCTGACACTGTGAAACCAGCTCTGACGGTTTTCTAAGTTAGCCCCTCCTCATTTGGATCTTCTCCATGCTTATGTATTCAGTGCTGTCATCATGCTTTTTTTTTTTTTTTTTGCTTTTTTTAATGTTGGTGCTCTCCACAAGATGTCTCCCTCACTGACGCTCACTGGGCCGCCTGTGTGTATGTGTGTGTGAGTGAGATATTAATGGAGTTTCTGAGGAGTGCTTCTTGTGACAAGGAGACTGAAGGTCGCTTTGGAGACCAGCACTCCAGCACGGGATGGTCTGTGTCAGTATTGTGCTGATTTTTTGTTGTTTTTTTGGAGGCAAAATCCCCCTCACCTGCTCCTCATTCTCCATCTTGAGTGTGTGGAGGAAGAGACTCTCGAAAAAAAACACTATATGGCTTTTTTTCACGGCCAAGTTATTTTTAGACCATGAGACAGATGATGAATGGAGACGTAATCCTAAATTTATAAGATTCTGCCTTTTGAATGTGAATGGATATAGATATTTTTTTGTTAGATGCTTTGATTAGATGTGTGCACTGCAGTTTTTAGTTTGAGGGCGTCATTATTTTTACAAAAACTGTCCCTGATATTGTGGCATAAAGGTTGTTAGGAAGATTTTTAACTGAATTTCCGTATTTATTGTTAATGAATTATAAACATGAACCCGCAGATATCACACATTTACCTTTTTGCATGAAAAAAAGATGAAATTCTTGCTTCATATCTCTGCACAGCAACAGAATAGTGAAGCATCTTTTATCATCTTAAAACAAAATGTTCTCACGTGCAGAACAGCCGTTCATGTTGCAAATTTGACTCTGACTGTACGGTGAGATATAGAGGGGGCAGGCAGCTGTATTTTGTGTCCCTCTCTGAGCTCAAGTGATGTCCAAGCGATGGTAAGCAGCACCATCTGTGAGGCCATAATTATGCTGCCATTTCGCAGCACAGCCAGGAGGCAGCGTGCAGGTCCAGGTGTTCTCTGTGCAGAGGCCATGCGCCGCTATACTCCCAAACTAACATTCAAATATACACGGCACACACAAAGACATGAGAGCAGGAGCTTGATCTAAGCTTGACTAACACAAGAGGAAAGGAGAGAAAAGAAACATTATTGCTTCCTTTTGAAATCTTATTGAGCTGCTCCGGTTTAAGGGTGCTGCACCTGTGTTCGCTGGTTTACTGTCATGCTCTTATGACTCTCCGTGACGCTTGAATAAGCAGGGCAACCATTTATGTTATTAGTCAGACATGTGTTTTTCCTGTTTGGGCAAACAAAATGTCTCCTGTGAAACAGTTAACTGCATTCATTTTACTCTTGGCTGTTTTATCAGAATGTGAATTTACTTGTTTATGTTTCTATCTAACTTTAAAGCACTGATGAAGTCCCACAAAGGCGAGAAAAACAAAGTAATCATCATGGCTTGTGCGTGTTTGTCTGAGAAAAATATCGTATTGCAATGCTTCACATTTTATGGCTATTAACAGAATTTGGTGATGATTAAATTCAAAGATAAACAAACCACAAGTGTCCAGAAGTGAAAAATGTCAAGTTTCTGAGGATCATGGAGTCGTTTTCTTTCTAAAACATTGTTATTCAGCACTTATAACATTTTCTGTCCTAAAAGATGGACTCCTCCTCTGTACTCTTCTTTATTTAGTGTCCTGAGGTGTTTCCGCACTGAATGGATTTTGGGAATTCTTTTTGAGATTCATTTATTTGATGGTTGATTGAATGTTATTCTTGTTGAGGACTCAGATTGTACAACATGTAACGCCCATCAAGCCAGAACTTGTGATATAAGTATTTGCCTCGACTGTTCAGTGATTTTGGTCGTGAGCTTGAAGTAAAACTACTCAAATGTGAGTCAAATAATTGATCTGAAGGCTGAGAGTGAATTATCCACTAAACCTCGTCAATAATTCTGATAACCAGCAACGTAAGTGCAAAACATCCAATCTTATCAAGTGTTTTTGTCTAAATTCTGCCCGGTTGTTTATTCACCACATTTTACGTACATCCCAATCATTTGAAAAGTCCAGAATTTAAATCAAAACGAATCAAATTTTATTTATATAGCGCCAATTCACAACAGTCGTAATCCCAAGACGCTTTCAAAAGAAAGAGAGCAGGTCTAGAACACGCTCATTGTTTGATGAATTATCAAGCTCCAACCTTAAGATGGGACAGATTTGACCCATCTCATTTAACATGAGTAACAGTAGCGAGGAAAAACTTCATTTTAACAGGTAGAAACCTTGAGCAGGACCAGACTCATGCTAGACAGCCACCAAGCCGCTGCTGGGTTGGGGAGAAATACAGAGAGAGATAGGGGGAGAGAGGGAGAGAATTTAGTGTGACTTAAACATACTATCAGCATAAATCAATGTCTGAATTGATTGTAAGGAGAGAAAAAACACAGTCAGAGAGAAAAGTGCTCTCTATAGGTGTCTGGAGTGAAGAGCAAACACTTCATGAAAAAATTTCATATATATTTGCTCAAACGACTCTGTCAAAGGCCTGCCTGTACTTATCAGGTGTATAGGACTTATCTCTGATGTAATGTTAGAGGTTTTGCCGACATTGGACTGTAATTTTTGCTTTCCTAATGTGAAGATTTGCTGCTTTCATCCCTCAGAGATGACACTTTCTCATCTGTTAATAATTAGGAGAATTATTCTGCATTTGATGAGTTATTGAATATGTATAAACTGGTAACTGGTATTTCTCAGTTTTGTCAATTGCTTATAAATAAGGTCATGTTTAAAATAATAATCATGTTTTTGCATGAATGAATGAATGTGACAATCAAAGTTAAAAATGCGCTGTGACACACTCTTGAGTTTGTCAGAATGTTAAAGGACATTTGGCCCCATTTCTACCAAAATCAGTTCAGAGCAAATAGAAACACACAAAGAGAGTGTTGGTTTGAGTCCCTGCCTCCATGTTGTGGAATAATTTCTGCTCCAACACAATCATGTTGCTCAGATTGTTACCACGGGGCTGTAGTTAATATAGTTAACTTCAGTTTTCTCATTTAGTCAGAGAGAGAGACGGATGCAGTAACTTCCCCTCAGACGATTCCAGCTCCTCGTGTTCCTTCATCAACTGAGCAAATCATGGTGCTAAAGATGGAGACTTATTGCAGGAGAAGCTGCCTCTGTGGTGAAGTATGCCGAGCCTGCAGACGGCAGCTAACGATCCCAAAGGTGATAGAAACATCCGATCGACGGACTGATAATGAGACAGAGAGGGAGCAAGTGTGAGAGGAGGGTTCACTGGGAACTCTTGTAAAACAGGATAAGGACGCGGCCGTCCTCGCTTGACTTTTCACTCCTGAAAAAATCAACATGGCAGCAGCTCATGTATTTTTAGATGCCCTTTTTACGCAGCGCTTTGCTAGCGCACACACTGCATGCACTGAATGATAAGACTTAGATAGAGCAGGGGATTGCTTTGCAGTGTCATGATGGAGAAAACGAAAGGCAGGGAAACATAGAAACACGGTGATAAAAGTAATGATGATGGCTGCATCGAGTAAAAGCTCAAGGGCCTCATTTCACGGGCCGTATTTTTTAATTTGTTTTCCTACTCATCGATTGCACTGCAATACACTGCAACAGAGCAGATCCAACTGCATTGCTGTGTTTTACTGAGCCTGTGTGGGTGTAAGTCTTTTTTAAGAGTGAGAAGCAGAGAAAAGATGGAGAGAGGAGGAGATACAGTTTACTGCTACATGTCTGAGCATGTGTAGAAAACAGAGTAAAACACAGTATACAGTACTGTATAGAAGTGATGCTTTTAACCTCTCTTCAATCTACGTGTTTTGGTCGCATATCACCCAGAAAAAGGAGCGGGAGCCAGCAGAGAAAGAGACAGGGAGGAAATGTACTGGCTGTTTGCAGAGTGTCTTCGTCCATTCGAGTGGAAGCAGATATTTTTAGCTTGAGACAATACTCAGCCAGCTGAGAAAGTTCCCCCCTGGTTCAGTTCGAAAATTTAGTGTGCAGAGTTGAATATTATCCCCGCACCCCCAGCCGCCATGTTCTCTCTTACAAGCTGTGGCCTTTCATGACACTGAGGACCTTTTTGCTGACCTTCTCGTTGTGCTGAGTCCATACATTGTGCCGTGGCACTTCTAAAGCATCATTTTCAGATGACACTATACTTATGCTGGACATGATTCCCCTGAGAAGAAAAGGACTCCCACTCTTGTGATACCAGTTGAAGGGTTTAGTCACAGAGTCAAGCTTTGTTGTCCAAAGTCAAAAGACCTCCAAATGGGCCTATAACTATTTCTTTAAATTTTTGAGCTTGAAAATATACTTGATAACAGTTTTCATCATGCTGTTTGGAGAACTGACTGTATAGAGAGGGACAATGTTCCTCCATCTCTTCTTATTGCCTTATCTCTTCTTATAAGAGAAGTTATTTTGGAGCCAATGCAATGTTCAGTGACTTCTCTTGTGTTGATGTGACTTACACTCCCTCTTGCTGTTCCTCCTCAAGTCTGCTAATTTGGAAAAGCAGGAGCCTGTATTTGGTTGAGGTTACAGCCCCTCTTGTTTTACAAAAGTATCTTTTGGGTGATTTTTGCCTTTTATTGATAGGACTGGGTGAACTGTGGAGAAATAGAGAGAGAAGGGGGGGGGGACGACATGCAGCGCATGGTCAGGGCCAGACTCAAACCCATGACCACTGCGGGGACAATGGTCCCCATACGTGGGGCATGCTAACCCGCTCGGCCATTTGCGTGCCCCCTCAGCCTTTTTTTTTTTTTTTTTTTTTTGCATGAAATGTGTCATTATGAATACTTTTCTCAGGATAAGAAGTTAAAGCCTTGGCAGAAATTGTTTATGTGCAAAAAACAAACAAACAAAAAAAAAACATGTACAAGAGATGTCACAAGATACCAGTTTTGACAATAACTGTCCTTTTAAAAATATAGAATATTGATATTGTGCTAAAAATGAGCACAGGGTAACACCGGGAGTTCAAAGTGGTGTTCCTTCACGTTGATGGCACAGGTTACAGAATGGAGGACAGGAAAAGGAGAAAGATCATACATTAAGCAAGTTAGCTGTAGCAGCTGTCTGAGAGATGATTTGGCATTTTTTAAAACTGAGGCTCAAAACTGACAGTCAATCCTGAAAATTTTTTTTATAATATTCCGTGAACTGCTTCATTTATTTGAGTAACCTCCCAGATCTCCCAGAGGTTGTAAACTTTAAAATAAAAGTAGTTTGACAAAGCAAGAAATTAAGCAACTCAAACACAAGCCGGAACAATTATTAAAATGAAAACATAATAAACGTTTTCCCATAAGGCTTTGATCACATGGCTGTTGATGTAGATAATAAATCAGGAATATTTTATGAAACAGAGAATGACATCATTTATGAGTGAAGTTCATGAAATTATGAGTTGCTCCACCCTTGTCTTCCCTTCCTCATTTTGACAGATTTTGTTGTTATATTTTCAAGTTTTACATAAATATCACAATAATGACATCATTGTGATATTTTATGGTCACAGTAATCGTGTGGTGGAAATCTGATGATGTGACAGCCTCCATGTGCACTTGCATTTTCTACTGTGAACCATGTTGCAGCTCTTATCATGGAGATTTAGTAGATTTCTGACCTAAACTGCAGCCAGTCAGAGAGTTTGTGTGTAGCTAACTGAGCTTGGTTGTGCTGTCCATCTTATACAGCCCATGGTTTTAGACCCCTACTTATTTGGAGGCCACTGGTGAACATTATTATGAGACCCTTCCCCATTTTGCTTCACACAATCATAGCTGAAAAATTAAGCTATTTTGAGACATCATGTTGCACTGACCACATCCACAAAACAGCAGGAACAAAGTGATTTTATGTATGTTGAATTAAATGTTTGACTAAATATTAAGTTGGAATTTTAGAGGTGGTGATTTTGGCTCATTTATTAGTCAATTAACAACAAAAAAAGAGATTTTAAATGTAAATGTCATGAGTCGTTTTTTTTCTCTCTTCTAAAATCAGAGTAACTCAAAAGCGTTGCTATGTTATGTTATTTAAGTCAACACGATTGACTCAATGATTGACACACTGCATTAGCTCAACTGAATGTCACCTCTCACTCTCTACAGGACTACACCCTGACCATGTACTTCCAGCAGGCGTGGCGAGACAAACGTCTGTCCTATTCTGAGATCGCCTACAACCTGACTCTGGATAACCGGGTGGCAGACCAGCTGTGGGTCCCTGACACCTACTTCCTCAATGACAAGAAGTCCTTCGTTCATGGCGTCACAGTCAAGAACAGGATGATCCGTCTGCACCCTGATGGCACGGTGCTTTATGGACTCAGGTAAGACTTTAACAAATGCTCATTCTGTCAATGTTTGACTGCTATTGCATAGATTAGGATAATGTGATTCGAACAGAGTAATTAAGTGTAATCTTTACAACATGGGAGTACTTTTTTTAATCATTTTTTACTAGTCCGTAATACACTACTTTAATCACTGGATTTACGCATATAATTTTAGAAGGCAGCACTATCACCTCAAATACTTCATGTTGGATTCCAAACTTGACATTTATATGACAATATAACAAATCACAACAATCACTATTAGTAGGGTGACCATATTCTGACTTCCCAAAAAGAGGACATGACGCAGGGGCGGAGTCACAGAGTTGCACAAAGTTAATTTTGAGTTTTTCAGGTCGGATCGAGTGTCATTAATACTTCTAACTCAGTAAGTCCACATGACACAAAATCAAAACTCTCATGCAAAATCACGGACATTTGAAGGATTTTATAAACTTTCCCGGAAAATCTGGACAAGTCCCCAAAGAAGAGGACATGTCCAGGTAAAAGAGGACATATGGTCACCTTAACTATTAGTTATGCTGACTGTGATTGGATCCACGTGGCTGGTGTCTGTATTCATCCATGAGTGGACAATGCCTCTAGTGTTCAGCGCATGAAAATGCACCTCTTAACAGAGAAACGGAAGTCGTAGGAACTTCCTGTAGTCATGAAGGAGAGGACACCTTTGTCTGAGAATTAATAAGTCTGATGGTTATTCACATCTAAGTTACACAGTTTGACTTTACATAATGTAGAATCATATCGTTGCAGAATACAATGTTGGCATGACGATCAACACTGTGCTAGCTTAACTAACAGACTCTTTCCTTCAGTTCAGCTGCCTCTGTCCCACAGTCTCTTTGAAATCTGCCACAGATTCAATGTCACAAAGGGATGGAGTTTTTTGGGTACATCTGATATCTTGAGTGGAAATGTGGATCAAGGGATAGTTTTTGATGCTTAGTTTGCTTTTTGGGTTGATAGGACCACATCAAGTTAGAAAACAAAAGCAAAATTAGATTGAATTAAACAGTCGAGTAATTTTCTGAAGTACTTTTCAGTCCATGTGAGTAAACAGCAGAAGATGAAATAAAGGTCCTGTTGGAAGCTTTCTGTTTGTGCTGATTTTGGTGCCCCCCTGTGGACGATGTCAACAATTTACTGATCTTTTCCGATGCATGTGCAGTTTGTGCTCGGAAATGAAATGTCTCATCCTGCTGTGTTTCAAGACAAACATTTCACTCCGAATACATGCCGTGTAAAAAGCCAAAGAACGTGATACTGTAAATCACTTCACCTGACATCTGCCTCCTCACTGTGGGTACAGGCATTCAAAAATACAGCACAGAAGTTGTACATTTTTTCTCAATGGTCTTGTTTGCTTTTGTCGGGTGTAAAGACGCCTTACTCTTAATTTCAGTCCATTTTATAATCAGTTCAAATCTTTTCACAGGAGCTTTAAAAACATGCTGTTTAAACATATAAAGTAATTAGACACTAGGCCGTTTCACAGATCTTCTCCAAAGTTTATTATTTTGAAAAACCAAAGAAATTATTCTTTTTGGGTTCACTACCTTTCTAATTCTTTCTCATTTGATCATCAATGCATCAAATCTCGGCTCTTTTGGTGAACATGTTAAGCTTCTCAAACTGGTTGCAACAAATCAGACTGAACCTTCAACATCTGGTTACAGATGCGGAGGGGTTTACGTTTTAATGGTCCTTTAAATCCCCTAAAGATCATCATTAATGGATCAGTTGAGCTTGATAATGAAGCAGGGCAGCACGAACAGCCAAACTGAGTCTGATTGTGCTGGACGGTTCAAGCCGTCTGTAGGGTGTTTCTTTGTGATGTTGGGCTGTGATGCCTTTGAGGAAGACTGTCATCCATAATTGAAACCTGATAATCAATAATGTAGCAGTTCAATACAAACACTGAGTCTATATTTGTTCTGTGCGGCCTGTTTGACTACACAGGCCGGCAGAGTTTGTCCATCAGTGTCCTCCTCTGATCCGTCACCTCGTCCTTCTCTCGTTTGTGTGAAGGAAAAGGATCCCAGATTAACATGTGTTTTAAAAATGAGATTATGAGATTATTGCTAATTCAAGATGTTGCTGCATTCACTCATTCTCCCTCTATACTCACATGCCCTTCTTGTGCAAAGACTGCTTAAAAAATTTAAGTATCTGCACTGCACCAGATTATTCATTGCTACATCTTGTTTCAACAGTCCAGAAATATAATTTCAAATGCTCTGACTCATTTATATAAACCTTACACATGTTTTGCATAACTGACAAAACAGAGATGCAGGCCAGGAGAGGATTGTTGTAAATTTTAGGTTGTGCGTGCAGCGGTGGGATGCGTTTGTTACCTCTGAAAAGTCGTCCTTGTCAGAGTCGCTGCCCTTCGGCTCCTCTGTTATTTGGTTTGTGGGTTTGGTTCAGGTTTTTATTTGATGCTAGCAAGTCCAGACACAAGCTTCTGTCAGAGTCAGCGTGGCCAGATGCCTGTGTGCTGTGAGCACGCTGACACATACCTGTAGAGACGGGCCGGCTGGTTGCAACAGCAGGGCAGCAGTGGAGAAGCTAAGTGAGAGGAGAATCATCGTCGTCAACAGGAGAACGGGTTTGATTTGAACACACAACCTGCCAGCGTGTGACTGTTATCAGTTTGACTGTGAGTTTGTTTTATTCTTCATCAGCAGAGTTTTGGTCTGCAGGGATGGAAGAAGAATTCTGATTTTTAAGTTTATTAAAAATTCTCAACGCCACCCGAGAAAAAAAAAAAAAACTTCGTATAGCAACAAATTCAACAAATGGATCATCAAGACCACGATCCTGAAAAAAAAAGACCTCTCGAGTTTTAATATGAGAGTTTTTAGTAATTTGCTTGATGTGGAGCAGATACGCTCACGTTATGTATCACCATGCATCTATAAAAACACATCACATATTATAAATAATGAGTTTTACATTTGACATTTTTTTCTTAAACCAAAAACAGAAATGTTGCTTTCAGTTTAAGGTGGCCCAACAAGGTAACCCTTTAGACTGCAAAATCTTAAATCTCAGCAAGTGAGTTTATCGTATTTGGTCAAAATATCTGATTACATGTAGTCATATTCACCCAACAAGTATATGATACATTAACCTTCAAGCACAAATAATCCCTGACTTACTTGTAATGGGTAAAGAATTGTACTGATAAGTTTCTGGAGTGAAGATCGAACTGTTTTTTATCGAACTGTTTTTTTAAAGAAACTGTTCAAAAAACTATTTTCTCTCTGTTTTTGGCAATTTTTTCACTTATCACAAGCAACTCAGGTCCTAAATCTGGCTTGTAAAATCTTAAAAGAAGATTCATCTTTGACTCGCCAGGTGAAAATATTTTATAGAAAGTCTTCTGAGATATTTTGACTAGAAATACCCAAGGTTTCAGTTTTTACTGTGTAAAACACAAAATAGCTAAAAGCAAACACTACAGATAAAGAGACTACTTTAAATTCAAACATTTGGGATAAGTTTGTTTATCATCTTAGCTTAGCATCTTTTTCTGTGCAAGGTTCCAAAATAAAACTTAAATGCATATATTTTTAACCTTAAGAATAAAAAAAAAAACACTTGTTAAATTCAGAAAATTCCTCATTAAAGGGACCACAACTCCTGCTTTTACAGCTATTTAATTTTCTCTTAGAAAGAGATTTATCAAAATGGGAAAAAGTTACATTGAAGATGTCACATGTCATCAAGCTTGAAGAGAGCATGGTGAAAGTCTGTTTCAAGATAGGGGGCTTGTGGTTTGACAACGTGGGCTCTAAAAAAATAAAAATAAAAAATCCAAGTGTATCGTGGGAAATGTAGGCGCTACTGTTTTAGGATCTTTGTCAATACCTTGTCTTTTCTTGCTTTAGATTTGTCATTGTCTTAAAGGAATATACTGTTGACTTTGCTGTGAAGGGATACTTTTAAGTACTTTAACCAAAGCGTTAACCATTACATGCATGCCAATCAAAAAAACAAAAAAGAAAAAATAATGTGCTTAATCCAGTGTGCAATAACATTTATTCTACAAACATTTACATGTAAACCTAATATAACAACATGCAACATTTATTGTATTTTTGAGGAATTGAAAAAGTATGATTTTGTTGCTTGTAAGCTGTTCTTTTAACATCCCAAACTAGTGAAAGTATCAGAGCATAGGGCTGATTTTGTCTTTTAATTCCTTGCATAATTAAGTAAACACAGTACTGGCCTCAGAGGTGAACATGGATTTGAGCTCAGATAACTGAATTTAGCTCACGCCATACCTGGGGAAAACTAATAGATGAGAGTGTTGTTTGGTTTGTAGGAGGCATTGGGTGTTAATGTGTGTGAGATCTGTGTATAGGTGGGTGTGCATGAGTGGGCGAGTGTTATTTTAGGGGGTGCATTTAGAGGAGGAGGAGGAAGGGTGAGGGTGTTGTTTACTCCTTATTCCCCAGATACACAGTGCATCCCAATCCTGCCAAATCCTGCTCTTCAATTACCAGGAGAAGCAGAGAAAAAAATGTAACAGGCCCAAACTGTCACTTTAGAGCTGGGTTTGACTCTCAGGTGGGTGGAGCAGTCTGATATAATTACCCACACCTGGAAAATGCTCAGCCAGTAACACAAATACAACCCAGGCTGTGAGGAATAAGACGAAAACAGACAGAAAAAAAACCCCACAAACTCCTATTCAGCTTTCATTTTATGCGGGAAAAGGAGGAAAGATTCTGTGCATGACTTCTGATGCATGTCCCTCAAAATGCACAGAGAGAAAAAGAGAGGAAGAGACATGAAGGTCAGACTTCATTCAAAATGGAGAAATTGTTAGGGTTCTCCCTCCCCCTCCCTCTTCTCTCTCTCTCCTCCTCCTCCTCCTCTCTCTCACACTCTCTCTGTGAATATTGTAACTCCTTTTGTGAGAGGACATATCCTTGTGCTATGGAGACTGACATCCTCTTTTGTCAGGGCGAGGAGTGTTCCACTCTGCTGCTCAATAGATGACATGGCATGGCCAGGAGGAGAGAGCTGCTGAGTGGAGCAAGAGAGGGATTCAAATCAGCCTTTTTCTCCTGTCAATACCATCAATACGGGCTTTAAGTTGTCCATCTTTCTCTTTTTAACTCCTGATCAAACGTAGAGGCATGTGTGTTGCATGTGCTCAGATGTGCCTCTCCTGTGATTCAACATGCGCTTGAACACACTGGACTCTTTTTGTTGCCTCTGCAGACATTTTATTTTCAAATTTGGCAACAGTGCGTGAGCAGGGAGAGACAATTCTGCGTGCCATGTTTCCTCAGCTCAACGCGGGCTCTCTATCCAAAATGGAGGAAGCTTCTCCATCTTAATTTCACTCCCAACTCCACTGCAGTGTCCACGTATGTGTGTAGTAATAATGTGAGTGTAATTAAAGGATGAACCAGGTCGTAACTTGTTTGTAAAAGGAATCTCTGTCTGCGTGAGACTCTGTTGTGATGCTCCCTCGAAATGAGATTCTGTCTGGGAATTTGTGGTGGTTGTGTTATGTCCGTAAACAAGGTCATTTGGAATAAAGGTGCACAGGCTGCCTTAAGGGGGGGATACACACAAACACACACACATACACACAAAGCGGGCTGAACTGTGAGGGAACATGCACATAAAAAAACTGCCTTTTTTAGAGCTCCATGTCCTGTTTAGCTCCGACACAGAGCAAATGTAGCGTGTTTGAATCTGCGTGATCTGTTCAAGCGCGGCCTCTCCCCCGGCAGGTTGGGCATGAGGGAGAGGGACTGGCCCTGATGTTGATGAAAGGCAAACAAGCCTGTGTGTGCTTCACGATCACTGCTGCTGCTGCTGCTGCTGCTGCTGTTGCTGCTGCTGCTGCAGACTCTCGCTGCAGCGGAGATGACGAAGAAGAGGAGGAGGAAGAGGAGGAGGAGGAGGAGAGAAAGAGATGGGGAGGGAATCCTGCAGAGAAATCCTCATCTATCTCTCCTCCTCCTCCTCCTTCTCCTCCTCCTCCTCCTTGGTTATTAGCTGTGTGTATTAATTGTTAGCGTGGGTATTGGACATGCTAGCTGGGCCAGAGGATGCAGAATTAGCTCCTGATCAGTGATGCAGAGTCTCAGACAAAAAAGCTCTGAGACTTCTGCTGATGATGTAGGTGGGCTATAAATAGACCGTTATTTTTACCCCTGCCATTTTGGCCTCATTTCCGCTTTTCCCTTGCGCTTCCTCTGCCACCGCTGCGATTTAGTGGTGCTGATGGTGATGATGGTGAGTGATGGGCGAGTGGCTGGTGAACAGAAACATCCAAGTAAGTTGTGGCCATAAAAGCGGTAAACTAGGACAGAAATAAGACTCCTGTGTTAATCCCCCAGTGCACCATGGCCCTGCTAACTGGCTCTTATATAAGAGCCCAGAGAGCATGAAAAAGGAGGCAGCAAGAGAGACACACAGTGAGGCTGAGAGAGAGAGAGAGAGAAAGAAAGACAGAGCATCTCTACTGCTCAAAAAATGAAATCCTAAACTTGCCAAGCTGGGCCCAGGGGAGCTGCAAGTCTTATGTAGAAGGATTTCAAATAAACTTTGCCTCTTAATTATTAAAGACAAAGCACTCTTCAAGATAAGTTTGTAGTGAGGATGAAGTTAAGAGAGAAAAGACATTGTCATTTAGTTTTCACAGCTACAGTTTGTTCTCATTTGATCAGAAGAGTTTTGTCACATTCGGCTCAAAAACTTTGCAGGAAGTTCCTCAAACACTTTTCATTCAGAGTGTAAGAAATCAATGGTTTTATTTCAGTTAAAACATTTCAATACAAGCTTTGACTCACAGAGCAACTTCTGGAATTTTCATAATCTATTTTCATGTTTATTAGACAAAATAAATCTAGCTATTGTTAATTGTCATTTTGTGTAATGATTACAGCCGTCCCTTCAGTATCTTGAAGTTAAAAGGCTTTGTGTTTTTCTGTGTGTGAAAGAAACAACAATCAAAGTTTATGATTTTGCAGCAATTTTATCAAACTTGCTGTTTATGTTTCTTAACCAAAAAAGGGGCGATATTGTGATATTCATTTTTATATTTTTATTTACTTCACAGTGTTTCATGTATAATATCCTCACCTCCTACGCACACACACAACAGCCCAAATTTTTATAATGCTGCTTTCTGTGCATACACCCCAGACACACCTCAAATAAGTGCTGCCTGTTGTTCTAAAACAACAGTTGAGTTACGGTCTTGTCTCCCAGCCAATAATTTCAATTCTTCTATTTTCCAAAGCTTTACCATGGGAGTGTGTATACATATAAAAACCTTGTAACCTTGGATCATTACAGAGCTCTGACTCTTCCTTATGGGAGTCTTTAACTCCGACTGGCTCCCATATGACTCGAACGCTTAGTGTCAGCACCTTTGTCACCTAAATAAAAAAAAAGGAGATACCAGATTATTACCAAAAAAAAAATCAGCAATTTTTTTGTATAGAAATGACTTTGAATGTTTTTGGAGATTTCTGCAAAGAAATTTCAGTAACTCTTTACTTGACACCTATCTGTAAAATGCATTATATATATTTATATAGCACTCAACTCAACTCAAACTTTATTTATAGAGCACTTTAAAAACAACCGAAGCTGACCAAAGTGCTGTACAGGTCAATAAGACACAGCGAAATACATAAAACAGAGAGTAAACAATACGATCAAAAACACAGAATACAAGATTGAAATACAGCAAAGTAAAATTGAGGTACAAATACACCATAAATAAAAACAAATATAAAATACGTAGGTAGCTAAAAAACAAATATAAAATATAAAATTCCAATCAAGAGCTTGGTAAAAGCTAGGGAGAAAAAGTGTGTTTTTAAAGAGGATTTAAAAACCTCTATCGACTCGGCTGAACGGATGTGGTGAGGCAGGCTGTTCCAGAGCCTTGGAGCGGCCCCCCCAAAGGCTCGGTCACCTTTACTCTTTAGGCGAGTCTTCGGGACGACCAATAGCCGCTGATTGGCAGATCTCAGTGCTCTAGTGGGGGCATGAATGTGTAAGAGCTCGGACAAATACCCAGGGGCCAGTCCATTAAGAGCTTTAAAAACAAACAATAATATCTTAAAATTTATTCGAAAAGAGACTGGGAGCCAGTGGAGAGAAGCAAGCACAGGGGTTATATGTTCTCTTTTACGTTTCCCAGTAAGGAGGCGGGCAGCTGCATTTTGCATCAGCTGAAGCTGATGGAGCAGATTTTGATCCAAGCCAACATACAGGGAGTTGCAGTAATCTAATCTTGAATTGATAAAAACATGTATAACAGTCTCTTTGAGAGAGGTAACCCTTTACCTTAGACAGAGTTCTCAGTTGATAAAAGCTATTTTTGACCACAGAGTTGACTTGCTTGTCGAGTTTAAAATTACTGTCAAAGGTCACGCCGAGATTCTTTACCGATGCACGGACATTCAGTGTGAGAGGGCCCAGATAATTGGCTGGGAGGTCAGATGGGTTACAGCCAAATAATATAGCCTCCGTTTTGGTTTCATTCAAATGTAGGAAGTTTTCCGCCAACCAAGATTTAACTTCTGAAAAACAGTCCAGCAGCACTGTATAACTATAGTTATAAACACTCTTAAATGATAGTAATGCTTTATAAAATAATCATAACACATTATAAAGCATTTTATCATGACTTACAAGGTCAGGTATTATAATGTGTTATAACTGTTAACAACTCACTGACAATGCCCACATAGATAATGCAATGCACCTGTTTTTAACAGTAATTTAACAGTTATCAACATGATTATAACACATTTTACATACATTTATAATGCTTTATACAGATAGGCGTCAAGTAAAGTGTTACCAAAGTTTCTCTATGTCTGCATTTCTGTATCTTAAAAATTAGACCTCTTCTCAACAAAATTACTGTGAAAATCTTTTTAAATTTGTGTTTCCTTTTTTAAAAGTGAGTTTAGTTTCAATGTTTCTCAGCTCTTCAGGTCTTGAGGCCCTAACTATTCCTGATAGTAAGGAGTCATGTTGAGGAAAAAGTCCAGTTCACATCACAGCAGTCACCAAACCTGTTGTTCTCCCACAGGTTATCGTTATGGTCACATGATGCTATCATTGTTTTTTAAGTAAAACCTTTCTCTTACCAGTCCGGGATTCAACATTTGGTTCCTCTCGATAAATAGTGTGTCCAGTCCCTCTCAGACAGCCTCAGGGGTTTTGGCACTGATGGGTGCCAGCCCGTCTTGGCGCTGGCCAACTTGTCGTGTGTGAAACAGGAAGTACGTCTCTCTGAGTGAACCTGTCGGTTGTGGCTGGCTCACACTTTAGGCTCTTTATTGAACGATTGTGTGACCAGAGGTTGAACCTTGTTCTTGTTTTACCTTCTTCTGGTACAAAAATAACCCTTGGACTGTGTCCACATTAAATACAATGATTATTTTAACAGCACACAGATCGCACTATTAGACCTGTTATACTTTTATTTACAAGAATTGACGATACACTAGGAGTTAAAACTGTGCAAATGACAGATGTAAACAGATGCAAATGAGTGGGATGTGTAGAAGAGTCTCATTTACCTGCTGTTGATGTACATTTATTACACAATAAAAAAAGAGAGATTGTTAATGTTTATTTTGTAAAATTATTATTATTATTTCACTTTTTCCATTATGAATGTTTGCACCAGGTATACGATCAAAGCAGCTTGAAACTCCTGTTTTTAACTCGTTATGGAATCAACTGAAATTAATATTGATACCTATAAAAGCAAACAAGACTATTATTGCTGCCTCAGGGTAGGTGTCTAGCAGGACGGTACTCCATTGACTACAGGGGCCTTCAAAATTTAACCAAACCAAAGTTCCTCTCAGTAACTTTAGGAATTAAAGAGCAACAAAACTACAAAAGCCAATGCTAATTTCACTTTACATTTCTGAATTTGTGCTATTCAGATGGGGGAAATGTTTCACTCTGTAAATCAGCTGCTACAGAAATTCTTTTATTTATTCATTCAGCTTGATTTATTCATACAGGGTACTCCAGTGAGAGCTGTTTTATTCTTTTTACTGGCCGCCCGGGTACACAGCACAATAAAAGCAAAAGGCAAAAATGCAACATTCAGACAAACAGCACACTTACAAATAAAAGATGAGTACAAAATGGGTAAATAAAAATAAGACATGAAACTACAAACAGATTTAGGAGAGGAAAGATTTATTTGCGTGTCTGTGAAGGTAGCTGGGGACCAATGAACCATGTAGGAATTTGATGCCAACATGCCAGGGTGTAGGGTTACTTGTTCTTGTAATAAGTGTGTTTAATATGCTGTCATGTTATTGTTATCTCTGCTTTTGATTCCCTTTTACTGACTCTATCGAACATGCAACACGCTGGTGTAAGGGTAACTTTATCATATTAGGTTAAAAGTGCCTGATTTTGAGGAAATCTTGATTCACCTACTTCATATTATTTTCCATTTGAACCTTTTATATATATATATAAATATATGTATATATATAGCGTAAATGTACCACAAAAGGAACTGGGCTGCTTTGGCTGCCTCCATGACTCCTTTACTTTCTCCTTCCCACTCTGTGTGTAGGATCACCACCACTGCAGCCTGCATGATGGACCTGCGCCGCTACCCTCTAGATGAGCAAAACTGCACCCTGGAGATCGAAAGCTGTAAGTACCGTTGTCCCTGACAACGAAATGAAAAAATATATAGAACCATCTGCCGGCCAAGGTAGGAGGACGGCTGATGAGGCTGCATGTAAAATGCTGAGAAAGGCAGATGAGATATCACGAGATATGCATCGAGAAGAGGAACATCACTAATGGCTCACTGACTGATAACATCCAGCCTAATTAATTCAACTCCAGCTGCAGTGGCTTCTCAAGGCATGGAGGAGCCTGATTAGGTCCAGTGTTTTAGGGATGTGCTGATAGTGGATGTTCTGTGTTGCTTCTTCCCTGAAAAATCTGCCTCCATGTTTGCAGCATAAAGAGCTCATTGCACATGGACTGTACGTGTAATTGTACGTGATCTAGTGTTCTCGAGCGGAGGGAGGGAGGGAGGGAAGGAGGGAAGGAGTAACATGAGAGGGAAAGTCGAGGTCCTCTGCGTGTTTTATCTGGGTCCCCGGAGAAAAGGATTATGGGGCTGGGATGTGGTGTAGGGCTCAGTCTTTCTGGGTTTGATCACACCATTGCCAGCAGCAGTTAAGCTAGCACAAAAAAACAGCGTGGGTCAGAACCTCCTCTAGCTGCTCTTCTCCCATTATGCTCTCCATCTCTAGCCTCATCACTCCCTCTTCCCATTCCTCACCCCCTTCCTTTGCACAGTCTCATCCTCCTTTTCTTTTTTTCTCCCAGCCTTTTTATCTCTCTCTCCATCACTCACACTCTCTTTTTTTCTCCTCCTCCTCTCTCAGTCTGCACAACACAAAATGCACACACACTCCCTCCCTCTCACACACACACACACACACACACACACAGAGAGCTCCGGTTTTGATCACCAGGCAGTATCTGCTCTCATATGGATTAACTGGCAATGGTTTTAACGTTGGAATCGCTTCATGCCAGAGCGCGCTATTTTATTCAGACTAATGAGCCCAGAGAACTCGCACTTCCCTTGATAAACTTGATGCATTTTTAACAGACACAAGTCTTAAAACCGCAGATCCCCCTGACACATCAGCAGCTCGGTGCTGCAGCTCAGGCCACTGGTCTGCACTGAGCAGTGATTGATTTCTACCTTCCAACACTAAAGATTTATTGTTTAGCAATGCATACATTTGCATGCAAAACACACACCCACGTATGCATGCATATCTCAAGGCTGCATTGTCTCTCTCTTCACGTCACTCTTGTCGGACTCACATGACAGCCCAGGAGGAGCACGGTGATGTAACGCATTGACATCTCTCCCAAAACATACAGAGACAATGGTCCAGAACTAATAGAGCTACAAACTGACTGACCACTTATATACAGGCCATAAACACTCCCTTTATGGTCCTCCTCATGCCAAAACCCCCCTTTTTCTTGACACTCTCCTGATCCTAGCCTGTCATGGCTGATCAGAACTGAACTGAGCCGTACATCCAAACGCAGCGTGGTGGACTCGGCTCTAATTGGGGTGATGTTGGGTTGCACGAAGCTGTGATAATAATAATGTAGATGTGAGGGAGTGCTGACTGTATCTGCTGGGGTTTAATTTAAGCCCCAAACATGTAAGGTCCATCTCTGCACTACTGCTGTGATTAGCCAAATGATTTCCTCTGTCTCTAAACTATGAAGATTAACAAGTCGGATGAAAAGCTAATATTTACCTGAATAAATACCAAAGAGAGTTCACTATTCTTTTTTGTCGGCTGAGAATCCCATCAGTCTGCGATAACATCTGGTATGGTTGAAATCCTCAATGATAAGTGATGGGCTAGAAGCAGAGTAAGGGCCTGTGTCCATTATCTGAGTTGGGTTTTTTTTGCCCCTAAAACAGAATAACAGGCAAAGGCAAAGCAAAACTATTTCTATTTGAGGTAAATTTATTTTGTATAGAAATAATTTGCATTTAGTTGTACATGGAACTTCAAAGTGTTACACACAAGACAAAAAATGACAAGGTCAGAAAAACACATCTAAAGAAAATCATTTAAAAACTGTATAAAAAAGAGATATAGGCAAAATCTAAAAAATCCAGGAAAAAAAAAAACAAAGCCAAGTGAAGACAAAAACAGCAAAAACATACTGTGAATATTCAAAATACAAGCACAAAAGTTACAGTGCAGTGCAGTAATAATTAAAATTGAATCTGTAAAGAGTCAGTCTGTGAGGGGCTCAGCAGACCTGACATAATCTGGAGTAGTGTTGTAAATATTTGGAGCATAAAGACTAAACGCTGCCTCTCTGTCCCAGATGTGTCCTAGGTGACCCGAGTGGTCTCGATGGTTCAAACTGTATGAGAAGATCACAAATGTGTTCTGGACCTAAATCATTGTGAGTGCTTTTTAAACCAGCAGAGGAATCTTCAAATCTATTCTGTGATGACAGTGTAAAGACCTCAGAACTGGACTGATGTGATCCACGTTCTTGGTCTTAGCAGTTTTGTGAATCAGATGCAGTTGTTTGGTTGATCTTTTGGAGATGTTACAGCAACAAAGTCGACAGATGATGAATGCATGGACCAGTTTTTCCAGGTCCTGCAGGGACACAAATCCTTTAATCCTTGACATATTCTTCAATTGATAATAGGCAGATTTTGCTTTTGTCTTGACGTGGTTTTTATAATTCAGATCTGAGTCCATGACCACACCCAGATTTCTGGCCTGGTCTGTATTATCTGAAGCTGCTTACTGACTTCTAATGACTCTTCTGACTTCTGCCCAGCTATTGTGTGCGCATGTTTTATGAACCAAAGGAGTCACTCTCAACAACAATAGAGCACCCATGTTTTTATAGCTTCACAAGCTAACATGCCTAGAAGAAAAAAAGCCCATGGGTGAAGTTTGCTGCCTGTCCAACCAAAAACAACCCAACATGAGCAACATGACTAACTTCACCTTGAATGTCAGCACCACTGCAACAAAGACAAATGTGTTAATTTTTAAAAATCAAAACCGTAGAGTTTAATAATTCATCTCATCTGAATAGGTCACTGCCTCTATTTTGAGTGTGAGGCAGACACAGCAGAGCTCAAAGCAGGGAGATGGCTGCTCCCTGTTTGCCTGCAACGTTGTATGTCAGAAACAGTCTGCAACACTGACTGCGCCTGCGCTGCTTTCCATCCATGTGCAAATAACACATCAAGCTCCAAATCTCTGCCGCTCACAGCAACAACAGCATCAGTCTGGAGTTTTTTACATCACAGAGATCTTCCTCACCGTTGTTCACAGTCATACTAAATCACCATATATGCAGCGTTACGTCGAAATATTTTTACACTGTAAAGCTTTAAGGCAGTCTCTTGGCTTATTCCCTCTAAGTGACTCACCAAGCATCAAAGACATCATACTTTACATTACCGCCAGCCAGCCTACAAAGCAAACAAAAATAGTTCCTTATTCCTACCTCGCAGTTACAGCCTTTGTTCTGAGTTGATGTAAGTAGGTTATTGAAACAAAATGTAATTCATAACTGAGAAGAAGAGCATGCCTTTTCCTCTGAGTGCAAACTCTTGTTTGTGTTAGTGATGCAATTCAAGAAACTGTTTTAAATACCACTGAAATACAAGACATGAGAATCTGCACCATCTTGAAGTCAAAGCAATGATTTTAGGAAACAAAAGATATTAAATGTAGGATAAGCCAACATGAAACTTCATGTCGTTTTTGTTTTTGTATAGACTGAAAGATACGCAAGTAATGTTTGCATTGAAACACACCATAAAGAAAGCAGTCCATAAACATACTTCTATATTTTCATGCATTTTAAATGTTTTGTTTGTCAGATAAGCTGAGATGAGTGTTCACTGTCAGATGTGGAACCAATTTCAGGTCATTTAAGTGGGTTTTTCATTGGGTGCTAAAATAAAAGTGAATCACCACCTGTCTTGAGGATGGGAAAGTATCCTGAGACACCTCTTTAAAGTTAACATATTTTCTTTTTCGAATATTACAGATTAGAAAAAAAAACATCTTTGATAGATTTTCAACTCCTGTTACACAACAAAGCATTTTCAGTGGTTTGCTTGATTATTTTTCATTTTTAACTTTCACCAAAATATTTAAAGTGGAACAATTATTTGAGCAACAATCTAAGTGTGAAATACTGCATTTACGTTAGACAACAGCCTTTCCCCCAATCCAACTTTAATTTGTACATAACTAAACTAAACATGTTGGATACACTCTTACGTAAGAGTGCAAGTCTTATTTTGTTATTTAAATTAATATTGTCAAAGTATTTCAGATATTTTTTTATATATTTTACATTATTACCTATTTATTACCTCTGTATTTGATACTTCCTATTTTTTTCTCCTTTTTCTTATATTCTGTGTAAGAGCGACTGCAATACCTGAAATTTCTTGCAGCCTTTGATGAAGTGTGTCCGATTCTGAATCTGTCATTGCTCCTCTCTGCAGATGGTTACACCACAGATGATATCGAGTTTTACTGGCGAGGTGGAGACGGTGCGGTGTCTGGAGTGGACAGGATAGAGCTGCCACAGTTTTCTATAGTGGACTATAAACTCCTCTCGAAGAACGTGGTCTTCTCAACAGGTACGAAATATTTCAACATTGACCTTTTGATGTTTACAAGATATGAAGGAAAGGAACGTCAATTTAATCAGGAAACATGATACAAAAGTTTGATGCAAAAAATAAAGAACAAAGGAGAATGTAGCTTTCATTGGCTGCCATTATAACAAACTACTTCTCTTCTTCTTCCCCTCTCCCCGTGCCTCCTTCAGGTTCCTACCCCCGCCTGTCCCTCAGCTTCAAACTGAAGAGGAACATTGGTTACTTCATCCTGCAGACATACATGCCTTCCATCCTGATTACCATCCTCTCTTGGGTCTCCTTCTGGATCAACTATGATGCTTCTGCTGCCAGAGTGGCCCTGGGTAGGATTGCCTTGCCGCTGCTGCACAGTGACCCTGAGAAATAACCCAAAGCTAAATAACAACAGAGCATAAAAGAGCTGTTTAGCAGACATGGAGCCCTTTACATGCGCTATACATGTAAACATTAATGTGTGTGTCATGATCCCAGCTGTGACTCTTTATTTCCCAGCGTTTACTTGTCCTCTCATTAGCTCTAAGCATGTGAGTGATAGCAGTGTGTGATAGGCTGCCTGGCTAAATGTCTGTTGTTCAGAGATGACTATATGCATGACTCATGCAGAGCGAGAAGCGCGGCGGCTCGACCTTGAAGCGTGCTGTCTTTCTATCTCTGCCTGTCTGTCCATCGAAGCCTCTCATTGGTCGAGATTATCAGAGCCAGATCTCTGCTTAATTACAGCCAAATGCAATTTGGAAACAACCCTCAAAAACACCTCAAATGTAAGATTTCATGTTTTTACAATAGTGAAGCTGCCTTGTATGTTTATCTGGGCTATTACAGGTCAGAGCTGTAGACAGCATTGCTTTAAGTGTCCTGTGTGTGGTTCTTGTCACACATCATTTGTTTTGTGGAGTGGGACACATGCAGTTTTGAGCCCCGGACAGTGTATTTGGAGGGTAACGTGATTTAAAGATCTGCCTCCTTCCAGCGTCCCGAGAACGTGCAGTCAGCTGGCTGCAGCCAGTGAAAGACAAGGCTCCATCCTACAGTGACACTGCTGGCTGATGGGTTATTTATAATACGTGTGAATCTGACTGAATGCAGATTGTGCATGCAGATGACATTTGCGTCAAACTCATTGTGTGTATGTCAAAAATCAGGTGAATCGTGCTGTGACTAATAACAGATGTTTACAGTGTTGATGTTGTGCTTTTTTTATAGAGCCTGCAGTTTGTTTCATGTCCATCTGGATACATTATTGGGCTTCAATCTCACTGACATGCAACACATACACACACACACACACACACACACACACACACACACACACACACACACACACACACACACACACACACACACAGTTTTAGTCCTCAGAGGTTTCGATCTTTCATACATATGGGTTCACATTCTGTCTGTTTGCTATAAATATGTGCTGTATAATGCATGTCATGAACATGAAAGCATACTGTTATTAACTCATAACCTCATTTCCTTTCAAGATGAACACCTGATCTCAGATGTTTTGATGTCAGGATAATTCGCATGAAACAAGACTAAATGTTTCATCTACATTAGACAGTCTGCGGCTTCATGGCAAATAGATTTTTGACATATCATTGTGGTCATTATGGACGTATGTGAAGTTGCCTGACTGAGATTAAAGGAGTTTTGGGATTGTTTGCAGGAAGAAGCTTTTATCCCTCAATCCTGAAATATTTGATGAAATATAAAGTGTAGAAATGTACACTCACCTTTTTTAAGGTGGCCAAGAACCACCACTGCTGCAAATAGAAAAGAATGGTGCAGATAAAAAAAAAAAAAAAAGCCACAACGGAAGTTAACGACGCAAAGATAGTGGCGATGCAAAAAAAAACAAAAAAAAAAAAGGAAGTAAAGACGAGCAGAGAAAAGAAGTAAAGCAAAGAAGTAAGTGTAAAGGTTATTGTTAAATTTCACTTTGTGTGCTTTTCAATGAGTCGTTTGGTCAGGCCATGTAGCACCGGAGTCTTTATGAAGTTGAACTGGAGGATGCCGGTGTAGCATTAGCTTCAGTTCAACTTCCTTTGGTCAGGCGCAACATGGCCAGACCAAATGACACAGTGAAAAGCACACGAAGTGAAATTAAACAATAAACTTTCCACTTACTTCTTTTTTCGTCTTCTTGCCATCGTCTTCTGTGCCTAGATTGAAAACACCGGTGCATTATCATTATTGGTCCTCAGCAGCTCACTTCTATTGTGGCTTTTTTTATTTGCATCCTTTTATTTTTGCAGTAAGTAACTCTTCTTTTTGCGTCATTAACTTCTGTTGTGGCTTTTTTTAATCTGCACTGTCGCATTTTTTATTTGCAGTGGGCTTAAGTTTCTTTATTTTGCATTGGTAACTTCCAATGTGACTGCTTTTTTTTATTTGCAGCAGTGGTGGTTCTCGGCCACCGTAGTTTTTAATGTCAGCTGCAATTGCGGACAGTATGCACAATCCTGTAGACACAAAGTCATTTTAGAGTTTTCATCCGTACTAGCTGTGCTTTGGATTACTCACAGGGATGGTTCAAACATGATTATGAAAGCAGGTATTCACTTCTCTGTGTTTGCCATCTTAGTTTTACATGCTCCCATGCTAACTCTTTCCAGCTCGTACTGAATTCAAGGTGGGTTGAAGGAAGCTGATAGAAGGGTGATGTAGTAACTCAGTTATGATATGTTGAGAAAAACTTTCTGCCTCCATGAGCAGCAAAAGTAAAAGTACAGGAAGTTGGCAGGATTCAGCCTCTGGGGATCATGAACTTCTGTACAAATACTCATGTTAACCCATCTCTAAGGTGATGACGAATTTTGGACTTTGATTTCAACACTAACCCTTTTTACTACAAGTACAGGTTACATTGAAATACTTTGAGCCTGTGGTCTTTTTCATCTGAAGCTGCTCTTTACTTTGTTTTTGTTTTTTTTAACCTGTGACCTGTGGTATCCAGGGATCACCACGGTGCTGACTATGACCACAATCAACACCCACTTGCGAGAGACACTCCCAAAGATCCCCTACGTCAAGGCTATTGACATGTACCTGATGGGATGCTTTGTGTTTGTCTTCCTGGCCCTGCTGGAGTACGCCTTCGTCAACTACATCTTCTTCGGCCAGGGCCCGCAGCGGCAGAAGAAGGCGGCTGAGAAAGCGGCCACGGCCAATAACGAGAAGCTGAGACCCGACCCCAACAAGGTACATGTGCAGGCTGCATTTGTCCAGAAGTATCTGTGCTGTCGGTAGATATGTGTGTGTTTGTTTCTGTGGGAGCAAATGACTGGTTCTTCTCTCAAGGCCAATGTGATGCTGTGATCAATGCTTTATGTCTTTTACCAGCACTGTTAACTCTGCTCTAGCTCTCCGTTCCCACTGGTTTAGCCTGTGTATCATCTTTATTACTTGGACTAGGATCTGACGGAGTGAATGCAGAAGCAATGATTGGCTTATTCTTTATCTCCATATTTCTGTGTCTCTCAAAGGGCAAGGTGTCTTGGAAAAATCACACGCTGTGGTGCCAAAGCCTTCCCTTTACATTTTTATTCAGCTGCTAACGCTAGCAGGAACAACAGCAATTTTAAAATTAAAAACACCCTTTCCTTCTGAGTGTGGCAAGCTACGATTTCCCCTAAGTAACAGTGCTGATTTTGTATGCTTGCAGTGGCTGGTGGGAAATGTAATTCAGAGAGATGATGCTCTGTATGCCAGAATGAAAAAGAGGGAAATTGACGCATATGACTCGATGTGGGATCCCATCTTTGTGGACGATGCCGCATTAGGACTAGGCGAGCAAAGAAATAAGGTACTGGAGGTTTTGAAAGTCAAAACTAACAATGTCATCAATCTGAATCAATCCAGATCAGAGGAAAATGCTGTAGTTTTTGTGCATTTCTTTGATTTCTATAGATTTTTTAAGGCAACTTTGATCATCACTCCCACCATTGTGTTTTTTCCCTCTCTTGGTTTGCTCTTCATGCATTTTCCTGACAAACATGGCTTAGCAGTTTTATTTCTGCAAGCATTTGTTTAATCTGAACTTGGGCTGTAAATCTAAATCAATGGGAAATGAAAACAAATACGACAAGAAAGAAGAAACATCTCTAGTTTCTTTTGAGATAAACTGATTTAGTTACAGTAAATGCTGTAAAATCTCAGAGGCAATTGATAACTCTTGAGACCAAGTGAAGCAATTAACAAAAAAAAAAGGATGTCAGATAAGCAAAAGAGATTTGCAGTTTGATGAATAGTGTCAAAAAGGTGGCTTTGCTTCAAAGTGAGTTACACAAAAAACACACACAAAAGAAAAAAGAACAAGCTCCATTTACAGCGGGACAGGATTGGATTTTAGGGACGTTTTTCACCAGAAGTCAGGCTATGGATGAAGAAATGTTGATCCGAATTCACTTCCCACAACGTCTTTTCCTGACCTGCCCCGAACCTTTTTAGCCTTTCCTCCATCTTTGCAAAGTCCTTACTATATTCTCTCAACCTTCTCCTGTCACATTTTTTTCCTTTTGCTTTCTTTTTCTTTTTTAATTCAGTTTGTCTTGTGAATCGACAGAATTTTAACCACATGCTGGTTGAAATTCTGAGATGACAATGAAGATTTCTCCATGAGAATTAGTTTGTGGAGTGCGTTGTGCCCCTCCAGGAATGTTACCTCATAGTCTTGTGGTTGTATTATCACTCTATTGATTGACAGATGATCAATGATTTATCTGGTAATTTTTCTCAAATATCCTAACAACCTCGTAACTGTAAGTAAAAATTTTTAATCATTTGCATTACTCATTTTAGCACCTCATCAGTATTTTGACTCAGCTAATGAACGACTTTAGCTCTACTTGTTTCTAGTCATAGTTTCAACTTTAGGTAGACACTTTAGGTTTTCCGTTGGCAGTAACTTCTCATGGCTCCACCTGTTTTTACGCCCTCACACAGATGACCCCTGACGACAACATCCTCTTCAGCACCCTGGAGATGAAGAATGAGATGGGTGGTGCTGGGGATCTGTCCCGGGGCCTGGGAGCACCCGGAGACCCCCGTAACACCATGCTGGCCTATGATAGCTCAACGCTGCAGTACCGTCGGGCAGCCATGGCCCGCCAGAACTATGGCCATAGCGCGTTGGAGCGCCACGCTCAGAAGAAGTCACGTCTACGACGACGGGCCTCCCAGCTCAAGGTGAATATCCCAGACCTGTCCGACGTGAACTCTATCGATAAGTGGTCCAGGATGATCTTCCCCACTGTCTTCTCCTTCTTCAACGTTGTCTACTGGCTCTACTATGTCCATTAAACCAGGTGGCGTCTGGCGGCCAGCTTTGTGGCATACAAAGAAGAGAGGGGGAGAGGGGTATTTAGAGAGGATGAGATAAATCTAGTGAGAGTGTGAGAGGATGTGAGAGAGACAGAGTGAAAGATGAACAGTGCACCAACTTTTTTAGCTGGTTCATTTTAGAACAAGTGAAGAGGATGCAAAGACTTTTGGATGGACTGCAGCAGCACCCAACACGACAGTCAGCAGTGACTCTTTTAGGATTTGGGAAACACCTTAAAAACGACTGAAAAACACTCGAAAAAGAAGAGCGGGTTTTAAAAAGACAGAAATGGTGCCTGTTCCAGAATTTCAATATATCACTAATATTTGTCATTCGTAGCTTAATCTCTGTGGATCAAATATTTATGCTTGTGTTTGCATATACTTTAAGGATTTGTTTTGTTTAGTATCTATTTACTTCGTAGCCGAGCTGTCTGCATCCAGGAAAGCTTTATAAATGATTTTAAAGGAGTCATCCTTGATAGTCTATTTTCCTATAATTACTGTATATCAAAAACATCCTTTAAAAGCATGCTTATGTTTGATTTCATTTGCATCTCAGTCATTATGATGATGATGATGATGGAGCGCAAAGTATTTTACTTTTTCTCGTGGAGGTTGGTCTGTCAGTTACCATTCCGCAGCTTTGGCTTAGCACGGCACACACCTGGTGGATTCAAGCCTCGCTGGATGACAACAGGTGGACAGCAGGGGGCGCTCATTTCTCTGGACATCTCCACCGGGCTGTTATGGTGCCAATGCTGAAAAGAAAAGGTGAATTCATTTGTTTAAAAAGGTATCATTTTATTTGGTAAGAGAGTGGGACTGATGGACACTGATGCTTTGACCAAGTTTATGTTTTTTTTGCTTTTGCTGTGCTGACAAAATCAAATCCATTTCACCATGTGTTATTTTTTTAAAGAGAACATGTGACTCCTCCGTACTTTCTGCCATTGTGTGAGGAGGCAGAGAATGGCTTTAACACGACTTAAGCTGGTGTAAGAACTTTGCTGTTAGATGAGCTGAGTTTCATTGCAACCAGAGTTGCTGCATAAATATGGCAATCCACAATCATCATTATCAGTAGATTTGAATGATAGAAGTATGATGCGTTTCATTGTGATTAGGTTTCTGTTTTGAAAAACTGTAGATAAACATAAAAATCATATTTAAAGAAAAAAGAGATGATTCATTTTTATAAATCAATACTCACATTATTGTGTAAATATTATGGATTTATTCTATTTAAATGGGTCTCTGTTGTTGTTTTTGCAGTTGAATTACAGATCAAATGTTTCATTCATTGGAGAAAAAAAGAAAAGAGCAATTTAACTGAGGAAAAAGAAAAACACAATTCACAACTTTGCTGACTCTGTACTTTTGGGACTTTTCTCTCTTTTCTTTCTTTTTAATGGACTTTAAAAGCATCTACTTGCTGAAACTGAAGCACTTCCAGACACCAGTGACTTTTGGGTCAATGTTTTGTTCTCCTGAAATGACTAAACAAGGACCCCACTATCCAGGCATTGAAGTCAGGCATATTTTGTACAAAGTTTCTGTAAATTCCAATTGTAATATTTCATAATGACTGTAAATATCTTGTGTAATGATTGTCAGCAATTATGAAGATGTATCTAAATTCAATTAAAACTCAATTCAGTCTATCACTTCAATAACAGAGTACACTGGTGGCAGTTTTATGTGTCCCGGATGAATGTGCCGCAGGAATGTCTGAAAGTGTAAGCGTAAACCTGATGCAGGGAGAGAAAATAGGGCTAAGCGGAGGGATGTGAGGGCTACAGCGGGGTACAACTGGCTGCATAATGGATGGAGAGGTAGTGGAGTTAGAGCGAGAGGCCGTGGCAGTGGTGGTGGTCTAGGTCTCAGCAGGACTGAGCGTCAGCATCAGCCTCAGGGGACACGAAACGCAGAGTCTGAGCTACATGGAGGCACTCTGTGGGCTCAACCGCTGCTGCAAGGAAGTAACTGCCACAAAAAAAGGACCAGAGGAAGAGGAAAATAACACGTAAGAAAGAGGACAATCCATCCATCCATCCATCCTTCCATCCTTCCTTTCCCTGTATCCTCCTGACTGTACCCTACACTGCTTTGCTCTGCACTGACCACTGTTACAGCCCTTAAATGGATGCTAGTGAATATTTGATGGTGCAAAACACTGAATATTTAATATTTAAACATGGATTTTGTTCTAGCAAGGACTAATGTGCAGCTAATGTTTGATTTCTGACTCACAAGGACAGAGAACACGTCGAGATACCAACAGATTGAGGGTGATGAGTGCGAGTTAGACAGAAGGACATAAGGAAGAAAAGGGGATTTTTGAGTTTGTGAAATGGTTCAGTCTGACTACAGACACTGAAAAAAGACACACCAGTGGACTTTTCTCCCTGAGCTCAGGAAAATGGAGGACAAATTAATATGTAACACACAGACAGACTGCTCCAGCTGGAGTTTGTTTTTAAGAGAAGACAGAGGAGACCCATCCTCGCTTTGGATAGGACTACACGCAGCATGTGTGTGTGTGTGTGTGTGTGTGTGTGTGTGTGTGTGTGTGTGTGTATGTGTGTATGTGTGTGAGAGAGTGTGAGTGTATGTGTGTATGTAGTTCTTTGGAGAGTGAAGACTCTAAGTGCAAAACTCACTAAAAAGGCAAAGTGGTGTTAAAACTGATGTAACGCGACATGTAACCTTGTTCCAGGTTCCACCATGCAGCGGTAAAAATCAGATCTACATTACTGTTCCCTCTCAGTATAACAGATGTATTATCTCACTGCAGTAGACAGATGGTTTGTGCTAAATTGGCCCTCTCTCTCACTCTCTGTTGTTTCCTGTTTTCAAAAAGGGCATTAGTGTTGACATGTAAGAAAAGTGGGAAAGGCAGATGCTTTCTACTTTGTAGTGTTTCCATGTCACTGCAGTAATTAGGAATGCACAGATCTCTGTTATGTGGAATCATGTGTGTATTTGTTTGTGTGTGCATGTGTTTTGTCTCCAATAGTGTCTGTAGTTTTTATGTATGTGTGTGGCGTGGAGACTCGCAGCTGCGCCGCTGTGCAGTGGGCGTGCCAGCCAAGACAAACCCAGCCAGAGCGGGGACGGGTGAGAGGGTGAGCCCAGCACACTCGCAGCACGCCACTCCCCTGCTGTAAAAGATGGAAAAAACATGCTGAGTTCACCTGGAGAGATGAACCTGCTTGTGTCAGCTGTTCAATGACAGAATAGGAAATCATTTAAATTCTTTGACTGATGGTCATAAACATGCAAGGTCGAGCATGGCATCCTTTAGCAAAGTCATCCAGTTCCATTATCCATTATCTCCAGGTAACTCCAATAATTCCACCATATTACTGACCAGACACTCACAGCATGATTGCTACGACTGTAACTGTGTCTCAAATGTAAATATAAGTGCAATAAATAAGTGGCCCAGTGGAAATCTGGCGTGTTTAAACAGGTTCAGCAGCCTGCCCTGGAAAAGTCAACATATGTCAAAATAAGGAAGTGGAAGGCGTCCTACATGCATGCCATCTGCCAAAGAGGCTGCCTTCGTGTGGTCCATCACACGTAAGAGTCTCACACTCATATGTTAATCAAAAACATGATTCGGCGTCTTTAAACTCTCAAGTTACTTCAAGAAGCAAATCTATAACTTTCTCGAGCAAATTAATGAGCTAATTAGCTTCAAAATCACAGTTTGTTTAGCTGACCTCTAAACCCGTGTGGATTTTCCCAGATATGAGTTTAAAAATTCTTGTAAGTGATACTTTCTGTCAAACTAATGTTATTTAAGAACTTTTTTTCAGGTATCTATTTATATCCCTAAATGTGGGGTGTGTATCCTCTTGCTGTGTTCATTCATACTCTTCCCCAAGCAGTTGCTTAGCTCCGTGTTGTGTCGTCAGGACAAATATCTTTAAATATCTTAAAATCTTTTAAAAATTTTTTAGATTTTCAGCTTATTTCAGAGCTTTGTGCTTACATCTGTAATGGTTTATACAGTTTTTGTAATACCTTGCTTTTCAAGAACAATTGTAGTATTACTGGTATTTAATTGAAGACTTAAAAACAGGCAACTGGACTGTGTAGAGTTGCCTGTGTTTAAGTCTTCAAGAAAACCATGACCTGGATGAATGAGAATCTACATGGACATACTGGTATTTAAGACAACGTTATAATGCAGCTTAGCTGAGTTTGAAAAATATGACCTTAAAGTCCAATGATTAACTACAGTATTGACTACTTATGTTTGATAGTGTAACATAATAAGAAAAAATATAATCCTAGGCAGTGTAATAAAAGCTACTTTATTGCTTTGTCAGAGGTAATTCCTTTTTTTTACAAAAGAAGATCAGGGCCACCAAACCAAAAACTACAAAGACTTTAAAAGGCTAGTTTTTGAAACTCTGACTGTATTTTCTGGATTCAGGGTTTAAATCAAATTTATGAGTTTCTCCTCAAAATTCTCACTCTCATTTCTGATTCTTACCTCAAATTTCTGACTCTAATCTCAGAATTTTGACTAAAATCTCAGAATTCCAAACCTAAAATTCCATATTTTTCCTGAGAATTTTGACTTTTAACTCAAAATTATTATTTTAAACTCAGAATTCTGATTAAAAAAGTCATAATAAAATTCATAATGACCCCCAAAGATAATTTTCAACAGCCCATATTTACTTATCCCCATGAATTCTAGCATTAGCTGTTGTCTTACAGCTTTTGAGTTATTCACCAAATAACTAAATGTGCTTCATTCCCAGGCTAGATTTAAAAAAAAAAACCCTGCAACAAACACATACTTCATTTTTAAGACAGCTTGGAAATCAAACAGTAGGCCTACCAAATAATCAGTTTTATAACCTGGTTTGGTGAATATGGTGGATTGACAATCTTCCACTTTGCTGAGTCATTACTCAGTAGCCTCTTTGCTGCGTCATTTTGGCTGTCTGTTCTAACAGCTCTAGTTTTAGGAATGACTATAAACCTGTCAATGAAAGGGGCGGGCCCAGAGAAATAGGTGTGCTGTCAGTTGTGTTTGGAGCATGCCAAAGGCCTCTCTGTCTCTCACACACACTCACACCTCTGAGGAGAGGATGAACATACGGAGAGTCTCTTTAACTAGGTAGAGCTGTCAGAATTAGGAGGATGGAAAGAAAAAGTTGGTGAAGAAGAAAAATAAAAGAACAGCAGCTATGACGTGGAGGAGCCCTCTTGCCCTTGTGAGGGATGCTCTGAGAGGTCAGAGGGCACGGGAGAAGGACCTCCGCAACCTTGTGTCTAATCTGCCTTATGAGGGCCTGGAGAAGGGGAAGCAACCAAACCGCCACTTTGCTGGGAACGCCATCAAGACCACCAAATACACACCTCTCCTCTTCATCCCCATGAACCTCTTTGAGCAGTTTCACCGCCTGGCAAATATCTACTTTGTGGGTCTGGCTATCTTGAACTTTGTCCCGGTATTGAATGCCTTCCAGCCTGAGGTGGCTTTGATCCCCATCTGTGTCATTATGTCTCTGACGGCCCTGAAGGACGCCTGGGAGGACTTTAGGAGGTACCAGTCAGACAAGAAGCTCAACAACACCCCATGCTTCATCTACAGCAGGTAAAAAAAACTCTGATAAACATGCTGAGCTGTACATGCACAATGTGGCATGTTGAAACACTCCTGCTGCATTCAAGGAACTTCATATCTGTGTTAATGATTCTTATCATCCTCTGTGTCTGTGTGTACATCTGTGTCATTGTGTGTGTGTGTGTGTGCGTGCGTGTGTGCGTGATTTATCTCCTCTGTGTTATGGCCCCTTTGAGAATGTGAGACTTGAATGTGTGGCAGCTTATCGCTTTCTATTTTTATTTATTTTATCCTTACAACATCACTCACCATCACATTGTGCCCATTTGATGCAATTGTCATCTGGGCACTGTGTCAGCAAAGAGTGAGGTTAGAGGTAATCTGTTTTTGTATTATTAACCCTTAAATGCCTTTTGTATCATATTTGATACATACTTTTATTATACTTCTATCAAAAGAATATGATCAACAAATTAACACAAAAAAAAAACACACCTGAATACAGTCCAATAAATGATAAAAATGTCCTCTTATGGTTTATCAGTTTTCAAAAACATCTAATGTAACAAACGAGATGAATAAATATATTTGTTAAATTTTAAGGACATTTTGGTTTTGGGGGTTTTCAGTAGTAAGTGAAATAAACATTTCAGCTTCCAAAAAATTTAATTTTCTGGCCATAATTTGTGGTTTCAGAGATTAAAGGGCTACTGAAAAATGAATACATCATAAAGGAGGACACACACATTTTCAAACCCTTTCACTGCTGTGATTTTTGGAGCAGAGTAGACCAAGGGTGAGGGGCTGAGAGCACCCCCAATGATGAATCCTCAGAGATTCAACCACTGTGAGGGTCTTTAATCAACCTGCAGTTTCCAGCTTTCAAACCCCCTGCATCAAGCTGCATCATGTCTGTGAGTCTGTGAGTGCGTGTGTAAGTCCAGGTGTTTGACGTGCCGACTCCTGATGCAGCATTTTTTGGACATTTTTGGAAAACTTGCTAGTCCCTTTAGGCCTGTTTGTAGACTCCTGTTGTCTTTCACGCAATCAGACTACCAGCGGCTGATGTGTGTTGAGCTGGCTCTTGTGGGTGTCCCACGTCTCCCTGGGTAAGGGTGCTAAAACTCAGTTTTTGGCTTGTAAAGATTAGTACTCCATTGATTTGCTGCGATTACTTTGAAGTATACAAATGTTTCCCAAAGAAGCACCAGAATAAATTTGGGGCTGCTGCATATGTCTTATTCAGTCTTTCACAGTGAACCTGATCAATTTTGAGTTTTAACATGGTGAAAAAAAAACTACTGTAGTGCATGTGAATATCCACACTACAGATTTAATCTCAGCCCTTCAGACATTCACAGATGCGTGTTTTCATCTCCCATCAGCCTTTACCTGCTTGTTGTTGTCAAAGAGGTGTGAAGTGTGTCTCTTTCAACATGGAGTGGCTCATCTTCAGGGCTTTTCTCTAACTATCTCATTCCCATCTCCAACTCTTGACAATTCACACCTGCACTAAAACACACCGAACAGGAAACATCCTGAATGATAATCTTGCTGATAAAATGACAACATGTTTTGTTTTGCTGCTGCAGAGCTTTACATATCTGCAACCGGTGAGTGTATCCTGTTAAGTATTTTTCTTTCTTACCCAGTGTTTTTCATGGCTAAAGTTTAATTTGAAAAGCAAATACAAATGTGTGGTATTAATCTCCTTTCAGTTCTTTTATATTTCTACAATGCAAAATCACAAGTTATCTCATGACTCATCCAAGCAGGTTCAAACTGTCTTTAGGTTTTCCTCTAAGTGCTGACATACATTTAAAAACGTCTTTGCATGTCAGAATAGTTTGTGTGACAGCTAATTACAAGCTTTCTGGAAATGCTTACTGGCATGTGATCGGTGTACTTCTTACAAGAAGTATTTGTGCAACCTGGTATGTCAATTTTAACACAACATACTAAAAATACACAACCCACCCCCCTCTCCTCACCCCGGGCTTTGTTTGGGGTGAGGTGTGGTAGCCACCCGATCAGGTCCTACATGCAGGGCAGCATACCAGCATCTCTCTGTCACTGCTTGTGTGTTGTAACATGAAGGCTTTCTGGCAAACAGGGTCGGCTCCTGATGTGTTTAACACCAGCTCTCCCTCTTATACAAGTTTCCTTTTTCTTTTTCACACAGCATACATCTGGGCGGCCCTCCAAAAACAACAGCATTGATTTTTGATTTGGTTTTATTGTTTATTCCTTAGCTTAAGCAGCTGCTATGATTTTCTTATCCATAACATTCTTACACACCCCTTGCGAGCCAATATTTCATTTGATCGCATAAACATAGACAAAAACTGCCCACTGTGCCAATATTGCAGTTAATAATGACTTTATAAAACGAATGGCGGTAAATGTTGGTGCCCGTCATGTTTCGTTTCAGAAAAGAGAAGCAGTTTGTGGAGAGAAGATGGAGGGATGTGCGAGTGGGAGATTTTGTGAGGGTGGAGTGCAATGAGATCGTCCCTGCAGACCTCTTGCTCATGCACACATCAGACCCCCATGGTATGTGTTACATAGAGACGTCCAATCTGGATGGAGAGACCACCCTGAAGCAGAGGCGGGTTGTGTCTAGCATCTGTATCTCAGTGAGTAAAACCCTCTTTTTTAAGTAGGTTTCGTTTCTCCCCTGTGTTTCATTACCTGCCTTTTCTCCCCCTCATGACTGACATCTTACATACACCATAAGAGTGATTGTTTCCTGTCCTGACATTACCTACTGAACAGTTACCGTCAATGCACCTCTCTAAGTGTTGACAGATAGAAAACACATACCTGTTGGATAGCATACCTGAAATGAATACTTGCGGACTATGCTTGTCCTCTCTGTGGTCAATAACCATTATGCCTGTCTGGATGCACAGGTTGAGTTACATTTATAAAAATTTCCATCCTTTCTGTGGTGACTTTAACTCTCTGTTATTCCCAGGATCCTGAGTTTGAACCTGAGAATTTCAACAGCATCATAGTGTGTGAAAAGCCAAACAACAATCTGAACCATTTCAAGTGTTTTGTGTGAGTATCAAATGCACCAATCACACGTGATTCCCAAAACAGCTTCTTTGGGCCTTTCAGAGCAACCGAGCAAAACTAATTTCATCCCACTCGCTGCACTTTCTGATGCCTTCAGAGGCATTATTGGGGCTGTAATAGACTATAATCGATTTCCTCGGGCACCGCGGCTCTTACAGCCAGTCTGCCCATTCTGTCCAGCTATGCTAGTAAAGCAGGAGAACAGCTAATGGGAAACATATAAGCAGTAATGAATATCTAACAAGATCTGACAGTACTACTTTCTCCTTCTGCTGCAGAGAGAAACCAGATAAGGAGAAGGTGGGTGCTGGGATCGAGAGTCTGCTGCTACGAGGCTGTACAGTGAGGAACACAGAGCACGCTATTGGCTTTGTGGTGTATGCAGGTGCTGCTTCACTTCTTTGACAACCAGCTTAACATTTATTGCTGCCAAAAGCATGTTTTCATCTTCTGTCTAGATCAGTGGTTCTCAAGTCCAGTCCTCGAGGCCCACTGTCCTGCATGTTTTGGATGTTTCCCTGCTCCAACACACCTGATTCAAATGATCAGCTCGTTATCAAGCTCTGTCATGGCTTCATAACGAGCTGATCATTTGAATCAGGTGTGTTGGAGCAGGGAAACATTCAAAACATGCAGGACAGTGGGCCTTGAGGACTGGACTTGAGAACCACTGGTCTAGATTAACCCAGCACAACCCCACAAGACAAGACATCAAAATTTGTAACACGTCACTAAGAGAATTGTGCATTTAACTAGCTCCTTTGTTGGCCACTGATCATATGTAGAGAGTTTGCTGGTGACTGAATCAACTTCTTTTCGTCTGACCTTTCAGGACATGAATCCAAGTCCATGCTCAACATCAACGAGTCAAGATACAAGCGCAGCAAGCTAGAGCGGAAGCTGAACATAGACGTCATCTTCTGCGTCATTCTCCTCTTTACCATGTGTCTCATTGGAGCAGTGGGTCAGTAATGGATTACACAACTTGACTATCAAATCAGAACTGAGACAGGGCTGTGATTAATGCTTTTACATTAGTAAAGTGACATTTAATTTCCAGCCACAAAAAAAAAAAGTCATTCACCTTGGCTAAAGACTTGAACACATACCAGGAGATGAAGGAGGGGACAGGAGAAGGCGTGGTGCCAAAAGATAGCTTCTCCTTACAAGACACTTGCTGTGATTAATCCTTGTGTCCTCACACCTGCAGGTCACTACTTGTGGCTGGAAGCGCTGCCTGGTGTGCCCCCTTACCTGGTCCCTGACAGCAGCGGTCACCTGGACAGTCCCAGTCTATCGGGTTTCTACATGTTCTTCACCATGATCATCCTGCTGCAGGTGGAGGAGACTTACCGTGTTTGTTATAGAGAGATAAGATAAGATAAGATAAGATGAGATAAGAAGAACTTTATTTGTCCCTGAGGGGATGTTCCATTTGATTAATGACTACTACACAAGGAAAGAGTCTTCATATCAAAATGTTTTATATCCTTCTCTTCTGCAGCTTCTCATTTCATCCCTTTTTTTCCAAAAATGCTCTCATCTTTTTCCTTTTCTGGTCTCTTCCTCCTTTCACCTTTTGACCTCCTTTACTTCTTTCTAATTTCCTTCTCTCCATCTGTTGTTACTTCTCTCTTTATTTTTTTAACTCTTTCTTTCTTTTAATAATAATAATGCATCAGATTTTTTATATAGTGCTTTATCAGACACCCTCAAAGCACTTTACGTCATTCATCCGCTCACACAGTCACACCATGGTGATGGTAAACTATTGTAGTAGTCACAGCTGCCCTGAGGCAGACTGATGGTAACGTGGCTGCCAGTTTGCCCTCTCTGACCACCGCCACACAACACTCACATTCATACACCAGTGGAGGACACACACATTGGGAGTAAAGTGGGTTAAGTGTCTTGCCCAAGGACAGAACGGACAGACTAGGGATAGGGGGGAATCTAACCACCAACCCTCCAGTTATTGGACGATTGCTTTACCTCCTGAACTACTGCCGCCCTCTTCCCCTTTTCCCTCTTTTTCCTTTAACCTCTTTCCTTTTTGTTCCTTTTACACCTTCCATTTCCTTTTTCCTTTCCCACCTTTCTTTTCTTTCTTTTATTTCTCTCCCTTCCTTTCCCCACCCTAAGCCGTCCATCCAATTTCTTTCCTCTCCTTTAGCTTCACCTCCTTTTCTCTCTTTCATTTCCTTTTCTTTCCTCCTGTACTTGTATTTCTTTTACTTTCTATCTTTTCCTGTCCTCATTTCCTTTTCTTTGTTTACTTTCCTTCTTTTCCTCCATTTCCTTCCTTCCTTTCCGGATTCTTTCTGTAGTCCCTTCTTCCTTTCCTTTTCTCGCTCTTTTCCTTACCTTTATTTCCTTCCCTCCTCTTCTGTCTTTTCCATATTTTATTTTCTTATTTTCTTTTCATCTTTTCTTGTCGTTCTTTTCCTCCATTTCCTTCTTTTTTAGTTCTTTTCCTTTTTTCCATCTCTCTTTATCTCTTATTCCCCTTTTCTTTTTAACTCCCTTACTCGGTCCTAAAACTGCCTAATTTGCATCCCTTTCTTCTTCTATCACTTCTTTCATTCTTTCTCTCTTAGTTTTTAATTTTTACTTGTGTATCTATCCTCATGTCGTCTCTTCTTTCTCTTCATTACTTTCCTTTTCTATCCTTCTCTTATCTACTCTCCCTTATTCCTTTTCTATGTGCCTCCTGTTTCTCTCCATGCTTTCTTCTTTTTTCTCAATTTTTGTCCTCTTCACCTTCCCTTTTCGTCTTTTTTTTGTCCTCCTTTAGGTCTTGATTCCCATCTCTCTCTACTTATCCATTGAGTTGGTGAAGATTGGTCAGCTTTTCTTCATCACTAACGATGTCGATCTGTATGATGCGGACACAAACAGCCGCATTCAGTGCAAGTCCCTGAACATCACGGAGGACTTAGGACAGATTCAATATGTCTTCTCAGACAAGACTGGCACCCTGACTGAGAACAAGATGGTGTACCGCAGATGCTCCGTCATGGGCACTGAGTATCCTCACAAAGAGAACGGTGAGAGTTTGTGTTGAGTTATTTTGTCTGATAAAGTCTATCATGTATGAGAATTGGGACCTGATAGATTCACTGTTGAGTTTTAAAAGGTTAGTTTGTGGCTCTTATCTTCCTACATTGCTCCTTAACTGTTAACTCCTGACCAAGACCTGGTTATCTATTTTTTTCCAGCTGACTAGCTGTTTAAAGCAACACTTTATATTTGTCAGGTCTGCAATATGTTGCGTCCTCATCTTCTCATCAACGGCTAACTATATCTCTGGATGCTGTAAAGGTTTAGATTTGGTTAAGCTGAATGGGGAAACCTCATTTAGAGTCCTTACATTCCTAACCTGAGATACCTGGCCTTTTTTAAAGGCAGTGCAGAACATGATAACTGTTGTTATATGCTGACAATTTATTGTTTTATGGAGCTGACTACTCACTCTGCATTGTGACATTACAACACCAAGTTGTAAACTTTGTGGGTGATGTGTTAAAAACTGGGAATATTTTTCCCACCAATAAGAATTGAATTTAAAAAAAAAGAAAAAAAATGAATTTAAAAAAGGTTTCTGAATATTTTTGAGAGGCTGAAAGTTTTTCACAATTCAACCTGTATTTGAAACTATGACCTTCCGTTGCTCCTTTATTGAATCTTACCACTCTAAATTGAAAAATAATAATGATCCTGTTAACAGTTTAAGATTCTGGATGTGACCCTGCAAAAAGTCTAGAGTTATTTGGTGAACATGTTGCCAGCTGGTCAGTCTTAGGATTTGTTCAAAATCAAGGGGACTTATGCACATTACAGAATTTAATGGCTTATTTATTTAGTCTATTTCACTTTTAAAAAGACCAGTTTGGTCTTTTGATGTTACAGTGTTGCTCACTTTAGTACAGTACAAATTACTCAGAGTTAAACATGTATCCTATTTTGAGATGTACATGATATTTCAGGATGGTGATGTGATCCTGTAACTCTATCTCCCACCTCTAAACGTGCTGCATGTCTCAAAATATTACAGCCATCCGCCTCGCAGTCCTTGAAGGTGAAGAAACAGAGGAAAATATCCTTTTCAACCAAAAGACACGACCTGTGAAGACCGGATGGTCACTGGATGCTGAGGATAAAAATTCTGATGACACACATCAACACAAACGTGGCGGACGCAGGGGCAAGCTCTCAAGAGGTGCCTCCAGTGATGCAGCCTTCAGCAGTGAACTGGTAAAATGATCATGAACAAAGGCAGATATTTCAATCAGAGGCTGCTGTGGGTTTGGATTTGCCAAGGAACTTTAATTTTTTAATTTAATTTAGTGGTAGTGAAACACTAATGTCCATAACAGTATTAACAGTGTACTTATCATTAAAGGAGATTGAGCTTCCCCCCATTCGTTTCTTATGCTTGGATAGTGTCATGGCTGTGGGGGTTGGACACTGTGTACTTATGGGTTGGGTGAGGGGCAGGTTACATACCGGACAGGTCTAGCACAGGGCTGACAAGGTTATCATGATAAGAATCATTAGCAATGAAGAGGATTTGTTACAGTGTCTGTCACTTAGTACAGTGGGATTACATTTCTTGTGCTATGGAGTAAGTCTGAGTTTATAAATGAAACGGTAACACTTTACTTGATGCATATCTCTATAACCCATTGTAAATATATGTATAATGTGTTATAATCATGTTATAGCACTGTATAATTATACTTATAAACACTCATACATGATCATGATGCTTTATGACAATAATCATAACACATTTAAAAGCATTTTACCATGACTTACAAGGTCAGGTATTGTAAGGTATAACTGTTAACACCTCACTGATAATGCCCACATAGATAATGCATTACATTTATGATGTGTTATAATTTGCTTATAAACTTGTATAACTATCATTATAAACACTCATTAATTATCATAAGGCTTTATAGCAATAATCATAACACATTATAATACCTGACCTTGAAAGTCATGATAAAATGCTTTATAATGTGTTGTGATTATTGCTATCAAGCCTTGTGATAATTAAAGAGTGTGTATAATGATAGTTATACAAGTTTATAAGCACATTATAACACATCATAAATATATGCACAATGCATTATCTATGTTGGACTTAACTCAGTGAGTCGTAACAGTTATAACACATTACAATACCTGACCTTGTTAGTCATGATAAACAGTGCTATATTGTGGTTATAATGCATTATACATATATTTATGATGCCTTATAGAGATATAATACGTTATAATAAAATACTGACTGTCTGGCCTGACCAGAAATTATTAATCATGTTCTTTCTCCTAGAGTTGAAGGTCTAAATTTAATATCATAGGACGTCAAACTGACATTTGTTTACCAAAATCTCACCCATCCCTGAGTAAAAAAAAAACTCATGGTCTAAGTCCTTGCTGCAGATGGCTGAGCGGCTAGGTGTCATGATGAGCACATCCATTTTGGCTCAGAGTTACCCCTGTGTCTATGACAGGACATATGGTCAAGCTGGGCACAATTTGGCACAGAACATTGATCTCACGTTAACTGTAAACGTGCAGCTATAGATTAGTCACCTTCATCTCGATCTACAGTGGAGTAGCTCTGGGGCTATTTTTGTCCATGGGGGTAATAGGGCAGAAGCCTGGAGATACAGGATGAGACAGAAAAAGACTTGTGTTCATTCCAGGAAAAGCTGCACAGGGCCCAGCTTTCATTTTTCTCATGCTGTGGCTCTAAAATAGAGCTGTATTACTGTGAATGAAAACCTCCTCTTGTAATCTTTTACTCTACACAGGCAAACAAAAGTGGATCAAAAGGTTAAAAGCCAAAAACTTCTTCTAATCCTGTCCTTTCCGAATCGTGGAAAGCTAAGCATTAGCAACAAACAGCTTCTTTAATTAAAACACTGATTAAGTTTTACTCCACAGGAAACTGAGGTGATTCCAGACAGGAAGCTGCTTCAGCAGATAAGCAGGGCGCAGAGCAGCAGCAGCAGCAGGGGGAAGATTGATCCTTACCTGGACTTTTTTCTGGCTCTTGCCATTTGCAATACGGTGGTGGTTTCCATGGCAACAGCTCCAAGACAGAGGGTGAGTGCTCAGTCTATTGCGGCTGTGTAAGGGAAGTAGAGATGGAGGGCACAGTCAAGAGAGAAAAGATGGATGTAGTATCGGTTGTCATGACACTGCTATTATGTAACCTATTGAAACAAAAACAAACTTTTTATCCACATGACACTTTACAGGCTCTATTGATTCATTGTTTGAGGATTTTTTTATTCCATTCACATGTGTATGTATCATCATTCAATCAAATACACACACGATTTCACAAAAATTGAAATTCTATGTTCTTATTAAAGAGATTTTGTGTTACTGACAGATTTTTCTAACTGCTATGCTTGAAGTTTCTATTCTTTCATCAGGAATCAGTGCTAATGTTTTTCATCTTTCAAGCCCCAGTTGTAGAGATTTTACTGTTCACTGAATAAGCCACATAGTAAAGATAATACATAAGGGAAATCAGGGTTGGTTTTATTAAATTTAGTGCTCAGTGCAGCTAACTGTGCTGTTCTGAGGTCTGGCAGATGGGAGAAATACGTGGAGTTTCCCTTGAGTGTATGATTTGAGGGAAAAGCGCCAAAACAGACAAAGTGAAAAAGGTTGTCAAGGTTTCACCATATGGGTGTCTGGGAAAGAAAGTTCATTTTAGACCATTTCATAACAGATCAAATGTTTTTTTTTTCTGTTGTTGTCATTTTTTATCAGGTGAGAGGGTTTCCACACTCCACTAAGACAGAAAGTCCATTGGATTCTCTGTCTACCTGGATGAAAAAGTCAGCTACCCTTTGTAATATATTCACCTCCTGTAAGCGCAAGCCAAAGAGAAACCGCACCTTCACAGAGGACTCAGTGATAGAGGAAGACCACATTAACACCCCTGTTAAAACAGAGGGGTCTGGACTCCAAAGAAGTTCACTCCACGCTTCCTCTCAGCCAAACAAACTTGCCATTACCACAGATAATCTGAGCTATGAGGCAGAGAGTCCAGATGAGGCTGCCTTAGTGCATGCTGCTAAGGCATATGGCTTTATCCTGCTGGCCCGCACCCCTGACAGCGTGACGGTAAGGCTACCATCTGGGGAGGAGCTGGTGTTTGAGGTGCTGGACACCTTGACCTTTGACTCCACCAGGAAGAGAATGTCTGTTTTGGTGCGACACCCAGTCACCAAAGAGTATGTGCTGTACACTAAAGGTGCAGACTATGCTATCATGGAGCTACTTGGTACTCCATATGCAGGTAAACATACATTCATAGCACATGAGTTGAATTATGTAACTTTAAGGATAAAGAATGTTTATGTAGTGGTCAATTTTAATACTGTCTCAAATAATTTTCAGAACATCTCAGTGGAAATCAGAAGAGTATAGCAGCAGACACTCAGTACCACCTTGACTGCTATGCTAAAGAGGGACTGCGAACACTTTGCTTTGCAAAGAAGGTGCATAAACATACTGATATACAGTGTTAACCCGCATTAACGTCATACCACAGGAGCGCTGTTTTATTGTTTGTATGTGCTGCAGATTGTGAGTGAGGAGCTGTATAAAAGCTGGTCAGTGAATAGACAAAGCGCCCTGGCTGCAATGGAGAACAGAGAGGAGCTTGTAATGGACTCTGCTGTTCAGCTGGAAACAAATCTCTCCCTGCTCGGTAACACACATCAACCCAAAATACTATTGCTATTGAGTAACACCTCAAAAACATGCACATGATTTTCTATCGTGCCACAGTTTGATGTCTCGTTCTCCTGCAGGGGCAACGGGCATCGAGGACCGTCTGCAGGAGAGTGTCCCAGACACCATCATGGCACTGCGGGAGGCAGGGATCCAGGTGTGGGTGCTGACTGGTGACAAGCCGGAGACAGCTGTCAACATCGGCTATGCCTGCAGGCTACTGGAAGAGGAGGACCTGGTGATTAACATGAGCTGCAAAAACAAGGTGAGGAGGCCGCAGTTTGCCTCACTGAGGGTTGACTGTATGACTCAGAGCAGCTTTTGTTTGTAGCTACATTGGAATCATTAATGTCAATTCCTGATGTATATTTTACACCTCAATAAAAAATATAGGTCAGTAAATTACATATAGAATAAAAATGATTCAGTGACATAGTACAAAAAAATCTAGTTTTCTAGCTGAGTATGTTAACCACTTGCATGTTAACATGGTAAAAATATGTAGCTTTAGACAGTACCAAGTTGGTTTAGCCTAGTTTAGTGTAAAAGTAAGAGACACTACTTTATTGTATTGAAAGACAACAAAATCTTAGCAACATCATTCAAAGCCCAATTTTACCATCACAACAGATTTAAAGCTTGGCTTAGAAAACTTTAAAAAGCCAAACTTTAAAAAGGATGACTACTTTCTGTTATTCTTCTGTGCATAACAGTAGCTTGCTAGTTTTGACTTTTTGTGCTGATAAGAATAGGCATGTGGTCCTAGAGGGCAATTGGACAGGAGATATGAACACTCAAGTTAAAGACGCCAGAATATTTTGTTGAATTTCAACAAATAGCTTTAATAAGTGAGACTTACAGGTGTACAGGGTTAAGTATGTATGCTCACAGCTAATTGCAGAAAAATTTTACAGTGTGTAGCATTTAGGAGAGTAGACATTGTAGAATACAATATGATATTCATAGCTTCAATTAGTTTAAAATTACCTGAATATAAGAATAATTTCGTTTCCACTTACTCAGGGTGGGTCTTTTGTCTACATGAAATTTCCCCTTTCCACTGAGGCCATCATCTTGCACCACCATGTTTCTACAGTGACACAGTGGTTACACACGCATGTCTGTTTTTAGTGAGTGATAACTCAAAATTCACCAAGTGTAAGACAAAGAAGACAGTGGTTGTTGAATGCAAAATAATTTGTTAGACGTACTTGAAGGTCAAAATTTAACTCTTGGGGGATCATACTTGTCATATATAAAAAAATCAGACCACCACCTATCACTAAATATTCCTGTTTTCACATATTGTACCTTTTATAACTTTAGTGCCAGCAAGGAGGTACCAAACAGCTATACTTTTTATACATATTGTGCCCCTTGTGGCACACTGTCAGCCACACCACATACTGTAGAGCTATCGACATGTGCCATATGTATATAGTATGGCATGCCAACTTTTCAATGTTGCTGTACATGAGACAAGACTAATGCTTGAATGCTGAAATATCCCTTTAGAAGTTGTGTTCAATGAGTGCTCTATCTTTGAAATACACAGTTTCAGATTAGGGTTATTGTGATTACTTCAATTTGTTGATGTCACGTTCAGCCATTGACAAATGAGACAAATTCTTGAATGAGATTGGAAATAAAGCAAAATAAGATCTGCATTGAGAGATATAAAATGGAACTGTTTTGTGATTGTTTGTTAATGATCCTGTGACTGTTAAATGACTTTCATAAAAAGCTTGTGACATTCACCAAATAAGGCAATCAAGAGAGGACAAGTATAATTATTTTAGATTTTATGAGGCCTTTTATCAATTTAGTTACTTCCTAACTGAAGTTATAGGCCCACCTGGGTTATTCTTTCAAAATCAATTAAAAGAATAATACCTGTATTTTTTTTCACTGTGTGAAGATGTATGTGTTGTTAAAACTGATGAATAAGGGAAACCAGTGAGGACCTGTGGCAGTAGAAGCTAACAAGTAGTACAAATTCTGTTTAATATTGGCATTTTTGAGACAAAACAAGGCAATCTCTCATTTTTATTTCACCAATCAGATACAGCAAGTTTTAGAGAAAGTACTCCCTTATTTGATGGTTTTTCAGAACAAGTCATGTGTTTTCCAAGCGATGGGTTCAAGAGGTTTTTACCTTTTAGCTTGACTTGATCCAATTTAAATGGCCAAACCTTTTTGACCACTTTTACATTTTAACTAAAGGTCAAACCCTCACATTTCCACCTGAGAAAGATAAGGTGTCAGGTGCAGGCCCTGCTTCTTTAAGGTCATTAAAGATGTGGTAGCACAGGAAGGAGCCCTTCATAACAACCTGACCGCTCCTCATCATCCCCGGCCTCAAATAGACCAAAATTACCTGTCGGCTCCAACAGATGCACAGGGAGCTTTCCGGAACAAAGAGACGGCTCCTCTCAGATGGGACCAGTCATTCATGATGAATGGAGTCAGATACCCCCAATACAATATCTGCTGCTTTCATATCTAATTACCAGTCTAATATTCAACACTCAGAGGAAATACCGCCTCGCTCATGATGCAGAGTGGAGGCAAATTGGTAATGAACTATTTTCAACACTGTAACTCGATGACCATCTGAGGGATGCATTCCCACAGTCATCACCAAACCACACATAATAAAATTCAGACACCATTAGCATTGTATAAAAATGGGATTTGACCCAATTTCTTTTGTCAATGCAGTCTTCTGCTCAGTGAACAGGCTGGAGTTATTTACACACACAACAATTATGAGGCTGATGGGGCCAGAGCCTCGTAATGCATGAGTATGAGTCAACAGTGAAGTACCTGCACATAATCTGTACTCTGCAGCAGAGAAGATTGGTTTTGTCTTTGAGTTGTACCTACTTTTGCTATGATTCTTTTTCTTTTTTATATGTTTCTTTGGATCTTTAGGGATGCCTTGGGCTGTTTTCTGTGTAGACCAGGGGGCAATAAGTTGTGCAACCTGGTTATTATTTAAAACATTTTTGAATTTCTAGGTTTATAATTAATCAAAAACAGTTTAAAATGCTCACTCTGTGTATCCTGTTGGACAATCGACTAAAATATTTAACTGCCTTATTTTTCCCACTGTCTCGGTGCTTGATTTTCCTTTCACATTAGGCAGGAAACTGACCTTCATGTCAACATGATTATCTTAACTATTGGGGATTTATTTTTTAAGCAGAAGTTCAGTTAGAAATGTGATCAGCAAAATAAACAGATGTTGTCTTCCAGCTTGCATGCACCTCCATCTTGGACTGCACATTAGAGGAGGTGAGGAGGTACAGTGCAGATCCTCGTAATGTGGACACAACCCAGGATATCTCTCTGGTGATCGATGGACGGACCCTGACCATGGTCCTGTCGTCAGATCTGCAGGACCGCTTTCTGGAGCTGGCCAAGTGCTGCCGCTCTGTGCTGTGCTGCAGAGTGACGCCCCTACAGAAGAGCAGAGTGGTGAAGGTGGTCAGGGAGAAGCTCGAGGTCATGACTCTTGCTGTTGGTAAGGAACTCGAGCTGTTGTTCTCTTGTTAATCTTTTTTTTTTCTCTGCTTTTTTAATGCATCTGACTTTGATGCAAAACACTATCAAGAATGAACAGTTGTATAATATGGTTTACACTTAAATAACACACAATACTTGAAAACGTGCCACAAAAACATGGTGAGTAGTGTGTTAAGTTTTGCATAATGATAACTTTCAAATGTTCCATAAAATTAGAAATAGTACATTTATGATAAGTAAGTACCGTGGTAATAATATTTTGCAAATAGTAAAACTTGTGTATGTTTGAGCTCCAGAGTAAAAAAGGGGTTTTGAGGTCAGTTATCTCACAAGAAAGACAAAGAGAAATACTAAAAGTACCATCAGGAATCCTAAAGATGTTTTTTTTCTACTTTTTCAGGTTTTCTTATCTTGTTCTGAGTCATTGAACCTCTTGAGAAATTTATTGTTGGGTCTTAGGGCTCTATTTTCGTTCGCGCCGGTGAGGCGGCGGAGGGCGGCGAGCCCCGCGCAGTTGTATTTTCGTCTGGCGGAGCCCAGCGTAAGGCCAATTTGGTATTTTCGTGGCATGAGCCGCACGGAGGCGAGCCGAGATCCGCCAAGCTGGGCGTGGTGGTGTGGCAGGGGGAGGTGTCAACAGAATCAGCTGGCGCAGTGACATTTTCGTGCTCGCCAACGGCGTGTAAAGTGCGCTGAAAGCTCGCCGATTCAAACCTGGTCAGCTTTCAGCGCAAGGCGGAACGCAGCTGGTCTAGTAGTATTTTGGTAGACCGGCGGCGTATCGACATACGTCACTGATGCCTCACCGGCAGGTTTCCACAGTGTCAGGCACATTTCAGTGCAATAAATAATCATCATCAACTATTAATCTGAGTCAGCACATACATTTAGATCTATATCGATATATTCTGATCTATATGTGATCTGATGAGCGCGTTTGGCACGCGTTTGGACACACAACCTGACCGAATCAACACAGCTGAAACCGCATAAAATTAAATTAAATATCTAGTAAATAAACACACATGATGAAGTTAACAAGATATGTAATGTGTCTCCCTCCTTTTCTTTCTTCCTCTTCCTCTTATTTCTCGCACAGCTCGACCTGGACACGCCTCCGTGTCCTCTGTCCGTCTTGCTGCTGCTGCAGCTGAACAGATGATTTGTTTCAGTGCTCAGATGCGTTATCTACTTTAAGCCGACATACAGATATTATAATATTCAGTTTTGTTGGCCAAATTTATTTTATATGCCAACATCTATGAAAGAAAGAGCCAGGCCACGGAGCGCGATGCGTCATTTACGCACAGATGGTTCCGATTTTAATGCCATTTTTGGAGTTTATGTTGTGATCTGTGCGCAAAACCCACCTTTGTTACGTGAGGTTTGAATATGAGCAACTTTATGTGAGTGTCTTTATTTGTGGAAAAGGGTGTTTGTCTTACCAGTGGGTCCAACATTACACACACCAAATCCATCTGTGCTCATATGAGAGAGTGTGGAGGACACTTGTTGAGGAGCTGCCCTCTGTCGCCATCTTGTGGCATTACTGTCTTAAGACATCTCTTGATCTCTTTGACTACTTCATGAAAATAGTAATACGCCTCGCCTGTGGAGGATTTAAAGGCAAGGAGAGGAGCCTATGTGATTGGTGAAAACAGGTCTCGGCTGTGTTAAACCGACTTCACGCCCTTTCTCCTCCCCGTTACGACTTATGGTGCTGGGAGGAGCTGAGTTAGGGAGGGGGGATACTTACGCCGGGCTGCGCGGCTCACCAAAATACCAAAATGTGCTTGGGAACGCCTTGTCAGCGCGGCGGATCTGACTGACGCTGCACTTGCGGCACGTCTCCGGCGAGGCACCAAAATAGAGCCCTTAGACTTTACATTTCAGATATGAGTCTCACTGAGTCATTTCACTAAGTTCTTCAGTGGCTACTGGATGGAAATGTACAGAAATATAGTTTTATTCCAGACAACAGTGGTGATTCAAGTTTGAACAAGACTGGATTAAAATATGTTCATAAAAAGTGGGGAAGATATCAGGAGAAAGTGTTCAACATAAAACCAGCAGTCTGTTCCACATAAATGCATTTGAAAATGATGAATGTAATCGCTGTAAGACTGACATCTTCTCTTTGTCTTTAGGTGACGGTGCGAATGATGTTAACATGATCCAAGCCGCAGATATTGGTGTGGGAATTTCTGGCCAGGAAGGCATGCAGGTCTGAACATTGTTTTGAAAAAATGCAGCAGTTTTTTTTATACGTTTCTCTCAATACTGAAACCTATTTACACCTGCAGGCCGTCATGGCAAGTGATTTTGCGATATCTCGCTTCAAACACCTGAAAAAGCTCGTCCTGGTTCATGGGCATTGGTGCTACTCTCGACTGGCCAACATGATCATCTACTTCTTCTATAAGAATGTGGTAGGTCCTGTTCTGTAAAGCCCTCTTATCATATTGAATAATCATAATGTCTCTGTTTGCCATCTAACCAGACAGTGTGATGTGTTCTCCAGGCCTACGTGAACCTGCTGTTCTGGTATCAGTTTTTCTGCGGCTTCTCTGGCACGGCCATGATTGACTACTGGCTGATGATTTTCTTCAACCTCTTCTTCACCTCTTTGCCGCCCATCATGTTTGGAATAATGGACAAAGATGTGTCTGCAGAGATGCTGATGGGTGTCCCTGAGCTGTACAGGACTGGACAAGGCAAAGGGGTCAGTGACACTCCATAACAAAGTGTAACGATTTATTCTAAAAGAAAACAACTGAATATATTTATGCATTAAATGTGTGTGTTTTTCAGGAGTACAATTTTGTAACCTTCTGGATGTCCATGCTGGATGCTTTTTATCAGAGCCTGGTGTGCTTTTTTATTCCATACTTGGTAAGACAAACATTTGGGTTCTCCATTTTTGATCACACATTGCGCAATGATACATCCTCTGAGTCACCACTTATTTTAGTGTTTTACAATGTCTGCCATAAATGTGTTTGATCCTACAGACTTACCAGGATTCAGACATTGATGTTTTTACCTTTGGGACTCCCTTGAACACAATTTCTTTGTTTACCATCTTGCTGCATCTGTCCATCGAGATCAAAGCCTGGGTGAGTGCCACACTGATGGATATCTGTGTCCAGCTACAATCTCGGTTTACTTCAACTGACACAAAACTCTTATTTCTAGATCATTTCAACCAGTGTGTACTCAAATTATCTGTTTACTGTGCTTAAATAAATAATCAAAATGTTATCTAATAATTATCTGATGTGCTGGTCTCACAGACATGGGTTCATTGGGTCATCATGCTGGGCAGTGTGGTCGTGTTCTTCATAGTGACACTGGCCTACAGCGGCATCTGCGTTACCTGCAACCCTCCATCCAACCCGTACTGGATCCTCCAAAGCCAGATGGCCGACCCCATGTTCTACCTCCTCTGCATCATCACGACTGTGGTGGCTCTGCTGCCCAGGTACTATCAACGTGTCATCCCCAGAAAAATATGTATTGAGCCCGGTATTCTAACAACCCCAGCAGTGAAGAACAGCCTACATAGAAATGCAGTTTCCTCAAGACCAGTTTCTTTCTGTCTATTAAAAAAAAATGTTTTTTTAAATTCTCAATATGAATACAATCAGTTAATCAGAGAAAAAAACATTATCTATTCTTCAGAGCAATTTTCAGTTGATTGACTCAGTTTCAAATCAATATTTGTTTTTCATCAATATATTGCTTTGGGTAGATTAATTTTAAGCCCTCCAAGTTCAACAGTTTAAAGTCTTATTTCAATGCAGCCTACCTACTTATATACCTGATGTTCAAGGAATAATAAACAAATACAACTGGAACGAGGTACAACACCATTTTTCAGTTGACAACCAAACAAAAACCTTATTTTCCTGGCATGGTGAAAATTTATGAAATTAGCCTACATTAATTTTTTAAAATGTATTTATTATTTATTTATCTATTTATGTATTTTTTGGGAGGGGGTCTCTCAAAACTTTGGACTAAAAGCTGACAAGTCAACAGCAGAGAAGAGGTATCTGATGTCCTCTTCTGCATCTGCTAAGAATGCTAACAGAAAAATGCTAAAGATGTGACTTTAACATTAGCGTTACTAACTTTTTTAATTGCACTAATATTTTACAGTCACTCTAATAATTTTTAGATCGATATTTAGCTCAGCGCTTATGTGGTTATATGAAATCCAGTAGAACGGGGGGGGGGGTCTTGTATGACCTTTTTGGGGTTGATTTAGGGTCTGAGGCGTGAGGAGTAAATCCAAGGGGATATGAGGGCCTGTGGTTTAAGCAGGTGAGTGGTTCCCAGAGAGTGTGACAGCGTGGCAGGGATTGGGTGGATTGCTCGGGGACTTGCAGGGGCACTGGAAGAAAAGCAAAAAAAGACACCAGTAGGTCACAGGGGAAGCACACAAAAATAGGCAATATTCAACAGGTAGCAAAACACAAGAACACTCCAGCAGAGTAGGCTGATCTACCACATGAGATGCAGGAATAATCTGTCCGCGCAGGAAGGAAACGCCCAATCTCTGAGAAGAGAAAAACACACACAACCCATACAAAAAACAGGAACTCGCAAAATAAAACCAAAATGCCACAATCACCACATTTTTACATGTTGAAAGTTTTAAAAATACCTTTTTTAATGCAGCCTTACTAAGGTATGGTACATTCAATCGATAACACACCTGTTCTTACTTTACTGTGAAAAAGGGAGACAAGCAACATTTAAAGAGTTGAATATGAAAAATGAAAAGAAACCTACTCTTTTAACCCTCCTTTCCCTGATATAAACCAATAAACCTCACGATTATCTCATGGGTGTTACATTTCAGAGTGTTTATTCAATCGTTAACCACTGTATAATTGTGAGGTTGTTGTGTGCATAGACAGTTTACACTGATTTGTAATGAATGTTAATGGTGAAGTCCAGGAACAACTTCAACACAGCTTGCTCTTCCTCTTGGTTGCTGATGTGTCTGAAAGTGCTGATATTTAGAGGGAATGCTCTGATTTACATCAAAGGGCCGCATATTTTTCACTGGCCTACTTTCTCACCGCCACACTCTCTCCCCCAGGTACACGTTTCACGTGCTGAGGAACTCTATCGCCCCCACCCCACTCCTGCAAGCCAGGCAGCTGGACCGAATGGACCCCTGCACGAGACAGCAGTGGATAAAGGAGTGGAGGAGCTTCAGGGGCAGCGGGACGGTCAAACGCTCCAGGCTGTCCATTCCTTCTTCTCCCACCCTGGAGACCCCTGTGGACATTTATCCCCAATCTTCCACCACCTCTGACATCATGGGGGATGAATTCACACTGAATGTCACCACTGAAAACTATCAGAGGCCTCTACATACATGAGACTCATTTACCACATGGAGAAATGAGCTGATTATTTATTTAGAAAATTGTAAATATGACTTGTAAATAAATCAGAGAGTTTTAATTTCGGTCAGGGAGGTGGTCTTACATAAATCGCTGTTCATCAGAAACTTTTTCCTCTAAATCGACAAATTATTGATTTGGTTGATGAGATCATTTTGTCATAAAGAGTTTGACAGAAAGTATGTAGGGCCTCTCCACCTTCCCCTGCACATCACAAGCTGCCATAGTGAACACATAAGCCTGTTACTTCCCTGATGGGTTTTCAGAGCACGCTGGTAACCCAATTAGTCATGCCACCCACCCCTCCAAAATATGGCACTTTTCCACAACAAAATGCTAAGCTTGTTTGATATATTCATCTCACCTACATACTCAAAACAGTCACAAAGCATCCTGTAACTAAGGGGGAAAAAACACACTTATTCAAAGAAAGAGTTTCCATTGAATACGTCTTTATTTTAAAAATCAATGTCTATAGGCTGGGCATGTGATCAGTTTTGTGGAATATGTGTATATCTGTAAAATAAACTGATGAGAAAATATATTTTAACACAAATATATTTTGTCCTCCCGATGTGTGTTTCTCTGTATTGCATGCGACATGATCAATTCTGAATCAGAGGAAATAGCTTCCCAGCTCCACAGTCAGATGTTTTTTATGTAAATGGAGTGTGCCCAATCTGAATCCACTCATAAAAAGGCTGAGTTATCATTGGCATACTTCATTTTACAGTAGCAGCTCTGCTTATATAAGTTCCCATTGCCTCAGGTCAGGTCATTGCTGCTCTCTAGTGGTGAAAATTAGGAACTACTTAAAGGTCAAATGGGACAAAGTCAGAAAAACAGGCATTAAAACAGCTTAGATGGGACTCAGTGAGTTAAAACACATTTTAGTTGATTTAACAAAGCCCCTTTTAGGAGTTTTTAGCGATGCATGTAACAGAATAAAATGTACAGTGACCTACAAAAGCAAACAAGATCATCAACAACAATATCAACCTTGTTTATATTTTTAAATTTCAATGCCTGTAACTGTTGTGGCGTAAAAGTGGATGAGGTATCAGACCATTACAGCACGCTGAAAAAACAAAAACTCTTTTTACTTTTTCCAGAGATTTTCACAGTTTGTAATGTATTTGTCAATTAAATAGAGTAGGATGACATTTTTTTTGTCAAAAAAGAAACAAACAAAAAACATTAATTACACATACAATTACAAAAATTATCAAGTTGTCCACAGGGGCACAAAAATTGACTTACAGAAAGTTCCTAACAGGAGCTTTAAAAAAATATATTTCTCAAACAGCATGAGTAAAAATTAGATGTGTAACTTGTAAAGTGAGGCAAACCTGAGAAGGCCTATCAATACTGCACAAATGAAGAACATGTAAACATGTACGACAAATCATTTTAGAAAATAACAGGCAAATCTCTGCAGTTGTGGTAATGTACATTATGGTGCGGCATGGCACTGGATATTGTTACGTTAATTTGCTCAATATACCAGGTCATTTCTTTTATCAAAATACATTTCAACATGTCAATCAAAAACTGCTACATAAAATAAAAAAAGTTGATATTGTAATTTCTGTGGCAAAAATAGACGATAAAAATACACTGACTGCCAAATGTTTGGCATACCAGCCTCTAGTTCAAATAAAAAATCCTATGAAAACCTTCATCTTCTTTAGCCAGTGCATTTAAAAAAAAACAGGATGTTCATTTAAAATACAAAATAAAGTACAGAAATTCATACAAAAGCATCACAGAAACAACAAATACAGAATTTTCTTTTTGTTTCTCAGAATATTTGCAAAGAAAAAACAACTGCCACATTTTAACACTGTTACTGTGGCATACTACACTCTATTGACGCACTCTATTTTTCTATGTTTGATGACAAATGGACAAGTCTAAATGATAAAAAGAGTTAAAAAAAATCACAATGCAGCAAAAATGTAGCTCAATGGCTAAAAAAAGTCTCTCAATTTGAATTAAAGACGGTCATGAGTCTATGAGACGACACACTTTACCAACTGAAAGAAAAACTCAGTTTCTATTGTCGTGAAAAACAACTCCTACTATGACAGAAAATACTCTGTTTGAATGATTTTGATTTATTTGACTTATATAAAGCTCCAAATAAAACAACATGTCCTGAAAAGAAAACCAAAGACGAATTAAGTAGCTAAGGATGAAACATTATATTCTGCACTGACACCAATTCAAACACACAAGAATACAAAACACCCAGGGTGCTTTACATGAGGGTGTGACATAGATCGACTAAACTGGTCACTCTTGTTCTGTCGGAGCTGCATTACTACTACTATTGTTTACTCTTCAGCATGAATGAACGCATGAGCCCTGACACTGTATCCTGGGAGATGTAAGACATAACAGACATAAGCAAAAGCAGATTCAGAGGGAAATATCAAGAAAGTTAAGATCAGATTCACAAGAAATAAGACCTAAAATTCACTAAGGAACAAAGATTAAAAATGTGTGTTAGCAAAAGTAGACAGCTGATGGGTTAACCCTCCTTAAAATGATGAATTTAGTCTCAGTGCAACCTGCTGGGATTAAATGATGATTTTGATGTTTCTATTATAAACAGCCAGCAGATGGCAGATCTATGACCTCCATAAAGGTTGCTGTGAGTATTTGTAAATTCAGACCCTCTCTCAATGAAACCTGAGAGAAACTACCACATACACAATTTCACATTACAATATCAATGCATAGAAAGACAGCTGAGAACCCACAATGTAGCCAAAAAGAAATCGAGCTGTGGTCGCTTTTAGGTGAGATGAAGAGAACCTTATAACAGTGTTGAATGAAGTTCACCATAGGTAAAAACACATGTGAGACAATGACTTACTGTTCACAAAGGACACTCTGCAGTGTAATCCTGAAGCTTTGTGTAATTCTTAAGTCTGTTATACAGTCAAATGTATTACTGTTAGCACTACAGAAGTCATGTTCCTTTTTAGATCTTGGTTTCATGTCAGTTTACCAAGTGGGCATCATGTCAGGGAACCAGATGCGACCCAGGTGTTTGGACACTTCACTGTGGATCTGTTCCATGTTGTAGCTGCTGTCAGGGATTAACACCTCCTCCATGATTGACAGCTGAGTGAGCCTGCCGCCACACATCTTCACAAACTCCACAAAGCCACTGCAGGTCACTTCGCACTCTCCCAGCCCGATGGCCGTCAAGCATTTGCAGCGTTCTGCGATGCGGATCAGCTCTTCATCCAAGGGCTCGAGGCCATTGGCGCACACAACCAGCTCCACCAGCCGGGGGCAGTTTAGTCCTATTCGGCCCAGCATCTCCTTGCTTACTGCCCGGCCAAAGTACAGGTGTGTGACTGGGGTCTCCTCGCAGAAGAAGGGCTCAAACTCCTCTTCATAGAGGAAGAAATACATGACTATGTTGACCTTCGGGGAGTGCCGGACCAAAGCCTCCCAGCTGCTCCTTTTGATGGTGTGAAAGTGAGTCTGCCCTGGGTTCTCGCTCACCACGTCAATGCGCAGGTGCTCCAGATGGACATGTTTCTCAGAGGAGAGGGCGAGCAGGAGTTCATCACTCAGGAGGTGGTAGTTCAACGCCAGCTCCCTAAGTCCATGGCACTGGTCTGCGACACACAGGATACCTGAGAAAGAGAAATATTGAAAGGATTAGAAATAAACTTCTCCCTGGGGAGTGCACATTTGGTCAGCTGGTCCTCCACTTTGCTTGTTACTCTGCAGTAAATCTCTAAAACCCAGTTTTAATTTTATTTGATAACTTGTGCTGTTTTTCTGATAAATATATGCTATGATCGTTATTTTATGTTGCTTTTGCCCCACAAGTACATTCAAATTATACTGCAATCTATTAAAAAGTGACCCCTGTTTAATGATAAGTACAGCATTACCATATTCTTGCTAATATTTCTGTTTTTGACAGAGCGTACAGGAGTTAACTTGCAATTTTTACTTGCATCCAGCTGCAACATAGTCCAAATAGTTGAAGATTTGGGGGGCTCTATGTGGATTTCAAGGGTGACCCATGCTAAACTTGACCACCCTTCTGGACACAACCCAGCCACCAAAGTCAGATTTTTTTATGATACATAGCCAGCAGAAATTCATAGTCCTCTTGCACTCCATGTGGCATTATTTCTATGATTAGGATAAATATTCAATGCTCTGATTAAAAACCAAACTGCCAAAACATCTATTTCAAACTTTGTCATGATCATGCTATCAGTTCTCAGTTGAAAACAAACCAACATCAGCCCTAGAAACGTAAATGTAAGTTATTCCTTTAATTCAAATAACCAAAACAGAGATTGTTTATTGTAAAGTGTATTTACCTGCTGGGGAGACATGAGGGCAACTGCTCATCTTTAGCAACTTCAGAGTGTCACTGTTGTTGGCAACCAGCACCTTCAGGGACGGATCGTCCACAGGCGTATCATCAATCTTGATGGAGGACAGGGACTTGGAGTTGACAAACACCACCGTCAGTGCAGAGACAAAGTGGGACTGAGGAAGGACAAACAAAATTCATTTCAAGATACCGTTAGGAGTTTCTGAACTGCTTATCAAATAAATATATTTTTATGTCATATTATAACAAAATGGAAACTAGGCCATTAGTGGCAAAACTGATGACCTAAGTATTGATATTTTAATGCCTGAAAGTACTACAGAGCGACAAATTCTTCTGTTACAGACTTTTTTATACTATTCCCAAAACAAATATCCAGAACCAGTGACACATTTGACTCTGAAAAAAACCTGGGTGAGATACATATATATTTTTTTGGTTTAAAAAATGCTACTTGATACAAACGTGAAAAAAGTAAAGAAATACAAGGACCATGATACCTAAATCACCTCAAAATGAAAGCTCTCACAGGTGCTTTAACCGTATAATTATGTATCCATATTTACACATTAAAGGTTTTTTGCAAGAAGTGCAAAGATCAGGAAGAGAAGTTACAACAGCAATAGCTGATTATGATCTACAATATGATCACAGCCTCAAGCCTGGCATTATGGCTCTGAGTGTAACAAATAGGGCAGCAGTGAATGTGTTTGTGAAACAGAGACAGCCTCTTACCTGAGACACATCCATGAAGCTGGGTCGTGCCGTGGAGATCAGCCCCAGGGTCTTGATGGTACAGTTTACCAGCTGGGAGAGAATGTCACAGGCTGCCTCTGCAGACTCTGTGCAGCTGTCCACCTGATTCATCAGCAAATGAGGAATGAAAAGGTAGAGGTGTGAGAAAAATCTCAGCCTGGATCTGTTAAGTGCACTTATGCCAAGACAGCCATATGAAGATGGAAGAGAAGGAAGAGAGGAGGAAAGGTGAGAACAGCAGGATTGGCTCTTACCTTGAAGCTGACATACTGCAGGTGCTGGGCGTGCTTCTTGATGATCTGCTGAATGAGGTCAGGGTGAGTGGAGCGCAAGTAAGACGTGGCTGGCTGATTTAGCTCAAACTCAAATCTCCTCCACAGGTCAGGGGTGTGAAAGACGTCATTCCAGCGACGGCACACGGACGAGGCCCTGGCACGGTCCACCAGGGACAGGTGCTGGAAGATCTGCAGGACGACGTGGTGTGGCAGGTTCCCCCAGTCCTCTAATGGAGTTAGGGTGAAACTGGATGCCCCCCACTTATGTCTCTTTGCCCTCTCCTCATGAGAGGGGAAAGTCTGGCATTTTGATTTGAGACCTGTCCTTCCTCGCTTCATTCTGGCTGATTTGTATACTGGGAAGAAAGGATCAGGAATAAATCAGAGTTCAAACACTAAAATTCAAGATTCTCTTGTGTTATTGAAACCTAACTGATGTTATTTTTCTTTTTTCTGTTGTTGGTTTCTACCTGATAGTCATAAAACTAATGCATATTACCGAGGTGAGCTTGAACTGAATTTGGTTATTTTCTCCCTTCCAGCCCACAAATAAACATGAATGCAATGAGTTCAGTTAAAATAGCGTTTGTGTTAAAAAATAAAAAGCATAAGTAAGAAATCCTAAATTTACAAAACCCCAAACATGTACAATGCCAAAAATGTAAAAATGAATAGAGTCAGCAGTGAGAAATCATATGTTGCTGATTAACCAGGCTTCACTCCGGGTAGAATCCAAAATAATACAATGAACTGTGCTCCCATTGTTTTGCACCCCAGCAAAATTTTCTTAGAAAGTCTTCTTTAAAGAATTCCAAAAATCAGTGTTTCAACAACAACTTGTCTTTACTAACTGGACTTAATGAAACCAAATTCATGCACATATAAAACTTTTTCTCAGCATGTAACACAGTATTCTTAAATTGGCCTCAAAGAAATTTCAAACTCACCACTAAAAAACTTGTCAAAGTGCTAACAGCAATGTTGAAGTCTGAGAAGTCATAGGAGGATGTATTTCACTGAATCTCGTATGTTTTGATGTCATCTAGATCAGTGGTTCTCAACTGGTGGGTCGCAGACGCGTTCTGGATGGGTCACGTACAGCTGGTCAAAAAAGTAAATATTTAATGGGATATTTATTAGATATTTGATATTTTCTGTACATGCAACTTCAGTAGTTGTTGCCCCCTTCATGTGCTCTGAAATGCACTTTACTCAGTAAAAGAAGTGGATTTATGTTAAAGATTAGAGTCATTTTTTCTCAAAATTTAAATTTGATTGGTTTGAATATTATAAAAGTGGGTCGCGACTTAAGGACCATGGTAAAATGTGGGGCCCAGAGTGAGACCAGTTGAGAACCACATGAAGCATCAACCAAGCCTTTACCTCCTTTAACTCAGTTGTTGTCCTGCTGCCTCGATTTTAATAAATACCCAGGGTGTTTTTGTTGCTGATTAATCACTGGCTGCAGAAGTTCTTCACTCACCAAACCTGCTCTGAAGATTCAGCTGCTCTCTGAGCTTGTTGTTGTAGCCTTTACAAAGTAGTTAACCACGTATTTTTAGGCTTAATACTCAGGTTACTCTGGTGTAGTTTTGACTTCTTTAAATGTATAAAAGAAATTAACAGTATAACACACACAGTATCTAATTCACATTGCTGTTTTATTGCTGTACACATTATTAATTTTAACTGGTTACTTTGAAGGGAATCTCCTCGTACATGAGGTTAAATTGAGCTGAGCTGAGCTTCACACCACCTGTGGCACCAGATGAAGCCAGATCTGGACACTTCACAAACAGTGATCAGATTGTAGTCCTATCTAAAACACAGAATAAACAAATTCAAACAACCCACCCACTAACCGGAACGGTTTCTTACCTGAATCGCCTAAAAACAACACGTTCCTCTCGGCGTTGAGCTCTGTAGATGAAGAAGACAGCGTTCACTCGGAGCCATGACTGGAGATGACTGGAGAAATGCTGGCTATTGCTGATATAGGACAGCAGGAGCCGCTCCCATAATAAGCTCTCCTTTCGGCTTTAGCGACAGCTTGACGGGCTCTGCAGAGCAGCCGGTCCACGTGAGCGGAGGAAAACATGGATCTGCCAGGCTGCATCTTCAACTACCATCATACATGCAGGAAGAGAGAGAGAGAGAGACAGAGAGAGAGGGAGAGAGATGGTTCATTCTGCACTGTGAAAGAGAGTTTACTGCGCTGACATCGACTCTTGTAATTCACCTCTTTGTTTGATTGGGCGCGTTTCTGCACCTCTGCGTATGATCATTTGTTTGTTATTGTCGTGACGTGACCCTTCAGCAGAGCGCACAAGATATACAATACAAGTGCACGCGTCCTAAGAAAGTAGGTCAGTGTGTCAAAGCGTGCGCGCGCGTGCGTGCTCGTGTGTGGAAGGGGGTATTAATAAGAAACAAGAAATTCTGTTTGATATATATCCTTATTTAATTTACATTATAGTAACAGTGTATGGTCTAAGTTCAGACTATGTGCATGTGATCTCCCACATACAGTAAAAAGGTAAATATAAATGTATATAGGTTATAGCAGTGCTGTAGTTTATGGATCATGCTAAAGCAAATAACAATAAGGAATTGTGTCAGTAATGACCATCAAAACAACAATTATAGGAGATGAAAATGTAACCCTTTAAACTGAAGTTCCCTTAGATAATCACTCTACTACTGCACACTACTGCACTCACTCATAAGGACTACTTTGTGTGTTTATATCAATTAATTATTTCCTTAACCCCTTTAATGACTTTTGTATCATATTTGATACATACTTTTAAAAATCAATATGATCAACAAGTTACTAAAAAAACACCTGAATACAGTCTGATAAATGATAAAAATGTCCTCTTGTAGTTTATTAGTTTCCTATAACATCTTATGTATCAAACAAGACAAATAAATATATTTGTTAGATTTTAAGGACATTTTGATTTTTTCAGTGGTAAGTGAAATAAACATTTCAGCTCTAAAAAAGATTGAATTTTCTGGCCATAATTTGTGGTGTCAGGCATTAAAGGGCTACGTAGGCTGTGTATTTGCTCTTACTGCAATCTCTACAGTGACTGTGGACCAGGGAGGATGTTAAGCTGTGTTGTTTTACTTTAAACAGGCTCAAGGGTCATTAAGTGTTGTGTATTTGTGTGCGCATTGTTTTCATATACGGTCAGGTTTTAGATTTATTTTAAGAGCAGATTCTCTGAAGTAGAATAGTTAAATCGGTGCAAACTAATAAAATATATTTTGTCCTGAACTTCTGCTAACTTGACAACTCTACTGTCTTGTTTTGTCTGTTCTGCTTTGTTTTTATTTTGTGTTTTGATTTTTCATACTTGGGTAGTTCACCTACTTTCGAAGGTTGGCATTTACACTATAGAATATCATATAATTAAGGGTGATATTATCAATTAATCATACCAATGGAGAGTGGCAGATAATGGTATTTGATAAGATCAGGACTAAAACTGTAGAATAGGTTTAACTTGATACTGATAACAATATTTGAGTCTTCTGGCTCTTACAAATCACTATATGTAGCTTGCCCTCAAAGGGGAACTAACTTAGTCCATAGGCTATATTTCTTTCTGTCATTTACTCATTCTTACTTATCTTTATAACAACTACTCTATCTAGTATGTAAACACATGCCTGGCTCATACAGCAGACTCTTCCTGTGGTTCATTCAATCTCAGTCAAGGGCTGAGAGATATAGTATTCACATATCAAACACAGAGCAGGTAATCAAACAGGATATCACATGTCAGTCAACAAGTTCAGCAGGTCGACAACGAACCTGCAGCCACCAACAGAGAAGGAAGTTAAAGTGAGAGGCAAATTTGGTGTCACGTGCAAGGGTCACCTACGGGCAAAACACGTTGACTGTTTGTGTACAGTGCCCCCGTGAGGACAAAAGTCATAGTTCTTCAAAGCTCAAAGTACCTTCAGTTGTCTCGAGGGACCCCTTCTATAAAAAGTCTTCAATTAAGTCTCATGGCTTATTCCCCCTGGCTTTGAGCCATAGCTATAATGTCATACAAGAGTCATCCCAGGTATTGGTAATTTTTTAGTTAATTAGCTTATAAAAACGCCATTTTGTGATTTTCAGCCCCTGTCCCTCAAAAGTCCAGACAGAAAATGCTTTTATTAAGATAAAATGATATAATAACACAGATTTAAAATAAAAGAAAAAAAAGAAAAATAAATAAAAAGGAAGAATTTGAAGTTTGTAACATCCAAGAACTTCCCAATATGGATACCTGCACGTTTTCGTTTTTTAACACCAGTTTTCTATATTGAGCTTACTAGGAGGCTACATGTGGCAGATCATTCTTAGACACTGGGTGAAATTTATTAGATTGGGGAGTATTTTTCATATTGTTAAGTGATCCTTGTGAGTCTCTTGTTCTGTTATTTATAAGCAATAAACCTCTTATCGTTTCGGTAATATGTTACCATGGTTACACAGAGCTGGGCTATTGTTTCCACAGTAGTACAGAGAGGCTGTCCTAAAGCTTGCAGCTGAACTCCAGCCCTCTACCACCTTGAAGACGTGAGTTTTATCCACTGTGACTGAAACTTGGAGCTGACTTGTGGTTGTGGGGCTGGTCCGAGCTGAGTGAGGGCCGGAGAAATGCTAAGGAAACGACGGAGGTAAAGAAAGAAGCCCCTTGGACTTAGACAAACGCTAAACGTTCATGCGAAAAATACGATATTTATTTTCTAGCATCGAGTGTAATATACCAATGGTCGGAATGGTTGTTAAATGTAATTCTTTGTAATTATAAAAGTAAAAAAACTGAGCTCCGGGGCTCCGCCCATGCGCCCTGACGCAACCGCTTGTAAACGTCGGTTACGTCGGCATGAGAAGAAGAAACAAAACAGCTTCACAGAGCAGAGTTTCAAGAACACCGGTGAAGAAAACTATCCCCGTGTCACTCTTCATTGTTCATCGCAAACACCACGATGCGGCGACACGTCCATTTCGTTGCTTGTAACGGAGGGTGGAGAGAAGGAGCTAGCTAGCTCGCTAGCTGTATTGAGCCTGCCAGTGTGACAGCTAACGTCAGTAGCCTGAAGCTAACTGGTTACTCCTCTTTGAAAAAGGTGAGTTTGTGCTTTAAGAGGACAGACTGCTCGGTTTGTCACCGGTTTGTGGAAAAAAGAAACATTCTGGTTTAAACCCTTGTTGTTTCTATATAAACCCTATTATAATTCACGAGTAAAGCAACAATTCGACCTCTTCTTATGGTGGGGTTTCTTTACTGTGTTTTATTTAACTTGGCCGAGCGTCGTGTTAGAGAACTTACTGATCCCTGGTATGAGTTGGTCTTTTGGCTCTTGTTGGGAGTCTGGCTTGTAAACCAGTCACTTGGCAGACAGTTGTTTGACTAGAAGACATAGGTGTCTATCATAACAGCCAAGCAGGCTTGAGTCCATATGATTCACAGCCTAAGACGACCTCGTGATTCTTGGGCAGGTGTTTTCAGAGCGGAAGAAGTGTTTACTTATTTCTGATAAACCTGAAGTTGTTGGCACAGTGCTGATATGACTGCTGGCCAAGTTTTCTTTTTTTCTTTACACTGCACATTGGCCTGACGTACCTCTCATCCCTTCTGCAAATATTTTGTTTGCAGTTGGCACACCACTAAGAAGGAAGTCAAAGTAGACGTGTAAGTGCGTCAAGCTTTGTTCAGCTCGTTTGAGCAAAAAAGACACTGACCATCCTACTGGCTTTAAATCTGTCTATATTCATGTGTAAAGATGTGTCTTTTTGTGCTTTCTTTGTCAAGTGGAAGTGCCAACAGTGGAAACAATATGAAGCAACTAAATACATGTATCTGATTTGACATTGTTTGTACATTTTCAAGATTTTTCATTTGTGGATACTTAGTGTTTATGGCTTCCAACAATGCATATTTACATCTAAAATACTTGGTGAAACCATGCTATCTATTAAAATGTTCGTAATGATATCAGAATAAACTTGATTCTTCATGACTGGTATGATATAATGTCATAAAAGTGTATAAAATGCTCCATCTTGTGTTGCTTTTTACCCTCAAGATCGTAACATGACTCACAGGGTATGTTGTAACTGGTTTCGTTTTTCCCTGTAATATATCAAAGACGAGGAGCTGTTAAAGTCCTGTTTAAAGTGGCTGGACTTTGATTTCTCTCTGAATTCCTATTTTAAAGTCTTGCATTTTTGTGGTGAACTATGTCATTTCCTTCTTGTGTCATTTTAGCCCGAGCAGTCATGACTCAGAAAGTCAATTTGTGCTCAGTCTCCCTTGGAGTGCAGGGTATGACTTGTGGCTCCTGTGTCCAGTCCATAGAGCAGCGTATTGGGTCTCTTCCTGGTGTGATACACATAAAGGTAATGCTGTCTTTGCAAAACTATATTCTTCTTTTTCAAATGAGTCTGTTAATGTTTTCCACAAAGAGGTGCAATTCTTGAACTATGGGGGCTAAAAATGCTTTGCATGACACTTCAAGATTAAAAACAGGAACTGAAACAACAGTTCAATCTGTACTTTTACTGGAACAAAAGGGAACAGAACCTTGCGCAAAAGCCAGATATGTCTTCATTATTATATCAACCAAAGGTTTCTGTCCATTTAACATAACTAAGTTTGATTTAACCCACAGTTTGACCCCCTGAGGTCTTTTTTTTAACCAAGTTACAGCAATTAGAGGGAGCTATATGGCAACATTTGTGGTCTGCTGTTTTGTTTATTGTGTTTTTTACCCCTCAGGCTGAGGTGAAATGAGAAGATAACTTAATAGTGTATCCCAGATAAAACCTCACCCTTTCCAGGACCGTGACAGCGGTCGATATGCAGCCTATGCCCACAGGAAATGTCATTTGTGTCTGAAGAGGATTAGTTCCTGGGTCCTTTTAAGTTAATCTATACAGACATGACCATGACATGACTGTTTTTCTTGGTAAAACATTGCCTCACGCCTTGCCCTGTCTGTTTCTGAATCTTAGAAAAATGGGAAAATCCAGCAGGCAAGCAGACAAGCACACACACTCACTGCTAAACCCCCACTGCTGTTTGAACTTATGGCTCAGTCAAGTGATCCCTTCAGTATGTCACATGTTTCCCTGCTGGGGTCACCATGCTGATGGGAACTCTGTGGGCTTACTGAAGCCATGGACCTGTTTTTATGTCTTTTCTGTATTTTAACTCATTTTTGAGAAAAGACAGACTCATAGTATTGCTGTAATAATTTAATAAAACGTTGATTCAATTGAATATAGTGCATTGTTCGCTAGTTCAAGAACTAACAAACTCAACATTCTGAACTAACAAAATTTACACACAGATTTAAATCCTAAGTCAGACAAATTTAAGTGCCTAACTGTGCCGGTGTCTTATGGTTTGAGAATCACTGACTTTCCCTGGATTTAATTTTTTAGTTAAACTTTACTTTGTTTTGTAGGTCTCTTTAGAGCAGAAGAATGCCACCATCATATTTGATCACAGCCAACAGAGCCCTGAGTCTCTATCAGACGCCATCGAAGACATGGGCTTTGAATCAAGTCTGTCAGAATCCAGCACAGCCACACCCATATCTACGGACACCCAGTTGATCCCCACCTCAGGCCTGACGCCAGCAGCCCAGCAGGAAGCTTTGGAGAAGTTGTCCCAAATTCAAGGAGTTCTGGATGTCAGGGAGAGCGCAGCACCCTCAGGTCTCACCGTCACCTTTGTTCCATCCCTGACTCCTCCTCAGCAGCTGAGCGAAGTAGTTGCCAGCCTTACACCTCTGGAGATCGACACACCCAGCGGCCCACCACAGAACGGCCCAACTTTGTCCCCATCTCACACATCAGAAGCTGGCGTGTCACTGCTGAAGTTACGCATTGAAGGGATGACCTGTCACTCCTGCACCACCACCATTGAAGGAAAGATAGGAAAACTGAAAGGAGTCGAAAAGATCAAAGGTGATAAGCTCGACCTGCTCACAGTCATGTAGTCATGCTCTGCCTCTATGAGTGAGCAGTGACATTTTAACGCAGTTGCCCCAAATCTTACAGATAACATGCTATTGTTCGGTTCTTTGTATCTTCTCCAAAGACAGATTGTTTTGGGGATTGGACTGTGACTCATGAAATCTTTTATCATTGTGAGATGTGTATCAACAGATAGGATTAGGTGTGCTGAGTACGGCAAGGCCATTCTATACAAAGTAGTTAGGTGAGCTGCCAGATGTAGACCAAATCTCTGCACAGTGTTAAAAATGGAATTCAGACCTTCCAAAGCATTACAGTTTACTACAAATGACAAATTGCTGATTTTATTGATCTTGTTCATCTGTGTTCTTCAAAAAGAAAAAAAAGGTCCTCTGCCTATTTTAGGATATAATTAGATTCCTTTTAAAGTCACATACACTATGTTTTGTATTTGTATTTCTAACTATTTCATGTCTTAATGTCCTGTAGTTGTGTTGGATACTCAGGAAGCTACAATCATGTACCTGCCCTACCTCATCGCTGTCCAGACCATCATTGACCAGATCGCTGTGGCCGGCTTCAAGGCGTCTGTCAAGTCCAAGCCCCACCCTCTGCAGCTATCTCCCAGCGAAGTGGAACGTTTTGTTGATTCTCAAAAACCAACCATTTCTTCTCCGCTAGACACATCGGAGGAGACGGAAATCTTCATTGACACAACGCTTACAACGCTCAGGGTGAAAGGCATGCACTGCCGATCGTGCGTGGTCAATATCCAGGACAATATCTCTATGCTGCCTGGTGTCTCCTCTGTGGAGGTCTCTTTGGAGAAGGAGAAGGCCACCATTTCCTACGATCCTCTTAAAGTTACAGTGAATCAGTTACAGCAGGCAATTGAGGCTCTCCCTCCAGGGAACTTTAAGACTCAACCCTGGGACTCCTCTTGTCCTCTCAGTCCTGTACCCTCTTTGTCTATACCTGCCTTATCATCACTGCAGCCTACAGGGTTAAGCAAGGCCCCACCTTCTGCCTTACAGACTTCTTTTATTCAGCCTTTGGCATCCACGGCTGAAATTCACATTGAGGGCATGACATGTAACTCCTGTGTCCAGACCATTGAAGGCGTGATCTCAAAAAAGAAGGGCGTGATCTCGGCCCAGGTCTCTCTGGCTAATCATCAAGGGGTCTTTGAGTATGATCCCCTCCTTACCACGCCAGAGGAGTTGAGAGAGGCTGTAGAGGACATGGGATTTGATGCCTTCTTACCTGGTGAGTAGAATGATTTTGTGGTTTCCAAGTCAACAGTGTGCTTATGTACTGAACTGGGTGAAGCAGTCTTATGTTAGTGTTTTGATTAGAGACTTGTGTACATATATCAGAGCTCCAGACTACTTTGTCAGCATTCAAAACAAAGCTATAGTAGTTTTCTTGGCAGAATAATTACCAATGTGTCCTTCCTTCATCATAAGCTTTGTAAATACTGAACTGAAAATGTAACATCAACTTAAAAACAATCATCTGTCGCCCACAGAGACCAATTCTCTGCTGCCAGCATCAGATTTCAGTCTCCTGAAGCCTTTGAGTCCAGCACCTGTAAAAGAGCTGGATGGTGACATACATAGAGAAACCCCAAAGGAACGCAACACAGACACAAACTCAAAATGTTTCATCCAGATTGGAGGAATGACGTGCGCTTCCTGTGTGGCAAACATCGAGCGAAACCTCAAGAATGAATCTGGTAAATCGATTTAAAAAAAAAAAAAAAAGTTTAATCTTGAAGTTTTAGGTCAGTGTTGATGAATCTCAGAGCTGAAGACATGTGAATTCTAATGCAGGTATCCATTCGGTTCTGGTGGCACTGATGGCGAGTAAAGCAGAGGTGCGTTATAACCCTGAACTGATCGACCCAGGCAGGATCGCTGATTGTGTGAAGGAACTCGGCTTCACTGCGTCTGTTATGGAAAACTATGAAGGCTCAGATGGAAACCTTGAACTAGTGGTGAGTACACAGTAACATTATCTTTGTATTGTGTTGAAGAAAACACTATACTGTCATTTATTTCCACAAGATAAAAACTCAAACCAAACACTGTCATTGTTATGTGAGACTAACACATTCTACCCGGTTACCTACATCTGAAACAAACGTCTGTTCCTCAGCTCGTCCTCTCTAAGCTTTCAATCTCTTCCTCTTCTTTGATCCCCCCTTTTCACTCTCTTACAGGTCAGAGGAATGACATGTGCCTCCTGTGTTCACAAAATTGAATCCAGCCTCATGAAAGAAAAGGGGATTATTTATGCCTCTGTTGCCTTAGCGACCAATAAGGCACACATTAAGTATGACTCTGAAATTATAGGTCCACGAGACATCATTAAGCTGATCGAGGTATTGTTCCTGCTGCTCCTCTATCAAATTATTTGCTGATATTTTTCATAATCATGTTCTTTACTGCATGTTTACATCAGCTTATCTGTACATGAATCATCATCAAATCATTGATTGTTGCAGAATCTGGGCTTTGAAGCCACTTTGGTGAAGAGAGACCGCACGGCCAGTCACCTGGACCACAGCAAGGAGATTCGACAGTAAGCCCATTTTTGTTTTTGCCTATCTTTATGTAAAAAATTTTATATGCATCACTCAAGAGTTTATCAATCTCTGTCCTTATGTACAAAACCCAATTCCATTGAAGTTGGGAAATTGTTATAAATGTGAATAAAAACAAAATACAATGATTTGCAAATCCTTTTCAACCTATATTCAATTGAATACACTACAAAGACAAAATATTTAATGTTCAAACTCATAAACTTAAATTTTTTTGCACATAATCATTAACTCAGAATTTCATGGCTGCAACACGTACCAAAGTAGTTGGGACAGGGGCATGTTTACCTCTGTGTTATATCACCTTTCCTTTTAACAACACTCAATAAACGTTTGGGAACTGAGGAGATTAATTGTTGAAGCTTTGAAGGTGGAATTCTTTCCCATTCTTGCTTGATGTACAACTTCAGTTTTTCAACAGTCCGGGGTCTCCGTCGTCGTATTTTACGCTTCATAATGCGCCACACATTTTCAATGGGAGACAGGTCGAGTACCCGCACCCTTTTACTATGAAGCCACGCTGTTGTAACACATGCAGAATGTGGCTTGGTATTGTCTTGCCGAAATAAGCAGAGGCGTCCATGAAAAGATGTTGCTTGGATAGCAGCATACGTTACTCTAAAACCTGTATGTATCTTTCAGCATTAATGTTGCCTTCACAGATGTGTAAGTTGACCATGCCTTTGGCACCAATGCACCCCCATACCATCACAGATGCTGGCTTTGGAACTTTGCGTCTGAGTTAATTGTTATTTGCAAAAAAAATAACGTTTATGAGTTTGAACATTAGATATCTTGTCTTTGTAGTGTATTCAATTGAATATAGGTTGAAAATGATTTGCAAAACATTGTGTTTTGTTTTTATTTACGTTTATCACAATTTCCCAACTTCAATAAAATTGGGTTTTGTATGTTAAAATATTGTCTTCATTTGCTCGGATCCCTCTCTTACAAAAAGAGGATAATAGAGGTAAATAGTCAACTGTGCGTCTAAAGCTAAAACTTAGAGGGAAGCCCCCTACTTTAAAACTGCTCAGTATCTGATTCTTAGATTACAACACCAAGTTTTTTGGACAGTTTTGACCATCAGGGCCAGGTAAAACGTAAATCAAAACCCTTTTTAGGCTGAAATAATGATGTATGCAAATATTGTGGTAGTAGTGTGGGAGGTTTGTATTTGTTGGTCAGTGGTGCCGTATACCAGATAAAATGATGATGAATTTTCATATTCCTCCTTTATTATGTGATTTGAAACCAGGAAATCAAATTACATCAATATCTAACAGAATTCTGTCCTTGCTCTCTAAGGTGGAGGAAATCTTTCCTGGTGAGCTTGATATTCTGCGTTCCTGTCATGGGCATGATGACCTACATGATTATTATGGACCATAATATGCATTCCTCACATCAACACAACATGACGGCAGAGGACCGTAACCGCTACCACTCCACCATGTTTCTGGAAAGACAGCTGCTCCCAGGCCTCTCCATCATGAACCTCCTCTCCTTCCTCTTCTGTGTGCCTGTACAGGTGAACCAGAATAGTGAATTAGGCAGAACACAGACACTTAAATATTAAACAACATGTGTTTTTTACATGAGCGACGTGTGATGTGGTGAATTGAAGCTTTGTTTTCCCTCTTTAGTTCATTGGCGGTCGCTACTTCTACATTCAAGCCTACAAAGCAGTCAAACACAAATCCGCCAACATGGATGTGTTGATAGTTTTGGCAACCACCATAGCCTTCACCTATTCACTGGTCGTCCTAATAGTGGCCATGGCGGAGAAGGCGAAAGTCAATCCTATCACCTTCTTTGACACACCACCAATGCTCTTTGTCTTCATCTCTCTGGGACGCTGGCTGGAACAGATAGCCAAGGTTTGGATGAATTTTTATGGATAATCTAGAAAAATTCTCATTAATTTATGAAATGCTGAAAAGCGGGACTTTTATTTAATTCATCATTCAAATAAAAAGGTATGTTTTGTCCTTTCTTCTTTTATTCCACAAAGAGCAAAACATCTGAGGCTCTGTCCAAGCTGATGTCTCTGCAAGCAACTGAGGCTACAGTGGTTACTCTCAGCAGTGATATGTCCATACTCAGGTACTTACTGTTTGCAGTGCTTGTTTTGTATATTTACTTGTTCAGGATAGTCCAGGGTTAAAATGCCATAAAAGGTTTTCATATATCCTACCAAGATTCTGGGAAATTAAGATTAGAATCAAGTTCCCAGCAATTTGAAAACCCTCCCAGCCATCCTGAAAATAACATGATAACATAAGTCCACCATGTGGCACTGCCCGAGTAAAATACCTGCTTAAGTTTGTGTTAGCCACCTGCATCTCTGTTTTTAAATATCAAACTGAGAAATTTGCCGTAATGCAACTTAATTTTATTTGTACAACAACTTGCTGTGAAAGTGAATAATAAATAGGAACAGAAAATGAACACAAGGGAGAAAAAAGAGGAAATTTTTAATAAAAGCAATGACTTCTTAATAAGGTAAAAATGAGTAAAAACTTCAGTTAGACAAGAAAAAGGTTTGATATAATGTCTTACAAAAACAAATGTAAAAGCTCTAAGATAAGGCTGTAAAGTAACACAATGATGAAAGTTGTTTGAAGAGAAAAGATTTTAATGAAATAATGAAATTACCACTAAAAAGTAAGAACTTAGTAAGATGTAGAGCATAAAAACAGAGGGCTCTGTTGTTGGTGATGAACATTTTAAAGAGAAGCATGTGAGGACACAAGTGATCTGGGACATGAAATAAAAGATCTGTGATATTGGAGAAAAATGTCATGTAAAGATAAATCAAAACTTGAAAGCACTCTTAAATTAAAAACAGGAGTTGTGTAATCTATTTTCTTTTTCCAAGTCAAGATTCCAGCTGTTCTGAACAAGCTGTAGTTTTGTTGTGTTCATAGACCTTTAATATAACTCGGCTGTGAAAATTATCATAGTGCTGTATTAAAAAACATGATTACATCAAAGTGAAGCATTGCACCAAAACTGTCAAATATACAACATGTGCAGAGTTGACTTCCTTTGTGTTCCAGCGAGGAGCAGGTGGATGTTGAGCTGGTGCAGCGGGGTGATGTAGTGAAAGTCGTCCCTGGAGGGAAGTTTCCGATAGATGGGAGAGTCATCGAAGGACACTCCATGGCAGATGAGTCTCTCATCACAGGTAAGTTAGAGTGAGTAAGGAACACAAAGGATCTGTCAGTCTGGATGAAGGGCTTGGACTTGAGCTTGTTGTAAACACAGAATGTAAATACTCTTAGGGTTGGCCAATTCAACAGATTGGACCTACACACAGTCCTGTTCTTATTTGTTCTTGAAATGTTTATCTTAAAGCTATTTAAACTTTTACTCAGGCAAGGAATCTAAACAAAACAAAACAAACAAAAGCCATGACCAAGCTGTAGGTACATGTCAATGAATACTCAAATAAACTCTTGTTAAAGGATAACAAACTTGACTTGGACTAATGTAGTCTCTGTTTTTATTGTAGAAATATTTAATGTCTTCTAATGACATGGTTCAACATGATAGTTATTATCTGTAATTAGTCGCTGGTTCAATATTTAATTAGACATTATAAATAACGGTGTAAACATGTAGTCTTCTGTTGTTATTTGAGTTGTACTTTCCCCCACTACTTTTTTTTCGTTTTTGGTAACATATGACCTGCTCCCATGTCCTGATTCCCTCCCTAGACTCTCTGGTGTTTTCTCACCAGCTGTTGCTTTGTGCCTGCAGGTGAGGCCATGCCGGTGACTAAGAAGCCTGGGAGCTCTGTAATTGCAGGCTCCATTAACCAGAACGGCTCCCTGCTGGTCAGCGCTACACATGTCGGCATGGACACCACGCTGTCTCAGATTGTTAAACTAGTGGAGGAGGCTCAGACCTCAAAGGTGAATCATGTGGTTTTAGATTTGCACCATGTTAACCCACTTTCATGGTAATTTTTTCTCAGGTGATTAAACTCGTGACACTTTTTTTAGGCTCCCATCCAGCAGTATGCAGACAAAATCAGTGGGTACTTTGTTCCTTTTATTGTCTGCATATCCGTCCTGACCTTGATCGCCTGGATCTTCATCGGATTTTTGGACTTCTCCTTGGTGGAAGAGTACTTTCCTGTAAGTCGTCTTTGCAGTCTTGTTAAAAAAAAACATGCTCACCTTCTTTATATCAACAGGATATTACATCTATTTCTCCAAATTCCTGTTTTACATGATGTCACTACAACTGGGATCATCTTTGTTGTAGGTCATTTTATTTCAAAGTGTTCATTATGTATAAATTGAAGACAGTGCACCCCTTTTTCCCCTTATGAAGGGTTACGACAAGAGCATTTCCCGGGCCGAGGCAGTGATCCGCTTTGCTTTCCAAGCCTCCATCACTGTGTTATGCATTGCTTGTCCTTGTTCCCTTGGCTTGGCAACCCCAACAGCTGTCATGGTGGGCACAGGAGTTGGAGCCCAAAATGGCATCCTGATAAAGGGAGGAGAGCCACTCGAGATGGCACATAAGGTGTGTTAATGATGACATTCTGACACTCCTGTGGAGTCAGCCAACTATGTAACAGACCACCTGTCAACACATTTCGATACAGTCCTGGTTTCTGATGCTACAAACCCTATTGACCCACATAACTCCCTGATTTTACTCATTACAACTAATATCTTCTGTCCGAGCAGGTCCAGTCCGTTGTGTTTGATAAGACTGGGACTATCACTTATGGTGCCCCCAATGTTATCCAAGTCAAGATAGTCGTGGAGGGGAACAAGATGCCTCGCTCTCGACTGCTGGCTATCGTGGGGACAGCTGAGAACAACAGTGAACATCCTTTAGGAGCTGCGATCACCAAATACTGCAAACAGGTCAGAAGCTTTTCCAAGACAGTGGTTCCCAGACTTCTTTATTCCCCCCACCAAACAAGATGGTGACAGAAATGACTGTGTTTAACTAAACACACCCACAAAGTCATGGATGATTGTGATTTTGTTAATAAATAAAGTCATCTCCATCCCTCAAACCACTTCTTTTAAAAGGACATTTAGATCACTGCATCACATCACAGGTGATTTTTTTCACTAACAAACAAGTTAGTTTAATTTTAGCAAAGCACTTTGTGACACATCACTGGATTGTTTCACAGCACTATAATTTTTCAGAAATACATTTAAGTTAAAAAACAAATAAACAAAAAAAAAACTGCATCGCTTTGCCACAAAAGAAAACTATCAGTTTTAAATGCGCAAAACACTTTTATCTCTTGATGGCTGCATTACTCTAAACTTTTTTTGCTGTTTTTGTTATGCTTCAGAAAATGTCAAACAAAGTTGAGAGAACATCTGAAATAACAGTGGTAGAAAAAACAACCCCTGTTAAATCTTTAACAGATTATTTTCGTCACTTTTATCAGTCAATGTACAATTTAAAAATAAAAGAAAACTGGAACAGCATATGGAGTCTCTTTTCTAAAAAGAGCAATCAGATTATCATCAAGTACTTTCTTTTCAGATTGCTAAATCGATGTTTTCATATTTCCTTTCAAATCTAATCATAATTTACAATCACTTTGTCAGAAACTGCATGAGGTTTCTGGATCGTGGCAATTCTGTCTGCGACTAGTGCTCTGGGTTTCCTGCTGGCAATATTCACCAAGGTTTCTGTGAACAAACTTGAGTGATATATTGACATGACTGAGATTTAATGTTTTTGAATCTTGTTTATTTTGGGTCTCATACTGTCGTCTGTCGATGTTCTCTCTGTACCACTTTTCCCCGACTCTGTTTGCTACAGACAGCATGTAAGGCATGTCAGCTTGAGTTGGTTTTGGGAGCCACTGATCTTGTTCATCATTTCATCTAGACTTGGAAAATGTAACTTTAAACATCCGTTACTCTGTAGGAGCTGGGCACAGAGGCTGTTGGTGTGTGCACAGATTTCCAGGCAGTGCCAGGCTGTGGCATCCGATGTCAGGTCAGCAACACTGAGACGTTGTTGAAACAGGCGGACAGCGACAGCGAGGATAACAACCAGCGCAACAGTGTCCTCGTCCAGATCAGTGACACCAGAATGTCAGCCACCTCACATCCTCTCATCATGGACCCTCAGCCTCTAAGTATGCACTTATACACTGTTGCAGCAGTTCAACTCAACATTCCCATAAACTTCTTTAGTTCTAAATTTAAGCAGTAATTTTTCTGACGTTTCCTTGATCTTGTCTGACCTAAGTCATCTGTTTCTGTAGGTCTCATCAAGACGAGCACTTACGTCGTTCTAATTGGCAACAGAGAGTGGATGAGGAGAAACTGTCTGCAGGTCCGACCAGACATAGATGAAGCAATGATGGAGCATGAACGCAGAGGACGCACTGCTGTTTTAGTAGCTGTAGACAGTGAGTACTGCTTAATGTGAAGTTTGGCCTGTATCTTGTTTCATCATTTACAACATAATGTGTCACTTCAGGAAGTGGTCTCTGTTAATGAAGGAAAAACTGTAAATATTGCTTTAAAGAAGCAGAAGTTTCTATCTGCTGAAAAAGAAAGCTCGAACTGTCCTGTCAGAGACGCAGTTGGCATCTTTTTCCATGAGTAAACGGTCTACTTTTGTTTTGTAATGAGGCTCTTTGGTAAAGAGATACATTTCTCATGAACACTAAAAATAAAATAAAAAGAAATACCTTCATGATAAAAAAGTTTAAAGCTTTAAAGGAGAATTTGGCTTGGAGTATATTCACAGTGGTGTGTCTTTATGGCCTAAAACCACTAACAAATCCAGAAGCAACAAATCTGACAAATCCTATTGTTATTTAAATGCCTGTAACTGCTGTGAAGAACAGACAATCACAGCATAATGAAGAAATTACCTTTATGAACCTTTTCCACTGTGAACATTCAAAGTGAGCTTTACATTAGACTGTTGAAGGGGGGGCAGGATGAGGTTTACACATGCACAGGGCAACATCAACGCAGAGATTAAAGGCCAACTTTGTCAGCAAGAGATACCAAAATTGGTATCAACAGAAAGTTCCTTACAAGAGCTTTAAATAGAGATACTACTATTACTTAAACTTTGTTGAGTTCAGAAATGTTTTAATGAAGTTGTATTTTTTTGTGTGTAGATGTGCTGTGTGCCATGATAGCCATAGCTGACACAGTGAAACCTGAGGCTGAACTGGCTGTTCACACTCTGACCAGCATGGGGCTGGAAGTTGTGCTGATGACAGGAGACAACAGCAAGACTGCAAGAGCCATTGCTGCTCAGGTATCACCTAGGTGTTGATTTTGAGATGAGTGTCGCCACACAGTTTCAGCATTTGCTTGTGTTTTTGACTTGGTTTTAAGATTTTATCAATGAAATGATGTTCTGAGAAATCTTTGCTTTCTTACAAATCAAAAAGGGGGAACCAGCGATTCAGATATTAAGATGACCAAATCCCCCCTTAATACTTCATCACGTATTTCTGAAAGTTATTTCCCAAAATTTAAAATAAAAATAAAAACATTCTATTTTTTTTTTTAAAACATGTGAAGTCCACCATTTAAGTGCTTTATGTGTTTCTGAGCTTGTTAACGTCTCTCCTCTAGGTGGGTATCAGGAAGGTGTTTGCTGAGGTGCTGCCGTCACACAAGGTGGCCAAAGTGGAGCAGCTGCAGCACGAAGGAAAGAGAGTCGCCATGGTGGGTGACGGTGTTAACGACTCACCCGCTCTGGCCATGGCTGACGTGGGCATCGCCATAGGAACTGGGACAGATGTAGCCATTGAGGCAGCAGACGTGGTGCTGATCAGGGTGAGAATCTGAGCTCCTGATTCATTGTAACAGTGCAGACTGCCTGTTGCATAACATGATAATTAAACATGTCACTGAAGCATTAATGTAGTGAGGAGCACAGGAAGACACACAGCCCAGTATCAAAAAACATCCTGCTTACAGTACACCAATGCTGTAAGCAGGTCAGAAAGTATGTAGAAATTACAGGTCAAGACAACAGTACGGGAGAGTGGGATAAGATGAGCTGTTTTTCATATTTGGGATCACTACATCAAGGCAATCATAGTTTGTCTCTAACTAGTGTATCTGATAATATAGCATGCCAAAAAAAAAGTGGTCTCCTATGGTCTACTTCCCTCTAGTATGGGGTAAGTTGACCATCAAACTCTTTAACTTTCTCAGTTGAGCCACTGGCTCAACTTACCCCAGAACTGTAATTATGACTTTATTAGTCCTCTAAACTAAAATGGTGGACTTTTATGTTAGGTTTTTGACCTCATGTTGCAGCTCATAGATACAACAATTGATGTATAAAACAAATTTAAAATGAACTTTTTTGATCTGAACACAATTCTAACAAAACTTATGACAGAGTTAATTCACTTTCAAGAGTGAACAATGTTTTTTTGTAAATAAATGTCTAACCCCTTCACCCATGTGTTTCTAACCTTCACAGACTCCATGAATTGATGACCATCTCCTAAATATTTGGTCACATGATCAATTTCTTTTACCATTTCCAAGTAAAAGGGGGTGGTGGTTCAACTTACCCTTTGGCTCATCTTACCCCACTCTCCCCTATATGATTAAAGACAATACGGGGAAAAACATGAACCTTCACTGCATTTTGAAGTATTTTTAATGACATGACACATCACCCCTTAGACTTTGTTTCTGTCCTGATAATCAACAAACGAAATGATTGCGTGTTACTGCCTCCTCTGAAATCAGTTCCTGAATTCTTTGGTCCCAAGGCGAGTTCACCACCTCCTCCTGTCCTCCTCTGTTATCATGGAGCATTTTGGAGTCTTTCATGTGCCAGGTCAAGCTGTTTAAAAAAAGAGCCATGTGCCCAGGTGTGCATGATTTGCTTATCTGTGAGCTCTGTCTGAGTGAATACAGATGTATCATTTTTGTGCACTGATAACAAATCTGTACGTATGAATATGCAAACTGTGCACACGGATTGGTGCATGGCTCTTTTTTTTAAGGTCTTGGGGCTCTGTTGTGCATATCTCAGCTGACATGACATTCATAACATAGCTAATCTTCTACTGTGTATTTTAACCTCTAACACCAGTGTTCACTCAGTGAGATTTTTTTGAGTTGATATACAAGTGCATAGTTTTGCTCCTGCTGTCAGACTTAGTATTGCTCTAGTATTGCTCTCTCAACATGTACCTTCCTTTAATAAGTATTTAATGGGTTACTGACTTCAAATCAATCATGTGAATCAGTTTAAGACTAGGTAGGATTTATCAGTCAGCTTAGACAGGAGCAGCTTGGGGCGCTTAAGAACAAGTATTACATTCTTGAACTTCTTTTATTTTTTTCTCTTTATATTAAACTGATTAAAAACTGTCGCTCCAGAAGGGCCATCAAACACATGCAGATTTTTTTCACCTTTTTACAAATGGGATATTTCCCGAAATGTGCTTTTGTTAAATCACCAGAGTTAATGAGCGATATTATCCCTACCTCAATGAAAACCTTTTCTTGTTGCCTTGTTTGCAGAATGATCTTCTGGACGTGGTGGGAAGCATTCACCTCTCAAAAAAGACGGTTAAGAGGATCAGGATCAACTTTGTTTTTGCTCTCATTTACAACCTGGTTGGCATTCCTATAGCTGCCGGTAGGTACTCACAAAGATGAGCTGGATGGTTCAAGGAATTGATAAATGACATTGCTAAGTGTTGCTAGTTTGTATTATGTTTGTCTTCATAACAGCAATGATATAAGTTGTGTCCATCCACAGGTGTGTTTCTCCCCGTTGGTCTGGTGCTGCAGCCGTGGATGGGCTCTGCTGCAATGGCGCTGTCATCTGTCTCTGTGGTTTTGTCTTCTCTCCTACTCAAATGGTAATGAAATGTGTAACGCTTTGTTGTGCCCTTTTTATCTGTGAGCTTTGTTGTTTTTTTCTCCCGTTTGATCATGTTAATATATTTGATTTTTCTTTTCTCCTGGGTCTTTGTTCAGTTACACGAAGCCCACCGCTGAGCAGTTGGAGGCCAAAGTGGGTAGCAGCAGGCGGCAAGGCAGCCTATCAGATGTCAGCGTTCACATTGGCATGGGCGATGTGCGTCGTCCGTCCCCCAAACTGAGCCTGCTGGACCGCATTGTGAACTACAGCCGTGCCTCCATGAACTCCCTGCGCTCTGACAAACACTCCCTCAACAGCTTGGTGCTCAGCGATCCTGACAAACACTCCCTGCTGGTGGGGGAGGAGCTGTGTGAAGAGGAGGAGGAGGAGGAGGCCTGCTGAATACGTAAGGCTCACACTGGCCTTGGCTAAAAGGGTGGCATCAAATAAAGACCCATCCATCTGCTGTTGGTGCCTCAAGGCAGCACTGTGGACTAGAAGAAAGCTTTCATGCCCCTTGCTTCCTTTTTGCTCAACCAGCTGGTCACATGCTCTCGTAAACATGTGGGTGGTTTCTTCTTTCAAGTCGCAGGCTGTCCTTTGTTGAGATCACTTTCCTGCAGTATCCATCGTTTTGCAGCCCTTTGACATTTTGAGCCTACAACACTCTGTTGTTCGCAGGGGCATGAAGTGTCTTCAAGAGCGTTGAAGCAGGTTCCACATGAAGGCACAGAGTAATGATCAGCTCTGTTACTGTGCTCACCTGCCAGTACAATCTTTAACATCCATCCAAAGTTAACGTAGCAGTGGTCCCCCTTGTTTGCGTGGACACTACAGAGTTCTATTTTAAACAGTTTTCCTTGAATGGGAAAAGATGACAACACTGTTGTAAAATTATATTTCAGAGTATTTATATTACCACTATTTATCTTTTTTTCAATATATCTTGTGTGAAAATGAAGTTGTAATATCCAAACTCTAATACCCATCTTAAATTTCCACAAAATTGATTACCGAGAAAGGTAAGGGAGTAAAACTGAACTCAACCGAGGATGTCTTTACAGTTTAAACTGACTTTGTGCAAAACGCTAACAGAGTGAGCTGTAATTGCTATTACGCAAGTGCCAATTGAAATGCCACCTTGGCAAAGTCCAACACATTCCAAAGATAGCACTGAACACATATAACCTTGGACTCAATGTGCACAAAGTGTGAGCAGAGAGAAAAGGTTTAAGCAGAGAGCTGAAGACTGACCGTGAATGGGGACAGGAGATAAATCTCTGTACTTGATTATTATATGTCTGTCAGTAAATGTGAACATTATTCCCTGTGCAGCTCGAACTGGAGTTGTTACATGGGTGACTTTGCTTTGCATTACTTTGCTTGTTGCAAAGAGAGAGAAAACTGCAGTGATGCAGTTCATGAAGAGGCCGAAATGCAAATGCATGTGTGTACCGTCATTACACCAAACAAGCTGTTGTTACTGTTCCTGAAGATTGTGACTGATTGTTAGTCTCCCTACTTTTTCATTTGATATAGACTGCTGCACTTGATCAAAGATACACCAAGGGAAGCAGGGAACAGTCAGATCAGCTGAGTCCCAGCATCTCCACCAAACAAGTTACTGACAAGCAGAAGTGAATGAACTAAATGAAGTGTTCCTTTTTGAATCTAAATTGCTGTGGTCATGCAAGTGTAGAGAGCTACTGTGAAGCTGCCTGTGCTTTATTTTCTCCTAAGTCATTTGTATTTGCTGTGTCAATCAGAAAATTATCACTACACTGCAGCTGATTTATAAATTTGTCTTTTGATCAGTTTATCCTGCCGCTGCCCCAGTGCAACATGTTCTATAGCCGTCAAAGCTGGCAGAGTGCAATTATGCCAATCTGTTATTTTTGTGCTTTGCTTTGTAAAACATGTTTGCTGGGCTTTAGACATGTATTGAAGTCCATGTTTTCTGCCTTTCATGGTTCTGAACTTTATGTGCCTTGGAATAAAACGCCTTTGTAACATCACCCTGGTAGGGCAACTTGATTTACCAGAAGGGGGCGCTGCAGAGCCATCAGTGGCACCTTCAGGTAAGTAGACGGGAAGCACACGTTTCATCAACTTTATTTCATCCAGTTAATTTAAACATCAAATCATCCCAGTGTATTGCAAAACAATCAAATACCATTTTCTCCCATAATTTTCTCTTAAAAAATACTCATTTAACTGATGCTTGGTGTAAATGACTTCTTCCTCTTGAGTCACCTTGTATCGCTTTGGCTATAGTGACACTTTATTTGATTTGGCAGATTGAAGCTTGTGAAGATGTTATTAGTGAGGGAGTTAGTTTTGTACTTTTAAGCACATAGAAGAGGCCTTACTTCTTATAAGATAGGGGATAATACTTCAAATAATGTCCACCAGAGGGAACATTGAATACTCGTCTTTTCTCTCTCCTCACTGACTGAGGATGTACAGAAAAGTACAGTGATCACAAAACTAAACGAGGTTCAACAAGTTCTAAAAATGTGCAGCATTTAAAATCTGTTACAACATTGTGCTTTTCTTGACTAAAAACACGGCTAACAGTGTTGACTGTGAAATGCTACATTCATTTTACTCTTTGAGACTAGAATAACAAACTTCACTTCAAACCAGCTGGGGAACAGCACCAACTCCAACAGCTCTCTGGAAACACTAACAATCTAAAATGAAATTACTTATACACCAATATCTGCAAGTAGATTTACAGTATATTAAACATTTAACACTTGACAGAAATTACACATCATGATGAGCAAAAGATGCAATTAAAACAAATCAATGTTCACAAGCATTGATGAGGTCTCTAAATTTGAAATAACAATATTTGCCTCAATCGAAGCAAACAATTCAAACACATTAAATCACTTTTACAGATTTAACAAAGGGAAAAATTGGTCTAATATTTAATGTAAAGGGATATTTGAATCTTTGAGTTGATCTTTCCCTCTGTAATCCCTGATTTTAAGAAAGTCAAATATTAAATCATGCACATTGCCATACCAAATACCTCCTATGCAGTTTCATAAAATAAAACAGAGTCTGTGTATTTGGCACAAATGTTTAAAACTATACAGACCAGCAGATCGACATGGCAGATTTTTGGATGAGAGCCATCGGGTATCAAGTTCACAGTTTACACCAACTGTGCCCAAACGTATCAGAAGCACATTGTTATCTAAAGAGTGAATACTGCATGTGGAGAAAGAGAACGAAAGCTAAAACGTCAGGTGACGCCTGCTTTATCAGTTAGACAGGAGAGAGCTGTGACATAACTACAGGTAATAAGTAATGTGTCATTGTGCTTCACCTTGACAGCAAGGTATAATATTAACACTGATCAAGAGGATGTTAACTATACTAATGTAATTGTATTTAATCTCACCAGCTTTTCTGCAGAGAATTTAAATAAAATTGTTTTAGAAGATTTCACAGTAATGGTTGTGTTTCGAAACTGAATCTCTGTCGGTCAGATTTTCTGTTATTGACCCCTTGCTGTCAAATATTCACGACAATGTTCTTGACATTTTTTCCTAAACACTGAGTTTTATTTTAAAAAGTTATCCAGTGTATTTGAATGTATAATAACACTTTAAAGACAAACCTAAATGAAATGAGTGTTTAAACCTGAAATATTGATGTATGTTCAGGTACAGAAGCAAAATACCGTACAAGTCTGTGATTGACTTGTGGAGTTTAAAGGTTACAAATGCTGTGATCAACATTCTGAATTAACTACTATAAATCAACTACTGGATTAGATTTATTAGAGCCAGTATGGCATTTTTTAGATAACCATTAATAACACTTTCACCCATCACCATTTCAGCTCCCAGTATGATTTCCCATATTTTTATTTGATAAATTCTAAAAATCTCATGTTGCGTATAAGAGGAGTGGTTTGTTCATGCATGTTTGGCAAGCAGAATGACTATAATGTTTAACACTGATTATTAAGACATCAAATAGCACCATGATGGCCCCCCAATGGCTGCCAACACTAATCATCACATTTTATAGGGTGGGTCCCTTGAGGATGATTTGTAGGTTAATGATCATACAGAGAGGCCTTCGTGCTCACTGAAAGGTTCGTATTTAGTGAATGAAACTGAATTAAAGTAAGTTTAAGTAAATGCTTTTCTTTGAAATAACACTGTCAGATGTGCGAGGTTGTTGTGCTTCAGAGGTCTTTGACTCATTAGTATCCTGATTATAATCAATTAAAAATAGTGTAGGAAATAATCAGTCAGCCAAGCTAACTATCTGGTGTATGGCAATGGTTTGGCAGCGGTGTGCACCAACAAGTCACCAACGTAAAAAATACTGCGCAGAAAAAAGTCCACTTGAAACAACCTAACATGGGCCTATTAACTGTATCTGTCGAAACGTTACTTTTCTTCAGGCCCAGTCAGACAACTTCTCGAGCAGTTACAATAAAATAAACAATCACATTGAAAAAAGCAAACATCTCATTACAGAACAGTGAGTGAGAGAAGAAGTCCTCAGATGCCCGTCTGAACGATGGAAACGAGGATACACTAACTTAACTTTGGCACACTGAATGAGGAGGGAGGCAGAGAGAGGACTGAGCCTGCAGCTGTGTTATGGCAGTGTTAGGATGAGGGGGGTCACACACTCATAGCCCTTTGTTGAAGTAGACCCTCTCCACCCCCGGGTGGTTGGCCCTGATTTTCTCCTGCAGCTCCGGCTCCAAGCGGCTGACTGACATAGAGCTGGAGCGGGCAGAGGACACACAGGGGTTAATGGATCAAACATAAACACTGTAGTTGTGCAACTTTCCAGGCTGAGGGATCCTGCAAGTCCTGCAAATATTCTGCTGGGGATAAGGCTATTTCCTGCAGCGATAACACGTTTGTTGCTATGAGTTTAAATGTTTGACTTACCTCTTCTGTGGGAACAATGCACAGCACAGTGGAGTGGCAAACACCAGGCTGGAAAGAGAAAATAATCTATTCAACAAACAAGCTTCAGTCTGAGCCTCTTGCTCTGACTCCTGTGATAGTTTCAATTGTTACGTGAATAACCTGGACTGAGACTGACGTGGGAGCCGACGTATCGATTCTTCAAGCTGAAATTAAGAGGACCTTTCCCAACAAACAACTTTATCATGCAAAGTTGTGCATAGTTGTACATGATCAATGAGTTCTGGTGAAATCTGAGATCGAGCAACATTCAGGGTCAAAAAATGGAGCCAGTACACAAACAAAATAAATCTGCAGTTCTTCAAGTGTCCACACGAGGCTGACTCCAGGAAGCCAAGAAAACCCTGCCGGAGCCCATATTAAGATGACCATTCTTACATCAGAATTAATGATCTCTATTTCCTCATTTGCTTTGATTACAAAACAGCTGAAGGTAGGAGATATGCAGAACTACATATTGTTATACTAAATTAGGGGCTTGGTTTATATGACGCTGTTGTCGAGGCAGCAAGGCTATGGCCTCAAACTCTCCTTTGTGCCTGATTCTCGTTCAGTCAAAAGTAAGCTAGAGACGACATTTACAGCATGGTGACAGCTGTTTTTAGACTTCCTATCAGCTCTGCAAAACTGAGACTGAGACGATCAAGGCTTTGTCTATGTTTTTATACAATCAATGGCAGGAATGCTCTGCTATGTATAATGCGGACACTGCTTTGTTGTGATCAAGGAGTTAAGATTAAGAGGAACAATTTATAACAATACGATCTAAAAATGTTGAAAATCAATAAATGTCATTAGATTGACAGACAAAAACTTAAATATAAATCTCGAAGACAAAACATTTTTTAATCTAAACAGCTTCAGAAATGTTGGGCAGATATCCAAATACTGTTAAATCCTAAACGAGGTCTACTCATGTGGCTGTGTGTGTGTGTCAGTGTGTGTGCTGCTCCAATCACTCTCTTGTCATTATGGTTCAAAAAGAGGAATGTTTCACATGATTTTCATCGGTCTCTCTGGTGTCACAGGAGATGTGGTGCAGCCATTCAAGAGCTCACATGAGGGGCTATTTGTGTATTTTCTGAGAGAGAGGCAGCACTTAAACTGTTGTGTTTTGTAGGAACTGTTTTAAAATTGTCCTTTGACCATTTCAACCAGCTTACTGTAGATATATCACTCATTTTACTGCGAAACAGAACCAGTAAACAAATCTCACATAAAGAGTTTCATAATGAGATCTAAGAAAACTGGCAAATCTTTAGAGCACATTCCTCAAAAAAAGTTCATAGTGGTATAAATATTTGGATTAGTGGCATGTTGTTGCTGTACAGCAAGTAATTAGGTTGGAGATTCAAAGGAATTTCACATGGCTGCTTATCAGGTGGAGCATCTGTGACGACTCACCAGAATCCCACCAGGCTGACTTGAATAGGTGCACTCATCCATGGGAACTTCTGAAAAGACCAGGCAGAAACACAAATGAGAGCCACAAAAGCAGAGCTGAATCCCTTCACTAGAGTGGCCTCATGTCTGCAGAGCTTTTCTTTCCTGCAAAGTATGATAACTAAAGGAAAACCGAGTTGTGACAGAGCAGGACATGAAGCTCCAACTGTGGTATTTCATGAAATCAGGTATGAAAAGGTTCCTGAAGCTCTCTGTGGTGCGGTTTGTGTTAGAGGGATGTAGTAAGAATGTGCCTACCTTCAGAAAAGCCTTCTTCTCCAAATGATTCATCAGGAATGGGGGGATAGCTAAAAAAAAAAAATGAAATATCAATGCACACAACACTTAAACTTAGAAGAATCTATGCATTTTTGCTCAAACAATGCTACTAGAGGATACAAAGATACTCATACCCATTCCTGGAGACGCCATGAGGATTCTGGAGACCACGACCTGAGAGATAGCCTGCTGAGCAGCTTTTGTCGACTCTCCTAACCTGTTGTCATTTTCATCTGTTACAGGGATGCCGTGTTGAAGTTCTCTGAAGGGACAGAGCAACGAAAATGTAATCATCTGACCATGTATCAAATTCACAAAGAAGAATAGGTCTTTCCAATGTGTTTCATGCGACTTTTTAACCATTTATGTAGAGTCGACTCAAGACTAAAGCCATCATGTGTTGCAGTTGTTGACATGATTGAAAACAATTGCCTACCTTTGTCTCATCAGAGGGATGTTGATACAGTTAGCAGCAGCTACAGCTGCAAATGGAACGAACCGTCCAATCAGAGGAGAGATGTGCTACAGCAGGAGAAGGGAGAGAATAGACAACTTTGATCTGCTGTAACCTTAGAGAAAATTTGACCTTCAAGACAAATAGAAGTCTAATGCTAATGTAGATTATCAAATGACATATTCCAGGTGTTGGACATGCAGTTTGTTTTTTCAGGATTACTGTAAAGGGTGGACTGACAGCACAACTGTGTAAATAACAACTTCTCTGTGACAAAGGACCATTTGTGCAACCTAACTTAACAGCAGCACACATGGCTGAGGCGGATACATTAAAATGGGGTGTAAGATGGGGTTACATGAGCTGATACCTTTGTTAGTGCATTTAGTCCTAGAGCGGTGGCAACTGCCCCTGTGGTGGCAGACACATACGCTGTGCCAAGCTGACTGCAAACACAAGAGTCATCGATCAAACCAAGCAAAGAACTCAAAAAATGATGCATTACCAGGGTTAATACGAGCTGCTATCAGGGCTAAAACTTCTGTCTTTTACCTGACTGTGATCGGAGCATCACCACTCCTATTGGTGTAGTTGACTATTGCGTTGAAAGACTGATTGATCCACTGCCAGAGCAACACGGCTGGAGTCGTCCTATAAGTTTGAAAATAGTGGGGTCATTAGCAGAGTGTGGAGAGACCACAAAGCAGAAAGATGTATCTCCTGACACACAAACAATGGACTTTTTTGAACAATAAAAACTAGAAAAAGTAAGGATTATTAGGCTTTGCCAAAAGATTTTTCATGATGCCCACTCACTTCTGAAAACTGTCTCATATACAAATGAAATTAATTTAAAAATAAGTAAATGGAGAATAAAAGTGCCAGTTAACATGAAATACAGCAGCCTACTGGCACTCACCCTCATGCAGGTAGACAGGGTGCTTATACTGTATTAACTACAAGTGCCATGTCTTAGATTTACTTTGATCCACATAACATAACATTTTTGAGAAGAACGTGGGATAACCTAGTCAGCATATTTGACTACAAAATGCAATAACATCCACACCCATTCATGATTGCTACAGAGGAAATACAAACTGTTGAGTCATTAGGTTGATAAGATCCAAAGTGGAAACTTGTCTTGGACAGGAACGCAAAGAAACACAAAGCTTAGTGCAACTTAGAGTAACATAAAAACCAACACAGCAACAGCACAACTGGCAACCAGGTTATTATTGAGTCTAAGAAAAGGGAAACATACACACAGATGTAAGAAAAATGGATCAGTATAGGAGAAAAATCCAAATGTAAGTGGGCATTTAGTACTGGTTTGGCAGGGGTAATATCACGCTGGTTATTTGTTTAAAATCCGTCATTTCCTCTCAGATGTCATAAACATTACCACTGAGCCTTTATGATGTCTACCAAAAGGCAACGGTTTAAATTCAGGGAGGATCATATTTAAACTTGAGTGTCAAACTCACAGACAGTAGAGTCACCATGTTCTTACTTGTAAAAAGTCATCATGCATCCAGTGATGGTCATGTTCATAGGAACCTGCGCTGACATGCGGCCAATCAGGATCATCTTCTCGCCGGTGTCAGGATGGAAAGCTGAGTCAAAAACATATTTTGCCCTCCACAGTTCATCCTCTGTCAGTCCTGGAGAGACTATACCCTGTCTAGGATACAGTTAAGATATCACTTTAGACAAATTCATCTTTGGATTTTACATTCATGCCACTGGTACCTGCTGTGTAGCTGCAGTGTCGCTTACTTGTAGTCAGTGATGATTTTATGTGCATGAGCTAGTTGTTCATTGGTGAGGAGGACGTTCCTTGGGTCTGTGACAGTGAAGAAATGTTTAGCTCGACCCATGAATGTGCTCTGGTCCCATCGGGGCTCTTTGATGTTTATGGAAGTGGAGAGCTCTGCTGCCATATTTATCTGAGGAAAGAAGGATGTTACAGTAATCAGTGCTCAAAAGAATATGGACGCGATGACGAAAAAACTAGACAAGCATGTCCTGACAATCCGAGACACCCTTGCTGAAATAAAACCCAAACTGCTTATGTTGTAACATTTATATATGTTGATTACAAATCAGGACTAGCATTAGGCTGTGATGGAGTGATATTGTTGCAGGCCTGCAGGGTACAGCTCCAGCTCTCACCCTAGGAGTTACAGACCTCCACATCTTGTTTTCTTTTGCAGACACAAGTCAGCGTAGGAGGACTTGTGAAAATAAAAGCCCCTGTCTGGATTGCCATGGTGCTTATTCAGCATATTGTTGCCATGGTGATGGCTGACCTGACATGAGGGTTGTGAAGCACTAAATTGCAGAGCCCTATAATGGGAGCAACCAACCCCCAAACTATGCCTGCAAGCAGCTCTTGGGAAGTGACAAAGCCCTCTGCACGAGTGTGTGAACTGCTGTGAGCCCAGTATTTCATTTATAGCAGTACATAACAAATGGCATTAAGGTTACCTGAGCACCAGGAGTTATCCATTATGTTTGATGTATTTAAACTATCACCAAGATTTTGTATTTATGATTTCACAAATGAAAGATTGTGTCCTGAAACAACACAGCATCAGCTCTATAGACCTGCATGCACATTCTCCCCTCTCTATGTTGGTCTATGTAGCCCAGTCAGATCTGGTTTTTAACTCTTTGTTATATGCTACAGCTTAACTACAGGGTGACACAAAGGTTCAGCAGGTCACTGCATGGATGAGCCACAGCAGCATGATGAAACTCAACCTGAAATTGCACCAAAGATGGCTGCTGGATTGACAGGAATACAGTGAAGTGCCTTGTTTGCTTGCGTGCAGGAGGCGTGCTGTCTCTTTAAATTGAATTAAACTCCATAGGGTTCTCACGAGATGACAACAAAACAACCTTTCAGACTTGATCGAATCAAACAATATCTGAGAGCATGTTTCTGAGAAGTGGTTACAGGACACATCCTGTTGTAAACAGCACTAATTTAAGCTTCATTAGCAATAAATTGTGATATCTGGAGACTGAACTTTGGACTAACGTGGCCTTTGATCTACAAACCCTCAACTGCTTCAGCCCTCACTCTCAGCCAATCAAAGGCAGCCTGCGTGGCTACACATTAACCTGCAATTCACAACATCTTCTTACAAATAAACATGTTACTGAAATACTACACGCAACATCTCATTACAGTAACTCAACCCCCCGTTTCTTGTTTATCTGACATCTATTGCATTCAGAAATCCTGCTTGCTGTCTGTGGTCGCAGGGTAAACACGCTCCCTGACTGGATACGTTTAATTGTTCAGCCCGCCGTAGACCAGTCAAATCTGGACTGCAACTGGAGATGTTGATGCATCTGCACAGAGCGTTTTCTTACAAAAACCAAACAATGATTAAATACACAGCTTCCATTTAGAAGCGACTAATTGAGCACTGCATCTGTCCAGCCCGATAATTGTCCAGCTGTGCGCTCCAGATTCAACTAGTATCAGCCTGCCACATCTACACATGCAGCGGTCGGCACAGGCTGCCGAAGCCGTGGAATGACACTTTCCCGGAGCTCAGACACAAAGCGCACGCTGCTCCCTGCAATGTCGGCGTCTTCTCGGATCCATTTTAGGAATATTAACAGTTACTTACTGCACTGTGGGCTCGGGCGGTCCGCAAGAGGTGTCCCTGAAAGGCTGCAGCCAGCTAATTTTACATAGAGCAGCGTCAGAGCACAGAGAGGCGCATCCCCCAGCATCAGGAACCTCGGTGACAAAATAAAAGCCCTGCCTCAAAGCTGCGTTTCATTCATACGAGGAGTTTGATGCAGCTTTGAGGTACTAACAAATAAACTCTTGTGAAGAAACTTTGAATACATAATTAGCTCACTTCTTTAAAAAAAAGAAACTGTGTGAACATCAGAGGGAAAAATAATATTCAATTTCACGCTGAGCTTCATCTTAGACTTTTATTTTTAGCTGGGTACTGAGCTTTACATCCGTCAGTTCTCCGACATTTCTGTCCACTTGGTTCAAAAGCAGTAAATCATTAATAATTGGCGAAACTTTGGATTTACACACACACGACTTTATGTACACCTGCCTTACATCATGAGGATCACTCATATAAAGTACTAAAATTAATAAAAGCATTCTCTGATTCATGCAAAATAAATAAATTGATGCATTAAAAAACAGAAAATGACACCAAATGAATCCCCTTATCATAGCTTGGCACTTCCAGGTTTAAAATTTTATGGTAAATGCCTGCATTAACACAAACCAACAGAAAATAATCAATACAACCAACATTCCCCTTCTATCCTTCAAATATTTACAATCAGGATATGACTTGTTTTTGAGTCTGTATTGATCATCTATTTTTGAGCACCTGTTTCCATCTAGTGGTGACTGACCAGAGGGAAAAATGCCCCAAACCATAACTTATGGATAATAAAGACGTAATATGTCTTTATTTGTATATCTGCAACTGCATAACCTCTTGTTACTATTCTATGACAATGGACATACTTTGTACCAATATTGCCACTTGAATGAATTACATTTACTCCTATAGTAGACAGCAGAGCAAGCAGAGGGCTACTTAAACCATAACAGGGTATAAAAAGAACATAGTCTGTCAGTGCTGTGTGATAAAAATTAAATACAAAAGTGCAAATAGAATGAATTCATTTTCAGAAGTCTATCTCTATCATCTCAAAGCACGAAATAAGCGGTTGCATATCAGTTACAAAAAGAAAATATTTCACGTTTAATTTATGCAACCTTTGATTCGAGGCCATGCCAGGTGAAAGATGCAGACAGATACTGTATATGGAAAACACACTCTGGCCATCATCACCCAAACAGAAAGAGTACTATATATAGTCTCAGCATTAGTTCATTCGATTTCCCTAACAAACCAGCAGGTAATATGATAGTATTGTTTATAGTAGCCATCAGTTATAGTAATAAAAACATCATGCACAGAGAGAAAAAAGTTAAAGGTTGGTGGCCTTTAGCTAGATGTGATGGTTTTCTTTTCATTGCGATTATGGCACACATTTTTGGTCCATGGGGTTATGTAGACTCTTTTTCGCCTTTGTGAGCAGTGGTCTTTACAGGAAATAATCCGGTGTACGCCGCGTCACATGTGGCTCTCCTCTACGGGGTGCAGGGTCGAACTGTAGACTAAAAAAAGAACAACGCAGGATTGAACACCCATACTGAGATTCTGATTGATATGAAGACAAGTCCACATAAAACAATGTCAAGTCAAAGTTAAAAAGCTGAACTTACAAAGAGTATTTCAATGTGTCATCGAGTTCCATGATTGCTGCCTGGTTTCCACAACGATAACAATAGTTTGGTGCACTGAAGATCGTCACTACGTTGCGGTCATGGCACCAATTGTAACCCTGGATCAAGAGAAAACCCACATTAAACCTATTTACAGTGTATCACGTGTAATATCAGAGCTGCACCTGCAGTATCTGCAGGTGGGGAAAGTAAGCATACTCTCAGAATCCAACTAAAGTCGAAATACCTCCATGACCAGCTGGTGGGCTCTTGAAACCAAAGTTAGGCCGTTTGCATGATTGAAAGTCTCTGAAATGTCCTGCCCGAAGGTGTAACCAGCACCACGGGGTGAGATGCCCCAACCACCACGATCATCTGGGTCTGACCATAGCAGGTCACACATTGGACCCTGAAATGAGTGGGGGGGGGGAAATCAGTTCAGTGTACAAAACAAATTTAATGAAAGACTCCAGTAGGGCTGCAACTTAATATTAATCACACCATTGATCAACCGGATGTTTAATTTCTTGCGGTTTCATTTGAGCTAAATGTTTTCAGAAAATTGACAATCACACCCACTGAAAACTCTCTCAAATATCATACAAAAGGTAAAATATAACATCAAGATATTTAAAAAGCTTGTAGCCATGTTTCTTTTGCTCAACACATGCCAAAAATTATTGTTGCTATTAATGAATGCCTCATATTTTCAGTTCTCTGTAAACTCTATAAAAGAATTTGTGCAAAAAGCCAAAGTTATGTCGTTGGAGCACAATCACGATCCAAAACAAACTCCTGTACAGTCTGCAGCATTTACCTCATGAGGAACCTCCTGCAGGCGATCCAGCGCTCTGATGTGTTCCAGTGTGTCGATTGAAGGGGACAATCCTCCATGGAGGCAGAAAATCTGAGGAGAAAAGGAAGATAAATAAGTCTCTTTACTATGCTTGATGCCACACACAAACACAAACACAAACACACGTACCTGGTTGTCTACCAGTGCTGTCAAGGGCAGGTAGTCAAACAGATCTGTGAAGTACTTCCAAACATTGGCATTTCCATATTTCCTTAAACACTCGTCATAGAAGCCGTACACTTGCGTGATCTGTCTACTTTCGTGGTTTCCTCTGAGGATTGTGATGCGTTCACGAAACCGCACCTACACACAAAAATGAGCTCATTAACAAAATGAATATCTTTTCTACAACATCAATGCTTTGTCCAGGCTGTTTAAAATCTATTATCACAGAATATAAGGCTATCTACTTTGTTTACCTTGAGAGAGACCAGAAGAGTGACTGTCTCCACAGAATAGTAGCCTCTGTCAACATAGTCTCCCATGAAGAGATAGTTAGTGTCCGGAGACTTCCCTCCAATCTTAAACAGCTCCATGAGGTCATGAAACTGACCATGGACATCTCCACAGACTGTCACCGGACATCTCACCTCCTGCACATTAGACTCCTTTGTCAGGATCTCTTTGGCCTTAAAAGAAGGAGAAAAGTGATATCAAAAGAGAGGCAACAGGGTATCCAAAAAAAGCATCCAAAATGGCTGTTGTTTATCTTTTTGTCACTAAAATCCCATTCAATTGCTGAATGAATTGAATATCAACCCATTTCAGGTTGTGAAGGCATGTAGTTATACTTCATTATTATCATGCAGTTTTCTATGGTAGTGCCACTGCACTTCACTAAAGAGGCAACAAGAGTGGGCGTAGCTAGGGAAAACACATTCGCAGGCATGCCCCTCCATCTTCTTAGCTGGTGTTTTTTTTTTTTTTTTTCTTTTCCTAAAATTGATCTGCGTGATGAAGGTACACGCAAACGGTGTGCTCAAAGGCATGGACGCATGCATGATTTGACGTTAGTTAAGGCAAAACCTCACAAATCTGCTCTGGAGATCTGTCAACTAACGGTCCGCTAGCATTCCGGGTAGCTAGTGAGTGATAGCTGCGCTGCCTTCCTGCGCAAACCTTACCTTTTCACACAGGACTTTAACCTGATTCTCCGACAGCTGTTTGCACTCGTTCAGTTGTTCAATCCATCCGTCCAGTTCCTTGGTGAATGACTTGTCGTCCATGCCTGAATTGCCGTCAGCTAAAGAGCCGAACAGCTTTCAAATTCGTCGGGAACACCTCTCGCTATGTTGTTCGTTTTGATGGCCCGGCTACGTTACGTCCTAACAGGCTCCCTCCCTCCCTGCCTGGCTGCTCTCTCACTGCGTGTGTGCGCGTGTATGTGGTGTGTGCACGCGTGCATATGTGTGTGCGCTACGCAAAAACAAATGCGTCAGCTGCCGTGGGTCTATGGAAGCGATTGTGACTCATATCTCAAATTCAAAAGCATTAGCAGAAATGCTTTTTCATTTCAAAGTCATAGCTGCACTATTTGACTCAAAAATCAAAAGCATATTCCAAATTTCATTTTCTTCTTTAAGACTGCTCATTTTGTGACTAGATTCAAAACCAAAAGCAAATCACATTCAACATTTAATTTTCAGAACATTCACCAGCAAAAAGGTAACAAAATTCAATTAGTAATGTCAAATTCGAAAATTCAAAAGCATTAGCAGAAATGCTTTTTCATTTCAGTCTTGGCTGCACTATTTGACTCAAAAATAAAAATCAAAAGCAATATTCCAAAATGCATTTTCATTTTCTTCTTCAAGACTGCTCATTCTGTGAATAAATTAAAAAGCAAAAGCAAACTCAGAAATGCTTTTTCGTTTTCGTGCTTGCCCCGCAAAAAGTGTCTAATAATTCAATCCAATTCGCAATCTCAAGTGGCGCAGGAAAGTGGCGTCACGGACACCACTCGTTTTGGCCCCTTCTGGCCGATAGGGGGCAGTGAATCCGCGTATCATTCGTTCAATAGACCTTTTTCACAGTACGCGGAAGTGAGCCATCTGCTCACTTCCGGTGTTAGCGTGCGGTGGAGCCACTTAGCATCGCCCATAGACGGCCATTCATTTTTTCACGATATTAACAAACTCACGGCTTGTTTTTTGAAAGATAAAGTAAAATTTTATGCTTTGTGCTGTTTTCCTAACTCATGTTCTTCATATTACTGTCCGGATTTTGTACTTTACTTTTCGGGAATTATGTTTAATAGGTCTGGAAATTTTGAAATTTTCTGATGATGGTAACCATTGCTCTTCAGTAATGACTTATTGTATGTATTGCATGTAGGTGATTGTTGAAAACAATAAGATTTTATTTTTTTATTAATTTTTCCATTATTGCATTAAAGTGAAAGAAGAATATGTAGCAATTCCACTCATTTTTATTCAATATTGGTACAGTGAAACCTCTTGTAAAAATTCAGGGAGGTACTACGGCCTATGAGGAATATTTTCATGTAGGTGATTGTTGAAAACAATAAGATTTTATTTTTTTTATTAATTTTTCCATAATTGCATTAAAGTGATAGGAGAATATGTAGCAATTCCACTATTTTTTATTCAATATTGGTACAGTAAAACCTCTTGTTAATATGCGTAGAGGTACTGGGGCCCATGAGGAATATTTCCGTTTAGATGATTGTTGAAAACAGTAAGACTTTATTTTTTTATTAATTTTTCCATTATTGCATTAATGTGAAAGAAGAATATGTAGCAATTCCACTCATTTTTATTCAATATTGGTACAGTAAAACCTCTTGTAAAAATTCATGCAGGTACTGGGGCCCATGAGGAATATTTTCATGTAGGTGATTGTTGAAAACAATAAGATTTTATTTTTGTATTAATTTTTCCATAATTGCATTATAGTGAATGGAGAATATGTATCAATTCCAGTAATTTTTATTCAATATTGGCAAAGTAAAACCTTTTTGAAAATATTCATGGAGGTACTGGGGCTCATGAGGAATATTTCCATTTAAATAATTGTTGAAAACTAAGATTTTATTTTTGTATTAATTTTTCCATAATTGCATTATAGTGAATGGAGAATATGTAGCAATTCCACTAATTTTTATTCAGTATTGGTACAGTAAAACCTTTTTGGAAATATTCATGGAGGTACTTGGGCTCATTAGGAAAATTTTCATGTAGGTGATTGTTGAAAACAATAAGATTTTATTTTTGTATTAATTTTTTTCATAATTGCATTATAGTGAATGAAGAATATGTAGCAATTCCACTTATTTTTATTCAATATTGGACATCAAAACCAATGTCTCTACGAGAAGTGCGGATAGCGTGACCGCAGTCCATAAGATTGATGTTTGGCTTAAATGTCCATACAGCATGAACTTCATTTTATATTTAACTTCCTAAAGTTGCTCTGGAAAATGAGTATCATAATTTCTCTCTGAATTTATTTGTTAGTTATATATAAGTCATATAAGTGCAGAAGGGATTTATTTTGACCATGTGGAAGTCAGTGTCTATGTAACATCAGAGCAAGGAAGTCAGATCATAACTTGGTCTATCTGCAAACCTGTTACAGACATTGTGTACTGAGGCAGCCTGTGACCAAAGTCAAAATAAGAAGATGGACACCTCAAGCCAGTGAAGCTCTAGGGGACTGTTTTAAATCAACAGACTGGAATGTGCTGCTGGAAACAGATGTGGATAGTATGAACATTGATAAACAGGTTGACTGCTTTACTGATTATGTCAACTTCTGTAGAGACACAGTTATACCCACAAAAACTGTTCGCTGTTTCCCCAACAACAAACCCTGGAACACAAGGGACATAAAAGCAATCCTTAACCAGAAAAAGAAAGATTTTAAAGATGATGAAAAAGAACAACTCAAACAAGTGCAACAAGAGTTGAAGAGGAGACTGAAGATGACAAAGCTGGAGTACAAAAAGAAGATGGAGAAGAATCTACAACACAGCAACATCCATGAAGTGAAGAGAAGAATCAGTACCATCTCTGGACACAGCAGTCAAAAGAAAAGACAGCCAGTGGTGGGTGATGTGAAAAGAGCTGATGAACTCAACCTGTTCTTCAACAGATCTCCACTACAACTTATCCCCTTCCTCCTCCATCTCGTTCAAACGTCTCAACCACTTCAACTGCCTCCCTCCTAGAACACCAGTCCTTGTCTGTCACTGAAACAGGGGTGAGGATGGAGCTTGGAAGACTTTGGCCTGGGAAGGCAGCTGGTCCAGATGGTATGTGTCCAAGGCTGCTTAGAGACTGTGCTGCAGAACTGTGTCAACCTCTCCACAAGATCTTCAACCTGAGTCTACAGCTGGGGCGGGTACCTGCTCTGTGGAAAACATCCTGCATTGTGCCAGTACCAAAAACAAAATGTCCTGCTGAACTCAATGACTACAGACCAGTGGCCCTCACTTCACACATCATGAAAACCTTGGAGCGGCTGATTCTACGCCTTCTGAGGTCTGAGGTCAAAGACAAACTGGACTCCCTGCAGTTTGCATACAAAGAACACATTGGAGTGGATGATGCTGTCCTCTACATGCTTCACCGTGCCCTGTCTCATCTGGAGGAACCTGGGGTTTATGTGAGGATCATGTTCTTCAACTTTTCAAGTGCATTCAACACCATCCAACCCACCATACTCAAAGACAAGTTCACAGAGATGGGAGTGGATCCTGACTGTGTTTCCTGGATCACAGATTACCTGACAGTAAGGCCACAGTTTGTCAGGCTGGGAAACTGTGTTTCTGGGACATTCATGAGCAGTACAGGGGCTCCACAAGGGACAGTGCTGGCGCCATTCCTGTTCACACCGTACATGTCAGACTTCAAATACAGCACTGAGTCCTGCCGCATCCAGAAATACTCAGATGACACTGCTATCCTGGCAGGTATCAGAAATGGACAAGAAGCTGAATACATAGATCTAATAAGAGCCTTCAGTGACTGGAGTCACAAAAACTGCCTCCTCCTCAACACCTCAACACCTCAAAGACAAAGGAGATGGTCATAGACTTAGGTAGATCCAAACCCCCTCTTCAGTCAGTGAACACCTGTGGAGTGCACATCAAAGTGGTGACATCATATAAATACCTAGGTGTACATCTGGATAATAAGCTGGATTGGTCTAAGAATATAGACTACATCTACAGAAAGGGGCAGAGCCGCCTCTTTTGCCTGAGAAGACTCCAAGCAATAGACGTCTGTAGTAAGACGCTGCAGATGTTTTATCAGTCTGTGGTAGCAAGTGTGCTGTTCTATGCTGCAGTCTGCTGGGGAGGAAGCATCAAACACAAAGATGCAAGACGCCTTAACAAACTGGTGAAAAAGGCTGGCTCTGTGGTAGGACTCAAGCTGGACTCAGTGGAGGATGTGGCGGAGAGATCTACACTGAGGAAGGTGGAGTCTGTTCTCAAGAACATGGATCACCCACTTCACAACACCTTGATGGACCAAAGGGCCAATGGTGGTGGACGGCTCCTCTCTCTTTGCTGCAGGACAGAAAGATTCAGAAGATCTTTTGTACCAACAGCCATCAGACTTTATAACTCTTATGTAAATAATAGATAACTTTTATAGACATATTACGTGAGACAACAGACAATTGAATTTCCCTTTGGGGATCAATAAAGTTCTTTTTCTTCTTCTTCTTCTTCTTAATATGAGTGACCTGTAATAAAAGTGATTTTGACAAAATCTGATTAAATCCAGATGGTATACAGAAAACCACAAATGTACCATTAAAAATGTTTTACTGAAAAACTACACAACAAAGTAATATCTTAGAAGCTACCTGAAACATTTCTTTTTTATAATTCAGTTTATTATTTTTTCAGTGTTGCAACAAACGAAAATCATAACAGACAGAATGGAGGTCAAAAATAGTAATAAAATAAATCAATAGAAGAAAATAAGAATTAAAATAAATTAATTAATTAATTAACCAAAAATAAGACAGGTAGATAAGTTGGCAAGGCAAGAAAATGAATACCTATGTCTACCAAAACCATCCCATTTTTCTTTTATATCATTTTCGCAATTTAATCTCCCCAACATCTTCTCGCATGCTACAGTCCCCACTATCTGTGTTTTCCACATACTCAGTGTGGGAGCTTGGGGTTCCTTCCAACACCTCAGACTACTCCGTGCACATGTTATTAGGCCAGTTTTTAATCTTGAAACATTTTCTTATGATAAAATTATGTATTCACTTTTACAGATTTTTCATAAATTTCATTGTGTTAATATACATGTTGATTCAATCATTATAATTATTATTATTTTTCAATTTTGTGAAGGAGACAGCGAACGTTGTTTTAACGGGATAAAGTTTTCTTACTGAACTAATAAGAATAGTCAAATTTCATGATCACGGCTCACAGTTACTCTATTGTTGACAAGCGCCTACGTGATGACGTCACGGTGCGTTACGCTCTGACCCGCTGGATCTGTCGTATCGGAGAGGCGGCGCGCCGGAAACTGTTCAGCATAGCAAGAAACAAGCAGCGATCAAAACACAACATTGGGGGCTGAAATCTGCCTCCAGTTTTCAGTTTACTACTCAGGGTGTCGAAAGGAGTGTACCAGGCGTTTTTTGCCGGGAAAGGGACTCGCAGATACTCGTTTGTGCGCGCAAAGAAAGCGCTCAGGCCTTGTCAGTTTGGCTAACGCGGGCCCAGCTAGCGCTAGCCGAGGAGCTCACTTTTCGGTAGCAAAAGCAAAACAAGGTAAGGGGTGGAAACTAGCTGCATGAGCTTATCAGCGGGCTCTGTTAGATAACCAACCATAATAGTAATGTCTTTCATTGCCCCAGTGACCGTTAGATCAGTGTTTACTCCCTCAACTATGCTGTTTGTGAGCTAGCTTTCTGCTAACTGTTTGTAGCACAATAACTAGCTGCTTAACGTGAGTGAAGATCTCTGCCAAGTCAGTAGTTTCAGGTGATCCAGCAGCATTTAGTTTTGTTTAGTAAAGTTATTTGGTGAAGTGCCTGATGCTGGCAGCGGCAGGGGCTAAGTTGATGAAGTCTTATTGTAATAGCAGAGTCCTATGTGAGCTAGTTGGCCCACAGCTGCAGCTCAGGGAGACCTGCAGACCTGCACAGAAAGTAAACATCAGCCTGGTCAGGAACCAATTCACACTGCTTTCTCCAGTCATCACAAACCAACAGTGTTGACACTTAGTCCGTCTGTCAGAGCAGTTTCTTCTTTGTTTCTCAAAGGTACTCAGGTGTTTCCAGGACACCTGCAGTTAGAGAAGTCCTCTAAAACTACTCTCTGGGGTGTCGCAGAGGTTTAGGCAAAATGTTTAGCTTCTCAAAAGTTGACGGTGGGAGACTCATTGAATTGGATTCCTTATCATGCGCCTTTGTTAAACTGAGCACAAGTAAAGCTCCTGAAAGGATGTCTGTGTAGGTTCTCATCCACCCGGGTCATGGTTAGAATTGGACTCCTGTGCAGAGTTCCGAACTGGTCCTGAAACTGTGTAAAACCAACACTGGTGCCTCTGAATAGCTTGTGGAAGCAATCAGGACCTTCAGCAGAAAGCTTGAAAATGACTATATTTTGTTTTATGCCAGGGGCTAGACATAAAACCAGATGATTTAAGTATTTAAAGTTTTATTTTAAGGCAAGTAGGCACAGTTGTCCCCACACATAGATAATAACTGGAGCCGGCCGTTTCAGTGTACGTTTGGCTGTCCATTTGTAATCACTGACTAGATTCTTGTATTTTCTTCATTTTTGTAGAACACCACAGTCAGTAGGGCCGGGCGATATAGGCAATAGTTAATCACAATGTATATTTTTTTGCTTATTGGTAGCATGTCTTTTGCAATACAATAGCTACTGAATCTGTGAGGTCTTTGTGTCTCTTCGACGTTTTGTCCTATGGCGTTGCGCTTTTTAAGTGCTACGGTTGTGTGAAGCTGCAGCCTGCTATGAAACAGTTCTTTGCTACCTAGTTCTAATTCAGCACATGATTGGTTCATTGGAAGTCGACCCGGAGAAACTCCTCTTTTCATTGGCTATTTGCATAGTCTACCAAAACATGGCAGACTGCAGACTATTGAAAAGCATATTGACCATGTTTTATATTGATATTGAGGGAACTTAATTTCCGATATATATCATTATATATATTATATTATATATATATATCATCATCGCTCAGCCCTAACAGTCAGTTACCCTTGATCAACATGATCCCTGTTTGCCCTCTGCATCCATGACTTGAAAAACCTCAGTGTCTGGCTCTGGCACCAAGAGAGACAGGTCCTTCAGTACATCCCACCTGTTAGTGTATCCATTGAGAATTGACCTCCTGTGTTAAAAATGAACTGTCTCATACCACTGTTTTTTGAAAGTTATGTAAAGCGGGTTTCTGCAACTGTCGTTCTGCACTATCTTAGTTTTGGATTATCAGCTACATAATTGGACACACATGTGGATCACCTGTTTTGTTATTGAAGTATTGAGATAAAGATTTCAGATTTACTAAGAGGAAAAGCTAAAGGTGAAGTGATTAAGTAAAGGGAGTGGTTACAGAATTGAAAGTAAAAGGAGGTGAGCAAATATTAAGAGTTTGTGGACATCCATAAATAGGTTGGGGAAAAAAGCACAATTAATCCAACAAGCTGACTAGGTGATTATAATAGATGACTGCACAAAGTAAAGAGTGTAATTAACTCAACTGTGTCTGTGCAGGTTGATTTAAACATGACCTATCAGCACCTTTTCGAGAGTAACAACAGAAACATTTGATGCAGCAGGGTTTTTGATCAAATCAGTGTGACATGTTAAAGTATAGCTGATGGTGTAATAGGGGTGGGCGATAAACCGAAAATTTACTGATACCGAAATTTACGATAATAATCAACATCATTTTGACCATGTCAATATGTTTGGTGTCAAAAAAAAATAAATAATAGTTGGTTTTGGATGTGTGTAGGTAGGCTGTGGTCTCATGTCCCGTTAAGATGCTGTCCTATGTCAGAGATGTGACTTCACCCCATTCAGTCCGTAACAAAGAGGGAAAGACAGGTGAGGAGATGGAGGACGGTTCAAAAGTTGTAGCAGCGACTGAAGTAGAAGAATTTAATGTGGGAGGGGGTGAGCAGCTTGTGAAGTAGCTGTTGTCCATTTATCATTATCGAGCTGAACTGCTCAATATATCATGATATTGATTTGAGGCCCAGCCCTATGGTGTAACTAGTTTATTACTGAATCCCTTAAGCAAACTCCGACACTTTTGACTGTAATGAGAATGAGATTTTTTTTGGATGAATATACAACCTTGTCATGTACACAAGATCAACAAAACTTTACGATGTGTCAGCGATGTTGTTCAGATTTTGAGAAGCCTTGTTTTGAGTAGAATTATTTGTTGTTTGCTGACACCAGTGACTTCACTGTTACGATGTGTAAGAGAGACGCTGCCCTGTTCAGCTGCAGTTATAATTAATCCAGTAATAACTTTTTTTGATTTTAATAGCGTCTTGTATGATTGCTTAAATTAAGTTGTGCTCTTCCTTCACAACAAAAACCACAACATCACTGGGACTAAGTCATGAGGAAAGAGGGCACCCTTAGGGCTTTCACATGATCCCACCTCTATTCACAGAAACACATAGAGAAACACAAACACTCGTTTAATAGAGATGCACTGAAATCCACCAGCTCTGATGTCCTCTTTACTCTGACACTCCTATGCTTTTATTTTGATAGGAATGAGTGATGACCTCTGTGGTAGTGTCAGATGGAGGAGGGAACATTGTGGAGTATGTCACCGTGGTGGAGGAGCCCCAACAGGTAAGCCTCTCAATCCCAACACCAGAGAAGTGTACCACAAATTCAGACCAACATACCCAGTCTTTCTCTTCACTGACTGAAGCATCATGCTAAGGTCCCGGCTATAATGAAGGTAATAATCTCCATCCGCTGATTTGGTTTCAAACTGTGGAATCTGTGCTCAGAAGCTCTACATTTTCAGCATGGATCGTCATCATCATAGTTTCTGTTTGTGATCTATTTGAAGTTCCAGTAGGATTGACCAATCATGTCAAAGCAGACATTTAGGTTGAGCAATCTGTATGGGGAGCAAAAGAAGCAGAAATACACACCTGCTCCTTAGATGCATCAGGAGTGATCAATGTGACCTCAGTTCGACATTCATTTTACTATGAAGGATTGGTTGACTTTGAACTTGTGGAGAAATCAATCTAGTGTGCAGACAAACGTCAGAGCTCAACCCTGATCATCATATTTCAAATCACACTGTGTGATGTCTTGAACTCTATAGTGTGCCCCCAGTAAGGTGGTGTTTTAAATGTTGTGAAAAGACGGCAGGACATACCATGGATCCAAACACTCCAAAGCCAGCCTAAACCCCTCATAGATGTAAACAATTCAAGCTAAGGTTGTCCAGAAAGAAAAGGGTATATGGAAGAGCTGCAGTATAAAAAGACAGATCTTCTTTACTGCAATTATTAACCTGTATTTCTTTGTGGAAATGTAAAACTATGAACACAGTAATGATTTATTATTAAAGTCATAATATGTGAAATACTGAAGTCATTATATTTTTTTTCTTTTTTCCCCAAAGTAAAACACATAGAAAAGCTCCATAAACAGCAAAAACCTGCATTCTCTACCACAGAGATGAGCTGTTTGAAGTTGAACCAACCTCTCCTGAGTCTTTTTGGCCTTTTTGCTCTCCCTAGGATATTAAGCCTTCCTTTAAATGAATGAACTCGATCTTATGTGAACAGTAGCATACTGCATGAGCTGAGAATCTCTTCTGCTCCTGAAGAACATCATCAGGTGTTAGTCAATGAAATAATGACCTCTAAAAACAAGTTTATCACTTGAAATCTGAATATGTTTTGGTCTGGACTGGGTGAGCATTTCAAAGTTACCATGGTAATATATCTTGGTTTAAGGGGGATCAGTTTCTTCTGGGAGGTTACACTCTAAGCTTGCTTTGTGGTGCACCTTAAGATCTCTCATTTTCTCAGTAGGAAAGAAATCAGATAACATTTCTTTCGAGTTTATTGTTGTCATCTGAGAACTGCAACATCATTTAAAATCCCCTCTTCACCTGTTTTTAAACATCCAGTGTGAGCAACAGCCAGCTGAAGAGGAAGAGGAGGAGGAGGAGGAAGTAGTTCAGCAGGAAATTGAGGCAGTGATCATCGGAGGAGGAGAGGAGGTGGAGGAAGATGTGGAGGAGGAAGAAGGGGTGGTGCTGCAGGAGGAGGGCTGTCCGGCAGTGATCGTGGAGGAGGTGCCCAGCGCTCAGGTGGAGGAGTGCTACTCCGCTCAGGTCCTTGTCTACGATGATGAGACGTACCTGATGCAGGACGTGGCTGAAGAGCAGGAGGTGGTGACGGAGGTGGCTGAGACAGGTGAGTTCACTCTGTGTTGAATCCCACTCACGAGAAATGTTATTGTGGGAACAACTCCAACTCTTCAACAGGAAACCCAGTGATTGAAACACACACAAGGGCTGTCAAAATTTCTCCATAATGGTGTTTGAATATCCATCCTAAAAATAACACATAGGTTCGAACATATTCGAATATCTGGCTTTCACAGCTTGCATATAACTTTATCTCACGCAGCATTTTTTCCGTCTGCCCAAAATCCGAGGAATTCCCAAACGGAGCCTCTAAAGTTCGTTGGAGTCCAGACCACTCTCTCTGAGTTTGGCTCCGAACATCCCGCCATCTCTCTCAGTATGTACCATGGACAGTTTTTCTCAAGTCTTACTGCAGGTGCAGCTCCTGTGACCTGTCCCTGACCCGTCGTTACAGTGCGCTCACTTGCAAAGCACTTGTTTTTATCCCACTTAGTTTTTCCCGCTGTTTATTTAATATTGGAATATTAATTTTCACATTCCAATTTTGTTTTTTAAATATTCAAATATATATTCTAATTTAGAATATTCGTTGACAGCCTTGACACAAACGATGGATCTCTTCAATAGCTTTTTAACCATTGCAATATTGCTGGTTATATTTTTATAGGTCAGTGGTTAATGTATGGTGAGTAGGTCTCTAGGCAAATTAGAATCCCTCCACGGTGAGGTGACCAACCAGTTTCACTCACACTTTTAGGAGATGTAAGGGTGACTTATTCATGTTTTAATCAGCCTGTTTCACTTGTGTTTTTCAAAGTCTGATAAGTATCCCAGTGCAGCTTCTCTTCTCTGATCTAAATGTTTCAGAGGACTGTTGTCCACACCAAGTGCCTCCACTATTGTGCCAGTGTTCACAGAGTTAGTTTCCAGAGGCATTACAGGATCACTGTAAGCTGCAGAGAGAGTGAAGTGTGTGTATGCACATGTCTGAGTGTGTGTTTTTAAAGCCTCTGCAGTTTTATTTTTTGCCTCGCGCTTTAACAACGAACGCCATGATGCCTTACACCGTCACACATTTGGACATCATTATTACGCTGTCATGTTATATCTAAGCACAAAGATGTGAGAACAGAGGAGCAGTATTACAGGACTGCCATATCTAAAGGGTAACCAGCTGTTGCTTTATTTAAAGGAATATTGCAGTATTTTTTTTCAATGAGGTTGTGTGAGCTACGTGTCATTTGTTGGTGTCAGCGTCTGCACTGAGAAACTACTGGCAGAAGCGAGAGGCGAGGTAGATGTGGCCGACTGCCATGTAATTTAGTTCATTCTGACAGACTGTGGCCCAAGCGCTCATGTTGGTTTCACCGCAAAGTTTTTCAACACTTTATTTTTCTGAAAAGTGCACACACTTTGTGTTATCTTGAACTTTTACTTCTGATTGCTCAATCTTAATAACAAGCACTTTCCAAAACAAGACTCATAATTTAAACCTCGAAGTGAGTTGTAAACCACAAAAACTGCCTCTCTGCCTGGTTCCCTTTTTCTCTCTCCCTCTTTTTCTCAGTCTCAGTCAGTATATGTATTTATGGCAGCTGTGGACTGCCCCCTGCTGGCTGAAAAGATGACTAATGTTTTAGAGCCGATTTCAGGAAGCAGGAAGGGGAGGAACAGTCCACATTCCACAATAGCTGATGTTGAGTGTCATTTTACTTTGTGATATTGTGCTGGTACCATCTGCCTTCAGTCAGCATGTGTTTCTGCAGAGATCTGTGCACTGACCTCTCCCTCTCTGCTCTCCTCCTCAGTGGAGATGACGACTCATGATATGGTGTGCTTTGACAAAACGTTTGAAGCAGCTGAGGCTCTGCTGCACATGGAGTCCCCTGGAGGTCTGCACAATGAACGCAACACAGGTAAACACACCTTAGAACACCGGGCTCTGTTTGAGAGACAGCATCATTCACAGGTGCCACTTTGGAGAGACAAATATTTTGATGCTTTTGGTTAAAAATCAACTCTCAGATTAACTAGAAGCCTTTGTCTGTAAGGGTCTCTTCTGTAATGTTGTCAGACACTTTGAAACAGTCTGAACCTACCAGAAACAAAAACAAGAACCTTTAAAGGACCAACCATGACACAGTAGTGCACCCACTTTGAAAAAAGATGTGATCTAGCAGAAACGTGGGGAGTGATGTTCTTGTTTCGTGCAATTCCAGCAGAGGATGTGATGATGGAGACGGTGGTGGAGGTGTCCACTGAGTGTGGACCCATAGAGGAGGAGTCCTTCCCAATCCCTCCTGAGTGTGAGCCTGCTGCCAAGAAGAAGAGAGGAGGTCAGTGTCTCACTCGAAACAAACAAACAAAACAAAAAGAACACTCAGACTTCACGGGTCTGTCCCACTCGAGGTTCTTCAGATGATATTTTCATTGAAGACGACTTTGAAAAAATCTGTTGAACATGTTGATTATGAACACCTTGTCTTATTTTGCTGCCCTTGCAAGGAACTTTTAACTTGGTTTTTAAAAGGTTCTCTCTAAATAAAGTTTATTATTATTATTATTATTATTATTATAGTTGTAATCATACTGTGACAGTGAGTCTGTGAGGTGGTAGAGCTCATGCTTTCTGATGGTAACACAAAAAAATTCAAGAATCTTAATAAATGGATGAGAACCACCTCTTAGGACCGTACCTGCCCCAGAGTTTTGTAAGTTAGATTGGATTTGGCTCTTCAATATGAGCCTGTTTATTTATTTATTTATGTTTATGTAGTCCTCGTAAATGTTTCATCTGCCCTCCCATCATTCAACAGTGAACAGTTCATAGTTCTCAGTAACTTCTGGAGTTTTTAGGAATTACATTTCCTTCTTTGGCAAGCAACAGTACACTGATGACACTAATACAATAGAGAGTACAGTTTGAGTGATTAGAACGATGTTTTCTTTCCTTGGAGTAACAACTTGTTTCTAATGAGTCATCTGCTCTGCATGCCCGTGAATGTAACAGAGCTCTGAACACAGACTTCCGGTCCTTTCCTCCTCTGTTCACAAACTGATCTTGATTTTGTTGAATTGGATCTTATTCAACAAAATCAACTCAGATCTTTTTCAGGTGATTTAGGCTCCTAGATTACCCCATCTGTTCTGCTACCCCTCAAAGGGTTACCAGAGGTTTTCCACAGTCTTTAAGCCTCAAGTCTTCACCAGTTTGAGTACAAATGTGTCGTACGCAACATGTTTCATGATTTATCATCAAATGTTTGGTGTGTGTGTGTGCGTGTGTGCGCATGTGGGTTGTGTGCAGGTGGACGTAAGCCCAAGACACACCAGCCGGCTTCAAACGGTTCCTTCGACCTGGGGATCAAGAAGAGACAGAGAGAGGGCAAAGGTTTGTCACAAAATGCTTATGTGGTTTTAAAGTTGACCTGCAGAACATTAACTTTAAAGTCCCCTGTGTAAATAATGACGCAGTTAGATTGAACTGATAGACAGACATGATGGTGAATATCGGCATGGATTGATACAGAGTAATGTAAAAGAAACCGATTGTCCCCCTGCCTTACTGTTGATGTCGAGCATAATGATACTGCTTGTCCTCCAGGTAACACCACCTACCTGTGGGAGTTCTTGCTGGAGCTGCTCCAGGACAAAAACACCTGCCCCAGGTACATCAAGTGGATGCAGAGAGAAAAGGGCATCTTTAAACTGGTCGACTCCAAGGCCGTGTCCAAACTGTGGGGGAAACACAAAAACAAGCCTGACATGAACTATGAGACCATGGGCCGGGCCCTGAGGTCAGCCTGTCACACGCGCGCGCACACACACACACACACACACACACACACACACACACACACACACGCACACACTGCAGAGTCTTGAACACAGTCCGTATGTAGTGTATAATGACATACTTTTGACTTTTCCTCTGTGTGCGTGTGTGTGTAGGTATTACTACCAGCGCGGTATCCTGGCCAAAGTGGAGGGCCAGCGGCTGGCGTACCAGTTCAAAGACATGCCCAAGAACATCCGAGTGATCGAGGATGACGAGGACGGGGAGGAGGTGGAAGACAGCGAGGGTGTCGTGTCCGCTCAGCACCTCATTCACCAGCAAGTTCCCACAGGCCTGGGCACAAACTCCCCCGCCGCCACCCAGCCCCAGCAAACCTACGTCACTGTCATCCCCAGCAACGCCACCAGGTCTCTATCCACAGTCTGTCCTAATCAGGGCCCATACTGTTTAGAGACATCACGTCTCAGCCCCTTAGCTCAGATCCTTTGGGAATATGTGAAGATAGTAATCACACTCTTAGATAGAACAAACAAGTGAGCTGAGTCATCCCAGCAGCTGCTGAACTCATCACACTAACAGTAACACACCAGTAGATACATATGCAGGATTACAGCTGCAAGGAAATTATGATCACAACTGATAGCCTAAAAATAACAGTAGACTAATATCACTCATCATCACTAGCTGTTCAACATCACAGGACGACAAAACTTTACGGGTTCGACAACTGACTTGGATTAGAGTTTAATCGGAAACTTTCCTTCTCATTGCTTAAACATCCGCTCAAACCTTCACATCCTGCTGTCAGGGTTTCTGCAGAGAGGTTGAACTCATATGACTGCTGAAATCTGCCGTATTTCAAGGTATCTCTTAAGACTGGAAGAAGCACAACCAGCCCACATGGCATGAAGAATGAGGTTAATGTGTGGTAATGTAAGGACAGTCCTGAAACAATAGATGGTGTGAACACAAAAACAGCCCTACAGGAAAAATACAATGATGCATAATATTTGCTGTTGGGTCACTGCAGGCGGGGTGTGATGTACTCAGATCTTCTCTGTTCTTTCTTCTCCAGGCCCATCAGAGCCATGCCCGTGGTCATGACTAACTCTCTGGGTCAGGTAACGTTAAACTCCTCCCCCATCCTTACCACCACCACAGGAGTCCCTGTTACAGTCGCCAACGCCTCTGCCGGCGCTCCGCCCAAACTGGTGATCCAGGCGCTGCCCACCATGCTCCCCGCCAGCTCCAAAGCGGGAGAGAAGATCACCATCATCACCATCCCGGCCAACCAGCTGGCCACACTCATGCAGACCAACCAAACAGGTCAGATCGCGCAGCTTTTCCAGGCCAAGCCCGTCGCTACAACGTTAGCGCAGGTCGCCACCAAAACAGCTGCTGCCCCCACGGTCCAGCTGACCACAGGCCGGCCGACGCCACAGCTCATCCTGGCGAAACCAGCAGCAGTGGCCCAGACGCTGCCACAGATCTCAGTCCAGGTCAGCCAGCCTCCTCCCGCCCCAACCAAAACCCCCACCCAGACCCCCAATCCAGAGGTAGCACAATCAGAGGTGGTAGCTGAGGCACCGCCCCCTTCCAGCCCGCCAGCAACATCAGCAGAAACGGCATCATCCTGAGAGCTCCACACTGAGGGTGAGGATGGCGGGGTCCGAAAGTATGGGCTGAGATTTGTGCCACTAGAAACTGAAACTGAATAATTATATTGAATTTGAGAAGCAGGATTTGAAATTAGAATTTATGTTTTTTTGAAATTGAATTTATCTGCTTTGAAATTGTTTTTAATTTACATGAAAATTCAGTTCTTTATTTTCTTAAATTCAAAAATAAAAAAATTCAATCTCAGTTCAGCGCGGCACACAGTCGACGACGTACACAGTCGTCTACATCTGTGAGGAAGAGTAATCAAGCATGGATTCACACAGCATCTACTCACGTCTGCTTTTCATATTCAGTATAATTATTCAAGTTCAGTTTCTAGCGGCACAAATCTCAGCCCATGAGGAAGTGACTGTGGACACTGCTTAGGAAGTGCAGGACACATCCAAACACCCCCCCCATTCTGCCACAGAGCTCTCTGATTGGCTCAGACTGTCTCCTGGGAGACGCCCGCTCCCACACAGGATTAAAGGGACTGTTGTAGAAACACACACACACACACACACACACACACACACACACACACACACACACAGACACAGAGGGGTCCGAGCTCAGAGGACATGAGCAGCCTTAGATTGTAAATGAACAAACTCTTTTTGTAATCAGATGTAATATAAGAAGCTCACAGACCTTGTTGTAAACAGATATGTAAAAAAGCATTTTTGATACTCTGCCTGTGTTTCAGTCCAAACCTGGTTCCAGATCATCTCTTTCTTTTGGTCTCAGTCAAAAGTTCGTCTGCAGACTGTGTCCCTCCACAGCACTGTCTCACCCTCCATCACCTGTCTGTCTTTTTTACCGTTCTCATAAAGGGAGTGGAAGGACGTCTGTGTCGACAGAACAGAACTAAACTGTGTGCTCCTTGTCTGAAGTATAATATACTATTTTTTCTTGTACTATCAATGTAATGAAGTAGATTTTACTGAAATATGTATTATAAAAAAACTACAAATGTTACAAAACTGTTTGAAGTTGTTTTCATTCAATTCAGTGGGAGATGAAACTCTTGTTTTGTGTACAGAAGCAATGCTGCTGACACAGCACAGGAGGGCGCTGTGCACCTGCTGGGCTTCAGGTCTCAGTTTACTGACAGAGCACCTGACTTAAGTATGGCTGCAAGCTCATCTGTACTGTGCTAATTTTGTGTCTTAAGATGATGATGAAATTATCCGTCAGTTCTACTTCTACTGCATCCAGACCTTTTTTTCCAGTGAGATTTAGCTTTCTGGATTTTTGGCTTTTATTGGAGAGGAAGGACAGGACAGCTGATCAAAGAAAAGAAATGTGTGGAATAGAGAGCCGGGAGAGGACCTGAGGCAGGGAGAGATACGTCTTAAAGGCTGTCAAACCAGGGATTCACAGTTGAGCTAAACCAGTGGCCTAATAACAATTGTGTTTTTATTTACAAAGAACTGACATCAATCTCCCAGTAATAATAGTTCAAGTATACTGGTGCATCTCACCAACAAGAATATCATGCCAAAAACTGTATTTTCCACCAGTTATCCAAGGAAGTGAACATCGAAAGTATTTTGGACTGTACCCGTGAGGTAAAAGGTTTCAGGCTTTGCTCTATTTTAATTTTCATCATTTTGGCCCCAAAACTTAAAAAAAATGTGAAAACAAAACTCCAAATATTTTAATATTTCACTGTGTTTAAGTAGACTAGTTTTTTAACAGTACTATCTATCTCTGTAGGTCAGCACACAAAACCAGAATCATGGTGAAGACTGCTGACCTGACAGTTGTCCACAAGGAGGGTCTGTTTACAGAGCCTGTGTGGAAGCAGATATTTGGAGAGTTGACTGAGAGGAAAAGTCAGAGAGGAAAGGTGACTAAGCAACAGGGATGAGAGCAACCCTGAGAGGACTGACAAACACAGGATTTAAGAACTTGTCATTAGAGTCCAACCTGAACTAAGAAGACGAGAAACTGATCAAACCAAGGACTGAGAGTATAGATGAACTGAATGTTTCTTTATTTTAAACCCTTGTTATTGATATGTTAGACACTGGATATTCATAGCTGTAGGCCAAATCACCAAAATTAAATCAGAAAAAAGTGTGAAATCATTGCATTTAGAGATTTACAGATAATGAATATGGATTCCACAAAAGTTTACCTATCAAAAATAAATAAAGAAATTTTTTTTCATCATACTCTTGAGTTATTTTAACAGGGACAGCAGCAGTATGGTAGTGGACTCATTGATCTAGTGTTTATATTTTGACCATTGTGTTGGAGGTAACATGAGCAGGACTGGTAATATTAAATTTAGCAGTTGGGGTCAAACAGCTTTCAGATATACATTCAGCATGTTAATTCAGCTGATTCTGGTTTAAGGACATTTTAATGCTGTAATGGGTCTTTAACAGCTGGCCCAGGGCCATTCGGGTCCCTCTACCCTCTTCCTCCAGTCTGCCCCTGATGTTAAGAATAAACTGTAATCTGACCTGCAGTAATTTGTGCGTTTAATTTAGTAGTTTAGTTTAATCTTTTTCTCATAGTTGTTTTACACCCATTAAACTACCCTGTCACACACAATTCAATAACAGCACAATTACATTGAAACATAACTTCCATTCCAGCAGCGATCAAAGGTTTACAAAGGCAGCTTAGGGGACTGTGTTGTTGTTCAGTTGTTAGTAACAAAGATGTCTCTTTCTGAACTGAAGATAAAAGTTGATAAAGAACACAGACAGTTTCATGAAGGATGCATGCTTTAGTAATTGTTGTTGGATGTAAGTGTAAATAGAGGAAGTATGAAAAACAATGATCCAGAGAGTGAAAGCATGTTGTTTCTTTATTCTACTACTCATATTTAGAAGTGGCCGTCTTCTAAGATGACAGCTCCAATGGTTGCCAAGTCATTCTGCGTTCTGGACCCCAGATGTAAGGGGTTAAGTTTTAGCTGCTACATGTGCTTGAAAATTCCCACACCATTGTTAATCTGCTTATACCTAGCCATGCAGTGCCTGTTCCTGAGTGTGTGTGAAAGTTTTCCTGTAAAGACCCTGAGAGGGAAAACTGACCAGGGACTTACAAAGGAAAACCAGACCATTTGGGACAAAATGGGGGATAGAATTATAATAATTTCTTCAGTTATCTTTGTTTGGTGAAAACAGGAAAAACTCACTTTGTTCAGAACAGCAGAATGAGAGGCCCTCGTAGCTTTGAAACTGTCAGAGGGTCCAAATCCACACAGAACAGATCATTAAATGACAAAAATAACTACATTTTTATTTTACAAACTGTTTGTGGTTATCTGAAATTAAACAGGACAACACTTTGAATAAAAATAATAACTTTATTTCCTGTTAACATTTCCAACAGCAGCAAAAGTCAAACTGAAGAACCATCATTAAAAGAAAAATCCTAAAACACTTTAAGACTATCTGTTGTTGATAAAATAACCACCCTCTTAAAGAGAGTAAAAAGAATAATTTAATACAATTAAGGAATAAAAGTCTAAGGTGTGCTCTGGAAACAATAAATAACTGCAGTTGATTTCCTGATGAACCCTTTAGCTGCCGTTCAGCTGAAGTTCAAGTAAAGAAACATGAGGTGTGGTTTAAACCCCGCCCACTTCTACCCCCACCAAACATCTCAATACCAAAATGACTCTACAACAAGCAGCAGAGGTGAAGATGTCCACCTGCCAGAGTGACACCGCCTCATGGAGCTGTGTTGAGACCAAACTCTTCCCCCCTACGCCAGCTAAACCCACAGGATGAGAAGTTTACTCTCTTTGGTTAAAATCCTTTCACAAAACCGCTAAAGCTCATTTCTACCTGTTCGGCTTCATCACAGTGTTCAGAGCGGCTCCTCTAACTTCCCCTCTCTGTATGAACTGTGTCTGGATGAACTCGAGGCTGACTGGTGTCCAGTTTAGTGACCTGTAATCTAGGATCAGTACAGAGTTTTCGCAATAACAGACAACTACCAGCATGATCTATTTTTTTTAAGCAGAGAAGTGCCTGTTCATCAGACTTAGTGTCACGGTTCTCCTGAAATCCGTGTTGATATGGTATGAGCAGATCATACTGGGATTTAAAATAACAAACCGGTTGGGAGGAGGCTGAAATAACAAGATCATGGTACAGTCTGAATTATTGATTTGTCGGCTGTTGTCGGATGCTTGTTTTTTTGGAAAAGTTTGGAAGTCAGAGAAGTGTCAGCGCTGTTGGGCATCTGATCGATGTGACGGTTTTGTCACCATGTGAAAATTACACTCAGTGTTTAGTCTCAACATCGTTTTAGAGTTTGTGTCATTCTCATGACCGCTAATAATTAAAGCTCCAGTCAGGTTCTCCTGCTCCTCTAAGACTCCGCCCACTTTCTGTTGCCAGGAGATGAAGATGTCACTCTCAGTTTCCTCCTCTGGTTGACAATAAAGTTCGGGGTTTCTCACTCGGTCCTCTTTTTGGTCCAGGGCTGCTGTGATTGGCTGTCTACATCAGCCTGTGATGCTCCTCCCTAAAGCTGATGTCACACAGCAGGGATAAATGGTCGGAGGGGTAGTGGTAGGAGGGGAGGCGGTCTGGACCGATCTGCTCCTCTGTGGGAATGTCCAACACACAGTCCACATTCAAAGCATCGTGGGAGTACCAGATGTAGTCCAGAGTGCTGCAGCTCTCTCCAGAGGGGCGGATCTTCCAGGTGGTGTATGCAGGCTCTGTCTGTCCGTCAGAGCTCAGCAGCTTGTATGCAGAGTCCAGGCCCAGTGGAGAGGAGCTAAAGCTTCTGTAAACCTCCTCTGTAGGCTCAGCGTTAAAGTCCCCACACACCACCAGAGGAACATTGCCTGACGCCGCCTCTCTGTCACCGCATCGAGATGTGATGCGGCGTAAACTCTGCAGGAGGTCAGCACCCTGCGCGCTTCGAAGCCTCTCCCAGCCGCTACGAGCCTTCAGGTGTGTGACCGCCACGCACAGCCGCCGGCCCGTCTCCCTGCAGGTCAGTGTCTGAACGATGGCAACCTGGTTAGTGGGCAGCATCTTGGCTGACAGCCGCAAGTGAGCTGTGGCCTGCAAGGAAAAACGTGAGCGTCTGTAAAACAGAGCACAGCCGTCAGGACCGTTATTCTGCTCTACGTCCAGACACGGAGACCAGGGTTTGGCCATGAAGGTGCCATGGTAACCCAGGCTGGACAGGATTGGCTGGAAAGTGTCGTAGTAGTGGTCCACTTCCTGAAGACACAGGATGTCAGGGCGGTATGTGAGGATCTCCTCCAGGATCAGGTACTTTCTCTCCTCCCAGTTGAGAGCATCCAGTGGACAGCGGATGAAGCCGTCTTTCCCCTCACCGAGAGCTGGAACAGAGAGAGACCCATTCATTAGATATCATAACAGCTTACATTAGTTCTTAATAATACGGATATCTTTGGATGGATGCAGACTCCTACAGTGTGAGGACAACGTTTCAAAGTCAGAGGAGGTCTGCAGAGATCCACCACTTTTGAAAATAAGAGCAAATACTGATGAGTAAGTAGTTAACTGCAGATAAATAAACATGGAGCAGGTCAGCTGACGGTGGATATGTGAAGTCAATATTATGCTGTTGTTGTCTCCTTTTTGCATTTGACAAAATACAACATTTAAGAGTAATTCCTGTTGTTACATGCACTTCAACATGCATTAGGTTAAACTTGAACATGATGGATGTTTATGTCAGGAGTAACTCTAAACTGCATTATTCTTCAGATTGAAGTTTATATATTTGTCTTTAAGAATTTGATAATGTTGTCATTTAGGATAGGGGCAAACCTATTATCCCTTAGGGCAGTGGTTCTCAAGTCCAGTCCTCGAGGCCCACTGTCCTGCATGTTTTGGATGTTTCCCTGCTCCAACACACCTGATTCAAATGATCAGCTCGTTATTAAGCCATTACAGAGCTTGATAACGAGCTAATCATTTGAATCAGGTGTGTTGGAGCAGGGAAACATCCAAAACATGCAGGACAGTGGGCCTCGAGGACTGGACTTGAGAACCACTGCCTTAGGGTGATGTTTATATTGCTCAACAGCGGCCACACTGATGAGACCACCTGCAGTGTCTGCAGACATTATTTCATTGTTTTTTATCAGCCTTTGTGAGAGCAGGTAACAGTGATGCCAGTGACTTTAAAATGCCATGAATCAGCCCAAAGGATTTATAGCTCTCTTACTTGGATTACTGAAATGCTGACCTAATAAGTGTGATAAAAGTTTTTGGTCAAAATCTAAAAGGCTGTCAAAATACTTAACACCAAAGATATCAACCTCACAGGCTTCACTGGCGTCAGGACACCCCCTTTGAGACAGTGCATGCTTGCATAGAGTCTTAAGTCTCAAAAATTTTCAAGAAATTTATTTTAGCTTGATATTAGGGCAGTTTCCCCTCCAAATGTCCAGCAGCTGCTCTTTTTTAGTTGCTGATCAATCAGAAAACTGTGAAATGATGACAGCTGGTCATTTTTTAAAATGTTTTCACACTTTGCTGCTTTGAAATCAGCAGTGTGAAACTGTTCCGAGGGCGTCCCAGCCTCAAGGTCATGTCACATAAGCCATTTGAATCTGGATCTTTTTAAGGGTTACCAAGAGAACTTAAACCCAGAGAAGTTCTGGTTCTCTTACCTTGTGCAAGTATATTCCACTGCATGACCCGTATAGACGGGTTATATGTGTGATGATGGGGTGACAAGCCATTAGGAAAGACCAGGTCCCGGTGTGGACGGGCTGGACGACTCTGCAGGGCCTCCTCACACTCTCTAAGCAGTTGGTCTGGGTCAATCTCAGCCAGGTCCTGATCCAAGTCCTGGTCTGAGTTCTCCTCCGGGTACAGGTCTGGTTGGGCCAGGGGGGCGCTGTTCAGTGTCTGGGCCAATGTACCAAACAACCTGCTGCTGCTGGCACCCATCGGACAAACTGAAGGAGGGAAACACGAGAGAGTGTGTGAGCTCCATGATTAGAGACCATGAGCACCTTTAATTTACTCATTCATTTACTTTTATATTTGACAAGGACAAATGCATGAATCATTGTTTCATAGGGTGAAATAAGCAGATTAAAGTCATGGGGAGGAAATAATAAATAAATATACATAAATAGTGGCATTTATAAGCCATGGAAAGCTACCGACTGTAAACAGAGTTAAACCATGTAGTAAATTTAAAAGAAAAAATCAGCCGAATTTATACAGTTTTACATCAAATTTGCTGTTTTAAGTTTATATTCAACCCAATACCTTAGCATGTGAATGAAATGTACTGAAATGGATGTGAATGTGAGACAAAAATGTAGTTTATTTGTGCTGCCTTCAAGCATGAATAAATACTTCATATCTATATAAAGTTTTCAGTTAAAAGAGCTAAAAAGTAATCTGAGTAGGTTGAAGTTAAAAAGGAAGATATTTTCATTGTTTGCATTTGTTAGTGTTGTTTTGCTGCCATCTAATGGCCACTGTCAGATATTCTCAGATGTAGTTTTCTAATATGCTTTGCCCTTAGAGACCATCTGACTGAAAGTTGCAAATGTTCAACATTGATGTTAAAGTTGAAATCTTTACTTCCAGGGATAAAGGTGAGGAGACTGACAACCGTTGACCTCAGAAGCCACACACCTTTACTGCCAACATAAACAGAGACGAGCCAACAGACAGAACCGAAGACCGGACAAACAGCAGGTTTCTATTTTGGTCTCAGGATGTTCTGACTCAGCATTTGTTCAGACTGCTCCCTAGAGTTTTGACCAGGAGGGAACAAACAGTCCATAATCCAGAACACACAAATGTTTGTCTGCAGCAAAGTCACATTTGCCCTCCAGTCAACTCTGAATGGAGGTATCTGCAGCTGTGTCTGTGGGGATGGAGATCAAAGTGTGAAAGGGTTGGAGAAATAAGAAGCATGCATGATTCTACATGAGTGGATAAAAGTGCTACTGAGGAGATTTTAGAAAGTCACTGGAATTGAAGCTACTCCTGGAGGAGTCTATGTTGTCCTGTTATTGACACTCTCCTGTAACCAAGATCCTGCTCCATACTTTCTATGAGTTTACTTGAAGCGTCTCAAAAGAGTCTAAGCCTATGTTCACACTGCAGGTTATGATCCACAATTCAGATTTTTTGTTAAATCCAATCTATTTGTGCGGTTGTTCAGGTTACAACAACGAATGCCTCATCTAATGTGAACGGACTGCATCCGTGAAGTGACCCGTATGTGCACAAAGCAGGACGTGACGCTGTTCTCTGTTTCCTCGTCCGCCATTGCTTTCCGCGCCTGTTTGTGTTGTCGCACAATGGTGACGTTTGTCGCATATTGATGATGTATAGATCGGGTGAACGCGACCTGAGTGTCCACACTGCAGTCACATCGGATACATATCCAATTTATATCCACATACAAAAGAGGCCTGGGTGTAGCAATCAAGACAACCCTGGATGTGAAACCCACACATTCCTTACAGGAAAGTTTCCTTATCTGGTCCCAGGAAACAGGATATAAATCTTTCCAGACGTGTTTGCACTTTCAGGTTAAATAAGTGACCCAACCGGAGGTTGACTAAACCTCTGACTCTTCAGGATTGGTCAGTTCGGCGAACAGAGACAGAGTTTTTATTACCTTTCAAACTGACTCCATTTGCTGACCATCTAAATAAACATTAACCTTAACCCAGATCTCCCATTTGAGATTAAGCGTCTTAAAGTGTGTGAACATACGGACCCCAGGATAAGGGGGGACACTGACCTCCAGACCTCGGTCGTAAAACCCTGCTCGACCATACACTGATAAAGACTGCATTCCTTTGGTGAAAGAATACAAATGACTGATCATGACATCTTATGCATTCAGCAATGTACTAATCTGTCTAATCATGAAATTTGTGTTAAAATGAGATGTTTCCCGTTTTTCTATGTGCTTCAGAAGCCAAGTTATCTTATCTGACAGAATAAATCCTTATTCTTTTGTTCTTTAGACCAACAGCTTTTCAGACTGTTTCATGAACTTTTAAGAGTTAAATTTATTGACTATGAATCCTAAGTTTACTCTAAGTAACAGAAATAGTTTAGAAATGTTTGGTTTATATTTTAGTTATTTATTTAGTATCTTAACCATTAGGTGGTTATAATGTCACTGAATAATCTGAATGTGAGTATTTAGAATCCATTATTAATCATGATGACGTTCATTCACATGTGTTTACTCTTTTGTTGTTCACAGTTTCTATGTGTTACTATCTGTTTCATTTCAGAGTAATTTAGCATGTTCAATGTGATACTTAAAACATAATGAGAATGTTTGATGTGATCCTACACTTCATTCATATGTGTTTAGTATCAAATTATTTATCATGAAACCAAGCATTCAATGATATTAATCATAGTGAGTGAGTATCAGATCTGACTCTTTTACCAGCCAAAAGAATAAGTTAGATCAAATAATCAGAGACCCGATGACCCCTCCTCTTTCTCCTCAGACACTCCCAGTGTGAGAAGATAAAACCAGTGGAGTGGGGTTGCTCACTCTCTTACGCTCTCTTAGCTCTCTTATGCTCTTATTCCTCTTATGCTTCTGCTCTTCTGCTGACTCTCTTGTCCCCGGCTCTTATGCCCCTTCTCTTCTGCCCACACCCTTCTGTGGTGCGTTTCTTTATTTTCTCTTAGAACTTTTTCTTAGTCTACTAAGTTTTACGCCACGTGTTGATTCACGTTGATTTTTCTTTAACATCGTCTTAGTTCAAGTTTTGAAACTTCAACTTTTGTGCACATAGCAATTCAAGATTAAGCCTTTGATTGATTTTTCTTTAATTTCGCGAAGCCATTTTTGAAAGTTTTCTCTGCTCTTCGAGCCTCGTTTTTCTGAGTTTTCTGCGTGATTTCAAAGTCACCTCCGAACGCAACCCAACAGGCCCAGGTCATCCTCTGTGCCAGAGTTTTTGAGTGAGACCAAAGAAGTACCCAAACGAGCATCCACAGGATCCACAGGCGCTGGCTTTGCTTCGGGCCCGAGTGCGGCAACTCCTGGCTCATCCTTCGGCTGACTTCAGTCGTCTTCTGAGCTGAACCGCTCGAACCGCCAGTAGCCCGGACCTTCGGAACCTGCTCCATCTTCTCCAAGGACCAGTCTCACTTAAGTATGCAAACCTCCAGAGCTCCAGACAGGGCTGATGCTGTCTCACGCGTTCATAACTCAGATATCCACCTATTTCTGGTGATCTTAGATTCCTCCAAATCCACATCCGAGTTAATCTCGACACCAAAGTTAGTGTAGGTTAATATGTTAGCACATATTCACTCACTATCATTAACTTTAGTGCTCCTAGCCTGACTCAGAATCTTTATTTATTCACCTATTATTATTTATCTTCATTATCTTATCATCATTTATTGCATGTGTGTTGTACCATCATTTATCCTGTAATAAACAGATCATTATTTTTCTAAGTTCCTGTCTGTTAGTGTTCTTCCAGAAGTGGAGTCCCTGAAATTAGAATTTCGACTTAAGATATGAGACTGATTAATTAAGACTGATTAATTAAGACTGATTAATTAAAACTGACTTGATGTTTGATTTCTGAATTAAACTTTTGTTTTCTTTATTTTCCCACCATTAAGGGTGGGTGGTGCCCCTTTCAACGAGTGCATAAATGTCATAATTTGAGATTATTAATCTTCAGACATTTATTATAAATTCCAATCGCCAAGTATTATTTTGGTGCGGCCTTGTGAGGCTCATTTCAAATCACTACATATATTTTGGTGCCCCTGCGTGAGGCGTTTCAAACAAAACTTCTGGATACTAACAGACAACCTAAAACTTAGCCTTCCAAATTGATGAGAGAAACTTATTTCCAGGCTGTTTTAGACTTGATCACAATCAATGCTATGCTTGCTGAAGTTGCTTGACTAAGTTCCGATGTTTTCCTGATCTATGCATAAAACCTTTATGCTCTGTGTTTCACACACTTTTGTACTACATGCCTGTAGTCTGTGTTTGAGCTGGACAGCGTGAAATGTTTTTCTGAGTAGCAGTGAGACTGCCTCTTCTGCTCTGTCTAGACTGTCCAATATTTAAGTGCACGATTGTTGCGTCGCCGTACGCTTGTATTTAAGGCCTTTGGCTGAACCCAGTGTTCGCGATGCTCCGAGCTGTGGTTTCAAGCCCCTGAAGTCTCTGTAGTCGGCTACGAGGTTCTAGTAACTATATGGGATTCAGATTTCCTCCTTTCCCCTGACAGATTAACTACCTGTCACAGGAAACCACTGTAACAGTGGGAGGTTGTTGTTTGATCGAATTCAGACAAAATTTGTGTTCACAAATCGCCGCATTTGTGATTTTTAAGTTTGCAGTTGAATCTGCTATTGAGGGATTTGTCACTTTGATTCTTGTCTCTATCGTCTGCTACGAAGTTCTAGTAACTATATGTATGGGATTCAGATTTCCTCCTTTCCCCTGACAGATTAACTACCTGTCACAGGAAACCACTGTAACAGTGGGAGGTTGTTGTTTGATTGAATTGAGACAAAATTTGTGTCCACAAATCACCGCATTTGTGATTTTAAAGTCTGCAGTTGAATCTGCTGTTTAAGGATTTGCCACTTTGATTCTTGTTTCTGTAAATGATTTTATTGAACCAATCTGCTTGAGCAGATGGTGTAAAGTTCTATGTTTGAGGGTGCAGACGCAGCCTGCTGTGAAATGTTAACCCTTTGTTGTCAGTGGAGAGACTGACCATTTGGCCTTAAGCAGATAAGGCCCTTCAAGGAGGCAGAGCCTAAAGGCCCCTTCCTGCACACTTCCCAACTCCTCACAGCCACAAGAGGCTAGTTGGATGACTGTTTCCTCTTCTCTTCTTCTTCTCCACTTGTGTTGAGCTTGTGCAGTTACCCCAACTCCATACTGCCCCACATGGTTGCTTTTGGTATTGAGCTAACACTGCTATTATCTGCCTGCAGTACCAGCCAGCTGTACTGCCTCTCTGTAGTCAGTGTGTAACACTCTACAGACATAATTCAAGTGATTGACTTGGTTGATGAAGTTTGATGTGCTTATTCTAAATCATTGATCATTGATTTTTGATTTTTATCTTTGTTATAAGAGCCTCCATAATGTATTGATAAAGTAACTCCTTGAATCAATCACCTGATCTTGTTGTTACTTATCACACCATTGAGCAGTTTTACTGTTCCCTATAATACATGAATGTATTAACCCTCCTCATAAGATTAATTAATTAATGAACAAATTAATTAATATTTGAAATTTATTTTACCATTTCAGATGAATTGGGTAGTTGAATCTTTAGCTTTATTGCGATTGGTGAATTAATTTCAGAGTTAATTCCTTAAATTGACAATTTCATCGATTTTTCCCAATTCATCCAACTGCACCAGGCAGTTTATTTAAGCTTTGCTGATCTCTGCAACACGGAGACAAACTGAACCCTTTATTCAATGGTTCTGTATCTGATGTTAAATTTAATTTAACATCATTTCATTGTTTTTCAATTTTGATTGAAATGAATTTAACTTTATGTTATTTTTCTCTCCATTAGAGATCTACTCAGATAGGCTCTTCCTCTTTATCAAGCACTGATAAATTAAGTCGATTAACCCACTTAATTTGATATTTTGCTTCTTCCTTTCATTTTAAGTCAACTCAAACTCATCAACCAACCACCTGCACCTCTTTACCAAAACCAAACATGCCTAACACAAAAGAGTCCAGCCAGGGAGACCCCCTGAGGGACATACACACAGTGTTGGCAAACTTGACTAGTCAGCTGATACCTCAGTATATGACTAAGATTCAAAAGGCCAAACCCTCCAATCCGGAGGATGCAATGGCTGACTTACTGGAAACAGCTTTAACCACGACACTTCGTGACAAAGAGCTCACTAGATGCATGTCTGTCGTGATGTCTTCTCAGCTTGAGTATAAAGACTACTTGCTGGAATGCGCTTTAGCAAAGATAAAGGCGCAAAAAGACGAAAACAGCGCTCTGAAAAAGACGCTAGAAGAGACTAAGAAGTCTCTAAGTGTTTTAGAAAAACACAGTGTCAGATGTGAAGCGTCAAAGCTTCCCTCACTGATAAGTCATGAAGAAAATCTTGATCTCAAAGACAAGATTGAAAGACTTAATGAAACCCTTTACAAAAAGGAGAAAGAACTTGATGACACGAATAAGCAGCTTGCTAAGACCACAGAGGATCTGATACAGTCAGAATCCCTGCTAGAGCAAGCAACAGAAGATGTAAAAGCTTTGAAAGCACTGGTCAAAGTGCGTGCTGAAGCTCTTGAAGTTAAGGAGAAGCAAACTTCTACCTTACAGCACCAGCTCCAGATAGCTCAAAGACAGTTAATTCTTTGTCAAGAACGGCAAGAAAAGACAGACAAAGAACTTGAAGATGCCCAAAGAGAGTTACAATGCTCCCTCCAGTCAGGTCGAGCCCAAAGAGAACGCATGGAGCAAACGTTTCTTGAAGAAATGATAGGTGATCAGCCTCCTGAGAGAGCGCCATCACTTCCTTCCAAACCAACTCTTAAGTATCTCTCTCAGCATCATGACAGGACCCTGCTTGACCCTGAGAGGTCATCCTTAAACCAAGAGTCCTACTCTCCTCCTCATGATGGCTTCTTACCATTTCCCTCAGACAGGGATCTTGACAAAATTGCTCGCATCATAGCACGCTTTGAACCTGAGCACCAAGCCGCTATTGACACCTGCACCTACTTGAAAGACATTGACTTTTACCTGAGGAAATTTCCAGGTGCAACCATTGATGACAAAATCTACCTTATTAAGGCGACATCAAGTCGAGAGGTTAGCAGTTTCCTTGAACGACAGCCTTATCATGTCAGAAATAATTATGACTTGCTCTGCCAAGCATTAATCGAAGAGTTTTCTGATCATTTGACCCAGACAGGCCTCTCTGCTGCTCTGTCTGTTAAACAAGGGAGATCAGAATCTCCCCAACAGTATTACAACCGCTTACGTGAAGCTTACTTTGGTTTCCGAAATGAACCAGAAATGGAGGAGGACTTGAACTTCAAAACGCTGTTCGTCCAGAACCTCCACCCTACCACCAGTCATCACCTTGGCATCTTAGCTTGTCCAAACACTTTGACTAGCCGACAGCTTCGTGAACTTGCTGTAAAAGGTTTTGCCAAACAACGACAAACTTTGGCTAAGAAAGCAGAGCCTGTTACTCTGTTGGCTATGGAGACAAAATCACTGCCCATGGAGCTGAACGAAGCTTCAGATTGTGTATTTTCAGGCTCCGATAAGCCTCCAAATGAGTGGTTAACCAGGCCTCCAAAACCTTTTCGACCTCAACACACTCACAAAGGTCAAAGTTACACACCAAGGCCCAGGTCTGACACAGACCAATGCCCGGTAAACTTTGAGACCAACTGTTGTTATTCAGACTCCCGTCACGGTGGGTTTTATCCCAGACAAAGGAAAAACCACCAACACCACCAAAGGGGGGTGAATGACTGGCAGAATCAGAGTAAATCACACTCTCAGAAACGACGATCTTATTATCCACCTCAATCGGTTTCATCCACTTTGAAGGTGAATAAACATGACTACTCAGCTAACCACTGAGATTAACACTGTGGAGTCATGAAGGTGTGAGTCCTGCGAAAGCAGAAGTCACCCAGCCAAAGCTAAATGACTCCAATAAGATATCCAAATGCTGTGGTGATACATTGATGACTGCAATCCCAGTTGCTGCTTTCTTTGTTAGCATTTGTCTCTCCTCTGTCAATATAGTCAGCTTGTCAGCTGTCAAATATCCCATGAACAGATTAAAACCTGAAATTTCTGTCATTAAGACTCAGATTGACAAATTTCAGACTTAATAGCAGATAATTAGTCAAACCGATAAGAGCATCATCCCCAAGTTTAACAGACAAAGTTTAAGAGAAACTCTGTGCAGTAAACTTTTGATGTTTGTGATTCAGGTTGACTATGCTCATACACAGATGGTTAATATGTCTATAGCAGACATTTCTTTTCCACCTAAGTCTTAACCATTTTTGAAACTGAAATTGAACTTTCAGACTTCTCCAGCAAGCATGAAAAACAGCTATAGCTTTAGATCCAGTTAGCATTCAGACTAAAGAGTGCTTTTCTAAGTCTCATTAATATTGAAAATTAGGAGATTTTCTTTCACATTAGTCTACCAATAGTTAACTGAGAAGAGTCTAACAACTAGACGATTTTATTTGATAGCTTAATGCATGCTTAATTTTATCTCAAAGCAGTACTAGTGATTCACATAGTGATGACGAGACGCATCAGTCCTATTTGCATACACCTGCTGCTGCTGCTGCTGCTTCATGGTTGTCTACTCGTCGTCCCGATGCTCCATGGACAGGACCACCGTGACGAAGGGGGGACTGTAGCAATCAAGACAACCCTGGATGTGAAACCCACACATTCCTTACAGGAAAGTTTCCTTATCTGGTCCCAGGAAACAGGATATAAATCTTTCCAGACGTGTTTGCACTTTCAGGTTAAATAAGTGACCCAACCGGAGGTTGACTAAACCTCTGACTCTTCAGGATTGGTCAGTTCGGCGAACAGAGACAGAGTTTTTATTACCTTTCAAACTGACTCCATTTGCTGACCATCTAAATAAACATTAACCTTAACCCAGATCTCCCATTTGAGATTAAGCGTCTTAAAGTGTGTGAACATACGGACCCCAGGATAAGGGGGACACTGACCTCCAGACCTCGGTCGTAAAACCCTGCTCGACCATACACTGATAAAGACTGCATTCCTTTGGTGAAAGAATACAAATGACTGATCATGACATCTTATGCATTCAGCAATGTACTAATCTGTCTAATCATGAAATTTGTGTTAAAATGAGATGTTTCCCGTTTTTCTATGTGCTTCAGAAGCCAAGTTATCTTATCTGACAGAATAAATCCTTATTCTTTTGTTCTTTAGACCAACAGCTTTTCAGACTGTTTCATGAACTTTTAAGAGTTAAATTTATTGACTATGAATCCTAAGTTTACTCTAAGTAACAGAAATAGTTTAGAAATGTTTGGTTTATATTTTAGTTATTTATTTAGTATCTTAACCATTAGGTGGTTATAATGTCACTGAATAATCTGAATGTGAGTATTTAGAATCCATTATTAATCATGATGACGTTCATTCACATGTGTTTACTCTTTTGTTGTTCACAGTTTCTATGTGTTACTATCTGTTTCATTTCAGAGTAATTTAGCATGTTCAATGTGATACTTAAAACATAATGAGAATGTTTGATGTGATCCTACACTTCATTCATATGTGTTTAGTATCAAATTATTTATCATGAAACCAAGCATTCAATGATATTAATCATAGTGAGTGAGTATCAGATCTGACTCTTTTACCAGCCAAAAGAATAAGTTAGATCAAATAATCAGAGACCCGATGACCCCTCCTCTTTCTCCTCAGACACTCCCAGTGTGAGAAGATAAAACCAGTGGAGTGGGGTTGCTCACTCTCTTACGCTCTCTTAGCTCTCTTATGCTCTTATTCCTCTTATGCTTCTGCTCTTCTGCTGACTCTCTTGTCCCCGGCTCTTATGCCCCTTCTCTTCTGCCCACACCCTTCTGTGGTGCGTTTCTTTATTTTCTCTTAGAACTTTTTCTTAGTCTACTAAGTTTTACGCCACGTGTTGATTCACGTTGATTTTTCTTTAACATCGTCTTAGTTCAAGTTTTGAAACTTCAACTTTTGTGCACATAGCAATTCAAGATTAAGCCTTTGATTGATTTTTCTTTAATTTCGCGAAGCCATTTTTGAAAGTTTTCTCTGCTCTTCGAGCCTCGTTTTTCTGAGTTTTCTGCGTGATTTCAAAGTCACCTCCGAACGCAACCCAACAGGCCCAGGTCATCCTCTGTGCCAGAGTTTTTGAGTGAGACCAAAGAAGTACCCAAACGAGCATCCACAGGATCCACAGGCGCTGGCTTTGCTTCGGGCCCGAGTGCGGCAACTCCTGGCTCATCCTTCGGCTGACTTCAGTCGTCTTCTGAGCTGAACCGCTCGAACCGCCAGTAGCCCGGACCTTCGGAACCTGCTCCATCTTCTCCAAGGACCAGTCTCACTTAAGTATGCAAACCTCCAGAGCTCCAGACAGGGCTGATGCTGTCTCACGCGTTCATAACTCAGATATCCACCTATTTCTGGTGATCTTAGATTCCTCCAAATCCACATCCGAGTTAATCTCGACACCAAAGTTAGTGTAGGTTAATATGTTAGCACATATTCACTCACTATCATTAACTTTAGTGCTCCTAGCCTGACTCAGAATCTTTATTTATTCACCTATTATTATTTATCTTCATTATCTTATCATCATTTATTGCATGTGTGTTGTACCATCATTTATCCTGTAATAAACAGATCATTATTTTTCTAAGTTCCTGTCTGTTAGTGTTCTTCCAGAAGTGGAGTCCCTGAAATTAGAATTTCGACTTAAGATATGAGACTGATTAATTAAGACTGATTAATTAAGACTGATTAATTAAAACTGACTTGATGTTTGATTTCTGAATTAAACTTTTGTTTTCTTTATTTTCCCACCATTAAGGGTGGGTGGTGCCCCTTTCAACGAGTGCATAAATGTCATAATTTGAGATTATTGTAGTGATTTGAAATGAGCCTCATACGGTCGCACCAAAATATATGTAGCGATTTGAAATGAGCCTCACAAGGCCGCACCAAAATAATACTTGGCGATTGGAATTTATAATAAATGTCTGAAGATTAATAATCTCAAATTATGACATTTATGCACTCGTTGAAAGGGGCACCACCCACCCTTGATGGTGGGAAAATAAAGAAAACAAAAGTTTAATTCAGAAATCAAACATCAAGTCAGTTTTAATTAATCAGTCTTAATTAATCAGTCTTAATTAATCAGTCTCATATCTTAAGTCGAAATTCTAATTTCAGGGACTCCACTTCTGGAAGAACACTAACAGACAGGAACTTAGAAAAATAATGATCTGTTTATTACAGGATAAATGATGGTACAACACACATGCAATAAATGATGATAAGATAATGAAGATAAATAATAATAGGTGAATAAATAAAGATTCTGAGTCAGGCTAGGAGCACTAAAGTTAATGATAGTGAGTGAATATGCGCGAACATATTAACCTACACTAACTTTGGTGTCGAGATAAACTCGGGTGTAGATTTGGAGGAATCTAAGATCACCAGAAATAGGTGGATATCTGAGTTATGAACGCGTGAGACAGCATCAGCCCTGTCTGGAGCTCTGGAGGTTTGCATACTTAAGTGAGACTGGTCCTTGGAGAAGATGGAGCAGGTTCCGAAGGTCCGGGGCTACTGGCGGTTCGAGCGGTTCAGCTCAGAAGACGACTGAAGTCAGCCGAAGGATGAGCCAGGAGTTGCAGCACTCGGGCCCGAAGCAAAGCCAGCGCCTGTGGATCCTGTGGATGCTCGTTTGGGTACTTTCTTTGGTCTCACTCAAAAACTCTGGCACAGAGGATGACCTGGGCCTGCTGGGTTGCGTTCAGAGGTGACTTTGAAATCACGCAGAAAACTCAGAAAAACGAGGCTCGAAGAGCAGAGAAAACTTTCAAAAATGGCTTCGCGAAATTAAAGAAAAATCAATCAAAGGCTTAATCTTGAATTGCTATGCGCACAAAAAGTTGAAGTTTCAAACTTGAACTAAGACGATGTTAAAGAAAAATCAACGTGAATCAACACGTGGCGTAAAACTTAGAAGACTAAGAAAAAGTTCTAAGAGAAAACAAAGAAACGCACCACAGAAGGGTGTGGACAGAAGAGAAGGGGCATAAGAGCCGGGGACAAGAGAGTCAGCAGAAGAGCAGAAGCATAAGAGGAAAGTAAGAGGCATAAGAGAGTGAGCAACCCCACTTCACTGGTTTTATCTTCTCACACTGGGTGTGTCTCCGGCGTGTGGGTGTGAGGAGACAGAGGAGGGGTCGTGTGGTCTTTGATTATTTGATCTAACTTATTCTTTTGGCTGGCAAAAGAGTCAGATCTGATACTCACTCACTATGATTAATATCATTGAATGTTTGGTTTCATGATAAATAATTTGATACTAAACACATATGAATGAAGTGTAGGATCACATCAAACATTCTCATTATGTTTTAAGTATCACATTGAACATGCTAAATTACTCTGAAATGAAACAGATAGTAACACATGGAAACTGTGAACAACAAAAGAGTAAATACATGTGAATGAACGTCATCATGATTAATAATGGATTCTAAATACTCACATTAAGGTTATTCAATGACATTATAACCACCTAATGGTTAAAAATACTAAATAAACGATTAAAATATAGACCAAACATTTCTAAACTATTTCTGTGTTCATAGAGTAAAGTTATGATCCATAGTCAATAAATGTAACTCTTAAAAGTTCATGAAACAGTCTGAAAAGCTGTTGGTCTAAAGAAACTAAAGAGCGATAACTCGGCTTCTGGAGCACATAGAAAAATGGGAAACATCTCATTTTAACACAAATTTCATGATTAGACAGATTAGTACATTGCTGAATGCATAAGATGTCATGATCAGTCATTTGTATTCTTTCACCAAAGGAATGCAGTCTTTATCAGTGTATGGTCGAGCAGGGTTTTACGACCGAGGTCTGGAGGTCAGTGTCCCCCCTTATCCTGGGGTCCGTATGTTCACACACTTTAAGACGCTAAATCTCAAATGGGAGATCTGGGTTAATGTTTATTTAGATGGTCAGCAAATGGAGTCAGTTTGAAAGGTAATAAAACTCTGTCTCTGTTCGCCGAACTGACCAATCCTGAAGAGTCAGAGGTTTAGTCAACCTCCGGTTGGGTCACTTATTTAACCTGAAAGGGCAAACACGTCTGGAAAGATTTATATCCTGTTTCCTGGGACCAGATAAGGAAACTTTCCTGTAAGGAATGTGTGGGTTTCACATCCAGGGTTGTCTTGATTGCTACAGTCCCCCCTTCGTCACGGTGGTCCTGTCCATGGAGCATCGGGACGACGAGTAGACAACCATGAAGAAGCAGCAGGTGTATGCAAATAGGACTGATGCGTCTCAGCATCACTATGTGAATCACTAGTACTGCTTTGAGATAAAATTAAGCATGTATTAAGCTATCAAATAAAATCGTCTAGTTGTTAGACTTTCTCAGTTAACTATTGGTAGACTAATGTGAAAGAAAATCTCCTAATTTTCAGTATTAATGAGATTTAGAAAAGCACTCTTTAGTCTGAATGCTAACTGGATCTAAAGCTATAGCTGTTTTTCATGCTTGCTGGAGAAGTCTGAAAGTTCAATTTCAGTTTCAAAAATGGTTAAGACTTAGGTGGAAAAGAAATGTCTGCTATAGACATATTAACCATCTGTGTATGAGCATAGTCAACCTGAATCACAAACATCAAAAATTTACTGCACAGAGTTTCTCTTAAACTTTGTCTTTTAAACTTGGGGATGATGCTCTTATCGGTTTGACTAATTATCTGCTGTTGAGTCTGAAATTTGTCAATCTGAGTCTTAATGACAGAAATTTCAGCTTTTAATCTATTCATGGGATATTTGACAGCTGACAAGCTGACCATATTGACAGAGGAGAGACAAATGCTAACAAAGAAAGCAGCAACTGGGATTGCAGTCATCAATGTATCACCACAGCATTTGGAAATCTTATTGGAGTCATTCAGCTTTGGCTGGGTGACTTCTGCTTTCGCAGGACTCACACCTTCATGACTCCGCAGTGTTAATCTCAGTGGTTAGCTGAGTGGTCATGTTTATTCACCTTCGAAGTGGATGAAACCGATTGAGGTGGATAATAAGATCGTCGTTTCTGAGAGTGTGATTTACTCTGATTCTGCCAGTCATTCACCCCCCTTTGGCGGTGTTGATGGTTTTTCCTTTGTCTGGGATAAAACCCACCGTGACGGGAGTCTGAATAACAACAGTTGGTCTCAAAGTTTACCTGGCATTGGTCTGAGTCAGACCCGGGCCTTGGTGTGTAACTTTGACCTTTGTGAGTTTGTTGAGGTCGAAAAGGTTTTGGAGGCCTGGTTAACCACTCATTTGGAGGCTTATCGGAGCCTGAAAATACACAGTCTGAAGCTTCGTTCAGCTCCATGGGCAGTGATTTTGTCTCCATAGCCAAGAGAGTAACGGGCTCTGCTTTCTTAGCCAAAGTTTGTCGTTGTTTGGCAAAACCTTTTACAGCAAGTTCACGAAGCTGTCGGCTAGTCAAAGTGTTTGGACAAGCTAAGACGCCAAGGTGATGACTGGTGGTAGGGTGGAGGTTCTGGACGAACAGCGTTTTGAAGTTCAAGTCCTCCTCCATTTCTGGTTCATTTCGGAAACCAAAGTAAGCTTCGCGTAAGCGGTTGTAATACTGTTGGGGAGGTTCTGATCTCCCTTGTTTAATAGACAGAGCAGCAGAAAGGCCTGTCTGGGTCAAATGATCAGAAAACTCTTCGATTAATGCTTGGCAGAGCAAGTCATAATTATTTCTGACATAATAAGGCTGTCGTTCAAGGAAACTGCTAACTTCTCGACTTGACGTTGCCTTAATAAGGTAGATTTTGTCATCAGTGGTTGCACCTGGAAATTTCCGCAGGTAAAAGTCAATGTCTTTCAAGTAGGTGCAGGTGTCAGTAGCACCTTGGTGCTCAGGTTCAAAGCGTGCTATGTTGCGAGCAATTTTGTCAAGATCCCTGTCTGAGGGAAATGGTAAGAAGCCATCATGAGGAGGAGAGTAGGACTCTTGGTTTAAGGATGACCTCTCAGGGTCAAGCAGGGTCCTGTCATGATGCTGAGAGAGATACTTAAGAGTTGGTTTGGAAGGAAGTGATGGCGCTCTCTCAGGAGGCTGATCACCTATCATTTCTTCAAGAAACGTTTGCTCCATGCGTTCTCTTTGGGCTCGACCTGACTGGAGGGAGCATTGTAACTCTCTTTGGGCATCTTCAAGTTCTTTGTCTGTCTTTTCTTGCCGTTCTTGACAAAGAATTAACTGTCTTTGAGCTATCTGGAGCTGGTGCTGTAAGGTAGAAGTTTGCTTCTCCTTAACTTCAAGAGCTTCAGCACGCACTTTGACCAGTGCTTTCAAAGTTTTTACATCTTCTGTTGCTTGCTCTAGCAGGGATTCTGACTGTATCAGATCCTCTGTGGTCTTAGCAAGCTGCTTATTCGTGTCATCAAGTTCTTTCTCCTTTTTGTAAAGGGTTTCATTAAGTCTTTCAATCTTGTCTTTAAGATCAAGATTTTCTTCATGACTTATCAGTGAGGGAAGCTTTGACGCTTCACATCTGGCACTGTGTTTTTCTAAAACACTTAGAGACTTCTTAGTCTCCTCTAGCGTCTTTTTCAGAGCGCTGTTTTCGTCTTTTTGCGCCTTTATCTTTGCTAAAGCGCATTCCAGCAAGTAGTCTTTATACTCAAGCTGAGAAGACATCATGACAGACATGCATCTAGTGAGCTCTTTGTCACGAAGTGTCGTGGTTAAGGCTGTTTCCAGTAAGTCAGCCATTGCATCCTCCGGATTGGAGGGTTCGGCCTTTTGAATCTTAGTCATGTACTGAGGTATCAGCTGACTAGTCAAGTTTGCCAACACTGTGGGTATGTCCCTCAGGGGGTCTCCCTGGCTGGACTCTTTTGTGTTAGGCATGTTTGGTTTTGGTAAAGAGGAGCAGGTGGTTGGTTGATGAGTTTGAGTTGGCTTAAAATGAAAAGAAGAAGCAAAATATCAAATTAAGTGGGTTAATCGACTTAATTTATCAGTGCTTGATAAAGAGGAAGAGCCTATCTGAGTAGATATCTAATGGAGAGAAAAACCATAAAGTTAAATTCATTTCAATGAAAATTGAAAGAAAAACAAGGTGAAATAATGTTAAATTAAATTTAACATCAGATACAGAACCATTGAATAAAGGGTTCAATTTGTCTCCGTGTTTGCAGAGATCAGCAAAACTTAAATAAACTGCCTGATGCAGTTGGATGAATTTGAAAAATCAATGAAATTGTCAATTTAAGGAATTAACTCTGAAGTTAATTCACAAATTGCAATAAATCCAAAGGTTCAACTACCAAATCCATCTGGAGTGTTAAAAGAAATTTCAAATATTAATTAATTTGTTCATTAATTAATTAATCAATCTTATGAGGAGGGTTAATACATTCATGTATTATAGGGAACAGTAAAACTGCTCAATGATGTGATAAGTAACAACAAGATCAGGTGATTGATTCAAGGAGTTACTTTATCAATACATTATGGAGGCTCTTATAACAAAGATAAAAATCAAAAATCAATGATCAATGATTTAGAATAAGCACATCAAACTTCATCAACCAAGTCAATCACTTGAGTTATGTCTGTAGAGTGTTACACACTGACTACAGAGAGGCAGTACAGCTGGCTGATACTGCAGGCAGATAATAGCAGTGTTAGCTCAATACCAAAAGCAACCATGTGGGGCAGTATGGAGTTGGGGTAACTGCACAAGCTCAACACAAGTGGAGAAGAAGAAGAAAAGAGGAAACAGTCATCCAACTAGCCTCTTGTGGCTATGAGGAGTTGGGAAGTGTGCAGGAAGGGGCCTTTAGGCTCTGCCTCCTTGAAGGGCCTTATCTGCTTAAGGCCAAATGGTCAGTCTCTCCACTGACAACATAGGGTTAACATTTCACAGCAGGCTGCGTCTGCACCCTCAAACATAGAACTTTACACCATCTGCTCAGGCAGATTGGTTCAATAAAATCATTTACAGGAACAAGAATCAAAGTGACAAATCCCTCAACAGCAGATTCAACTGCAGACTTTAAAATCACAAATGCGGCGATTCGTGACCACGGATTTTGTCTGAATTCATTCAAACAACAACCTCCCACTGTTACAGTGGTTTCCTGTGACAGGTAGCTAATCTGTCAGGGGAAAGGAGGAAATCTGAATCCCATATAGTTACTAGAACCTCGTAGCCGACTACAGAGACTTCAGGGGCTTGAAACCACAGCTCGGAGCATCGCGAACACTGGGTTCAGCCAAAGGCCTTAAATACAAGCGTACGGCGACGCAACAATCGTGCACTTAAATATTGGACAGTCTAGACAGAGCAGAAGAAGCAGTCTCACTGCTACTCAGAACAACATTTCACGCTGTCCAGCTCAAACACAGACTACAGGCATGTAGTACAAAAGTGTGTAAAACACAAAGCATAAAGGTTTTATGCGTAGATCAGGAAAACATCAGAACTTAGTCAAGCAACTTCAGCAAGCATAGCATTGATTGTGATTAAGTCTAAAATAGCCTGGAAATAAGTTTCTCTCATCAATTTGGAAGGCTAAGTTTTAGGTTGTCTGTTAGTATCCAGAAGTTTTGTTTGAAACGCCTCACACGGGGCACCAAAATATATGTAGTGATTTGAAATGAGCCTCATACGGTCGCACCAAAATATATGTAGCGATTTGAAATGAGCCTCACAAGGCCGCACCAAAATAATACTTGGCGATTGGAATTTATAATAAATGTCTGAAGATTAATAATCTCAAATTATGACATTTATGCACTCGTTGAAAGGGGCACCACCCACCCTTAATGGTGGGAAAATAAAGAAAACAAAAGTTTAATTCAGAAATCAAACATCAAGTCAGTTTTAATTAATCAGTCTTAATTAATCAGTCTTAATTAATCAGTCTCATATCTTAAGTCGAAATTCTAATTTCAGGGACTCCACTTCTGGAAGAACACTAACAGACAGGAACTTAGAAAAATAATGATCTGTTTATTACAGGATAAATGATGGTACAACACACATGCAATAAATGATAAGATGATGAAGATAAATAATAATAGGTGAATAAATAAAGATTCTGAGTCAGGCTAGGAGCACTAAAGTTAATGATAGTGAGTGAATATGCGCGAACATATTAACCTACACTAACTTTGGTGTCGAGATAAACTCGGGTGTAGATTTGGAGGAATCTAAGATCACCAGAAATAGGTGGATATCTGAGTTATGAACGCGTGAGACAGCATCAGCCCTGTCTGGAGCTCTGGAGGTTTGCATACTTAAGTGAGACTGGTCCTTGGAGAAGATGGAGCAGGTTCCGAAGGTCCGGGGCTACTGGCGGTTCGAGCGGTTCAGCTCAGAAGACGACTGAAGTCAGCCGAAGGATGAGCCAGGAGTTGCAGCACTCGGGCCCGAAGCAAAGCCAGCGCCTGTGGATCCTGTGGATGCTCGTTTGGGTACTTCTTTGGTCTCACTCAAAAACTCTGGCACAGAGGATGACCTGGGCCTGCTGGGTTGCGTTCAGAGGTGACTTTGAAATCACGCAGAAAACTCAGAAAAACGAGGCTCGAAGAGCAGAGAAAACTTTCAAAAATGGCTTCGCGAAATTAAAGAAAAATCAATCAAAGGCTTAATCTTGAATTGCTATGCGCACAAAAAGTTGAAGTTTCAAACTTGAACTAAGACGATGTTAAAGAAAAATCAACGTGAATCAACACGTGGCGTAAAACTTAGAAGACTAAGAAAAAGTTCTAAGAGAAAACAAAGAAACGCACCACAGAAGGGTGTGGACAGAAGAGAAGGGGCATAAGAGCCGGGGACAAGAGAGTCAGCAGAAGAGCAGAAGCATAAGAGGAAAGTAAGAGGCATAAGAGAGTGAGCAACCCCACTTCACTGGTTTTATCTTCTCACACTGGGTGTGTCTCCGGCGTGTGGGTGTGAGGAGACAGAGGAGGGGTCGTGTGGTCTTTGATTATTTGATCTAACTTATTCTTTTGGCTGGCAAAAGAGTCAGATCTGATACTCACTCACTATGATTAATATCATTGAATGTTTGGTTTCATGATAAATAATTTGATACTAAACACATATGAATGAAGTGTAGGATCACATCAAACATTCTCATTATGTTTTAAGTATCACATTGAACATGCTAAATTACTCTGAAATGAAACAGATAGTAACACATGGAAACTGTGAACAACAAAAGAGTAAATACATGTGAATGAACGTCATCATGATTAATAATGGATTCTAAATACTCACATTAAGGTTATTCAATGACATTATAACCACCTAATGGTTAAAAATACTAAATAAACGATTAAAATATAGACCAAACATTTCTAAACTATTTCTGTGTTCATAGAGTAAAGTTATGATCCATAGTCAATAAATGTAACTCTTAAAAGTTCATGAAACAGTCTGAAAAGCTGTTGGTCTAAAGAAACTAAAGAGCGATAACTCGGCTTCTGGAGCACATAGAAAAATGGGAAACATCTCATTTTAACACAAATTTCATGATTAGACAGATTAGTACATTGCTGAATGCATAAGATGTCATGATCAGTCATTTGTATTCTTTCACCAAAGGAATGCAGTCTTTATCAGTGTATGGTCGAGCAGGGTTTTACGACCGAGGTCTGGAGGTCAGTGTCCCCCCTTATCCTGGGGTCCGTATGTTCACACACTTTAAGACGCTAAATCTCAAATGGGAGATCTGGGTTAATGTTTATTTAGATGGTCAGCAAATGGAGTCAGTTTGAAAGGTAATAAAACTCTGTCTCTGTTCGCCGAACTGACCAATCCTGAAGAGTCAGAGGTTTAGTCAACCTCCGGTTGGGTCACTTATTTAACCTGAAAGGGCAAACACGTCTGGAAAGATTTATATCCTGTTTCCTGGGACCAGATAAGGAAACTTTCCTGTAAGGAATGTGTGGGTTTCACATCCAGGGTTGTCTTGATTGCTACATTATTAATCTTCAGACATTTATTATAAATTCCAATCGCCAAGTATTATTTTGGTGCGGCCTTGTGAGGCTCATTTCAAATCACTACATGGGTCAGATTTGAAAAAATCTGAATTGCACTGTTCACACTTACATGAACAAATCAGATATGTGTCACATACGGTTTAAAAATCGGAATTGACCTGCAGTGTGAACATAGCCTTTAACTCTGTCTCCTGCATTGATGCTTCTCTTCTGCTCTCCTAGTACTACTGATTTAACCTGCTTCATGTTGGCCTTACATTTATTGTCCAATTAGGAAACAGCTTTAGATGATTACATTAGACTTTTCTGCATCTATTCAACAATGAAGAAATGCTGTCCAATTTTAAACAGCAGTATTTCAAAGTGATCCCCTCTGATTATCTGAGCAGATAGGACATGATTTTATGACAATGCTAAAACTGGGGTGTTTTATTTCCTATGGATGAACAGCCTGGCAGCCTATCTGACACTCATATTAATAACTTTTCACCATGTCCTAAAGCAAACAAGACCATCAGCAACCAGATTAGAGTCTTTATATCCTGAAGCTGGTGTCAGCGGAGCAGCTGAAGTTACAGCCATGTTTTAACAATTATCTCACTTATAATAAATGGCACATGTAACTGTCAAATCAGCAAGATGAGAATTTGTTTAGAACAAGCCCGTACTCATGCATGTAGAAGACAAGAAACGCAAGCAGCTTTCTTCATCATCATCGTCATCATCAAATTTACAAAAGATGTTGACAGTGACGGACTGGGAGCTCCTTTTGGAGAGAATGGGAGGGACAGTGTGTGTGTGTGTGTGTGTGTGTGAGAGAGAGAGAGGGATACTAATCGAGTAACTGAGTGGCGTGTCGATAAGAATGTGCATATTGTCCAACAAGTGGGACTATCCAGTGTTGATTCACACACTGTATATGCACAAACAGGAAGAGAAAGAGACTGTGTCATTGTCAGTGGCACATAAACAATAATTGGATTAAGGGTCAGTGTGCACTTACTATTTTCCTGCAGTCTGTTCTGCTTTTGGGTGAAACAAAATGAGTCATTTGACTTTGAATCACTCTATAGAAACAAAGAATTGATGGTAACGCTCATGAGCCTCACTGAGACACAGCTGCTCCGCCTCAACACTTCATCTTTTTAAATACACTGTGAGGAGTTTCTTCCTGATTATGAAACAGTTTCAATTTAGTCCTCTGAACTGGTGAAAGTCATGGCTTCTTAAATAAGGTTGGGTCAGACCAAAGTGGGATTTATAAGACAGAAATGAAATTTAACCAGAGACAGATCATTTTTACCAGGATTATGAAACAGTTTTTTAAATGATCATTTATATGTTAGGGATATTGTACACTTAGGCTGTGGTTATGTAATACAGGATCTCTTCAGGATAGAGGCGACTACTGGCCACGGTAAAGTCTAATTATCAGCATTTTTCCTTAACAGAGCAGTACCTGTATAAGGTCCTCTACCCTGTAACTTTTTTCCTGGTCTTTTCCTCTCTCTCACTCAGTCGTGTAACACTGACAAAGCCTACACCCTACAGGAGAGTGTCAAGCTTTGTGTCTGCTGTCGTCAATTTGGTAAATGTCTCTTCCCCTCAGCTGCTTAATGTGTTTCAACATCCCTCACTTACTTCTGTACTCTATGTCCACTCTTTATCAGGTCAGCCATTAACCACCAATCTAAAGTTTGTGTTTTACAAATAAATTCAGAGATATTCTAAAAGTATCTGTCATGTTGTCCTCTGATGCAACATGGAAGTATAATTCCTGTCTCATGATCAACAGGCTGAGGTGAAATCAGAATCAGAACATCAGATGTGCTGCAACTCCTCTCCTCAGTTTGAGTAGAATATTTATTTGTCTGTTTCAGTGGTGGTCTCTAAGTGCAGTTCAGGTACGACACGATTCGCAGGGACAGAAAAGCAGGTTTTCAAACGAGCAACATGTCCCCAAACCAGCGCGCTGACACAAAGAGCAGGTTAGGACATCCTAATGCAGAAATGGGACCGGGAGCTATGGGATGATGCAAACCCCAAGTTGACTTATTCTCAGAGAAGTTCAAACCCGCTCTGTTGTGAATATAGGCAGTGATTTACGGAGCATTTGCCCTGCTTCTTACTCTCTGGAGTTTGCTGCTTGAGGATGTTTGCTTTAGGAGTGGTTCATCTTAGTTGTACTACGGCTGTATGATAATACAGCATTGCTCAACTTACAAATAACCCCATCACTGTCATTTCAGGCGAAATAGCGTCACACTGAGCTTCTTCTTTCTTACTTTACTTTGATTAGGCTCTGTGAAACTATGCTGGTTGCAAACAATTCTGTTAATATTCTTTTCTATGAAACAAACTACATTAAAATCACTTTTTACTGAACATTTAACCATTAAAGTGATAGCAGTCAATTCTAAATCTGAGCTTAATAAACTGGTTAAGTATGAAACAAATCAATATTTAAAAAAAATCCCAGAATCATCAAACAGTTCACCACTTACAGTCACAGAAGTCTTAGTTTCTCAGCAAGGTGTTTACACAGTTTTGAGATATCACTGATTAAAAAAACATGAATTTTCCACCAACAAATCTGCCGACACAGTCAACACAACAGCTTAGCTAAAAGTCAAACTTATTACAGCAGGGCAGAAATGCACCTCAGCCCCAACTGCAGCCCTTAAAATAACCATGAATACAAACCAACAGTACTAGCACTAAAAACAATCCGTTTTTCTGTAAAACAGCAAACTAACTTAACATGAGGGCAAAACAACTGTCAAGAAGATACTTACATCGAAATGGATGAGGCACATACACACACACTCACACACAAACACACTTGGGCACACCGTTTGTCCACCTTACGCCCTTCCTGTCGCCCTCTCAGTAAACTGCCTCTCACAGTCTGCGTGATGGAGGTCTCTGACTCACATGAGACCGTCCTGGTGTCTGCAGCAGCATGAAGGAAGGGACTTATCACTACTGACTGGACCATTCAAGAATGCTTCCCGTACACACAGTGACACACACGCACGCACACACACACACATTATCTCTTGGGACAGCCTTGCAAACGTAAGCAATCCAGAGAGGAAACTGGAATGGCGGTGAACAATGACCTGTGTGTTGGCTATTCATTCACTACTTGACTAAAAATGCTGTTCATACCACAGACTGTATAAAAGGAGGAATGGCATGACAACTCTCCAAGAATGAAGCCAAAGCATTCAGAGCTCCCTCTACTGGCTGAATGTGGTATAGGTTATACACCCACCTGCTCCATTTGAAAAGGTTTAACATGTGCCAGACTAAAAATCAAACATCCATAAATATTCCACCTATTTCAAGTTATTATTTACCAGAAACACAAGCTGATGACTTGATCAGGGTTGAGTGCCGCTCTCCTTGTACTATTATCTGCTGTCATTGTGTCGCTCATCTGCGGCGCCCCCTCTGCTGCCTCTCTACCCTCTGGTGACCCTGCAGTTTTGTTGTTATTGAAGTCAAACCCCTGCTTTGTACACAGTCCACATACAGCCCTGTCCTTGTCTGTTATCTTTCTCCTGTGGTGTAGAGTCCAAAATACTTCAACATTTCTCATATATTATCATTGAGAAATGTTGGCATTTCTCAGGTGTCTTGAAGTCCTAACCGTCTGCTTAAACTGCTCGATTGCAGCTGCACTTCCTCGAAAAAAAAAATCACTGCTGTACTTACTTTACTGAGGTCAAGAGTGCCATGCAATGGTCAGGTAATGAGAGTGCCCCCTGCTGGCTCAAGCAGCAAGCTACTTTTGATATAACACATTTTAACCATTTTGGTTGTCTTCCAACTTGAAGACCTTAATGCTTTTAAAACGTCGATAATACTGATCTATACACACCTTTTTCTTGATTGTTAAGAATACCAAGTCCCTCCAAAGGGGTCAACGAGATTGTTTTTCAAGGCTGTTACTGATATGGATTATTAGTGTTGAATGAGAGCGATAACCAGTGTTAAAAAAAAAGATTATTTGTCATAAATCCAGTCTGATAAGTTAAAAGCTGAATGTAGGAATGTCACTTATTAAGCCTATAATCATCCATTAATATGGTAACTCATTACATGCTGGATGTGCAGATGTGCTCTAAATATGAGGCCCATTAATCAATCTAAAGGTGCTGAAATCTGTTATTTAACCATGTCTGTGCCAAGTATTGTGTAATACCTTGTTTCATCTTATTTCAAAGGAAAGCTGGCAGTGTTTGGACTCGAGCCATCTCTTGGTGTGGGAGTTTTCACTGAGCAGGCGTGTCCCTGTTTGCTCATAATGAAACCCTGGTTACACGAATAAGCCCCAGGCTACTGGGTAAAACTGTGGTTTCATTATTTCTCATAACAGCATTTCTACATAACAGAGAAATTAACAGGTGATATGGTGCACGCTGGATCACTGGCAGAACTTGCTGGGATGTCTTTATCAGTTCTTAGTAATTTCATTTGTTTCGCCTCTTCTAAAAAAAGGACTTGTTGAGACAAACACAGACTTATTCTGCTGCACTGACATGCTCCTCCAGTGGTTCCAGTTAACCACATAACTTCATGTTGTTTCCAAATAAAGACTGACCACATGCTCATTGAAATGTTAATGTGAAAAAAAAATAGCAGTGGGAGATGTTCAAACTTGTATTGACTCAGCAAGTCTTCCTCAATCTTTTCACGTTGTTACTTTAACCTCAGGAGGTTTTTTTTCATCAGCTCTAACTCTGGGATGTCTAACCCTAACCCCTCATGAAGGTAGGATGATACCAGCCTCCAGCTTTCATCACTGTAATGACACACTGAGTGGTGCTGGTTACCCAGATCACATTCCAGGTCACCACATGCTACTTGACTGAATTACCAGAGTGACATATTAGATTAAGTGATCCAGTGTTTAAAATGAATGACTGTCCTGTAGGGTGAATTTTAGACACTGAGCAGTGTGGAAAACTGCTGGATTCCTTAAACAACTCTGACAACTATTATGTATTGAAATCACCAATAATCAATGCCAAAATCTCCAGAGAAGCAAGTGTTTATATAAGATTATGTCAAAGTTTGATCTGCTAATGAGAACTGCAGCAGCAGTAGCAGACACTCACAGCAGTTTTTTCGGTTTGTCCATTCTACTTTGGGGGGTTGATTTAGTGCATGCACAGACTGTATTTATCATGTGTGTACAATAGCTTGTGCACATTTGTTGATTTGGTCCCTGTAAAGAGCAATTAGTGATATGGGGCAGCTGACTGTTCAAATGATTAGGTTGGGTTTAAAGATCACAGCTGAGGAGGTAGGTGGTGCAGCATGGGTGGAGAGCTCACATTGTTTTTACCATAACCACCTACACAAAAACAAACATTTTGGATTTATATCCTGGTTATAATACCAAACAACGGCAACATCACCCGAAGATATTTTGTTTCAGACATTTATTCTTCATGGATAGTCACTACAGGAACATTCTTCAGTATTTGAACAGCTTTGTAGTCTGTTTTTTGAAATGGGGGGACGCTAACCAGTACTGGATTGTTGGTAAAAAGAAAACCAAGCAAGGACTGATCATCTGTAAACTGAGCGGACGTCATCACCCGTAGCTCAGATTGCAGCCCTGCCCTGTGTGCTGGTAAACCTCATCAGAGACGCACAGATTTTCAACCTAACTTTTCAACTTTTCTTTCTATGAGTTATCTGTACTTTGTTATTTATGTTCTTGTGATTTCTCATAATGAAGATTTGCCTCAAACCAACAGTGATAAATTATTCAACGTCAAACTATGATTATCATCAAAGCTGATCAAAATACAAATGTTTCAGGAAAATGATCTTTTTGTTGATCTGCTGAGCCGTACATTATAGTCCAAAAGCAAAACATCTGCTGCAACATGGGTTGATCAAATACAGATGACTGGTGGATGTTGAGCAACTGGCATTTCAAGCATGTATCAAGAGTGTACTCTCAGATCAAACTGTAGAAAATCTCTCCTATGAGGGAAACTACTGTACTATCTACACTTATTTCTTTTATCGAAATACTCAATAAATATTATTTAATCATCATTTTGACCTAAAACTTTTAGTCTCTTTACTGAGCAGGAAATTATTTTCATCAAAAAGTTAAAAAAATGAAGTTTTATGCTGTTTAAACAGCGTTGTTGATTACCTGGGTCAATGAAGATGATGATGAAACCCTTTATATTTATTCAGATGAGCTCTGGTTACATGCAACGCTACTCTCAATACTCTCAAGGTTCGCTGCTCATTTCCCTCTCTGGTTGAGGCTGTTTAATCGTGATGCAGTTATAAAGTAGTCAGGGAGAGGCTGTTCTGCAGGACTGGTAGGCCTGTTGGTTCTTGTTGCTTTGTTTCAACACCATGCTGCTCTGACTGAATTTATCATTAAAATGCTGGAAACACTTTGGCAGCACTTGTTTGCTGATCCATTTGCCATAGATTGTATTTTTTTTTTTTTTTATAAATCAGCCTGTGACTATTCTAACACTCATTCAAAGATGGAAACACTGAAAGGCAGCTAATGTAGGCCTGGTCCCAAGTATGCCTGCTCTCTTGACCCATCTCTTCTGTAATGGGAGATTATGTAACAGCCTGAACAATCCTGTTACAAATAGAGGCCAGTGGAGGTCTGTGTGGAGTCAGATTAAAAGCCTCCTAAACCCTCAAACACTAAATCTAGAAAGTGGCTAATTTAAGGCAGCATCCTGCTGTTGACCTGGGCTGATTACCAGATTTAAGGTGCACTGCTTTTTGAAAAAGTCTTTATTTCAAAATTACTTTGATTGTACTTTATACTGTACATGATGTGTATTGTCGCCCACTAGATGCAGTTTGGTTGCATGCTGCTCAAGTATATGTGGCCTTCCCTAGACCTGTTCCCAAAGAGGAGAGCGCTAAATAAGCAGCATGTGAGTACACAGAGAAAGAGCTGAATTCAGTTTCTTTTTTAGACTGATAATGAAGTGTCTCATTGGCTGCTCCAGCCACTCATCTGCACTGTTCATCAAGCTGCTGGTAATGCTACAACAGGCAACCAATCATACATGAGGAGGGGTGGGACTGGTCACCCAGGCAACAAGGAAAAACACATATTGCTAGATGACTAAGACAGAGAGAGAGGGGGGAACCCTTTTGGTGCATCTGCACTGAATTAGCAGGATGAATGTACCTGTCAAAAATGTTCACATTTTACACATTTTGTAAAATTTGGATCAATTGTGTTCAGAGGGGCAAAAAATAATTTGTTTTAAACCAGAATCCTAAATGTTTGAAAATACCACATTTTAGAGACAGTGAAACCTTGACATTTTGATTTAAGGTTAACATACTGGCAAATACCTCATACCAGTCCTGACCACAAGTATAAAAATGGAGACCCTCCCTGACCTTAATCCTTGTAACAGTTCCTAAAGTGAATTTTCCCAACTTGCATTATAACTGTATGATTAGAATTTGGATTTTAGACTGTCAATAACACTCTTTTTAATCTCTAGGCATCAAACATTGTACCATGGATGAATAAAAAATATACATTTATTAAAGGAGATTGGCCTGGCCAATCAATCGGTCTGTCGCTAAATCAAATATTTGAGATTTCTGAGGAATGACAAAGACAGGATTTGTGTTTGATAGACTGATTTAAATAATTGGTGGAAGTAATGCCTTTGTATAATGAGCTGGTGGTTTTTAAATAAAGCTGGGCTGATTTAAGTAGACCGTCCTACTGAAAGTAAGCAGGTAAATCCTGCGCATTATCGTGACAGCAGCAGGTTGAGCTCTTGCTCTCACTCAGTCTGATCCGCTTATTAGTCTGCTGCTAATTAGAGCACTTGGAGTGATGAGATAAGGAGTGCAGTGTCATGCATTGCAGAAGCAGGAAGGAAACAGCTCCAACAGATTACTACACAGAGGTACTCGTGAGAACATACAGAACATCCTGTATCATAGCTTTAGACAGAATAAATAGAACTTAAACGATGGGAGATGAAGAAGAAGCCACAGCAATGTAAACAGACATGCACTGATCAGATGACAGGTCAAAGGGACAGAGGATAATATTTCAGGTTTCGTTTATTATCGAAATTATACAAGGAAAGAATCTAATTTCAGTATTTACATGTCTGGGACCAATGAGCATCGACCCCAAAAAACTCTGTGAAGAGTAAAAGTCAGAGCTCCTTGAGTGACGATAAAAAATATGATTTGGAAAACTTCCCTTTTTAGCTCACTCTTGATAAAAAAAGGTTCATGTGTGTGATAATTTAAAAGTTAAATCACAACTGTTTATTTTTGATAATCTATACACAGCATAAGCAGTCCCTTTACTAAACATCTGTCTGTGTTAAATACATAATAAAAATATCAGTTAATAATTCTGAAAAGTAACGGCAAGACAAGGGACAATCTGATGGAACTCGTCACATTTATTGCTCAGTACACAGAAAGGAACCTTAACACATCTACCCTTCCTGAATTCACTCTTTCTGTTCACAGTGCAACAAAGTCAGTGTCTGATATCCATAAATAACATGCAGGATATTCCAGGCAGCAAGAAACTAGACTGAAAGATGAAAGCGATAAGCAAGAGACAATGAGGGAGGTTTTGACACACAAGGAGCCGAGTCAAAGAGACATCAACCAAATTGAGGAAAACAAACTTAACACAACTAATAACTACAACAACATGGTATCAACTTTGCAAGTGTTACAGGGCTGGTTGAATGAGGGGAAAATACTGACAGAAAAGTTATGGGGAGAAGGACCTTAAACAGGTGCTGCTGTTATTTCAGCATCCCTCAGAGAGGCAAGCAGAAAAATGCTTATGATAAGGCTTGAACTTTAATGTAAGTAGTATTAAGTTCAATGTGATATAAAACAGTAAAGAAGGATAATATATAGACTTAATGAAATGAGAAAATGTTTGGTATTAATTTGGCTTTAATTTTGGGGGACTTTAACCTGATTACATAATGACTTCAAAATTCCTGTAACTTTGTTTGTGTAATAAAATCCTTATAAGACTAAATTCTTGTGAGATTTTTCTTTTTTTTTTAAATATGGCCCTAACACTTAATTGTGTTAGATCAACACCTAATTTCAGCTCTTTTGCTTTTTTTGGGTTGGTAGCCAAATAAAAGGCAGGATAATGTAGAGTTAGCGGGTGGTTATGTGAAAGAGAATCCCTCTAAGTTTAAAAAGTCTCTTAGTTTCAACAACTAGCATCACTGCTGGCCCACTATACATTATCCCTGAGACAAACTACACTCTGACAGACACATATTAACATTTGAATGAGTATTTAGTATTTTCTCTGCAGCTGTGTATTTTCTGCTTTTTTTTTTTGTATTTTTCCACAAAGTTTGATTTTGTTTTTGTGAAGTGGCAGTGAGACCGCTGTAACTGATATAAAATGCAAGTTCTTTAAAATATTTTTGGATCTTAAAGTTATATCTGATCACTTCTACAATATTTGGAGAGTAATCTTAAAGTTATTTTGGGATTAGTTTTAGTAATTAAAAATGTTCTTTTCTGAGACTTTTTTATATTCAGCTAACATTTATTATGTCAATAAATGCCAGAATCAAAACAAGTTATCTATCATAAGTAAAAGCTCTGAGTCATGCTTAATGTCAAGCTATGTTTTTTTCTTTAATGATTTGTCAAATGTTTTAGATTTTGAACTTTTGGTCTGACAAAGATATGAAGTTACTATTGTGTACTTTTGGAAGTAATTCACTCGGCTAAACTTTTTGCTGATCGATGCAATATTATTTGAAGAACACTCTTTACCATGCAGAACAAAGCAAACTGTTACTGTTTAATGTCTGCCAAATTAATCTTAATTTGAGACTACTCTGTAACATCAACTAAACTGAAATTACAATGATTATAAACAAAATAAATTTACAGACAATAAAAAGATATTGATATTGAAATTCATTGTTGATTTGAATCATAACCACCTGTTTCTCACGCTGCTTATATAATTATGAACACTTGGTAATACATATTTCCGACTTTAAAATAGTTTTGAAGCTGAGCTGAGCAGCTCTTATAGATCAATGTGAGTAATAATGGCACATCGACCAGCCACACATACATACATCTTTTCTGCCATTTTTGTAGGAGTTAACAGTTTTTCTGGTGATAGGTTGCTGTAAACTTCCCTTAAATTGTATAGACTTGTTGTACAGACAGCTTTTATAAAATCGGTTGAATTCAGCAGAGAAAAGTAGTACAAACCACCGTTTCAAACACAGGAATTAGAGTCTTGGAGGTAACTCTACTCTCTACTGGTGAACAGGGTGGAGCCGAATTAAATCGTCATATATTTGAATGAAGTTTGGTTGGAAGGATAAGTGTTGTAACGCTGTGATTGTGTTGGTGGCTGATGTGTCCTCTTGGCCTACCTGGTACTGCCGCACTGTTGGATATCCTGGTCAGTTTCAGCTGTGGACGAGTCCCATTGACTGCCCCTCCGCCTCCTCCTGTCGCTCTATCCGGGTGACAGCACCTTGTTCCCGCTGGGGCTGACACTGCAACCGGTGAAAACGGACCCCTGGTCGCCGGTCCCCCCCGCGAGGACACACACAGCTGGCCGAAAAACGCTGAGCATCGCCGAGCCGGATTCATTGTTATCTGTGTTGTATCAATCGGAGAAACAGCTGTAAGTTACCTCCGGCAGCGTGTGGATGCCTTTTCACAAACAAAGCTGAGCCATTTGTTAAATTAAAAGTTGAGAAGGTTCCCTCACAGGCGGTTTCACCGAACAGACTTCCGTGACTCTTTGTACTTTTCAATGTAGGTAACTGAAAGCCGGCAAAAGTTACATCATTTTCTAGTGTGTCACTGAACACCGGCTTCTGAGGGGACAACCAATAATGGACTGGTCTATGATACTTCACCAAGGGCACCAAATAGCATTAAAACGGACCCAATGTTATAAAAACTAAAAAAAATATGTGTTTCCTAGAACCTATCTCCTTTATAATTTATAAACAGGAAACAAAAATACAAACAGAAACAAACTTAAATCCGTAACCTCCCTCGTGTCAGTAATGGTTCGATCTGCAGTTACACTTGCGCTCAAGAGGCAGGGACGTGTGAGAAATGGGTGTTTTCTTTCCACGAGTAGACCAATCAGCGTTTAGTGCGCTCCTTCGACAGTGACGGCGGCTCTGACGTCAATAGCACGCTGAAGCACATGTAGTGTACGCAGTAATTTTCGTCTTTTGAACGTGTTTATATTTAATTTGACCATTAAACAGGTTAAAAAAGGATTTTTGAGACAGACTGATTTAAAATGTATCTCTGTATTTCTATAATTATTATCAACATTGATTGTTCAGCTTGGTTACCATTTTTGTGTCTGCCATTGCATTGTATTTCTTGTTTTAATATTTTCTAAAACACATTTATTACTCTACATTTATTTATCTCTACATGTATTTATCATCTTATTTCTATAATTTTGTCTGCTCTTTTATCTCCAACATTCACTGTGCATTTCTTTGTATTGTTTTTGAACTGTATCCTCCCAAAAAGCATGCTGTGTTAGTATAGTTATCACTTTTTATTTTATTTCAATACTACTTTCTAATTGAAATGATAATGACTTCATTTAGTAAAAATAAATAAATAAATAAAATAAAATAAAAACTTTAATAAATACCAATAGCATACCCCTTTAAATACATAAAATATGTTTTTAAGGTAAGGATAGTATTTAGTGGTGTTTAGCTAAGTGTAATTGGCATATGGAGACACTGGGTGGTAGAACTTTCAGTTATCAGGCCCCCCTCCTCTGGGATCATCAACCAGTCGAGGTGCAGGGGAAATACACCCTCTCTATCTTTAAAAGTTGATTTTAAACTTTTCTTTCTGTAGTTAAGGCTGATTCACCAGGTCTGTGCTGCTATAGGTTTAGACTGAGAGGGTGCTGGCACACTTAAGTGAAATAGAATTTCAGAGCATTGCTGTTATTACAGACAGAAACATCAGGCTCTTAGGCCTCCTCAGACAAGGAAAGTCTATGCATACATAACAAAAGTGTTACTTAAAACTACTTAATACCTTGTGTTTCCTAATGTTTATTGTTGTTTTTCATGTGATCTGGGGTCAGCTAAACTAATGTTTAAAAGTCATTACATAAGCATTTGAAGGGGTGGTAGTTTCAGAAGTCACAGTCCATTTTCTCTGTTAATAATTCAACAACCACAGTAACAAAACAGCCTCTGAAGTTGAACAAGTCGTTTGTTTTCAAAGAACATTTTACATCAAGTCAATACATTTACGTCATAACATGGAAATATAGGACAAGCAGACATAACAACACCATCTGTCATACTATGTCAGCCCTTAAACACATCAGCACTTTTGATGTGAATAAATGGAAAGTTTTTGCTTGTTTGTTTGTTTGATGCCTCAATGTTTGTTGGTTAATTCATTGATGGTGTACTTCCAGGCTGTGCCAACTGTGTAGGGTAAGAATTATAAAAAGGCACCAAGCCTAAATAAAGGCAGGGAATGATACAATTAGAAAAGATAAATGTATAAGAACTTTTATATTCATGCATAATAAATTATGCATCTCCTTCAGTTTCTCCACCTAAAAATATCAGTGACAGTACTCGCACAGTTTCTATTGCACCCTGCAGTCCAAATGTATTACTTTTTCTTCACAGTTTGACTGCAGATGCAACAACCAACTAGGGCCCCGTTGGGGCACTGGCGGGCCCGAGCCGTGTCGCACCCCCCCCCCCCCCCCCCCCCCCCAACGCGCTGCCTCCCCGTCCCATTCGCGTCCTCTGGCCATCGCCCTCTCTGGTAACGCCCATCACTGCAAAGACCCTTTTCCTTCATCGGCGTTTGCTGTTCTTCCTGCCAGTGCGTGTTGCTTTCACTTACACTTGCCACAGCCAGCCTCGTGAGTGCCTAGCCTATTGGATATCACTGTCACCTACACAGGACAGTCATACTTTGTTTTTTAATTTCACATTAATTTCCTTATTGTATAAACGACTGGAAAAAACTTGAGCCCCTGCCCCTGTATTATCATGTGCACGTCCCTGTTCTAGCTCCAAGGTGAATCTTCACTGCTCATGTTCTCCTCAGAAGCAGTCACCTCACTCCCCTCAGGTTACTGTACACATGCACCAACTGCCTGCTTCAGGTTTGGATGGAGCTTCATGGTTGTCTTTTGGAGAAATGAGCAGTCAAGTTGTGTTTGAAATTTGATTTTTTTCAGGGGCAAAAGGAAGCCTCTGCATTCTTGTCAAATATGTAAATAGCATGTTTTTGCAGGTGCTAAAAAACAGACTCTGAGTGTGTGTGTGTGTGTGTGTGTGTGTGTGTGTGTGTGTGTGCGCGCGTGTGTGTGTGTGTGTGTCTGTGTGTGTGTGTGTGTGTATCCTGCAGTACTCTGAGAAGAATAATAAGCATATTTCTGAGGTGAATTTTGAAGATTCATCTGAGAGTTAGGTTTGATTCGATTCGATTGACGCTCCCCAGCGTTCAAGTCACATGACATATTTAACCGGATGTAGCTGCAAGACGGAGCCTCGTTAACTCTCCGTTTCAACTTATCTCAAAAGTGAGGACCTCAACCTATATACCAGTTTTTAAATTGTGTTGATAGGCCAAATAAAACCAGAGTTATGATAAATTATGTCCGCGATACTTTTTTTCTGCTTATTTTGATCACGTTCGGCGCTCGATCGCGCTGTATGAGACAGGAAAACATAGCATGCACACATTAGCGACAGGTCTTACAGGCGGAAAAGGCTTGCCAAAAGAAAAAAAAAACACACCACAACATCTCTCCTATTGGTGGAAAACTTCACCACAACAACCAATCCAAAATTATATGGTGACTGATTGACAAGGGGCGGGCGCTTACGTTCTTCCTGCAACATGAGAAGGGAGGGAGGGACTCTCAGCAGGGATGCAGTCTGGGACACGTAGTTGCAAACCTAGCGACTTTGTTGTTAGATTCAATGACTTTTCAGACCCCCTAACGACTTTTTTTTAGAAAGAAAGGGACTTTTATCGACTTCTTCTGGAGTTTAGAGACTCTGACATGAAGCAGGCTTTCCTTACTGAGGAGTTAGCAACGCTGCTAAGGGTGCAGAGCCACACATGCGCTCCGAGCTCTGCATGGGAGACTGAAGCTGACAGAGCTGCAGCAGTTAGCAGGTTTCACCCTCAGAGACCACCAGGGGTTCATGTTGAGGCATTTTCAGTTTTTGGTTTTTTTTGCCATAGACTGTCAGCACAATCTGCAGTTACACTAACAAAAATGCTGCAAAAAACAAAGAATTATGGAAAAATTACACATGGACTGACATAGAGGAGGATCTACACAAGTTTTTTACATCATGTTTTACATCATGCATCATTTACATCATGTTTTTTTGTAGTGGCATAAATAAAAAGTGACATTTGTGAGACTATACAGTGTTTTGTAAATAATTTTACAAAGAACGCCTGGGCCATTGCCTGCATTTTGATGTAAATAGAGGTAAATTACTATGTTCTTTGTTAAAAATTTGCATATGTTTTGAAGTTTACAATTTTTATTTGAAGTTTAAGTTTTAAAAACAGTTCATCACACATATTTGTGGTTTACTTTCACATTAATTTCCATATTGTATAAATGACTGGAAAAAACTTGAGCCCCTGCCCCTGTATAATCATGTGCACGTCCCTGTTCTAGCTCCAAGGTGAATCTTCACTGCTCATGTTCTCCTCAGAAATAGTCACCTCACTCCCCTCAGGTTACTGTACACATGCACCAACTATCTGCTTCAGGTTTGGATGGAGCTTCATGGTTGTCTTTTGGAGAAATGAACAGTCAAGTTGTGTTTGAAATCTGATTTTTTTCAGGGGCAAAAGGAAGCCTCTGCATTCTTGTCAAATATGTAAACAGCATGTTTTTGCAGGTGCTAAAAAACAGACTCTGAGTGTGTGTGTGTGTGTGTGTGTGTGTGTGTGTGTGTGTGTGTGTGTGTGTGTGTGTGTATGTGTGTGTGTATCCTGCAGTACTCTGTACTCCTGCAGTGGCCAAAAAGACTTTTAAGAATGTGGATTTTTGGGTCATCTTTGGCGCCCCCTAGAACTGCAGTACTCTGTACTCCTGCAGTGGCCAAAATGACTTTTAAGAATGTGGATTTTTGGGTCATCTTTGGCGCCCCCTAGAACGTAAACCGTGGGGTGCAGCGTCATGATTTTTACAACTTTGAATGGCCATGGGGTGTAGATTGCCCTGAGCAAATTTGGTATCGGTGGGACGAAAGCCTTAGGAGGAGATAGCCACATTCCAATGTGTGCGAATCGGCAAAAAATGCGAAATAGCCCTTTAACCGTACATTATACAGATACGCGCTTTTTGACTTTTTCGTAGATCTAATTGAGATACACATGATTGTCAATTTTTGTGTCAATATGACAAAGCGTTCAGGCGTGACACTCAACAATGTGTATTTTCATGTAAGGGGACAAGAAAAAATTGACTTTTTTCTCCTGCCATGGGGGGCGCTCTTTTGGGGAGTAAAAATTCCTTCACAAATGTGTTGATGGCTGGACATTGCATCATCCTAGAAAACTTGGAGGGCAGTGAGGACAAAAATAAAAAGTTATAAGACTTTTAAGAATGTGGATTTTGGGTTATCTTTGGCGCCCCCTAGAACGTAAACCGTGGGGTGCAGCGTCATGATTTGTACAACTTTTAATGGCCATGGGGGGTAGATTGGCCTGCGCAAATGTGGTGCCGGTCGAACGAAAGCCTTCGGAGGAGTTAGCGAAATTCCAATGTGTGCAGATCTGCAAAAAATGCAAAATAACCCATTAACCGTACATTTGACAGATACGCCCGCACTGACTTTTTTGTAGATCTTATTGAGATACATGTGTGTGTCAATTTTTGTGTCAATATGACAAAGCGTACAGCCGTCATGTGAATTTTCACCTTAGGGGGCGCTATGGAGCCATTTTGCATTTTATTGTTTGGGCGACTTCAGAATATCAAATTTTTCACCAGGCCCGGTCGTCCTGCCAAATTTCCTGAGTTTTCGCCAGTGGGAAGTGGGCCATTTTCCAGTTTAAAGCGGAGGAAAAATAATAACGAAAGAAGGAAACATGCAGGAACAAGAGGGCTCTCGCAGCTGCTTAGCAGCTACGCTCGGGCCCTAAATATACTGAGCGCACACTAATGTGACACACTGTTTTGTCATTACATTGCACCTTAACCTTGTACATGCATCTGATGCAGCACACTGCTCACCTGCAGTAAATCTTATGGATCACAATGAACAGACTGACCAACAAAAAAGACACCCCGATCTTTAACATTTCCATTGCACACAATTTTGTGCTTATTTAGTTCTTTTGGTGCTGTATTTGCACAATCACACCTGATTTTGTGCACTTCTCCTGTGTTCACCTTCATGCAGCATTTGCTGTGCATCTAAACAGGTCTCTTGCACTGTGATCAAATCTTTAATGAACAAGCATCACTATAATGCAAGTATGGTATAGTTTAAAATTAACACAGGCTCAATCTTTATTTCTGTACAGACCTAAATTTTCATGCTCATGATGACGTTTCTGTTCAGTTGCTGCTTTGATAACTTAATTTTATTAGCAGTTGAAACATGTTGGACTTACTTTTACAAACTCAAGAACATATTTCTTTATGACTATTATTAACCCAGATGAAAGGACAGAGCAGTGGGTTGGTAGTTTAAAGGCCATACTTTGGTAGATTCAATATCTTTTCTGTCTTCTTGTCTTTGTGCTGCCATCTAGTGGCAGTCTTGAGACATTAGAAAGAAGGTGATATCCAATATGGCAAAATTATAAAGATCTCTTATTAAGGTTCTTAAAACAATATTTTCCAATTCATTAGGGGTTGTTGGTGACATGGGTGTGGGATGTTATTGCAGGTTGTCTTTTTTCTCTTTTATTGTGATTTTTGTGTATAATTTCCTTTGGTTGAGAGTCAAGGCAGGGATAAGATTGCAATTCTATTGTTTGATCCATACTCCAAACTACAGAAGGTGGTGGTAATGCACGAAAAAGCTGGATGCTAAGAAGAAGAAGAAGAAGAAGAAGAAGAAGCAGAAGAAGCAGAAGAAGAAACCTGATCACGTGACCCAGGTCCACGTGATCAGGAGTGTAAAAGTGAAAGTAATCATTGAGTTACTTTAACAGCGTCTTGTCATTTTAAACTTCATTTTGAGCCGCCGGGGCGGGAAAAGAACACACCAAGACTAAAGCAGGGTGAGAGTTAATTCAATATTTATGTCACTGAAGTGTAAAAGTCTGACTTTTCTTCCGGTGAATGACGGGAGAAACAAATGTTAGACTGAACTCTGGTTCATGTGTGCTCACTATAGCCATAGTAAGTTGAATAGTAAACCCTAAATTGTCTCTAAGCCTCCAAAAATATTTGAATGAAAAACAAGGACAGAAAAGCAGGGCTGGTTTTGCTGAAAAGTGTGTGAGGGTGTGTGTTACTCTCCGTTTTCTCGTTCTCAGCTGCTCTCTGAATCTGACAAAGCTGCTTTTGTGTGAGGAGATGGGTGATCCTGGACCCAGCTGTCTGTCTGTGAAGAGTGATTGGTCAAAAGAACTTCCCCCGTTCTTTAACGATGGACCTGGACCCACAGACACAGAGTAAGAAAAAACAAACTTGCACTTCTCAGTAAAGTTTATTTTTGTGTGTGAGTTTTTAAGAGTGTCATCAGAGAGACCAATCTAAAGATTCACTTCTAAACTTGAACTTGATACAAACTACTTTGTGTGATTTCTTATAGTAACATCTGACAGTTCATGTTGACTCCATGTCTCTTTAGCAAACTTTTCCTCACATATTTTTATGATAAGTTGAAGCATTTCACCTAGTTTAGTTTTTTTATGACAAAAAATCTCGGAAGGTTAAAAAGACACTTCACTGACGGCAGCTGTAGTTAAAGCATTAAAGTTCATCTTTAGTTTAGTTATCAAAGTGTCCATCAATAACTATGTGAGAGGGGTGAAACATGTTGTGTTCAATTCAACAGAGAAAGAGCCAAGTCTGCAGTATCCACCAGTCTCTCTCATTCCGAAGACCCCTCACTTATGTCCAGTAAAGGATCCAGACCCGGTCTGCAGACAGCCTGCAGTCAGACCAGCACTTTGCAGAGTAAGACAATTTGTTGCTAAAGTCATGTCTGAAAACACCTCTTGTTGTTTTAATACAGAGGCATACACTACAGGTCAAAAGTTTGGAAGCAAGATCAGATTTTCATATATAAAAAGATCTTAGTTTCATATATATAATTTGCAACACAATAAACATGACTATTGTGTAAAGAGTAACTTATCAGAAGACATTTTGACTATAATTATTAGGTATTTGAGTTATTGTTGCTTAGACTTTGCTTTCTTTAAAGTAACCTCCTCTGGCTTCAACAACAGCTTGACATATACGAGGCATTCGTTCCACACGTTTTTTAAGGTATGTTCCAGTGATTGCATTCCAAGCTTTCTTAAGTTCATTATAAAGAGACTGCTGATTCGTGGGACGTGTTTTTCTGACCGATCGATCGATCCAATTCATTCCACACAAGCTCAATTGAGAAAGGTCTGGAGACTGAGGGGGCCAAACCATCTTTTGAAGAACTACTTCCTCTTCTTTTTTGTCTAGGTAACCCTGACAGATCTTAGCAGAATGCTTAGGATCATTGTCTTGCTGCAAAACAAACTTATGAGCCACAAGTCTGAGTCCAGATGGAACAGCATGGTGCTGGAGGATGGAGTGGTATTGTTCCTTCTTCATGATACCCTTTACTTCAAACAAATGTCCTACTCCATCACCTGCAAAACATCCCCATACCATGGAACTACCAACTCCATGCTGAATTGTGGGTGTAACACATGGTGCTTTCAGACGTTCACCAGTTTGTTTGTGGACAAAGACTCTGTGTTTTGAACCAAACAGTGCAAACTTGTTTCTAGTCATCATAAGTCCAATTTTTGTGAGCTTTTGCCCACTCATATCTCTTTTTCTTGTTGTGTGGACAAAGTATGTTTTTTTGCAGATACACAACCCTTCAGACCAGCCTTTCTCAAACGTCATTTCACAGTTGTCAGAGATATGGGTTTCGACCTTGTCATGTTGATTTCCTCCCTCATTTTTGGTGCTGTCTTTTGCTGATCTCTCTTACTGGTGACAATGCTATGTTTATCCTCTGCTTTTGTAGTAACTCTCTTTCATCCAGGTCTTTTTCCATCATCATAACTTTCAGGTTCCTCAAGTCTCTTCAGAGTGTGGTGGACTCCTTTGTTAAACACCTTTAGGTGTTTTGCAATTTCTCTTTCTGTGTATCCTTCTTTCCTCAATGTACAAATCTGTACTTTTGTTTCTTTACTCAGTTGCTTCTTTTTAGCCATTTCTGCAGTAGTTTGATGCAGTTGAGATTTATTAGGATTTTTGTATGCAGACTCTCAAAAGCCAAAAAGTTGAAGTGAATAATCCAACTGTGATTTTTTTTTTTTTTTTTGCTTTTGCACTGAAGTTGTGACTCTTGCAAATGTTTTTAACCCTAAAATTAAGCCCTTATCTTTTGCTGACATATATTTAGCAATGGTCTGTTAACATCAATGTATATCTAAAGGTAAATGGAGTAAAATGGTGCATTTCCATGAAAGCAACAACTGATCATGGAGTAAATACATCCCAAAATATATAAAACTCATGCTGGATTTTCAAAAAAGCATTGTGAACGAAAACTTGAAGTTACTCCCAACTGTTCGGCCTGTAATGGCCTTGCTTCCAAACTTTTGGCCCGTAGTGTATGTCATGCCATAGAGCATCATCGTTTCACATCTTCATAAATACCTTTTAAATTTTAACTGATCTCTTCTTCTCCAGCATAAAGAAATATATTTTAAGGACAGAGATCACCAAGTGTTTGACTTAAATTTATGAGGAGTATGTGGAGCTGCTTAATAACTTTCTGTATGATAAAGATTTTTAATCAAAAGAACATTTTTAAGCTTTAATCTCTGAAAGGATAATCACCAGTTTGCTGAGTGTTATTTTTGTCTCTGTTCCGTCTTGTTGTTGACAGGTGGTTCGCAGGACGTTTTAGATTATAAGATCAGTCTAAAGAAGAGATGCGAATCTGTGACTGAAGGAACAGATAAAACAGGAGGTGAAACCCTCCTCAGCAGGATCTACACTGAGCTCTACATCACTGAAGGACAGAGCGAAGAAGTGAACACTGAGCATGAGGTCAGACAGCTTGAGAAAACTTCCAGGATGGAGACTCTCCATGAGACTCCAATCAAGTGCCAGGACATCTTTAAAGCCTTACCTGACCAGCAGAAAATTATCAGAGTGGTTCTGACCAACGGTGTGGCTGGTGTTGGAAAAACCTTCTCCGTGCAGAAGTTCGCTCTGGACTGGGCAGAGGGCTCAAAAAACCAAGATATCAGTCTGGTGGTTCTGCTGTCATTCAGGGAGCTGAACTTGATCAAAGATAAGCAGTACAGTCTTCTGAGTCTGCTCCAGGTTTTCCATCCAACATTACAGGAGGTCACAGCAGAGACGCTCGCCATCTGTAAACTTCTTGTCATCTTTGACGGTCTGGATGAAAGCAGACTGTCTTTGGATTTCAACAACACTGAGGTTGTGTCCGAGGTCACACAGAGGTCATCGGTCAACATCCTGTTCATGAATCTCATCAAGGGGAATCTGCTTCCCTCAGCTCTCATATGGATAACTTCTCGACCCGCAGCAGCCAATCAGATCCCTTCTAAGTATGTGGACAGGGTGACAGAAATAAGAGGCTTCACTGACGCCCAGAAGGAGGAGTACTTCAAGAAGAGGTTCAGGGATGAAGATCTGTGCTGCAGAATCACCTCCCACATCAAGTCCTCCAGGAGCCTCCACATCATGTGTCAGATCCCGGTCTTCTGCTGGATCACTGCAACAGTCCTGGAGGACATGATGAACACAGAGCAGAGAGGGGAGCTTCCCAAGACCCTGACGGACCTGTACTCTCACTTTCTGCTGGTTCAGACCAAGAGGAAGAAGCAGAAGTATGAAGAGGGTCATGAGACAAGTCCTCAGGAGCTGATGGAGGCCAATAGGGAAGTTGTCCTGAAGTTGGGGAGGCTGGCGTTTGAACATCTGGAGAAAGGAAACATCATGTTCTATGAAGAAGACCTGGAGCGGTGTGGTCTGAGTGTCTCAGATGCCTCAGTGTTCTCAGGAGTTTGTACAGAGATCTTCAAAAGTGAGAGTGTGATCTTCCAGAAAACAGTCTACTGCTTTGTTCATCTGAGCATTCAGGAGTTTCTGGCTGCAGTCTACTTGTTCCACTGTTACACAAACAGCGAAAGGGAAGTACTCAAAGCTTTCTTGAAGGAGTTCAGTGCCATCTTTAATGGGTACAGCCTCCAACTGACTATCTTTCTGAGAATTGTCATGCAAAAATCTCTTCAAAGGAAGAATGGTCACCTGGACCTGTTGGTTCGCTTCCTCCATGGACTCTGCCTGGACTCCAACCAAAGACTGTTGAGAGGTCTGCTCGGCCAAATAGACAACAGTCCAGAAACCATCCAGAGAGTGATCAACAACCTGAAGACAATGAACAGTGCTGGGATCTCTCCTGACAGAAGCATCAACATCTTCCACTGTCTGACTGAGATGAACGACCTCTCAGTTCATCAGGACATCCAAGAGTTCCTGAAGTCAGAGAACAGGTCAGAGCAGGAACTCTCTGAGATCCACTGCTCTGCTCTGGCCTACATGCTGCAGATGTCAGAGGAGGTTCTGGATGAGTTGGACCTGGAGAAATACAAGACAACATCACAGGGACGGCTTAGACTGATTGCAGCTGTGAGGAACTGTAGGAAGGCTCAGTAAGTCCAGATGTGGTTAACATTAAAACCAGAGTAGATCACTAGTTTAGTTCTTCATATCCAGAGCTTTGAAACCATCTTGTTTATTTATTTATTTTATTTTATTATGTGTTTGAAACTTTGCACAGTGTGGTTACATTGTCCATGTCAATAAACGCGAAAGGAAACAACATTAGAGCAAAAGAAGGTGCTAACAAACAAGACAGGACAAGGCAAACAAGGAAGAACAAACAAAGACAAGACAATTATTTACATGTGACATGGACAGGAGCGAAACCAGAAGGACCTGATGGGATAAAAAGACCAGATGAGTGGGGGTGTACGATTTAAACCGTACAAAACAAGCAAAACAAACAAAACCGATGTAGACCAAAAATGAAAGCATAAGACAACATTAGATGCTGCACTCCGTGATTACTGTTGTTTTGATAACTGGGCAAAAAAAGGAGAGAAAATAAAAAAAGATAAGATAATAAAGCAAAAGTGGCCAAAGTAAAGAATTTGTATCTCTAGGATGAGTTTAAAAAATATGTAGGACTCTTTGAACTGTTTTCCATATTGAATGATCATCACTCTATTCTGTCTCAGATCTCCTTAAGATGATTCAGATTCTGAAACTGCAAAAGTGTGGATTTCAGAGAAATGAAGTTCAGAGAAAAGCATATTGTTTAGTTTTAATTTTTTTTATGTTTATTACATTTTACCTCAACCATTTACTTTACAGGGTCTGCTGAGATTTTGTCACAGTAGCATTTAACCACAAAGACATCGCAGATTTCTAAAGTTATTGGTAAATGCAGAATAAAACATGCCAAGACAACCTGTTTCCTTTGCCAGGTAAGGAGACAGTTCAGAAGCTCTAGATGATGCTTTCAAGCAGTTACTGCTTTAACTTGTTTGTAAGGCCAGGGGATGTCAAGGACACAACACACCCCATTTTAGTTTTATTCAAAGCCTCTAGAAACCCAAGTTTCCTAAAACTTTCTATCCATTAAATTTATGATCAGATTTACATGTTGTACACTTCAGATGGTTCATCAGAATCAGTGAAGATCAAAGTGTATAAGCAAAAGACAAGAAATCTTCAGATAAAGACAGATAAGCTCTGATGTGAAGCAGTAAGATTAAAAAAATATTCTGGGTGTGTCAAACTGTCCTCAAAACAATAAAATAAACTCAGTTTATTATGCTTTGTTTGTGTCATGACAGATTTAAAAACTGTGGACTGTCAGAAACTCACTGTGAAGCTGCAGCCTTGGCGCTGAAGTCCAACCCCTCCTATCTGAGAGAGCTGAACATGGGCAGCAACGAGCTGCAGGATTCAGGAGTGAAACTGCTGTCTGATGGACTGGGGAGCCCAAACTGTCGACTGGAGACTTTGAAGTAAGCTTATTGATTTTGCCTTCATTTTTTTCCCACACCAGAGTAAAATAAGCTGACACATTAGCCCGGGCAGATTTCTCATAACTCACATCTGAAAGTTAAACTTGCCAACCACAGATATATCTAAGTATTGCTGGCGTTGAAATGCCTCTCAAGGTGTTTGTTTACTGCATCAAATCAAGATCAGCTATAGACCTCTTTGTGAAATGAGGAAAAACATTGAATCTGAAGGGAAGTGAACATCAAGCTATCAATTTAAAGCTGCTGCTCCCTCCAGCACAGGACCCAACAGCTCAGGACAGAGTCAGCAGACAGCTTGAAGTCAGGTAATCCTTTACTTGAGTCACCATATACAAGTCTGAAAGTGACAGACAGAAACACCTTGCAGACACTGAGATGGAGACGGTGTTCACAACCATCATTCAGTCAGTGCTTCAAAAATTTGACTGTGACAAGTTTGACAAGTTTTACAGAAAACAAACAGAAGTTAAAGTTAACAGTAGAATCAATGAGAAATGAGAAATCTGACAATCCACCTCCCTTCCTGCTGCAGCAGCACGAACGATATATCCAGATTTTTTCAAACAATATATTCACAAAGCTCTGAGGAGTCATCCACAGAGGAAACATAATCTTGCTCAAGTTGACTGCTATCCACAAAGACAGGGTTTAAATCTCTCTCCTTTCTCAGGTAAGTAACCTCAGTGTCAATTCTGCTAGTGATGGGAATACGGGCTTGTTTAGCTCTGCAAAAACAACCTTTTTCTGCTGGAGAACACGGCTTAGCACATACATACAAAACATCAATAATGAAATATAAGCTTAAAAATGTGAATATAATTAAAAAATTACAAATAATAAGGAATGGAATTCAAATAAAGACTGACAGGTCGACCTGTCATTTAGTCAGAGATAACAGATAACACAGCACACCTACTTGGAGGAATGGTCTGATTATTTTACAGTGCTTTAGGGACTGTAAAGCACTTTGTGTTACGTCATTTTTTTACGAAAAGTGCTTCATAAATAAAGTTTGACTTGATTTCATTAGATTGGTCAATTGTACCGTCATCTTAAATTGCTTGTAAAATCAATGCTGGATCACCAGGCTGGCTGACTGGCTGGCTTGTTTATTGAACCCTTACATATCCCAATGCAAACTGAAAAAGGCAGTTTGTAAGCATTTATTTTCTTAGAAACATTTATATGTTTTAATTTTATAAATTACTAAATGAATAAATGAAACACTAATGGAGACTTTTTAAATTCTGCCTGTAGAAAAGACTCACTGATTAGGGAGGGCCTTGATGGCTCATCTTTGGTACAGAATCCGCTTTGAGTGTGTGTGACTGAGTATGATACACTGATGTGGAACTGTATATTACAAACCCGAACTGCTCTGATTATACATTTTTATCTTTTTCATTTATTTAGATTGATGTCCTGCAGTTTGACAGAGATCAGCTGTGCTTCTCTGGCCTCATCTCTGAAGTCCAACCCCTACCTGAGAGAGCTGGACTTGAGTGACAACAAGCTCCATGATTCAGGAGTGGAGCAGCTGTGTGATTTTCTGGAGAGTTCAGACTGTCGACTGGAGACTCTGAGGTCAGAAACCTTTTTAACTTCTGTGCAGAGCTGAAGACGATGTAAAAGTTGTTCTGACACTAAAGTACAGACAGAAGGCTGATATTTACTCACCCATGCTCAGGATTATATGTACCAGTGCACTCTAAGATAAGAGAGAGGAGGAAGACAAAAGGACTAATGGAGATGACCACAGAGAAAGAAACTGGAGACTAAAGACTCTAACCTGAAAGAGTAGTATATCCTGGGGTTCAGAGACCCTACATGTCAGTTATGAAGTACATTTAGTTGACAGTGAGAGCCAATTAATATGACCCTGATGCACATGGATGACAGCACTGGAGCTGCATGCAAAGATCAAGCGCTAAAGTCTCTTAATGTTGAGTAAAATAGCAGCATGTTGTCTTAACAGAAGGACTCTGTTTTGCATTTTGGACTTTCCATTTTCTAAACTTCTTCATTCTCAACCTTTTAGCTCTAAACGGATAATTTAACATAGAATAATTTGAAACAGGAACAATTGATCCAACAGAAACATGATTTGTCCTTTTTTCAGGATAAATCACTGCAAATTGACAGAGATCAGCTGTGCTTCTCTGGTCTCAGCTCTGAAGTCCAACCCCTCCTACCTGAGAGAGCTGGATCTGAGTTACAACAAGCTGCAGGACTCAGGAGTGGAGCGACTGTGTGGTTTTCTGAAGAGTCCAGACTGTCGACTGGAGACTCTGAGGTCAGAAACCTGGGGTGTAAGGGAATTTTTAAGAATTTAAAGAAACTAATGCTGTGGTTGATTCTGCCTTTAGATCCAGTTATTCATCCTGTCCTTTGGCCGTGTATTTTCTTTGTGGAAAAGAATCAAGCCTAGGTTTTCTGTGTCAACGGCACAGTTTTTATTACAGGTGTTATTACTTTCACCTCTGTAGTGAGACAGGGAAGCCTGGCCTCTGATTGGACATAAGCAGACTCGCTAATCGTAGATACAGCCTCTGGTTGGTCAACAGACCAAAACAAGATGGCAGCTATTGCTGAGAAAAGGCAGCTGATCATCAGAAATTTGCTGGTTTTTGACACGATTAGATCAGGATAGTCTTAGAAAACGCACTGATCATCATCTTTGGGGGGAAGTGTCTCCTAGTTGTTGCAGAGACACACCGAGTTTGTCAGGAAGCTTCCACCAGCACATGATGACTACAGAGTTTACAGTAAGTTTCTGAGATCCAACAAATTAGACTGTCACCTAAACATGCTATTAAGTGTTAAACCGTACTTCAGTTGTGTCAATAAATCACTCAAGTGTTGGGGAATGCTGTCAGCAGGAACATCATTTTATTTAAGTTGCAACACAGTGTGTCAGAAAGAGGTCTGATAGTTACTCAAACCAGAACGTTTTTTTTCTATGTCAAATTTTTCTGTTTCAAAAAGCCCCTGTGTTCTGCAGTGATCCAGAGGGTTGATTGATGGAGACGAGGGGTTGCTTTTTATTTGCAAAACTGGAATAGCTGTCCTTGTCAGTATGTTGTTCTCACAGGGGGGGTCATGGCAGAAAAAGTTTGGGAGCCACTGTGCCAACACTAAACTAGTCAGAAGACTGGTTTACACTAATCCACAAACCCTTCACTGTATAACTCACTCAGAGCCAGTCTAACTTCTGGTTTCATATTTTATTTCCAACATGCTTTTTAAGAGATGTGATGCTAATAGAATGTGAGTAGATATATCATACACCTTAGATAAATAATTAATACAAATGTGATTATTTTTGTCCAGCGTACTGATCAAACTACCTGACGGTTTCCTCAGAATAGTTTGAGTAGAAGATACAGAGCTCAACTTTCTTTGAAAGAAATGTCATGGATGTCTGTTTTTCAATTCCTCCAAGTTTGATCACGATAACTTCACAGTTTTTTTCCTTTTGTCTGACATAAAATGATTTTCTGCTGCTTTAATTTATTTGGATCTGCACAAACATTAAACATTATTTATTCTTTACCCAGACTGTGGTCCTGCAAATTCTCAGAGATCAGCTGTGCTTCTCTGGCCTCAGCTCTGAAGTCCAACCCTTCCTACATCAGAGAGCTGGATCTGGGTAAAAATGTGTTCAAGGATTCAGGAGTGGAGCAGCTGTGTGGTTTCCTGCAGAGTCCACTCTGCCAACTGGAGACTTTGGGGTCAGAAACCTTTTTTTTACTGCTAAGTTGAGATGAATGTGATTGAGAAAGTTTTCCTGGTATCAAACTGATCCACACGAAGGACCTTCATGTTTGAGTCTAGTGTCAAAATAACAAAGTAAAGACTGCATAGCCTTAAAACAGAAGGCATTGATTGACAAAAAATTGCTTAATTTATTTCACATCTTGTCAGAAACTTAAAGCAGAGGTTTAAGCAGAGGTTACTCAGAGCTCTGATAAGATCCAGAAACACTGTATCATGTCAAACAGGAACATTGTATTCTAAAAAAATTCATTTGTCATTTATTCAGATTAGGTTATGCAGAGTTGACAGGGGGCAGCTGTGCTTCTCTGGCCTCAGCTCTGAAGTCCAACCCATCCCATCTGAGAGAGCTGAACCTGAGTGAAAACAAGCTCTATGATTCAGGAGTGGAGCAGCTGTGTGGTTTTCTGGAGAGTCCAGACTGTCGACTGGAGACTCTGAGGTCAGGTTTTTTAACCCCATTCATTCCGTACAGATATAATGTCAAAACAGAGAACATTTTCTTTTTCCTCTGATCACCTCTGACATGGGAGAGCCTGCTTAGAAAGCCAAATACTGTCACATGTGTTTAAAAATATGGAAAAAAAAAATGCACTGAGATGGTTTAACCCGCACCCTGCTGTGTTCAGGTGTACAGAGTTTCTTCTTCTTCTAAACTTCCTCATTCTTCACTCTCTTTAGCTCTAAACAGATTATTCAACATTGAATCCTTTCAAACAGGAACATTGCACCTTAAAGTTGTATCATTATTTTGTGTTCAGATTGTTAAACTGCAGGTTGACAGAGATCAGCTGTGCTTCTCTGGCCTCAGCTCTGAAGTCCAACCCGTCCCACCTGAGAGAGCTGAACCTGCGCTACAACAAGCTGCAGGACTCAGGAGTGGAGAAGCTGTCAGATCTTGTGAAGAGTACAGGCTGTCGACTAGAGACTGTGAGGTCGGTCCAGTATTAGAGTCAGTGTGTTTGTAGTGTAATGATCCTGTACTCTGGTTGCCACATCCAATCCGATCCAACCCGCTTTATTTATATAGCACATTTAAAAAAAAACATTTAAGTCTACCAAAGTGCTGCACAATAAAATTAAAAGAACAGAAAATGCTGAAAACATTAAGATGAAATAAATAAAAGCAGGTAAAAACATTTAAAATGAAATAAAATGGGATGTTTTAATCTCGAGTGGCAATTCGTTCCACAATTTGGGAGCCACTGACGAGAAAGCTTGTTCACCACAGGTTTTTAAACAAGGTTTTGGTAGCAGGAGTTGGAGCTGAAAAGCAGACCTCAAGGAACATGTGGGCATATAAACATTTAAGAGGTCAGTAATGTACTGTGGTACTGATCCATTTAAAGACTGTCTAGGAGTTAAGTTTGACCCTGATTTTAAATTTGAGAAGCAGATCAACAGAGTGGTACAAAAAAGTTTTTACCAGCTACGTCAAATAGCGAAGGTGAAGCCCATTTTATCAAGATCCGACCTGGAAAAATTAATCCATGCTTTTATCACTACCCGTTTTGATTCCTGCAACTCTTTGTATGTAGGGATTAGCTAGGCTTCCCTTGCCCACCTGCAGCTTGTGCAGAACTCTGCTGCATGTCTCCTGACACAGACCCGCAGGTGTGAGCGCATCACCCCCATCCTGGCGTCCTTACACCGGCTCCCTGTACAGTACAGAATTAATTTTAAGCTTTTTATTTTGTTTGTTTTCATCTTAGCACTTGCCGTGAACCTGCTTATTTATATATTTATTTATTTATTGCATTTATGTATTTTTGCTCGCTCTATCTTGTTCGTTTGTTTTTATGTCGCCATGTTACAGCACTTTGGCTACCCCAGTAGTTCTTTTAAATGTGCTATAGAAATAAAGTTGATTGATTGATTGATAAAGAAACCAAAGCACAAAGGAGAGAAATCTATCAAGATCAAATGACCATCAAATGAAAGTCAAACGACCATTTTATGAGGCAGTGTCTTGGAAGAAGCTTCAGTCCGAGCAGGTGATGTGGTCACTCTTCAGTTTGAACATCATTAGAGATAGATGATGACATATGTGTTTATTGTGTTTATGAGTTAAGTTTATGAAGAAATGTGGAGCTCCACTCTTGTCCTCCCTCAAAAACAACAGAGGAAAAAACAAAACAGAGGAAACCATCCGTCATCCTCCTTTGTAGAATCGCGAAAGTGATCAATCAGAATTGTAAAGGTTCATTTATGCTCTCCTGCTGTACACAAATATCACTGTACATTTGAAACTGTCATCATCACAGTCCTTTACATAAAAAAAGTCATGTCATATATCTGCTAAATGGCTCTGCTCTGACTAAACAGTTACCCCAGAGAAGAGAAGGAAGAGTCCAAAGTTTGGGTCTGTTGTAAAAGTCCTTTTTGGTTGAAGGGAATTAACCTAGAAGTCTTTGAGTGTCGGCTATGATAAGAGCTTTTTGAATTCTCCACAATGATAAGAAAAGGAACTTCACTGCTTCCTGGTCAATGTCTGTTACCAAAAACATCATCATGTTCACTAACACTGAAAGGGTCTGTAACTGCTTTTGTCTGTCCTCCTCTCTCATCAGGTCGGATTTAGAATCTGTGTCAGAGGGTGAGATCTGAAAGGTGGATGTGTGATGAGGAGGTAGAGCGGAGAGGAGAGCTTTACCCAGCAGAGACTGACTGAGGGATCACACCAAGTGGAGCTGACTGTCAGGACTGCTCTGAGATCAGCTTCAACATCCTGCCTGTGTGCTCCTCTGTATGTGACAGAGTCTCTTCACAGAATCTGGACTGCTCTGCTCTTCTACACAGTCTCTGCAGACACACTGACACTCCTCCACTGCTGCTGCTCCACACTCAACCACCTCCTCCACCCCTCAACTGGACCACGACTGAGGATTTGAGCCCCTGTCCTTTTTCCCTCTAAAGCTAAAGTGGCCTTTTCTTTTTCAAAGATAATTTTACGTTTTACTTCAAGGTACAAAGACATTTCAAATGAATATTGATGTTTTTAAATCAGTGTGTTATCTTTCTGAGTGTCCTTGTTACCTATAACTGATGAGACATGATAATCTTGAAGCAGTAGCCTCACAGTGGTAGTTTTGACTGTCACATTAACTGTATACAGGTGTAAAGAACTATCAAATTCTCACCTGCAGACAGAAAACCACAGCGAACAAAGACAGACAATTTTCAGACATTATTCAGTTCAAGCACTTTTTGTAAGATTCTTGCTGTGGTAAGAAAGAAGCAGCAGGTGCAAATGATTAAAGCCTTACGAACAGGTAGATGGAAGGGAGTAAAACACAGCAAAAAAATGAAGGAGTAAAATATTTTAAGTGATCTTTTTGAGTCAAAGAAGGTTTTTTCAGTTCTTGTCAGTAATTGGGTCAAAATTATGAAGGGATGTAAATAATTAAAATCTGTCTCCTAAACCAATCAAAGAAGTGTTCAATGCATACTAGGCTTATTCAGTACACTTCAAAACAAGAGCTTTATTCATCCCCAAAGGGAATTTCATCATATTTTTGCTTAAATTATAGCAATAATTGACAGTGCTCAAAGCTCCTGTACAATCACATGTGTTATGATGTTAAGAGACTGATTTGTTTCCCTGGGACAGTTTGTTCACTTTACAGCATTAGCATCTTTTGGACTGAGGCTGTTTCAGCCGTTCTACCTTCTATGAGAAGTGTGTATCTGTGCTCCTCACCTGTCAGAAGGAAGAGGGTTTTTACCTGTATCAGCAGTGATGAACACTAAAGATAAAATTTAGCTGACAAATTCTGCTGAATCTAAACTCCAGAAACCGCTCATATAGAGTATCGGTGTGTTTGATTAAGTTTCATTTGTCATAGTTCAAACCAGCCTGAGTCATGATTATGATTCAAATCCATTTTTCAGCGTCTCTTTCAGTCTTCCTGATGGGGTGATGTCCTGGCGTCCTTACACTGGCTCCCTGTTCAGTACAGAATTCATTTTAAGCTTTTAATATTTGTTTTCAAGGGCCTGAACAACCTTGCTTCACCCTATATCTCTGAGATGCTCCAGCCTTATTGCCCACCCCAACCCCTAAGATCAGCTGATCAGCTGTTACTGATGGTCCCCAGTACAAGGCTGAAGCTCAGAGGGGACAGAGCATTTGCCGCTGCTGCCCCTAAGCTCTGGAATGAGTTGCCCCTGAAAATTAGACAGGCCTCTTCATTTCCCGTTTTTATATCCCTTTTAAAAAAACACTTTACTCCTTGGCTTTTAGTACATTGTAGTGTTCTTTTGTTTTTTATCATCTTAGCACTTGCCGTGAGCCTCCTTATTTATACACTTATTTATTCTTTTGCAGTAATGTATTTCTGCTCGCTTTATCTTGTTCTTTGATTGTTTTATTTGTTTTTATGTGTCATTGTTCATCACTTTGGCTACCCTTGTGGTTCTTTTAAATGTGCTTTAGAAATAAAGTTGATTGATTGATTGATTGATTGATTGATTGATTGATTGATTGATTCCAAAGAAGGTTATTTCAAGCCTATATTTATTGAATTACCTGGGGAAAAAAAGTCCTTTAGTGAGTCAGAGCCCCTGCCCCTCTAAAATCCTCTGCATGTACCTGAACATACGTGTGTCTATTTCAGCCTCACCTGTTTGTGTTTAGTGAGTGTACAATGAGAGAGGTTATTGTTGTGTGTGAAATAGTTTGTAATGATAGAGGTTTTTGATGGTGAAAACTGATCAGTCTTGATATAACAGCTGTTGTGAATTGGTGATATATAGATAAAGACTGATTGATTGATCATATATCACAGGAGCTTCTTCTGCTTGAAGGCTAGGAGGGGTGAGCAAGGGAGGGTTTTGGTTTAAAATCTGTCCACAAGATGGTGCTGCTGTCTGTAACTCTCTGATGTGATCCTGGGCTGACGCTGAAGCCCTGAGAGATTCAACACTTGTGGATGAGGAGCAGAGACAGACCTCATCCACAGAGACAGAGAGACTGTCTGGATCCAACCACTCAAAATCAAAGGTTATATGTGATGATTTATGAGTGAGTTCAAGTGAAGCTTAGGCCAATCAGAGGCTGGATCTGCGATCAGCTGACCTGTCAAAGTCCAATCAGAAGCCACACCTCCACCTTGGACTTGGGTCATCCCACATTCTTGGTGACTTTTCTATCCCCAGTGTTTTACTTTGATGTATCTTGTATGTACAAGATTGAGCTCTTCAGTGTAACATTTACTTTAAAAATAAAATATGCTGTTATATTCATTTCATTTGAAACTGTTTTCTAATTTTTGGACAAAGAGACGTATTATATTTGGATGTAATTTTAAATTAATTGAAAAATGTTGTTATACTTTCAGAGAATAAGTTCAAACCTCTGTAACTAAAAGTAAATTTCAGTGACGAAGATTTCTTTGATAGTTTTATCCATATGTAACCATATGACCGATATTAGTTAGTTTGTGGTTTTTCACCAGCTGTACATAAAACCTCCACATTTCCCATGAATCCATATTGAGGAAGTGATGTCACTTTAGTCAACTGTTGTAGGGAGCAAAGTGAGATGAGGAGCAGCTTTCTGTCTGTCTGTTTTTGTTTTTTGACAAGTTTTACACTGTTAATCTGTTTGTCCTTTACTCTTCAGTGTTCACTCCATTAATCCTCATTATGACACACGTCAGCCATACTTAAAAAGATAAAAAGCAATTTTAAGATCTGTATTAAAGATGTTGATCTATTGTTGATCCACTTAAAACCAGCTACCATTACAGATTTTAGGACAAATTCTACTTAGAGTTCTCTATCTATATTTCCCCCCTGTTAGGTTCCTCCCTGTAGAGATCTAACAGGGTGGAAGATCTGAAGCTCAATCAATGAAATGCACGTAAACACTGAGATCTACATATTTGAATTTCATTGAAGCTGTTCATGTAATTTACCAATTTATACAACAGGTAACACTTTATCATTTAAATCAGTTTAAAGACTTTTCATAGGCTTGCCTCCATCCAGTCACATCACAGCTGCAGTCAATCATCTAAAATAAAAAAAAATACACTGAACACAGATTTGTTCATCATAAGTAAGAGTGATTTATACAGTTAACATGATATCAGAGAATAAATCAGTGACTCCTCATTCTGTAACGTCTTACAAGAATATATATTTCAATGTTATTCATGCTCTCTGACTTGATATTACCATTTCGGGTGATTTTTATTTAAACTATTGTTAGTTTTCATCCTGTTGAACTCTTACTGCCCTTGTCTAACTCGTTATATTAAAAAAAATAATTGTTTTTCATTTTTATGATAATTTATGGAGTTTAAAAGGATTACCATCATACACATTTTTAATGTGAAAATCTCTGTTATCGTTCAAAGTTTTAGATAAACTAGGAGCAAAAAATGTGACACTTGAAAAAGTTGACAGTCTCCTCAGTAAATTTGGTTTCATTTTTTTCAAGACTCACAATGAAAAGTGAAGAATTGTTGAATTTTGACATGATTAACTCTTTCATTACCAACGTTCATGTCCCTAACAGGGTGGAGGTCTCTGACAGCTCGTTTCTGAAATATTTGATCGTAATTTTGATTGTGTTTCAGCTCTATCATCATCATCATCATCATCATCATCATCATCATCATCATCATCTCTTCCTTTACTGTTTTACTGATACAGAGACCTTCATTGGTAATATCTTCAGAGGATATAAATTTAGAGTATATATGTATGGAAACAGTTTGTCAGTGAAAGTGTGTGTGAAGGTGTGTATGTGTGTGTTAGTGTCAGGATCAGAGAATGACAGCTTTCCTCTGTCCCAGTCCAGATGGACTTTGATCCTCTGAGGACGTCCTCTCACTGAAAGACCTACATAACTACCTGATGGAGTTTTTGCGCTGTATTTATTAATACAACACTCTATTCTCCATACTCCAGAGTAAATGTTTCTCTTCCTGTCTGCAGACTCCTTAAACACACCTACACTCCAAAACTTGTTCTCTCCAACCTCGACATCCCAGCTGTGAGTCCCTGAGTTGAAGCCCTCAGAGCCCAGGACAGAGTAAGTGTGGCAACGCATCCTCTCTGGATTATCAGGAAGCTGCTGCTCCTCCTCTCCTTCTCTCACACTGGTCAGATCTTCAGGCAGGATGAGATTTAGACCAGCAGTGTTTGGGTCCAGGATCACAGGACTGTAGGAGACCATGTCCTTCATCTTGTTCCAGATGTTGAAGCCCAGGTTGCCCAGGTGTTTGGCCACATCTATCAGAGCTCCTGAGGGCAGCTGTGGATCCTCCAGCAGGGGGCGCTGCTGGACTCTTTCCACTGCAGCCTTGTAGTTTTTCAGGAATGAGACGTCTGCAGCTCTCAGCTCCTCCTCTGTGGCTCTGACTGTGTCTGAAAGAGCTGCTATCTCTCTGCTCAAAGCCTCCATCTGCTCCTTCATCCTCTGACTCTTCTGCTCCTCTTCCTCCCTCAGAGCACAGATTCTGGCCTCCTCTTCCTCCTCTAGAAACTGGTGAAGCTTCTTAAACTGCTGCTTTATCTGCCTCTCTGTGTTTGCAGCCTGGGCCTTGATGTGGTTTCCTGTTTCATCCCAGTTCTTCTTGATTTTAGTGAGACTCTCCAGTTTCTTCTGTAAAGGTTTCAGGTTTTCCTGGAGCTGGTCTCTGAGACCTGGAGCAGCTTCATCCATGGGTCTGAATGTGTGGTTGGAGTGTATTTTAGAGTCTCTGCAGACGAGACATGCTGGCTGCTGATGATCCAGACAGAAGAGTCTGAGTTTCTCAGAGTGCAGACTGCAGAGAGCCTCAGAGTCTGATGAAGCTCTCTGATCTCTCTGCAGTAAGAAGGTCTCACACAGGTTCTTTAACACTAAATTAAGAGGAGGTTCTTCCTTTGAAGACCTTCTCTTACAAACTGGACATTCCTGGGCCTGTTTCTCTGTCCACCAGCTCTGCAGACAGTCTTTACAGAAGCTGTGGCTACATGACAGAATCACAGGATCTTTGAAGATGTCATGGCAGACAGAGCAGCACAGATCCTCTTCTAAACAAGACGCCATTTTCCTCTGAGTGAAGCTAAACTCTGGACAGGCAGAAAGTTCAAACAGCTCCGACTGGTGAGGCTCCACTCCCTCCTCCACAGAGTTTACTGGAACTTACTTTTACTTTGACTCCTGTCTTTTCTGAAGCTCCGTTCAGTCTGCAGTCAGTACCTGGTTAAAGTCGCAGTATTCCAGTATTTAGCTGTCGTCTCTCTGTGGACGTCATCTCTCTTATTTCTCAAGGTGAAAGTAATCATGTGCCAGTGTGCGTGCGTGCGTGATATTCCCGTGTAGCAATTTCAAGGTGGAGCTTTATTTCTGTTGTTTCTGTTTTCAAATCTGACTAGAGTTCATATTAACTACGACTGTGTCCGAAATGGATCCCTAACGCCTATATAGGTGACTACATGGGGTTTAGCGCCATTTTAAGGGGTGATCGAAACCTCAGTGATCAATCCTAGCGGCCAATATAGGTGAGGTGACTCAAAATTTCCCATTAAGCATTGCAAAATGTAGTGACCATCCGATGGTCACTCAACGGTGGCGGGCATCCCGTCATGCATTGTGTCTTGCCATGTAGTGTCCGAAACCTCCGGTAATTGAGTTCACTACAATGTCAACTATATAGTAAAACTCCATGTGGGGTTAAGTGGTTAGGGATTGAGTGAATCATTTCGTACACAGCCTACGTTTGTTTTCATGGAGGAATGGTTGATTCTTCAACAGGTGAATTGATATAACCAAAGCTGAGGGTTTGTATATTTGATTTACTGCCATCAGAAACATTTTAAAGAAGGATTGTTTAATAGTACATCATGTGTTTTGGAAATGTTTTCATCACAGCCGCAAAGAGAAATAATGAACTTTTGTTACAAGTTAAAAAGGGGTAGTAACTGTTTGTATGACATGACTTGAACGCAGCATGACACATCCGCATACAGAGATTGTTCAGGTGTGTTCAGGGAAGATGATGATAATAATAATAATAATAATAATAATAATAATAATAATAATAATGATAATAATATTGTGGCTAAAATACTCACTAGTGACATGCAATTTATACAACTCCTGATCCAAAGTACTGAAATATGCCTTTAACAGATGGGACATGGGTCGAATGAGAAAACCAGAATACAGAACCAGGATTTTGCTGCATGTAGCACTTTTCTCTCCTGGCTCTGACATATCTACTGCAACAACAGCGACTTTCAGCTAACAAGCACCAAGTGTGAGAAGCTGAAGGAAGGGAGATAATGGCCTCGCAGGGACACAGCAAAACAATGAATCGTGGAGCTCAGAAGACCACCAGAACTTGAAATGTAGCAGCTTGGACATGAATACTCCAGCCTGGTAGATACTGCCCAGAAAAATTGTAAGAAACAGTTTGTAGTTTGAGTGGATACTTGAAGGGTTGGCTGCAGAGAGAGGCAGTTTGATATATCTTTGCACGGACTGCAAGAGAGCGATGCTGTCATGTTACACATGAACTCAAGTGAGTCATGAAACTTTCCACCAAAGGTTGGTCTGTTTAAAACCCACACAAGAATTGTTCCTGTTGTGGACCCACTTGAGGGATCTTTGATATTTTATCACTAAGCTTTATGTGCGTTTTGGTTCCACCTCCACCTGCTCAGACTCTAATCCAAACATTTGTGCACATTGTTGGGGGAAATGGAGAAGTGTTATCCATCTTTATACAGTCGATACACAGAAGAAGACCATCCTCAGCTGTGGTGTTTCTACCTGGTGACAGTGGCCAGCACTCTCTGGTGGGAGTCAGTTAGCGGGTCCTGAGGCAGCAGCAGGGCAGCCATCCCTCCTGTCGCCAGCGCTCCCCTCCGATGACACGTCTGAACCAGCAGGTCCATGTAGCTGCGCAGGAAACGCTTCTCCATGTTGACATATTTGCTGCGGTCAGGCAGCAGGAAGTTGTGACGGTGACCTAATGGGGAAACACAGGTTTACTTAACTGTAAGGAAACTAGTCCTGATGCTTCATATAGCCCTGGACCTCTGGCAGTCATCAGGGAAAAAGCTGTAGAGGAGGTTTCTCTCCTACCAAACTTGTTGACAAATGAGGCTGAATAATCCCAGATGCCACAGTTGAGTCCTGCTGAATGATCTCTCAGCTCGTAGAGGATCTCCTCCATCTCAAATGCTGATAAAACATTTTCTATCAGAACAGTCGCCTTGATGCAGCCGTGTGGCAGACCCAACTAGACACACACACACACATTTTGTCTTTGTCTGTGTTACGGTGTTTTTCACAATTACTTTAATTTACGCAGGAATATCCCTTTAATATCAATCAGCCTGGGTGATGTTTTTTTTTTAACCTAGACACAGAAACACTTGTATAATCCAGACCATTCAACAACTACAGGACCCTGTGGGCTTTACTCTGAGCTAAACATCATCTGCTGGCTGAAACAGTTTTAAAGCTGCTGTGAAAAGCACCAACTTGGCGCCCCCCTGTGGACAAACTCATACCAGTTATATTATTACTGCACCTGTGACAGAGAACAGTAAAAGTCTGTTCCTGCTGCTGTTGTTTATCTGCTCTGACTGCTCAGAGTTTGTCACTGTTTAAGTAACACAAGCTGAAATAATGGAAGTAATGCTGAACAAAGTCAACACTTATTTAAAGCGGAGGATTAGGGATACATGAAAAATGTAGGACTTTCAAAATAATTTTTACAAATCAATAAAGTCAGTGTGTTATTTTTCTGAGAGCGAACAATCAAATTCTCCCCTGCAGACAGAAAAACACAGCAAATGAAGACAGACAATAGCAGGTTTTCAGACATTTATTCTGTTCAAGCACTTTTTGTAACATTCTTGCTGTGGTAAGAAAGAAGCAGCAGGTGCAAATGATTAAAGTCTTAAAAACAGGTAGATGGTAGGGAGTAAAACACAGCTAAAATGTACTTGAGTAAAATATTTTAAATGATCTTTTGAGTCAAAGAAAGTTTTTTTCAGGTCTTCTCAGTAATTGGTTTAGGAGACAGATTTTAATTATTTACATCCCTTCATAATTTTGACCCAATCAAATGAAGTGTTCAATGCATACTAGGCTTATTCAATACTCTACAATACAAGAGCTTTATTCATCCCAAAGGGAGTTTCATCGTATCTTTGCTTAAATTCATCATCATCATCATCATCATCATCATCATCATCATCATCATCATCATCATCATCATCATCATTATATTCTTCTTCTTGATCAACATCATCTTTATAATCATCTTCATCATCATCATCATCATCATCATCATCATCATCATTGTCACACCTTAATCCTTATTATCATCATCAATATCATCATTATCTTCATCACCTCTTCCCTTACTGTTTCACTGATACGGAGACCTTCATTGGTAATATCTTCAGATGAGGTGAATCTGAAGTCCAAATGTATGGAAACAGTTTGTCAGTGAAAGTATGTGTGAAGGTGCGTATGTGTGTGTTAGTGTCAGGATCAGAGAATGACAGCTTTCCTCTGTTCCAGTCCAGATGGACTCTGATCCTCTGAGGACGTCCTCTCACTGACAGACCAACTTCTTCACCTGATGGAGTTTTTGCGCTGTATTCATTATCCCAAAACTCTATTGTCCATAATCCAGAGACAATGTTTTCCTTCCTGTCTGCAGACTCCTCAAACACACCTACATCCCAACACGTGGTCTCTCCAACCTCGACATCCCAGCTGTGAGTCCCTGAGTTGAAGCCCTCAGAGCCCAGGACAGAGTAAGTGTAGTAACGAATCCTCTCTGGATTATCAGGAAGCTGCTGTTTCTCTCCTCTCCTCCCACTGGTCAGATCTTCAGACAGGATGAGTTTTCGACCAGCAGTGTTTGGGTCCAGGATCACAGGACTGTAGGAGACCATGTCCTTCATCTTGTTCCAGATGTTGAAGCCCAGGTTGCCCAGGTGTTTGGCCACATCTATCAGAGCTCCTGATAGATGCAGCTGTGGATCCTCCAGCAGGGGGCACTGCTGGACTCTTTCCACTGCAGCCTTGTAGTTTTTCAGGAATGAGACGTCTGCAGCTCTCAGCTCCTCCTCTGTGGCTCTGACTGTGTCTGAAAGAGCTGCTATCTCTCTGCTCAAAGCCTCCATCGGCTCCTTCATCCTCTGACTCTTCTGCTCCTCTTCCTCCCTCAGAGCACAGATTCTGGCCTCCTCTTCCTCCTCTAGAAACTGGTGAAGCTTCTTAAACTGCTGCTTTATCTGCCTCTCTGTGTTTGCAGCCTGGGCCTTGATGTAGTTTCCTGTTTGATCCCAGTTCTCCTTGATTTTAGTGAGACTCTCCAGTTTCTCCTGTAAAGGTTTCAGGTTTTCCTGGAGCTGGTCTCTGAGACCCGGAGCAGCTTCATCCATGGGTCTGAATGTGTGGTTTGTGTGTATTTTAGAGTCTCTGCAGACGAGACATGCTGGCTGCTGATGATCCCTACAGAAGAGTCTGAGTTTCTCAGAGTGCAGACTGCAGAGAGCCTCAGAGTCTGATGAAGCTCTCTGATCTCTCTGCAGTAAGAAGGTCTCACACAGGTTCTTTAACACTAAATTAAGAGGAGGTTCTTCCTTTGAAGACCTTCTCTTACAAACTGGACATTCCTGGGCCTGTTTCTCTGTCCACCAGCTCTGCAGACAGTCTTTACAGAAGCTGTGGCTACATGACAGGAGGACAGGATCTTTGAAGATGTCCTGGCAGATAGAGCAGCACAGATCCTCTTCTAAACAAGACGCCATTTTCCTCTGAGTGAAGCTTAACTCTGGACAGGCAGAAAGTTCAAACAGCTCCGACTGGTGAGGCTCCACTCCCTCCTCCACAGAGTTTACTGGAACTTACTTTTACTTTGACTCCTGTCTTTTCTGAAGCTCCGTTCAGTCTGCAGTCAGTACCTGGTTAAAGTCGCAGTATTCCAATATTTAGCTGTCGTCTCTCTGTGGACGTCGTCTCTCTCATTTCTCAAAGGGAAAGTAAGTAAGTAAGTAAGTGTGTGTGTGTGTGTGTGTGTGTGTGTGTGTGTGTGTGTGTGTGTGTGTGTGTGTGTGTGTGTGTGTGTGTGTGTGTGTGTGTGTGTGATTCCTGTTTTTCCTGTGAAGCAGCTTCAGGGTGGAGCTTTTATTTCTGTTGTTTCTGTTTGATTCTTCCACAGGTGAATCAAAGTATCCAAAGCTGAGGGTTTGTATATTTGATTTACTGCCATTAGAAACATTTTAAAGAAGGATTGTTTAATAGTACATCATGTGTTTTTGTTTGTATGTTTGCATCACAGCCACACAGAAAAATAATGAACTTCTGTTACAAGTTACAAAGGGGTAATAACTGTTACTACTACTACTACTACTACTAATAATAATAATGACAATAATTATAATAATTAGTGCCGGTTGTTCACCTGGATTAGCTGTCAGTCAGCTGTTTGTGTCTGCACAGGTATACCGTAATAACTCCAATAAAACAACAGTGTTTGTCTCTGTGTGGTACAAGTTTAAAAACTCTTTCATATGAAGAACTGCTTTATTGTTTGTTCTGTGTCCTGTTTAGACCCTGATGGATCATTTTACAGGCAAAATGCATCATTATTATTATTTTTATATGCATTTATATGGAGAGCCAACCGGACAGTGAACTCAACATGTCAATGATGTTCAATGATTTAATGATGTCTCAGGAACTTTGGAAGTGATTTATTTCACTCCTCTCTCCTGTGAGCAGTGCTGAAGTCTGTGGAAAGTCAGGTAGCATGGTGGGTTCATAAGTACTCCCAGTTTGCCTGAAGATCAAGGAGACTGCATTTAGGGGCTGGATCCAGGGAGTGAGTTTTTGTTGATGTAGAAGTTTCTGTCTCAGGCTGGTGATGTGGATACAACATCACTTCAGATTTCACAGCTCTTTCCTCCGTCATGTGAAAATATCAAACAAAGTTTTTCAGGACAATAAACTCTCAGATTATTCACTGATGGTGCGTCTTTAAATCAGGGTCGCACAAAAACCCGTCCTTCATACCATGCAGAGATCTCACTGCTGAGTCTCTTCACAGTTTGTGTCGGGGAACGTCTGCGCCCGGACTCTCCACCTGTCCACTGTCCTGCGAGCTGAGAAAGGTGTGGTCCTGATTCAAGTAGGAGGTGATGAATTCTGGGAAATCTCTCTTTAAGACCACCTCCAGGAACATGTCTGCTGCTGTGTGTAATCTCTGCTTAACCCTGAAGAAAGAGAGAGAAAGAAGGGAAGAGAAGAAGAGCTGAACACCTGAAACTTACAGGAATGATCCCTCACATTTTCTTTCTGTTGATACAAAAAACAAACTTAAGTAATCCATTTCCATCAGGAGAGTAAGAGTAAAAATCATGGGAGAAAGACTTTCACTCATTCTCCTCCTCCTTTCACATCTTAATACAGAGCTTTACTGAGGACTACACTGTTAGGTTGTCCACAGAGATGAGCAACATTTGGACTTATACTCAGGTCAGATGCTCCATTAGTTGCATCAATGTGAGCAGTATTGAAAATTAGGAATCACTCTGCTTTTCTGTTTAGATGGAAAGCTAAAGTAGGTGCAACACAATCCATTGTAATGACCATCTGTCTGTTTAAACATGTATCTGCAGTTCCGACTCCATCGGGTCAGTATGAGTGACCAATATTTCTTATCAGGGTTCCTGTGCACTTTTTAAAACCAGGACTTGTTCAGACCCAAACAAAGAAAATTTAATACCACTTTTACACAGCAGAATGATTGTAATTTACACAAGTACATCATATCAGAAGTACTTTAACATCAAATATGAATATTTTTAAACGGCAGAATACAGTTTCAAAGCTCTTTGACAAACTTGTTTGTCACCTTATCATTGTCATTTGTTCCTGCCAACCATTCCCAGAAATCAAAACCAAACAAATATAGAACAAACTCAAACCTTTAACATATAAATGTGAGGTACAAATGAAAAACAGCTGTTCTGCAGAATGGCTCACTTCAGGATAAATATCATTGAACTGTAATTTTTAATGCATCACTGAAGTGTTTCAGCTGATAAAGCTGGAGTTCATTTGAACTTAAAGGTTAATAAGTTCAGTTTATGAGTAACCTGTACATATCATCATCATCATCATCATCATCATCATCATCATGGTTTACATTAGTGAGCTGAATCTGAAAAGTTGCAAACTGAAGATATTTTATAAATTCAGTAAGTCTAAAGTTCAGTTTGTCAGGAAGCACAGCAGAATCAGCTGGTGCTATGTCAGGAGATTATTGGATGGTTTGTTTCTCAGTTTGGATCCAGAAATTAAAGAACTGGGATTTTATTTTACAATCCCAAAACCAGAAACAAGGATGATGACCATTTTAGCATCAAGGAAATCCAAATCAGAGCACCTTTGGCCCATTTTTCATCTTTGGTTGTTTGTTTTTCCCTATTACCATTTTTTTTAAAATATTGGACCACAGATAAGACAAAATACCTAAAACAGTCACACGGTGTCCTCCGTTTAAACCCCAAATCAAATAAAGGCACGTGGCAAAATTATTTTTGTTTTGTTATCTGACACAAAGTGGGGAAAATAAGCTCCGATCTGAGATTTTTCCTTTTCTTTGTATCATTTCTCATTCAGGTCAGGCAGTCATAGAGCGGTTAGATAGCAGGTGAAAGTGACAAGTTCAAATTTCCAAAACAAAAGCATAAATAGCTCATTATGCTGGCACAGAGAGTAGCAGGTACTGAGCCCAGAGTCTAAAACAATGAGAGTAACGTTAGAGGATAAATAATAATGCCCTTTTTCTGTAGTAATCCAGAGTGAAGCCACTGTGTAACTTAGTATTTACAGTGAAACTGAGACTCACCTGAACTAATGAATGAATGAATGACACGAGACCAGGGGGATACAGTGAACCAAAAACCATGACCTTCATGTTGGAGATAAATCTGCATGGATTTACTTTGCTTTCCTTCTCAGGGTGTTTGCTTGACTGTAAACGATGCAGAAGTATCAGCTGGAGGTTGTTCATCTCCAACTATGACCTACATCAGAATGCTGGAAAGTTGACCATCATTCAGAGACATATCCTCTAATGATAGTAGACATAGGGGGTCAGAGATGGCAGAAAAACCAACAATAACCTGGTTACATGGACAGCGGGAGAGTTGGTTTGAAGAATCTTACAAAAGTACGAGGCACCAAAGACACACTCCGTACATCGAGGCTGTAGTCCTTGTTCCAGGAGGGGCTGGTTTGACTCCCAGACGTGATCTTTTGCTGCCTATCTAATAATAGCAAAATATCTAAAAAAAAATCCTTTACAAAGAGACAGTTTATCCTCTCTGCAGCCTGTGATGTACAGTAGGTCATGTGCTTAAAGTGTCCTCAGGCAGTGTCTGCTCACCTCACAGAGTGGATGAGAGCGCCGAGCTCCATCAGGACCTCCTGAGTGAGGTCAGTCACCAGCCGCCTGCTCACCACCCTGCTGTCATCCTCCAGCTTCATCTGATGACGGATCCACTGCCACACCTGGAACACACACACACACACACACACACACACACACACAATTTACAATGACACCGTCTCAGCCCTGTAACGCCTCTGTCTCTCCCTCTGATAGCAGCACAGCAGTATCCTGACTTTGTCCAGCCGTACCTGTGATCTGGAGATCTCTGCTGTGGCCGAATCTTCCACCTGGCCTCTGTAGAAAAAGTGACCAACACCTGAAAAACAGAGCCAACTTTGAACAGGTAACAGAATGACTCCAAGATCCATCATCACTCCAAATGCTCTTCTGTGTGAAGTGAGGTAAAGTCATTGTGTCGGAGCGTACCCACCTGATAACCATGCATTTATAAAGAGAATGCCAACTGCAATGTTGTACTTCAATCCATAGAGGGTGACTCCTCCCTGAGGGAAACAAAAGACATCGTCCCAATCAAGTTTTTATAACAAACTTTTTGTCTTTATAAAAGGCTGTCAGACTAAGATATTTCCATGCCATGTTCACATTCAAGCATGCTTAGTGAATCTCTTCACAGTAGTGGTGAAATGTTGCAGCATTTCCTGCAGATGAAATTCTGAAATGACTCAAAGACTGACTGAAGGCATGGACAGCAGGTCTTCAGGAGTCACACTGACGTCATTTCGAAGCTGGTGAAGCTGGTTATCCCCTTTGGTGTGAAGCTGGAAGAGCTGGAGGAGATAAAAAACAAAAACAATGATCTTAAAGCTTCTCTGTATCTTTTTAAAGACTCATGAAGGTCATGATGAAGCACTTACTCTCTGCATGGGCTCAATCAAACTGAGGTCGTACACCATGAAGCCGTCCACACCTGCCTGGATCTCTAACAGCTTCAGTCTAAGAGGAAGAGGAGAGAATCCACTACCAGGATGAACAGCCAAACATCATGATGGCTCCCCAAAAGTGAAACCAAAACAGGTAGAGTTTTTCTGACTTCAGCAGCTAACACAGTGTATTCAGATCAGGTCAACATGGGTTGTGTCATGATTCAATAAAAAAGCGGATAGAGAGGGGCTCTGCCTCTGAAGACACTCTTTCATTCAGCTGTTCTGGTTTTCTGATTGAAGTCCTAAATGATATAGAAGGTCAGTATCAAACTGAGTTTAGTGTTCAGCACAACAGTGGACTCGTGTGAACTGCTGGTTTATGTTGATCCCTAGAGACCCACAGGTGCTGCTGTTACCAAGTCTGACTCCTGACAGACCGAAGTTTCTCTGTTTGCTTGAATTTATTTTTCATTTGTCTCTTTAAAGCCAGATGACCATTGACTGTATATACTATTGACAACTTGGTTCCGCCTTCCACCAGTATACAGATTTGAAGCCGAATTGTTCTCAGTATTTCCAGTTTTTTTCTTCACTTCCTGAAACCAACACGGCCCAGTAGCAATGTACGCACTCAGTGGGAGAGTCACTGAAAGTTGCTGCAATGGCACTCGGCTCAAACAGCGTATCCTCCAGGTGAGCTATGCAATCTTTGTACGCCCATAGGCTGTATCAGGTGTCAAACATAGCAAACATGAACCCCCTAATAACTTTTAAAAATGGAGCTTCACAGAAAAACGAGGACTTGAGCACAAACCAGTTTTACGGTAACTACATGTCAACATCACAACCAGGGGGGAGAAAACTTATATTCTAAAATTTGTCCACAGCTCCATAGGGATTGCTGGAGGAGGCAGGATTTATGACCTTCACTGCAGCCTGTCACCAGAGGGTGCTGTTCTCTGGGTGGCTTCACCCAGCGAGGAGGCAGACGGCGTCCATTCTATATACAGTCTATGCTGAAGACCAAACAGCTGAGTGGGTGGAAGAGCACGTCTCTATGTGTTATGTCACCAAACAGTACAAAAACAGATGGGATTTCTGATGGTTCAAGTGATGAAAAACTTCTCAGTGGAGCGTAGACTTAGACTGAGATCAGTTCTTGGGTCAGAGTTTCTCCAAACTAGTTGAATTATGTGGAAGAATCTGCAAAAAACTTGAGCAGCATATATAGAGTCCTGTTTTTGGCTGCTGCCCCCGCGACCTGACTCCAGATAAGTAGTTGAAGATGAAGATGTGTGTTTAAAGTAACAGTTTGTAGTTAGAGTGGATACTTGGAGGGTTGGCTGCAGAGAGAGGCAGTTTGATATATCTTTGCACGGACTGCAAGAGAGCGATGCTGTCATGTTACACATGAACTCAAGTGAGTCATGAAACTTTCCACCAAAGGTTTGTCTGTTTGTCTGAGGGATCTTTGATATTTTATCACTAAGCTTTATGTGCGTTTTGGTTCCACCTCCACCTGCTCAGACTCTAATCCAAACATTTGTGCACATTGTTGGGGGAAATGGAGAAGTGTTATCCATCTTTATACAGTCGATACACAGAAGAAGACCATCCTCAGCTGTGGTGTTTCTACCTGGTGACAGTGGCCAGCACTCTCTGGTGGGAGTCAGTGAGCGGGTCCTGAGGCAGCAGCAGGGCAGCCATCCCTCCTGTCGCCAGCGCTCCCCTCCGATGACACGTCTGAACCAGCAGGTCCATGTAGCTGCGCAGGAAACGCTTCTCCATGTTGACATATTTGCTGCGGTCAGGCAGCAGGAAGTTGTGACGGTGACCTGAAGGGGAAACACAGGTTTACTTAACTGTAAGGAAACTAGTCCTGATGCTTCATATAGCCCTGGACCTCTGGCAGTCATCAGGGAAAAAGCTGTAGAGGAGGTTTCTCTCCTACCAAACTTGTTGACAAATGAGGCTGAATAATCCCAGATGCCACAGTTGAGTCCTGCTGAATGATCTCTCAGCTCGTAGAGGATCTCCTCCATCTCAAATGCTGATAAAACATTTTCTATCAGAACAGTCGCCTTGATGCAGCCGTGTGGCAGACCCAACTAGACACACACACACACACACACACACACACACACACACACACACACACACACACACTTTGTCTTTGTCTGTGTTACGGTGTTTTTCACAATAACTTTAATTTACGCAGGGATATCCCTTTAATATCAATCAGCCTGTGTGGTGTTTTTTTTTTTTTTAACCTAGACACAGAAACACTTGTATAATCCAGACCATTCGACAACTACAGGACCCTGTGGGATTTACTCTGAGTTTAGCATGATCTGCTGGCTCAAACAGTTTTAAAGCTGCTGTGAAAAGCACCAACTTGGCGCCCCCCTGTGGACAAACTCATACCAGTTATATTATTACTGCACCTGTGATAGAGAACAGTAAAAGTCTGTTCCTGCGGCTGTTGTTTATCTGCTCTGACTGCTCAGAGTTTGTCACTGTTTTAGTGACAAAAGCTGAAATAATGGAAGTAATGCTGAACAAAGTCAACACTTATCTACAGCGGAGGATTAGGGATACATGAAAAATTTAGGATTTTTAAAATCATTTTCATAAGTCAATGAAGTCTTAGTTTACTTTACGAGAATAAAGCTGTAAGTAATTAAAGTTGTAATGCTAAGATATCAGTCATATTGTTACAAAAATAGAATGGTTGTACAGACATGATTGTGGGTTTCTTTGTGAGAACCACAACTCAGTGAATGCTCTCCCAGATGATGTTGAGAACTGCAGCTCTTTCAGCAGCTTTGAAACCAAACTGAAACCAAGAATTTACTGAAAGACTTTAAAAAGCACAATTTAACCACTCACCCACTATCGCTGCTTTTATTTTGAAAAACATACTCTTACAGCTGCTGTTTAGTGTTTGTCAGTTTGTGTGTATGCATGTGTGTTAGGGTGCATTTGTGTGTGTTTTTAATGTTCTGCTTTGTGCCATAAAGTGTCTTCAAATCAACGTGATGTTTAAATTCTAACCTACAGAGGGACAGCAGAAGTACATCAGCTTTAAGCCCACTCTGGTATGATGTATCAAATGGTACTGCTTATGTTTAATACTGCACATGGTCCCTTTAAAAATGACATCAGATCAATAAATAAAAGTTTGGATGTTTTCAGGACAACAACAGCCCCAGTGTAGCTGTAAAGACCGAGTAGAAGATAAACAGGTCTTTGGATCAGCATATTATGCAAAGCTACTCTATGTGTACCAGACTGATATGATGACAAGAGACAGGGGTATGTCTCATTTAAACTGCGAACATTTTAAACTTCCAGAAAAACAGGTCACTTTTATGTGCATGTGTTGATGAATGTGCTGACCTTTTGTTGAGTCCAGACAAATATCTTGTTCCACAGTCGAGCCTCCGTAAAGCTCTCCACCTGCACAGGAAGGGAACAAGCAGAGGAGAATTTTATGAAGACCTTATTCATAAAACACCTGTCCTCTGAGTGCATGACTGGCTGACCTTGGAGAGGTAGAAATAGGGTCCACTCTTGTTCTCAAACAGCGTCTTTCCGCAGTGAAACATGAGGAGTCCAAAGTCAAAGAGAGGACCTGGAGCCTCTTTTCCCTGCACCTGAAAAACAACTAAAGAATCAGAATGCACTGTCTATCCACAGGCCCCTTCAGTTGCTGTTATATTAACCCAATGAATGAATCAAAGTGTATAAATGTTAGATCACCATCATGTTGTGGTCCACCATGTTCCAGGCCCGAGGGCGGAGCATCAGTACAGGAGCCTGAGATATATGTGGTGCACCTGTGATCACATGGATTCAGTTATATGAAAGTATGAGGCCTGATACAACTGAAAGACAGATGAGCCAACATAAGTATGAAGAATAAGGCACACTCACCAGGGAGCTGGCCATGAACCGCCTTGAAAACATTATGAATGCCTTTAATCTGATTAAAGTATGTTGGACAGTTTCCATCATCAAAGTCAACCTGCCAAAAACAAACAAAAAAACACAGCAAAGCCCTAATTTTGCCGCTAACAGGACAAGCAGTAAGTGACAGTTTGGGATTTCTTGGCAGCACCAAGGCTGGCTAATCAGCTTTCAAAGAGGGGCAGTGTGGCCACCCCTCTCTTCATGCCCCTGGTAGATGAGAGGACGCACCTGTATCCCCTGTGCTGAAGATAACAGGGCTTTAAAAAATCGCTGAGTGTCACAGGGAGCCAGATCTCCAACATCCACATGTCTTCTCTGCATTCTTGGGGGGACAGGCTGCACCCTCCAGGCCAGGTCCCTCCTAATGTGAGAGGTTGTTTTCAGGAAGTTTGGCAGGTCACCAGAGAGGTCCAAGTGGACCTTTCTGGACACTCGTAACTGCAGCACCTGAGTACAGAGAAGGGGAGAATGTTTAACCATTGACAAAACAAATTTGACCTGCCATGGACACTCAGGACTTGACAGTCTCTCTTACCTGATCCACCTCCTCATTAAACGTGGAGACCAGCTCGTGGAGGAAGAGGAGGGATTCAGTGGTGAAGAGAGTCTTGTACTCTTCTTCTAAACCCGAGGGAGGGGGACTCAGTTCCATGCTGACCAGACACTGTGGAAGAAAACAGTCGACATATGAAGGGATACCTTTTCTAAAGCTGCACACACTGAAAAAATCAGCAATATTACTTTACACGTCTCTAAAACTTTTTCATTTATATTCAGCTTTTTGAATTTTTTTCATGAATATATTTATTGAGTTTTCTACATTATAACAAACCAGTGAGAGAGAAGAGTGCTGTAAAATACAGACACACCAAAAGCATTTTTAATTTAAAGTAAAAATTTAACATAAAAGCTTCAAGTGTAAACTGATTATAAATTATGAAACATGCCCTTTTTATAATCACTGAAGACATTTTTCTACATTATGAAAATGTGCTGTTACTCACAGACATGCTGATGAACTCCTCTGGTCCCTCTGCGGATATGGACTTTGGTTCTGGACTTACTTTGGTCACTGTTTGAACAGGAAGATATTTGCTGTGTGCGGAGTTTAAAGTCCTCTCTATCTAACATGGATGTAAAAAATACCTCAGAGTGACGCATACCTTTGGGACACCTTCATGGCAGCGAGCAACAAGGACATAACCAGACGATGGTTCTGCAGGAAACCTCAGTGGGCTAACAAGTTTCAAGTATCCAGTGGGGAAATATAGGACACAGATAGAGGCAATGTCCTGTCTTAGCCTGATTATGCCTTGGTCAACAGAAACACATAGCAATCCACTTGAATCTTATTATTTTAAATGTGGCCCCAATTCTTCATCATATGTAGTAAAATCCTAACAAAGTTGTGGAGTCATGAGAAAATCCAGTCTTAATGTTTTGAGATCAGATGTAATTTTTGTTTAATAAAAATACAGTTGTGGTAAAGTCAATAATACGGAAATAAAGTGGTGATAAAGTTATTATGAGAGTTATTATGAGGCTAATCACTGACTTTACTGATTAACTTTTTTTTTTATCCTCATAAAAAATACATAATATCAATCATAAGAGTTTTGATCCTCATAAAAAATTGTCATTGTCACCATTTCTGTCATAGAATGAGATGCAGCTCTAAAATTTTGAACATCCCAAAAAAATCATTTCCCCCCATAATTTAAATTGAAATGTGAAACTTCCACAGATTCAAGCTTCATCACACAGAAAGTCAAATATTTTTGAAGACTTTTTAGTTTTAATCTTGATGATCACACACCAATCCAGAAAAAGGATTTTTATACAGAAATATGGACCTTATGCATTACTTGGTCAGGGCTCTTCATTCAGTCTGTGTCTCTTCTGGGGTGTTATTGAAGTACAGGTCTCTTTGATTGCTCCTTCAGCTGGTCTGTATTGTTGCTCTGGTGTCTCTCATTTTTCTCTTAATGATACTGCAGAGATCTTCTCTGGGGTTCAGGTTTGGACAATCCAGCAAAGTACTACCATGATAAACCAGTTTCTGGTAGTTTTGGTACTGTGGGGAGGTGCCAGGTCCTGCTGGGAAAGTAAATCTGTATCTTCATAAAACTTCTTAGCAGATGGAAGCATGAAGATCTCATGCATGCATGAAGGCATTGACCTGGGTTTTAATAAAAAACAAAAAAACAACAACACAGTAGACCTACACCAGTGGGTAACATAGCACCCAAAATCATCACAGACTGTGGGAATTTCATGCTGGACTTCAAGCACCTTGGATTCTGGGCCTCTCTGATCTTCCTCCAGACTCTGGGACCTTGATTTCCAAGTAAGATGCTAAATAAACTCTCATCTGAAAACAGGACTTCTCATCTTCTTAGTCCAGGTGAGACTCTTATGACATTGTCTCTTTTTCAGGAGTGTCTTGACCGTAGGACTAAGACACTTGTAGTCCATGTTTATGGACTTATCTGTGTGTAGTGGCTGTTGATGCTCTGACTCCAGCCTCAGTCTAGTCCTTGTGAAGGTCCCCTTAGTTCTTAAGTCAACTCTCCATGAATCATATTTTATACAGACTCTGTGAGCAGACCTTCAGCAAAGACCTTCAGTGGCTGACCCTCCCTGTAGAGGGGTCAATGATGGTCTTCCGGACAACGGTCTTTACCATGATTCTGGTTGTGTGTGCTGAACCACAGAGAGAAAATAAAGGCTCAGTGAGATATTGCACTTTTTACAATTGATTTTGAATATATAGAAATTTCACTTTTTTAATTCAATTATGGGGAAAAATCAACTTTTTTCTCATTTTTGAGCCACACCTGTATATATTTTATGTACCTTTTAACTGCTACAGTGTTATTATGTATCTTGTTTCCAAAATAAAAACTCAGAAAAAAGTAAAAAAGTATTTCATTTCTGCAGACCACACAGTGACATTTTACTTTTCTATATCAGCTACTAACACTTAGTTAGAAACTCTTATAAATTCTTTCTGCCTGTCCTTTCTGCCTGTTCTGATGCAGTTTCTCAAATGCCGTTCTTGATAATGAAACATTGTTTTCAAGGCAAGGACAAATAGACTGAAAAACTGTTTCTTCCCAAGAGCCATCACCACCTTGAACTACCATACAAAACGACCCCAGCCTTCAATATGAGCAACAAGTGCAATACACTTATTGCACTTATTACCACTGCTGCTATGTGAATCCTACCTCAATTTTACACACACACACACACACACACACACACACACACACACACACACACACACACACACACACACACACACACACACACACACACACACCTGTACCTTCTTTGTAATGACAATAAAGGACGTTCTGATTCTGATTCTGATGAACTTCACAATAAATCACATACAGTAGGTGGCGGTAAAGCACCTGAAAGCTGAGTGCCAGCTGCCAAAAACTAGAAAGAAGAAGAAGCAGTGCCACAGTAATATCTCTGACAGCTGCTGGGTTTGTGGAGGTGTGCGTACCGGTGAAATTAGGTATATGGACGCCATGGAGGACAAAGCACAGATACAAGAAGCGATCAAAACACAAGGTGAAGTCGTCCGGAAGCTCAAGTCAGAAAAAGCGAGCAAAGAGCAGGTTGGTACTCTGATTTAACCGTTTGTATTTAAGGTGATGCCAAGCTAGCTCAGTACATGCGGCGAGCAGCATGTCCATTCATCAGAGTAGAGATCTGACAGCCTGAAAAACACAAGATAAACTGTTTTCATTCATTCTGCATGACTGTGAGAAACCTCCACACAAAATCACGTCAAACTGTCTCTCAGAATGTATGTAAACCTGCCTACACTTGGCTTACTACTGTTTTTAGTCTGCACCTCACATGTCCCCATATTTTCCGTATTCACCAAGCTCTTGTTCAATAACCTGTTATTTCCAAAACCTTACATTTTACCTTTCAACACATACGCCGAATTCTCGAAAGATACAAACACTGCATTTAAGGACTCGATTATATTTTAAAGTCATTAATTGTGTACCGATACTCAAACCAATATTAAAGTGCTCTTTATGTGAACCATATTTGGTATAGCTCTAAAACTGACCCAAACGGCTACAGTAGCTGTTTGGCTCACTACCATGGCCATCAAATCTTCATGATAACAGCTTTCTGTAGGGAAGGACAGTCTATAAAACCAAACATTCAACCGCATTATGTTCAGTTTAGTAGAGCAGTCTAGCTAATTGCTAATTTGGAGTCCGTTAATTCAATTGAAGTGGATAGGTGTTACAGCGTAACGAGTGACCCTGTTATCCGGTGACAGTAGCCAAATGCGTCGGTCGTTTTAGATCCAGTTGCTGTTGAAACGGAGAGACCATGCGTTGGAAATTACATAACAAAATTACAGACACAAGAATGTAAAGATCTCACGAATATATAATTGTCTATTTAAAGGGATAATATAAAAAGAACATGTTAGGGTATCTGTTATGATACATACGTAAACCGCTGACGCACTCGGCTAAAAGTTGCCTGTTAACAGGGTCGCTTGTTTTACCGTAACATTGGTTCGCTTTCGCTTCTCAGAGCTATCATAGTCTTATGACAATTTTAAGGTTATCTGACTGAATCAGAGGGTAGCTTTGTATGCCAGCCTGCGTTATAAACAATTATTTCATAAAACGTTTTAATTTAGATTTCTCTTGTGATAATCCTAAGCGTGCTAGGGTAGCTGATGCAATAATGTGCCCGGTGAAATGACGCTAAAGTTAGCATCTTGTTCGTTACTTTCAATTTGGCTACCACAGGGAGGCTTGGGGCTTCTTAGATCTGGTCTAGATATTCCTTAACGAGGCTACAGATAGTTAGGAATATAGTTGTCGGGGGGTGAAACATTTGTGCTATACGTGAAAATGCAAGAAAGGGGCAGTTTGTAGAGGTGAAAAAAAGTAGTGGAGCTTCTTTGGTTTTTGCTTTTTTCATTAATGAAATAAAGGCTTTACAGAGCTGAAACCATGTTTTAAGAAGCTAGTAGACTTTTTCGATAATCTTTTCCAGATCTGACAAGTGTTTCTGTTCTGGATCAGGACCTCAGCTCAGCCAAATCAGGAGCTGCAAATAAGATGCTAACTTCAGTGCCATCCTAGTGAACAGAGGCAGTAGTACACCGAAAAATGACTGGATCCCTTTGACAGCAAACTAGAGTGAAGTGTGTGTGTGTGTGTGTGTGTGTGTGTGTGTGTGTGTGTGTGTGTGTGTGTGTGTGTAGTTGTGTAGGTGTGTTGGATGCATGTTTGTGTGGGCTGTGTTTGGCTCTCTGCTTTGATTGACTTGCGACATCTCGTGTTCTGTCCTCCACGCTGTGATGATGATGATGATGATGATGATCGGTCATGCCCCGCCCTCCCCTAGTGCTAGGGTTGCTTACCACTTTTCTCCTGTTCTTCCTGCCTGACCCTGGATGACCCCGGTCTGCCTCATCCTCCATCATCACCATTGATGCTCCTGGACATCATTGCTGCACTACCTTCGTGGCTGTCCTTCTACTGGCTGTTGTGATTGGCTGCTGTGGCCGGTCCTGGACAATACCTCTGGATATAACTTTACCCACAATGCACTCCTGAACATTTATTTGTCTGTTTTTTGAACCTACATTTTTGACCCTCATGTTTTTGTACCCTTGGTACTGTGGGACCAAAATGTTGGGCATGTTTTGTGCTCGTGCTTTTTCTCTGGCGGGTTGCCGGACTGCAACACGTGCCCGATCTCTGCACGTTTTCCCTGGGATGACTGTGGCTCAGGTAGGCCTTGGGTGCTGTGTGCATTTGTGTGCGATAATTCTTGTCGTAAAAAACAATCTGCAGTTTTTCATGTTTATTCCCAGATGTTGACGAATGCAGGTTCACACTTAGAGCAGATGTTCACCCAGCTTGTATTTGTCTTTCAGATTGATGAAGAAGTTGCCAAGCTGCTGGAGTTGAAAGTCAAGTTAGGAGGAGATGAAGGCAAACATCAGTTTGTCCTCAAAACGGCAAAGGTAGGACCGAAGAGCTGCTGCTTCCTAACACACACAAACATTGTCCACACAGCACTTCCAGAAAATACAGAATTAAAGGACTACTTCGTCTTTTTGGGGCAGTGTTCATTTTGTCAACAAAAATGAAGATGACAACTTTTCATTGACACACAAGTTTTTCGTGACTTAATAGACGCTGTTATAAAAAGTAAGCAAACTGACAAGCAGAGTTATTGCAAAAATTCTGTTCATAAGTGCTCTGAGGATTATATAATGGCAAGACAAGATTCTTGCTCTGTTCAGGCGGACAACCAGCTACATCACTGTTTGTTTTAATTTCTAAACCAATCATTTATTTGCATTAAGTGTGCTACAATTCTCATAGCCTCCATTCATCTTTTTCAGGTTACAAAAGGTTACAAAAACCTGTCACAGTGAGAAAAAATGAAGCCCCCTCAGTGTCTGTTCAGGTTATAGTAGCAAATCTCAACAGAACCTCTGATGTTGATTTGCAAACTGTGTTACTTAACAGGCTACTAACTTTAACAGAGCCAAGCTAGGCGACTGTAACTGTCTCCCTCCTAAAATCTCATGTATGATGCCTCCAAACTGATCTTCAGAAACTGAATCAGGGGGACAGGGATATAGCTACAAATGTAGATTGTAGACCTAGCTGAGTCAAACCACATAGATATATCAGTGTATTTTAAAGGATTCTGATTCTATATCAGGATGACTCAGATTTTTAGTTTTTTAGTTTTAATTTTCCTCAAAGATCTCCTGATTACTTCAAGACTTTTGTAACACAAGTCGCTACTGAGTACACATTGCTGTTGTGTTTAGGGTAGAATGACATTTTTCAAACAAAATATTAAATTGACACGATGTGAAGTAAATGAGAAGATATTTCTTTCTATCAACGAAATGCTCTATTTTGTGACTACGCAATTTTCTTTTGTTGTCAATTTTTTGACACTATGAGAGATTTGACAGGAATTGCTGCTTCACTAAGAGACTGGAGACCTGACCTGGACTAGCAAAAAGTGACTTGTGCCTGTCTCTGAGATCACCTCTGACTGAACAGGGTAAAGTTATCTCCACAGTCAAGACTGACAACTTTCTTTTTCAGGGGACGAGGGACTACAACCCCAAACAGATGGCCATCAGAGAGAAAGTCTTCAATACCATCATCAGCTGCTTCAAACGCCACGGAGCCGAGACCATCGACACACCTGTTTTTGAGCTGAAGGTAAATTTTCACACAAACTCTAACATAGTTAGAATTTTCAACCGACTCACACGTTTTAATTTTGTTTTATAGGAAACATTAACAGGGAAGTACGGAGAAGACTCCAAGCTCATCTACGACCTGAAAGATCAAGGAGGAGAGCTGCTGTCCCTCAGATATGACCTGACTGTATCCTTTTGTCACCTGAGCAGCAGGTGAAGGCACTGCTCACATTTGGCCTTAACTAGCTGCTCTACGAAGTTTAGGAATGTAAGCGATGGGATCCAAATAGAGCAGAGAGCACTTTCGAACAGGTTTTCCTTAGTTTCTATCCTGAATAAAAGCAAAAAGTGTTTTTTTGTCCTTGACCTGCCCTCTCTCAGGTGCCCTTCGCCCGCTACCTGGCGATGAACAAAATAACTAACATCAAACGTTACCACATCGCTAAAGTCTACCGCCGTGATAACCCCGCCATGACCCGTGGGCGTTACAGAGAGTTTTACCAATGTGTGAGTCATCCTGGGCAATTTTTTTTCTCACCTGTTGCATCATCTGCAAACGTACCTGGTTTTTAATTACTATTGAAAGGAATAAAATGTTTGTGTTTCAGGATTTTGACATTGCAGGACAGTATGACGCCATGATTCCAGACGCTGAGTGTCTGAGGATCGTCCATGAAATCCTGAGTGAGCTGGACCTCGGAGACTTCCGTATCAAGGTTTGTCACTTTCATCAGCTTAAATTACAGGTGACACTTTTTGGGCTGCTCTTAAAGGAGACCAAACACAACACTCTCATCATCAGGCAGGCGCGAGTGAAGTGGAGGCTCAGGCTCAGTGGAGCCAAGATAATAAAACTAAAATTTTTATCAAATCAGAATTAAAACTAATGACTTTCATCATACAACAATATGTTTAATTTTGTAATACTTTTGTCTCATAATTTTTTACTTTTTGATACAGTTTTACCGTTTCACATCTGAATACAGTATATATAACTTATCCTTTCACTTTTTCTATGTCAAGAATTGAACATTGTTTTGTTTTAAGAAAATTTTTATCATAATTTTGACTCTGAGTTAACCAAAAGAGGATTAGGGCCACATGAAGAGAAAAGAATAATAACAAGAAGGAGATTAATCTCAAAATTTTGAGATTAATGACATAATTTTAATTTTTTAATCTCGAAATTTTGACTTTAAAGTTGGAATTTGAAGATTAAAATTGAAATTTTGAGATTAAAATGGAAATTTCAAGATTAAAGTCGACATGAATTAAGTCGAAATTTCGAGAAAAAAAATGAAATTTGGAGATTAAAGTTGAAATTACAAGAATAAAGTTGACGCAAATAAAGACGAAATTTTAATGAATAAAGTCGTAAAGTTGAGATTAATGATGATGAATCAGCAGCATTGCCGCTCGTCACATGACAACATGTCCTCTGTAGAACAGTGTGTAAAGCTGTACTTTAGAATTGGATTTAGTGACAAGGAAATCTTTGCTCTTTTAGCACACAAACACAGTGTGGTCATAAGTATTTGGACTCTCAAAAGACTATGTCGAAGATTATGATGCAGATGCAGGGTTATCGATGGTTAAACCTGTGTGCTATACAGCGAGGCTGTATGTTGTATTGCAAGATACAATGAGACAACTGATCAAGTTGATTGATCCTGAAGGGGTGGAGCACAAATGAGCCCGGTGTCTGAGGTGCAGGCATTGCCGAAGTCGAGGACCTGATGCACTCTGGCACATGGATGGCTATGACTAATTTAAGCCAGACAGCATTTGATTTCGACTTTTTAAAATTTCGACTTTAATCTCGTAATGGAAATTAAAAAATATCTCCTTCCTGTAATCACTATCTCATTAGTCTTTGCAGATTATTTTGCAGTTTTGATATTTTCATCTCATAATTTTGACCCACTCTATCAGATATATTTTTAGTGACTGCTTTTAGTAAATATTTAAACTCTCAGTCTCATCATTTTAACTTTTAATAATTAAAGATAACGATGGTTGTATATTTTTCCTTTTTAAAATCATTAATACTGGAATTTTTACATTTTGGAAAATGTCTCTCAAAGAGCCACTTCATCATTTTTAATAGCTATAGAATTTAATAGCATGTTATTATTGTAGTTTGATATTTTCTCATCTTTGTGAATGATTGAGAGTTTGTGTAAAATAGTTAAAGGCTTCAGGTGAACACCAGCTCAACATAAAAGCTTAGGTGACAGCTTAGGTGTCTTGAGTGGAGCAATCAAAAGCTTAAGAGATTTGTCTCTTGTGGTTTTAAGATAGTCCAATCATTATCAGGTATTGTTTTGGTAATGACTGGTTGATGAGGAGAAAGTTGCCAGCCCTAAAAACTCTTGGATCATAAATTGTAGGCGTCGTCTTTGTGACCATAATCTCTGTTTGCAGGTCAACGACAGACGCATCCTTGATGGGATGTTCGCTGTGTGTGGCGTCCCAGATGATAAATTTCGCACCATCTGTTCAACCGTGGACAAACTGGACAAGGTGAGGACGCCACCTGCTGATCACACTCTCAGGTTTTTAGTTCAAGATTGAATTTGAAACCTGATCCTCCTGATTCTTCGGCATAATCTCTGTTCACTCACAGGGCCTGGTGACTGATTTTCAAAGAGACTCTACAAAGTCACTCTTTGTGTATTGAGACAACAGGTCTTAGTTTAAAACTGTTAAATGGGATTAAATATTGAAACAGAAGCTGAAAAAGGGTTTATAAAATTAGATTGGTTGTTTTTATTTCTGGGTTAAGTCTCAAGTTTGTGTTTTTAGAACTCTGAGGACTCTGTGACAGTATCATTGTAGGTTAAATCCACATTTAGGCTTTAAAGAAGTTAGAGATTTTTTGTATGAAAATAGCATCATATTCAGTCAAGAGCAATCCTGGGAATCTTTCATCCAGTGTGGGATTCAGAGGAGAGCTCTAGTGATCCAGGGTTGGTCCCCATTGAAAACTCTGTCTCAGACTGTTAACTGATCTTTGCTGTTTTCTTGACCCTCCTGCAGATGCCCTGGGAGGAGGTGAAGAAGGAGATGGTGAATGAGAAGGGCCTGTCAGAGGAGGCTGCTGATCAGATTGGGGAGTACGTCAGTATGCAGGGTGAGACTTTTTTTCTCCAAACTCACACCAAATGTGACACTCAGACAGAAACTACTCACACCTCTGTCCACAGAGCGGATGTCCTCGTAACAGAGTGTCTTGACCCCATGAATAACAGCTGGCAGGCAAAAACTGGTCCAGATCAGTGTTCACATCGACATAGGATGTGTCTCTTTCTCTGTTATCTATGACAGATCACACAGATGCTTCTCAGGTATAGTTATATCAGGTATACAGATATTTATCAAATATCTGTTTACCTGTGTAATTGACCTACTTACTGAATTTTTCCTCCCCCCAAGTACAAGGGGGTTAGTATGTTGGAAAAAAAGTCACCTGCATCTTCATTCGAAGGACCCATAAAGCCTGTCTCAGAGGGCCAGTGGAAATCTTAAAACTCCTGTAGTACTGGCTTTATTGACTCTGAAAACTTGCAGTTCCCTTTTCCCCACACAGGAAATCGGAAATAAGGTACTTGGATTTGATAAGCACATTGGCACTGCTATTGTTAAAATTAGTGTTGTCAAACAATTAAAATGTTTTAATCAGATTAATCGTGATAATAGATTAATCTACGATAATGCGTTAATTTTGACAGATCCAGTAAAAATTGAACCAATTCTCATCTCTTTCTCCGGCCACTCATGCCCCTCCATCAGGTCTTTGGGGCATGCCACAAACTTGATGAGTCACCGTTTTAAGGCATGTGTCATCATTTACCAATATATTTGAATATAACCAACTGACCCACCAACTACTGGCCAGCTGTTTTGACCTCTTTATTTAGTTTCCCCTTTTTTAATCACTTCTAGATAGATGTTTTCTTCAGTTCTGAGTTATTTTGCATGCATGCATGCGAACCTTTGCAGGGTATCAACAGTGTGAATACTTTCAAATGAGGCTTCCACAGGGAGGTTTCTTCTGTCCTTTGGTGTGGTTTCATTTGTCAGCTTTCAGGTGCCGCCTATTTGTCTAGGATCAAAAACAGTTGCTTGCCTTTCCTTTAGACAAGCAGCATCATGTGCAAGTTAAATGAATGAAATTGTTAACATTGTGTTACCATTTCATATATGGCATTGCTCCTTGTTTGTATTATAGCACCCCCTAGAGTCCCACAGGGACTGTAGTTCAGACATGCACAGTGGGCGAGGGGTGGGACGTTGGTTTTTGGGGAAAAACTGTTTGGTGTAACGGTTTGGAATAAAGAGTTAGCAAAAGGATATAAATGTGTTTTTTATTGAACAATAGTAATCAGAAATTAGGATTGTGATTCAGCTGTCTCTGTGCATACCGAAAGTCATGACCTTGGACAGTGTTTCCCTGAACCTCCATAATCAGTGATCCTAGACTCTATTTGAGTGAGGACGAAAGGTCACAACTCAGAGCAAAAAATGTTTAGATATGGTGGAAAATGGGATCCACAGACCTCACAGTGCTCTGTGTGTGTAAACGGGAGTCTCTTCCTTCTGTAGGGGGGAAGGACCTGGCAGAGCGCCTCCTTCAGGACCAGAAAATGTCCCAGAGTAAGCAGGCCTGTGCTGGTCTGTCCGACATAAAGCTGCTCTTCAGCTACCTGGAGCTCTTCAAGGTCACAGACAAGGTGAGACGTGATTTTACTCTTAATCCTGAAACTTTTTTCAACATCATGAAGGATCACGTTTTTATTCATGTCTTCAACTCTCTCTCTCTTTTCCTCCCTCCCTCAGGTGGTGTTTGACCTCAGTCTGGCCCGAGGTCTGGACTACTACACAGGAATAATTTATGAGGCTGTGCTGACTCAGGCAGGTGTGGCCCTGGTGTGCACTGACGCCCAAAACGGGGCAGAGGAGAGCGTGAGCGTGGGCAGCGTGGCCGGAGGGGGGCGGTATGATGGCCTGGTGGGCATGTTTGACCCCAAAGGAAGGAAAGTGCCATGTGTGGGTGTCAGTATCGGCATTGAGAGGATCTTCTCCATCATGGAGCAGAAGGCAGAGGTGACATGTCGGCTGTTATTAGATGATAAAGTAACAAATAGCCTGTGTAGATGTTTGTGTTGTAACTGTTTGTGTTGTTCAGGCCTCAGCAGAGAAAGTTCGCACCACAGAGGTCCAGATCATGGTGGCGTCTGCGCAGAAGAACCTGCTGGAAGAGAGACTCAAACTGGTCTCAGAGCTCTGGAATGCCGGCATCAAGGTAAGTGTGTTTATGAACTTCCGTGTTTTTAAACCTCCATGTTTGTCTGTTATCTTGTATAGTGGCTGGGAGGTGTCAAAGTTCATATCTAGAATGCTATGCAAAGGAAAAACACCACTGCATCGGTAATTGTTGCATCATTGGGAACACAAGCATGTCTGAATTGCAGCAAAATTCACAACAGAATTAGATATAAATGCTGCCTCTGTTTCCTACAGTCATTTCCCACAGACATTTGACGAAATCAGGGAATAAAGTTTTATAGTTCCTCTATTGTAACTATCAATATGTGACCGTCAAAAAAAAAAAAAAAAGAATAAAAATAAATAAATAAATAATAATAATAATAATGCATCAGATTTTATAGCACTTTATCAGAGACCCTCAAAGCACTTTACACTGGAAACATCATTCATTCGCTCACACAGTCACACCTTGGTGATGGTAAACTACCTTAGTAGTCACAGCTGCCCTGGGGTAGACTGATGCTGCCATTTTGCGCCTACAGCCTCTCCAAACACCATCACACAACACTCACAATCATACACCAGTGCAGGACACACACTGAGAGCAAGGTGGGTTCAGTGTCTTGCTCAGACAGAATGGACAGATTAGGGATAGGGGAAATCGGACTGCTAACCTTCCAGTTATTGAACGACTGCTCTACCTCCTGAGCTACTGCTGCTGCATTGTCTTTATATAAGATTAATCCACCATCTAAGGTTACAGGCTGTAATAAAACAGCTATGCAGTAACATATGCATCACTTTAGGGCTGCAGCTATTGAATATTTTAGTAATTCTACTTAATGTTCCATCGATTAATCAAATAAAACATAATTTTTTTTAGTTAAAAGTGCAATTATCGCGGAACAAACGTGTGCATTAGTAGATCTCAATGCTTGTAAGAAAGCTAATAAGGATATTAGCTTTCATTGTGTCTCTAAAGACATTAGTGTCTAAGAGCTGAATAGCTTCTATGTTACCTTCTACTTCTACTACACTGCCAATGTTCGGCTACAAGCTAGTGTGAAGAGGAGTCTGCAGAGCTGTGCTGTCTCCGCCCACGACTCAGAGGTGAATTGCTAATGAGCTACTGGAGCTTTGCAGAAGAAAAGCTCCCCTCAATATTTATTTTTTTCGCTCCGCAAAACCAAAACCGCACTTACTCCCCCTTCCACAGTGGTGACGTAAGCGTGTTGTGTCACCTTGAAAATAATTAGAGCGAAACAGTGACGATTTGAGCTTATAAACGAGTCCTCGAGGCAGAGAGAATTCCTTGATCATTTTTTTGTAATTGCTGTACTCGAGGAATCGTCTCAGCCCTACATCACTTGATTTAGCCATCATTAGCCCATCAGATAGGCTGAATCCCTGTTGGAGACAGTAGTATTCTGGACTAAAGTTACAGTCAAAGTAGATTAAATGGGGGGTCCTTCTCTCTCCAGGGAACCACTCACAGTTTAGCCCAGATTTTTTAAAATTAAATTATACTGTAGTCCTGTTAAGGTATTTTCTAGACAAATCAAGTGGTTATTTCTACAATAGAAATGAATTACTAGTAGAGACCAGCTGATGGAGCTGTAGTTTTTATGTCCCGCTTCTTCCTCCAACCAAAACACTATTTTACCTCACTCATGAATCATCTGAGCTTTTTTCAAGGGTATCCAGTACGTAGCAGCTCTAAGTTGTATATCATTTTGAAGTAGACATTATGGACAGCTTAATGACTCCTTAATGTTTCTTCTCTGTGTTCTATTCAACTCTGATAATCAAGTGTGCACTACAACAGTGAAACCTGAAAGTCAAGAGAGCTGTCAATCATGGTGTTTTCCCCCCTTTTTCAAACATCTGATCGTTAAACCAAACTGTCAACATAAGAAAGGGAACACTTGGACATCAGTTTGATAACAGCTAACTATAATAACAGAAACAATGTCTGAGACATGTTTAAGTAAACATTTGTACTTGTGTGTTTTTATATCAGTTTTCTGATCTGTGTTTTTTTGTTGTTGCAACTTTTAGTTCCAATTTTGTGTGTGTGTTTGTTCAGGCAGAGTTGATGTACAAGAAGAACCCCAAACTGCTGAGTCAGCTGCAGCACTGTGAGGAGACTGGGATCCCCCTGGTGGCAATACTGGGAGAACAGGAGCTGAAGGACGGAGTGGTCAAACTGCGAGTGGTGGCTACCAGAGAGGAGGTATGACTTAAATAAAAAACAAATTCATTCATACTCACACACACACACACACACACACACACACACACACACACACACACACACACACACACACACACACACACACACACACACACTCACACAGGCAACATATGATAATAGAAAGTTAGCTTTATGGTCCTATACAATTATACAATACATTAGATCAGACGACCAGAAAAGGGGGGCTGTCGTCTGACATGTTTTTCCAAAAACTGAATTATGAAGTTAGTCTGACGGAAACTGGACTTTTGAAATATCTGACTGAAATCACACCAAACTGAACTCCTCATAGGCAGACCAGCATACAGAGATAATGCAGTTGGGAATTGATTTGTCATGTAAACACCTCCATCAGACTCAAACTGACCAAAGTGTTATGAGCATTGGCCATAGTTTGCATGTTGTCTTATGACCCTTAGAAAGCCAGTAATAAACAAAGCCTCAGCAGAAGAAGTGGGAATGTGAAAAAAGGTACAAAGATGTAAAAAGTCAGTGTTGTCACCGTTTGACGTACAGCCGGATGACTTGTTCATTGATTGTTTTGGTGCCTGATAAATGTGATTTTACTAATCCTTCTGTTAGTTTTTGACTTTTGCTCAGTGCTCCAGTTAAAGCCCCTGTGAAGGACTTTGGGTTTGTTTTCAGGCATTAAAAATCACAATATAAAACTGTCAGCTTTGTTGCTGGTGGTCCACTCTGTTTTTCTAAACCATAAAAAGGCTTAAAATAATTATAATTAAAATAATTTTCAGTCTTTCCATTAACATTAAAAAAACTCCACATTGGAGCTTCCATTGTTTTATGTTTTATGTAATGTTAAGTGTGTCTGTCTCCCTCTTTTCTCCACAGGCTGACATTTCCAGAGCAGACCTCATTGATGAGATCAGAAGGAGGACATCTGAGGTCTAGTCACTCCTCCTCTGCTGCTTCATCCACTCACCTCTCTCTCTTACACACACACACACACACACATACATACATACATACATACATACATACATACATACATACATACATACATACATCGTACATACATATAAATCTGCAGCCTTCTAAACAGACTCTGTGGTGCGGTCTTCAAGAGTGCATGTTGGACATCCTGCATCCCTGAAAACACACATCTATCTTCGTTCTCGTATCAGCCACACAGACTGGTGTTGCTCATGTTGCACTGGCTGTTACGAGAGCAGTGAAGCTATCTGGACCAGATGACATTCTCTAAAGGGAACACTGTAACCAGAGAAAACATGGTGCGGTTCACAAAGAATTACATGAAGTTCTGCCATTTTGGACTCCCTGAAATCTCAGTAATTTATCCTGAATGCAAGATGAAGTGCACACTTAGAAGATCATAAATGTTTTGGTGAAGCTTCTTTTCTTTTATCCAACTGTGTCTGAGTAAAACCAAAGTAAAACATCATCTTAGCTCAAACTAAACCTTGAGTTTCCTAAACCGAACAGAGATGCACCAATATTGATCAGTATCTATCTTTGTCCGTCTTTATCGCTCCCATTCACTGCTTCAATGCTGGTTTACCCAACAGTTGATTCAGTGAAGGGTATTTTCACAAGTCAGAGGGAGCCACTTGGTTTGTTTTCATGGGAGCATTTGATCATCTCTGAGAAAGATCAGCCACCCCTGCACATACCTGGTGGTGTTTCCTGTGATTTTGTCTGATTTCAATCACATCTTTAGCTCTGGTGGCCTGCTGAGTGTTGATCGACAGGTAGGTTAAAGTCATTTAGAAAGCTACAGGGCGTCCTGTCCTCTGTGTCAGCTGGGAAGTTAAAAGTCGAAACGTCCTCAGTGTGAAGTTAGAGTCAGACTGAGCTCTCCTGCAGCTCTCTGATCTTTGAATTGAAGAAATAAGAGCTTCAATAGAATGTTTTTGTTAGAGTTTTGTTACTTTATCCAAATGACAATGAAAGCATTCTTAAGGCCTGTGACGGCGTGCACTTCATGCAAGGAACCATCCAGAATAAATGTCTGATTTTTAAAGGAGTCTCCTGTGGCTTTCTGGTTTGCCTGTAGTACAAAAGACGACTGTTGTTGGCCAAACTATTAGAGTGCAATAAGCAAAGAAAAACATGAGTTTTGACAAAAATATAACTTCAATAAAAAACAACAACAAAAAAATTAACTTTGTTGTTGCAGCGCTCCCTCAGAAATACTTCATCTGTGCAGGATGAAAAATAAGTCAGATTATGTTAAACTTACAGTTAAACTCTTATTTTGATCTGTATCAAACATGCCTGTGTACGTCAAAGTGTCTGAAATAAATACATTTGACTCCACACTGGGGAAAAAAAAAATACCACTGTGTCAACTGTTTTTACACACACACACTCTACAGATAGTCCTCAATTATCTGTGATCAAAAGGCCTCCTCGGACTGCAGGAACTTTTTCATAGTCTTTGAAACTACAAGAACCTTCCCCCTTCTGTGATTCTGAACTTTTTAAGCCTGTTTAGCTCTTGTTTCAGACAAGTACTCTCCAAGTTTAAGAGGGACTAAAGTAAAAGTGCAAAGTGGTGATCAGTTAAACAAAACAGCCAGTCTGGTGCCACTAACTGCCTTTTTTAAAGTCCTACTTTAAATGCAAGCAAAGTAGTGGTAAATTACAGTTGGTAATAGCTCTTAAAAACACTTAAAATAGAAAAAAAGTGCAGGACAGTATTATATGCTGGTTATCTGAGCACAAATGATTCAGCTGTCAGGCTTAAACAGGCTTTCACTAAGAGTGCTTGAAGCCACAGTCGATTGGTAATATTTGCCATGTGTCAAAGGTTGTATTATATTGGTGATTGTGCACAAGCATTGTTACTGAGGCATCAAATTCAAAATGAGTAAATATTTGCAGAAAATAAAGTTTATAAGTTTGAACATTAAATATTTTGTCTTTGGAGAGTATTCAGTTATAAGTGTTGGAAGAGAAAAATTAGCAATTCCCTGTATTTTCTTTTTATTCACATTTTACACAACATCCTCACTTCACTGGAACTGGGGTTTGAATTAAAAGACAAAAGTTGTGAGAAAATCAGTTCATATTTTTATAACGTTAAAGGTATTTTACAAAAATAAAGTCATAGTTATAGATATATCACAAAAAAAGTCATTAAAGTAATAATTTCAGAAGAATAAAGTGATAATTAAGTGGTAGTTTTGGCTCAAGGTGAGCAGCCAGCTTACAAAACCCATTTACTTTATTTTTTTTATACAATAATGATATTTTACTAACAATAAGCACATGGTAATACCCTCAAATTTTAGTCGTGGCTTATGGTAAATCAGAGGGAAGATCAGGAAGTGGCAGACTGCCAATGAGCCAGCTGTATTAGCAATCTGATAGATGACTCAGCACTTTTAAAACCGATGTTTATGATTTGCTGTGAATCTAGTATTGGAGCTTGTGCCTGCTCAGGTTACCAACCATCTGTGAATTTGTATCTTCTCACCGTTTTAATTCACTTCAACTGATCATCTACCAAAAAGAGTATACTTCAAAATAAAAGCATGGTTTTACAATGGCGGAGATATGCAACCTAAATGCAAGGCACATAAAATATCAAAATAAAGGCACGACAATCACTGATCAGATAATGTCCTCTCCAGAGAGTCTGTAGTCACAGGACTGAAGGAATAAGGATAAATCACACATTTAAACATCAGAAATAGATGACATGTCAGTTGTGTTGGTAAAGTTTGAGTAAGGTGTTTCTCCATACTAGTTTTGACTTTCCTCAGCTTGACTGTGTTTTATTTTTGAAGTTTTCCACAAATAACGTGGCATTGCCATTGTGATATTTTACAGCTGTGATAAAAGTGAAAAGTTCATATGACAGCCATACTAGCAACAGTCTGCTATAGCATAATGACGGACTACTGTCACAGAGAATCGACCAATCAGAAACAAGTACATGACACAGCTGTATAAAAGAAACGTGACACACTTTTCATTGCAGTATCAAATCTCATTTAATTAAAATGAGGAACAAATACAAAAGGTAACACACAATAAAAAGCATGCAAACAAACCACAAAAGCTCAAACTACATGGACGTCTACTTTACAACCATAAAACCATGCTGAACAACCAACCACATTTAAGATGAAACTTTTGTGTGTTTTACAAAACATCATAAGGATATCCACAGGAAGTGCAAATGCAGCCCCCAGCTACACTGCTGGAGGTTTCTGACTCCTTCCTCTGGGCGGGGGAAAAGCCAGGCAGCAGTGGGTGCCTCAGGTTACTGGGACCTCCCACAGCCCTGTGGAAACCCGGGGGGATACTTGGCGGTCGTGCCCAGGTAGGAGGCAGGACAGGGTGCTGGGCAGAGTTAGGTTTGAGGCGTGGGGGCTTCGGGGGGGTCAGCAGGACACTCTTTGAAGGTTTCGGTGGAGGGGGAGGCTTGTCCATGCTCAGCTTCACTGCTGATTGCCATGTGATTGAGATGGACAGAGAGAACTGCCTCTTGAATGCTAAACACACACAGGTATAGCAATGAAAAACAGTACAATCACAGGCACTCTTCATGAAGCATTTACTTTTATTTATGCAGTAATATTTCATCTTTAATTACCTGCTTGGATTCTTAATGTGTTCACACGCCAGTAATACCAACTTTGGTGCATTCACACTACTTCAGGTACAATAATCATGTGCAACTACGCTGATGCTATAACTTCAATGTACAAAAATATCCCAGTAAAGTGCACAAGGTCCAATTGCACTGTAAGCATCTCTCCCACTCCAACTTTTTTTCTCCAAATCTACCTTGTCTTGTACTAATCTGGAGGTGAAATTATGTGTGCAGATGAATGCATGCAAGAATGTGATGAATAATTCTTTTCTCACTCATCTTATCTATTTTTAAAGCTACTTTTTTAATAATTATTGTTTTGGGAAACATTGTGCAGTGTGCAAATGAGAATAAAAGTTCCTGTTTGATTTTCCACACAAATTTATAATGGCCTCAACCATGCTTCAAGGAATATTTCGGCGTAAAATTAATTTAGAGTTAAACACACCGTAACACCGAGTTTGATACCCCCTTGAGAGATGAATGTTGCCGACTGCCTCTCTAGTTATACCAACTTTAGTAATGACTGCATGATGGTTTATGGCTCCTCAGCGGTCTGAGGAGCCATAAACAAACCTCAACCGCAACACCAATTTATAGGCACTAATGCTCAGAACAGCACCTAACTTCATCAACAGTACATATAGGGTCCCAGCCATAGTACTAGCCACCAAACATCTTTTTAGCTTTGCCTGATTTCTTTAGCAAAGAGACTAAACACAACTCACCTACTCTCTTCTAGCAGCCACTTATTTGTAGTGAGACCTCGACCAGTCCATCGTCGACTGAGGCGGGGGGACACAGCTCAAGGAAGAACATTTATGATCGATACATCATTTCCTTGGAGTAATAATAACCATATTAATCATTTTGCACTGCAGACACAGTAGTTCATCTGCCTGAGCGTCTCGGTCTGATTGCATTTCCATGAAGAAATTATATGTTCTTCCTTGAGCTGCGAAACTCTGCTGTAGTCTGCGTATGGACTGGCCCGAGGTCTCCCTACAATTAAGTGGCTGCTGGAAGAGAGTAGGTGAGTTGTGTTTAGTCTCTATGCTAAAGAAATCAGGCAGAGCTAAAAAGATGTTTGGTGGCTAGTACTATGGCTGGGTCCCTCAGACTACTGTGTATTGCTATCATGTGGTCTTTCCAAAGTTGGTATAACTAGAGAAGCAAGCGATCAGCAACATTCATCTCTTGAGGGGGTGTCTAACTCAGTGTTATGGTGTGTTTGCCGAAATATCCCTTTTAAGCCTTTTACTACAACCATTTAGGTCAGTAATGTCTGAAACCAAACTGAACTTTGCAGTTGCAGCATTCCCCACACATAGAAAATACCTAGATGAAGTGTATTATTGGCCACCGCATTAATGGAATAGGATATCAGCGTTTCAGTCTCTGAATATAATAACTTCATATTTTACCCAAAGTCAGGTTCTTATCCTTTAACTCCAGCCAAAAAGACATGATTCATTATACAATGCCACAAACCATAAAAGGCACACTTTAACCAACTGTTCAATATTAGTACGCATCATCCCACTGAACCTTTATTAGAGAACAAATGGAATGATTTTTTCGCGGTTGGGATGTGCTCTCAAGGAGCAGCTTTGATTGGACGCAGAATTGCTGAAAGCGGTAAACTCAGACACAACATGAAAAAAAAAAAAAAAAAAAATGCACAGAGATGACCTAAGATGTTTTCACTATGGTCTGATGTGGTTAAAGCCTTATGGTACAGGATGTATGGATGGTTGTGGGCAATCATTGTGAACTCACCAGTGTGTTGTTTCCTATATTTCTATATTCCATATCAGAAACATGAATCCATCCTGATCATTTATTAAATGCTGCCTTTCTTCACTCCTCAAGCTCTCTATCTCAGTTATTAAAGGATCCTGGCCCCAGAATGAATACTGGTCATAAACTGAGGTTTTGTGGTTTTAATTTAGGCAAATGCACAACATGTGTTATCTTTTACATTTGTGAGGCTTAATTGTCGCTGCACAATGTAAGTAGATCAGCTTACATTTTTGTTTGCAGGTGCTCTGAAGTTAATGCAAGTTTTTAAACACAGACCTTTGGTAGATTGGGTCCTGAGTGTTTGGAGAACATTTTTCTTATCTCCGTCTCTTTCAACCATTTTCTCCTCTGTTTCAAAAGCACTTGTGTCACTCAAAGAGGGTCTAGTTTTACCTTTGAAAGGTGATTCTGAAAAAACATTATGATTTAAATATTTTTTCAGAAAACTCCTTACCAAAACCACCTTATTGTTCAAGGAAGCATTATAAACACAACCAAAGATGACTTTGCTTTACCAAAACACCATAAAAGGACATTTAAAATATATCTTATTGATCCATTTCCATCATCTGGAGCTCCTACCTTCCACCACAATTTTCTTGGCCATAGATGCAGTCTGATGTGACGAAAAGGTGACTATTGCAAACGTCCTCTCTATCCCAGGGCCAGACTTAAAAGACTGAAGAGAGACACTCTCCACGCCATCCACCAGGGCATGCAGCACCTGAAAGAAAACAGATTTTAGGAAACTCTACTGACTCTAAATAGTATTTATGAGTACAGAAATAACTGCTGTCAACTACAAACAGCTTGATGTCAAATTACCATGTAAAACAAAAGTTATTGAATTGATTTTTGATCCAGATCTGAAAGGAGTCAAATAAAGGGAATACATAAACCTGAAGAACAGACATGAAAACTGAGTTCAAGTTCATTTGCAATCTTGAAAATATGTTTATCCAACACACTTGACATCCAGCAGCATTCTCATACAGATGGACCTCTCTTTTTCTTCAGCTGTAAAAAAAATCAGTGTCTTTCTCCACAGAGCTGCTTGTACCTGCAGAAGATCCTTGTGTCTGGTGGTGGCCGGCAGGTCTCTAAGGCAGAGTTGTCTCTTCTCTATGCTGAGGCGGACGCTGAGGTGGTGGCCGGGCTCTAGCATGTAGCCGTGCAGCAGGTGAATGGCTTTGGCGGCTACAGCTGCCGAGCCATATTTGGCATAAGCAAAGCCGCGGTTCTGGCCACTGAAGTTCATCATGAGTCGGAACTCCCAGAGTGGCCCAATGGAGCTGAAGAGCGGGATCAACAGGTCCTCATAGGTGTCCCTTGGGATCTTGCTGATGAAGACCTCGCACTGGGCTCCTGGTGGGGGGCCGTCCCACACTGACAGGAGAAAAGAGAAGGAGGGTCAAGGTTATTCCTTACAGTTATCTCATGATGCCTCTTTGTTAAAATCATTTGTTCAGTCTCTGAACTGCTGGTCAGCAGGAGTGGGCGATAATGCAAAGCTATCACATCAGTGCAGTCTAGAAATTGATTTAGGTATCAATAAATCCTGATGATACCTGCCTTTACTACTGATGTTATCACAGTTATGTTTTTGTCAGATACTGACAGTAAACTTTCCATAGACTGTCTTTAAATGTGTGACACATGATCCAATTAATAACTAAGACAACTGAGTTTTAAATGTTAATAAGTATGTTAAATTAGACATATAATTACCGAAATTAAAATCACATTGTTTTGGTTAACTTATGAGTTGTTTAGGTCTAAACAGAAACAGGTCCCTTTCAGAGGCCGTTAACTTATCCTGCTATGTTTCTACAAATGCTCTCAATGGACAAAATACTTGGATTTGCAAAATTAAATTAAATGGCTGCACCAGTTCGTATATGACAGTAATAAGACAGTGAGTTGTTGTACACATGCTAATATGTGTTCCGGTTTTTGAAATAAAAACCTTTACAAACAGAGATTTGAACTTTTGTATCACAGGAGCTTCTTGACCCTGAAGGCCACCATAGCTTCACTGACAAAAGGGGTGAGCAAGTTAGCATTTAAGACTTGAAGGAAACTGCCCTACTATTTAAACCATCGACTGCTGCAACTCTGAAATCTGTCTTCAGGCAGTGGCCTGGTGTCTTTCGGTGGAGGGCGGTATGCTTTTTTCTGTTTAAGAGAATGACGCCAGCAAGTCAGTAAGCAAATTGTGTGTTTTGTCCAAACATTTTATGAATTTGGTCCTCATGAGTTTCCTATGCAGGGTGGCTGGGCTCTCCCTTAGAGAAAGGGTGAGGAGCTCAGTCATTCAGGAAGGGCTCGAAGTAGAGCCGCTACTCCTCTGCATTGAGAGGAGTCAGTTGAAGTGGCTTGGACATCTAATAAGGATACCTCCTTGACACCTTGTTAGTGAGGCGTTCAGGGCATGTCCCACTGGCAGGAGACCATGGGGAAGACCCAGGACACGCTGGAGAGATTATGTCCTATGGCCTGGGAACGCCTTGGGGTCCCCCGGGAAGAATTGGACAAAGTGGCTGGGGAGAGGAAGCCTGGGCTTTTACAGATACCAAAATTAAGGACAATAACCAATGTCATTTTGCCCATGTCAATATATTTGGTGTCAAAAAAATAAATAAATAAAAGTTGGTTTTGGATGTGTGTAGGTAGGCTGTGGTCTCATGTCCAAATCCAATTACCGTGATTAACATTGTAAGTGAAATCGCCCACCCCTAAGGTAATGTGTTTAATTTGAGCAGCCTATCACCTTCAGGTGGTCCTCCGTACTTCCTCTGACCGTTGACCTGAATCAGCTTCGTGTTGGTCTTTCTTATCCATGTTTCCAGCTCCAAGACCCGCTGTAGGTTCACCATCTGGAGGGGTTTGGACAGCACCTTAGAAACCAGATCAACCCACCCTCAGTCTCATTTATAATTTCATACATACTTCTTTAATGTCAGATATGCTTGGCATGAATGGGCCACATTGCACAAACAAATCAAATCTTTTTAAAAACATATTTTGCATCAGTGGTCTGGTATCCTTATTTGTTTTTGTTTTGAGATTACATTTGTTTGGCTCTAACAATCAGTAACTTCCAAAGTAGCCTTACGACTTAAAGAGACAACCATGATCATGATTCAATGGTGAAGAAATATTATTATATTCTTGCAATATTTCCCTCCCCTACAATCAAACAAATGGAAAAATCAGCCATTCTGAAAGCTTGGCCAAAATTCTTGAGTTTTGACTGAAGTTGATTGATTACAGTTTTCTACAGCCCATACAGATATTAGGAGAGCAGGTCAGCCAATATCACATAATTGTTTTTTCATTACTTTTCCATTCTTCCTTTTCCCCCCATTTGACGAAATACAGCTGTTTGATAATACTGACATACGAGGAACTAAGTTGCTGAATTTAAGTGAAAATTTGATCAAATCTACAGATGGGAACATATTTTGTGGAGTAAAATATTACCACAAAGGCATTTTGGATGTCTCCAGAGCCATCTAAGATCATCAGTGTTTAAAAAAAATCCAAAGTAAGTAGTTTAATTGAACTATTAAAAGTCATGTATAAATTCATTATTTCATTTACAACTTACTCAATTATCCATGGCTCTCTCAGCCAGGAGTTTGATTTAAACAGAATTCAAATGAATTAAAAAACATAGTGGTGATATTTACCTTGTGAGGGCTGACAATAACATGATGCTGTTGTCTAATAAATGCCATCACTTTCCCAACCAATTAGTCAGTCTGTCTGTAGTAGTTTGATCCCTCTGAGCATAAAAACTCAATTAAAATTAACTTTTTGAAAGTCTTTTAAAAGTAAAAATACATATTTTGTTTTCTTAATCTTGCACGAAAGAGTTAAAGGGCAAAATGATATTTAAAAACTTCTTTCTTATCAGAACAACTTATTCATTTTAAAAAACTGAAGCTGACCCGCTTTTAGGGCTCCTGAATGTCCTCCATCTCCAGCATATCTGTGCTGTGTTAAAGTTGACTGAATCAGCTAAGAAAGTAGAGCCTGACGAGAACATTGGTAGAAATGGAGTGGAGTTAAACATCCTCTTACAGCATTTCACTCTTTCTACAGCTTCATAAATGTTAGACTGAATTAACTGTGTTTTACTTTAATGCATTTTAAGTTGTGCGTTTAAATTTAGGACATGCACACCTGCTCTGAGGCAAGATTTCGACACACCTGCCTCAAATGTGGCGCCCTTACAATCAGGCCGCATGCTACTTACAAAAGACTGTGAACCTGAAAGAATAAATCTTACAGAATGGCTCCTTAAACAAATAATAAAAACAGACTACTAAATAAATACCATTACTTAAAAAAAGTACTAAAACATCTTAACCTCGCTGCCCTGCTTGTAAACTACTTGAAAAATAAAGTCCACGTTACTGCACGGACTCTAGAAACAATGTTGCCACCAAGGCACGTATTAGAAAACAGTTCGTGCAGCGCGATACAAATGACAAAGCAGGACGGACTAAGTCGCTTCTGCTGCTAAAAACACCGTCTTCCAGGTCCTGACTCTCTGCTGGTTAGCTGTGAGACTTTTCAACGCGGTACAAGTCAGTGCAGAAACACAAAAACAGTGCTTGAAGTTACCTGACTTTGCCTGCTTCTCTCCATCTTCTGTGCGCACGCTCACGCCACCCAGCATGTCCGCCGTGTAGCCACACCGGCACCACGCGCTCACCATTGGCTGGCGGTACACTTAACTCCGCGCCCCCCGTTCGTGCCAAAAGTTTCGATTTAAGCCACAACAGATACATATACGCAGATACATCAGATTACTCCTTATTTCTACATCTCTGCGCTGATTCCTTAAATAGCTACATATATAAACAGATGATATCTCTAGTGTCAAAGATGAGGAAGTGCATTTCTTTACAGGTGGACAGAAAAAAAACATCAACATAATTTACCCTTTGCTCTGACAGAGAGGCGAATTTTGTATGATGACTGAAATATCTGTTTATTACCAAATTGGTAGACTATCATTACAAAGGCTATGGAGTTGTAAGCTACTTTGAAAAAATATCTTAATTTTTTGTATTTCTTTTTAAATTTCAAGTTCAGTTGTTAGGGTAAGAGAATACAGTTGTTTTGTAACTAGAATACAGTTGATATGTATGAAAATACAGTTGATATGTATGAGAATAAAGGTAATATGTTTCAAGAATTAAGGTGGTATGTTTCAAGAATTAAGGTGGTATGTTTCAAGAATAAGGGTGATATGTATGAGAATAAAGTTGAAATCCATCCATTTTCTACCGCTTTTTCCCATTCCTGGTGTCGTGCAGGGGCTGGAGCCTATCCCAGCATCTTTGGGCAAAGGCAGGGGACACCCTGAACAAGTTGCAAGTTCATCGCAGGGTTGACATGTAGAGACGAACAACCATCCACACTCACATTCACACCTATGAGCAATTTGAAAGTGGCCAAATAACCTAACCCCACCTCTGCATGTTTTTGGGATGTGGGAGGAAACAGGAGTACCCGGAGTCAACTCACGCAGACACAGGGAGAACATGCAAACTCCACACAAACACACCCTGACCTGGATCCGAACTCAGAATCTTCTTGCTGTGAGGCAGCAGTGCTCACCACTACCCCACTGTGCCACCATGAAGTTCATGAGAATAAAGTCAATATGTTATGAGGGTATACTGTTCATGTTCAGAGAATTAAGTTAATTTGTTACGAGAATAAAGTCATCTTGTCATGAAAATAATTTAATCATGTTGTGAATATAAAGTGATCATGTTACCAGAATTAAGTCATTTTGTAACAAGAAAAAAAGAGAATTAAGTTTTTGTAAAACCAAGTCAATAGTCAGCAACAATAGTCAGAAACTTGCAAGAGTAAAGCTGTATTTAAGTTATGATTCGACAAGAATAAGGTCCTCATGTTGTGAAAATAAAGTGTTGATAAAGTCCTATAGTTTTGGTTCAAAATAAGAAACATGTGGCATCTGGATTAAATTGTCTCAGCAATAAATTCTCAGCTCCACACCGTTAAACTTACCAGGACAAGTTTATTCCCATAACAGAATGACGTTTTTCTTATGTGATTAAGACTTTACTGTAATTTTATCCTTGTCACCATTATGACTTAATTCCTTATTATTTGTTCTCAAAATCTTATGAAAAAAAAAAAAAATGCAGAATGAACCAACAGGCAATGAGTACCTTAAAAGTAGCCTAAAGACACTCACCAGCAGTCAAGAGACATGTTCATTTGACCAGTACACCGGGCGATTGGGTTGTAATGTCACAAGTCATAACATAGTATGGAAAGTATTTTACAGGATTTCACAAGTTTATTTTACAAGTATAAAGTATTTCACAGAATTAAAGTCATGATATTACAAGAGTAATGTCTTTTTATAAGATTCATGATTAAATGTTAAAGGATTGCATCAGTAATGTTACAAGAATAAAGTAGAAATATATCATAAAAGGGTTATATTGTTAGTAGTCAACGTAATAATATGAATATGGATTAAAAAAACTATTTTAATTAACTTTAATTTAATTCTTATTTATGTTTACAATTCTGTTCTCATCAAGCTCAACTGGGTCTAGCAGTTAACAAACTTCAGAGTGTACAGGCTTAGGGTAAAAATCAAATTAAAAAAATATATATAAATAAAAGAAATCAAGATGCAATGATAAGAAATTAAAAGCCCCCCGCCTGTGTGCAGATATGTAATTCACAAAGATGTCCATCGGGTGTCAGTGTTGGACTATGAAGAATTCAGAGACAGCTGAAAATAAAGGAGTGAGTGGGGAGTAAAGAGTGAGGGAGGACATGCAGTAAAGGCTTGCAGCTGAGAATTGAACCAGTAGCTTCTGCAACAAGGTTTACAGTCTTCTTGCATGGGCACAAACTCAGCCCACCAGCTTGTTCACAGAGACACTGTCAACCACAGAGCATCGGAATAAAAAAAAAATAAAAATAAAAATAACAATTCAACTTAACATACAGTTATTTTTGTTAGAGTACTTCAGAAAACACATAAGTTCTCTATATTTTTCATGTTGTACCAATAAATGTTTGTAAATGAATGAAAGTCAGATTCACACTCAGTAGCTGTGCTCTTATTTCTTCTGTGATGAATTTGCAGTGAAGTTCATTACATTCAGTGATAAATTCACAAAGACAGTGAAAGACGAAGTCTAAATGTGATCAATTTGATCTCAGGGCCAGAGATAAAAACATGTAGATGAATGCAGAGCTCAGGAACACCATCTTTTTGTCTGTTCAGACCGGCTTCACAAGAAATGGATCTAAGCCAGATTTAGGGCCTGATTAGCCACCCTATATGATGGCTAAATGAAAAAAGACCATTTTCAGAGCAAAACAAACACCTTAAGAGCTGTGTTCAAAGACTGTTTTGGTGATGTTGTGGGAGCTTGACATGTATTTTGTTTTTTGTAAAAGTGTTTGTGTCAAACTTATATAGAATGGTGACTCACAGACACATCTGACTTTAGGCCTGTCTCTGGTAGGTTAACCTAAAGTTAGGAAGAGTTGACATTTCCAATACAGTGACTGCCACAAAAAGGCTTCAAAAGCCACACTTAGTTTATTAGCGTGATGCTAACACATACAATAAATTACCGTTTACAAGCTAGCAGAATAAGCATTGCAATAGCAGTGGATATAAGACAAAAATGATCATGACAGAAACAACACAGTCTGAACTCATACTGACAGGAATGACAGTGTTTTGTCCTGCTTTAAGTTGGTAAGCTCTGCATTTTCTTTTGGGTCCCTGTCTCTGATTTCATTGCGCTTACCCTGATCCCTGCAACATGATTGGCTGTTCTTCCTTAATATGGGGTTGAAAGTAACATAAAAAGCAAATCATCATGAAGCAGTCCAGTGCTAAATTTCACAGAGTACTTTGTTGAATTTAAATTTGGCGGGTTGTTGTTACAAATTCAATCTGTTTGTTTGTTTTTTTAAATGATCATCCCCTTAAGGGGACATGGCAGAAAGGTTTGGGAACCACTTCTCCAAAACGTGACTTAAAATACAGACAGCTGAGGTTTGAAGGACGAGGACGTGTGTGTGTTCACCGAAAAAAGGTGTTTTGGTGTGTGTATGAGTGTGTGTTGTGCCGTCTGTCTCAGGATAAAGCACAGGTGTCTGGCATGGATGGAAGAGCGCTGCTTTGTCAGCGACACAAACATTTTCAGAGCGCCGATCGCTGCATTAAACAGCAGCTTATAGGGAGAAAAACGCTGCCACACACCGCTGACTCTGATTTCAGCTGAGCTTTTTGTTTTACTTACAGGCCGTCTACATCCTGAGTGTGTGAGTGTGTGTCAGTGTCTGTGTAGGCTTCCACACACTCCCACAGCACACAAACACACAAACTCACAAATTTGTGCTCAACTGATTGAAGCTGAGCTGAAAGAGAAGAAAGTCATTCAGCTTTAGTGAGTGGTGAAAAACAGTTTAAATGGTTAATCTGAGCTAAAAAATGTTTTTAGAGGCGTTGCCCACCCTGTGAAAGATGAATTTGACCTCTGGAGAAATTCGCTTGAATGCCGTATAATCCACACTATTACTTCTCAATGTTTCAGTGTATCAGGTGTAAACTCTGATTCACTCAGGTTTACACTCCAGTGATTCATGATCAGTCTCATCCTCCATTTGCAAGTTTTTATGCTAAAAAAAACTTTGGCTAAAAAGTGCTGTTTTGACTTAATCAATGCACATATGAAATCTGTGTGCCACCACATTTGCCTGGGAATACAGTTTATCATCATCATCATTAAGGTCACCCCTGATAAAAGTTTTTTACTTAAGTTACAATATCTCACTTTTGCCCAGCCAGGTAAAAAGAAGGAAACTTTAACTTCTGATGATGACACTCAGTGTTTTTGAAAATGCCTTGAAACTCATTAAAATGCTTATTAAAATTAAATTTATTTTCTTAATATCACAACTTCTTAAGGACCATAAAAGGAAATAATTTTTGTATGAGAATGTATGAATAGTATAAATGAATAGTTTGTTGTTTTGTTTGGGGGGAGGGGGGCAGAGTGTACCTTTTTTTACATACTTATGTGTTTTTCAGATGGATTTGTTTGGATCTTTCATTGGATTAACAAAAGTAAATAAGACCAGTTTGGAAAGAAACAAGGGATAAGGGTAAAATTAAAATAGATGAAAATAACTATAAAAATAAGCTTACACCACAAGTCTATTTGTCATGCAATTCTTCACAGATTATTCATGTTTGCAATGATATGTGATTAATCAACAACAAAGCTTGTAGTTATTCAGATAAAATTCTTCCTACTGTTTGACAGGCCTTGATGTTTTTTTTGCTGTCTTGTTTAGCAGGACTTGAACTCTTAGGTAGTCATTCTCTCTTAAAGTGATGGAAGGATTAAAAAAAAATTCTGAATATCATTTTCAATAAAATTTGAGAGTAAAAAAAAAAATTCTGTCAGTGTTAAATCCTACATGTCTGCATCTTCTACCCTGTATTAGCTTCAGTATCAGTTTTTGTTTTAAGTATGCCAAAGAGTGTGCATTCGACAGAAATGAAACTCCAACTACCATGGTTGAACATTAGTTTGTGAATATTAGTGAGTGAAATGATGCATTTATATTGTGCAAATTAAAAGGATTTTTCATGTCCAATTTTCAATTTCAAGATAAACTTTGTTATTTTAATTCTGATAACAATTTGCTTCCATATGCTAACTGCACTGGAAGGCTGATT